ATTTATTTATGTAATTTTTTGCATTGCATGTCTTGCAATGAAGGGAGTGAAATGAAGGAATTTGGAAATAAAAAAAATTTTCCCCTCCTATGTCGTATTGAGAAATGAGAAAGTGGATTGGCTTATTATCCAAGACCGGGTACGGGACAAAGCAAAAAGAATGTACACCCAAAATAAGGGTGCAGGTCTAGAAAAAAACGACCAGGGGATTGTTAAGGTGTGGCCGGTGAATGCAGCCGTGCACGGGGAGCAGGTAATCTCTGTTCCGTCTATGCTGCTACATCCATGGGCCAAGACGAGAGGAAGACTGGTACACTACAAGACCTAATAATCCATGGCGTCCGTGGCCTGGAGTCCGTGTAGGTCCGTGTAGCCCTTGTAGTCCATGTAGCCCATGTATGTATATACCTCCACTAGGTACTTCTACTCATGGCTGCATGGATTTTGGAAGCATAAGTAGCGTACTGGATTGACCCGCGGCAGTGGGTGTAATCTCCGCTGAGTCGATAGCTCCAGAACATCTGCGGCTTGAATCGTGGCCTAGGACAGTCTCTCTCATACTGTACGGAAAATATGAAGGTGTAGCGTAAAGGCACCCATCCAATAGTGGTTCTTTGCCGGGGAAGAAGCATTAGTAGCACCTGTCAGCCGAACCGGGCCGGACTCCTAGCCCTTCAAATTAGAGAGCTGACCACCTATGGGGAGCCTAGAGCTACCATAGTAAGTGATCAGAGTCCACTCTATGTCTAAGTGGCTTGCTCTCTAATCCGTATCGTCCTTGTCGTCGTACGAAGTAGGACCCTGGGGTAATAATAAGTGCGAGACTTGTCGCACAGAATCCCACCGTTTCGAATTATTGGCTCATCGCATGACGAAGTGTACCGATCCCAACAGTGACGCATTAGACTATTGGTGAGGTTTCTGTTTGGTGGCTGAGAAAAAATTGTCTGGTCTGTTCATGGTTCCGAAATGTCTAGGTTAAGCGCCTCGGTATCATGTTTGAAGTGATTGTCCTCGGGAAGATCTCTTGCCATGAACGAGCCGAAGTCTTAATTCGGGGTCAATAGGACATAGGTAATCCGTAGTGATAAGATCAAATTGACTTGAGGCGTCAAGCTGAGGGAATAAGGCCGAAACAGGGTAACTCGTAAACGGGTTAACCAACCACCCCGACGTCTTCCCCCTTGTCTGCTTGCCTGCTTGCTTACACCGAGAAGGACATAAGGGTGTGAGGCAAAGCCGTGCGTCGTAATACAGGGTAACCTACAACGGAACACTGAAGAGGAACAGGACTATGCCTTTAATACTCGATATAGGTATCATACAGACGGACAATTTTGGTGGAACGGAGGCTGAACGTCCTTGAAGAACCAACGAATTGCGATTCTGGCTGGCCCCAGATTGAGACCCGAGGGCGAGTCCGTGCGTAGACAGTATTTCAGCAGTGTTGGTTACGGGGTTGTCTTCCACTTACCTAGCTTCTTCGGCCCAAGACTACGCGTAGTAATACAAAGCATACATTCAGCAGGCAATTAATATCGATGTGGCGATCGATGTAGCAATCTATAGATTGTTTGCTTGTAACAACAGGCCTCCGACCAGTTGATTTGTACGGAGTATTCCCGTCACTCAGGTCACTCAACACCAAATCTCAACTTCGAGATATAATAACGCAAGATTAAGTTTGCGCATATGATAACCTCCAATAACGACTCATAACAGATCTAGAGGCATTTATAGCCTGTCATCGACATCATACGTACATGTCAACAGGAGGAGTGATTGGAGAATAGAGGGGAGAGAGGACCTTATGCTGCGACCTCCCACGTTTTTACCTCCTGGTCTTTTTTTCCCCGCCATGCACTATGTATGCATGGGGGTGCAGATGACCCAGATGACCCTCTTTACAGCGAACTATCATCGGTTAGAAGTTCTCTGGCCTAGATCTATATTGGTCCTTTCACAACGCTAGGTGTAAATCACGCTCATCGGATGACGCATCGAGAAAAATCCTTGATGGTTACCTTTTAGGCATCTTGTACATACCATATCCAGTTTATGTAAATTTCTGTCTTCTCTTAAATCTAGGCATGAAGAGAACTCAGTTAGTTTTCGGGATCATATCGAGGATGGAAGCGCCGGATGATACTCTATGTTTCTGAATGGGTGTGTAAGACTCTACAACCCTCCAATCCAATCTATTATGTTCCACGCCACCAAGAAATAAAACCTGGCGAGATGCGAGTTTGCCGAGGTGGAAGAGGCAAAAGAACAGTCAGCACAAGCGTACGTGTCTATGAATGGGATTATACATGTGTAGGTTGAGTCTTTTTTATATGCTCGTGTAGTCTCAGGTATGTACCTAGGTATATAGGTATATACCTATATAGATAAAAATATAAGTATAATCGAGTATAATCGAGTATAATGGATCGATTACGAAGTCTTATCCTTTCGTACCTATTGACGGATTGTGTCCCTTTAATACGCACATGTAGGTATCACAAATCGAGGCTAAGAGGGCAGGCTATTATGAAGGCTAAATGTGGTAGGTGGGGGATGATTGTCGCTCTTACAACTATTCTTAGGTATGCAAGAGGGGCAAGAGGGCTGGTGATGATGAGATGCAAAGGTAGTATTATAGTCCAATAATGGGTATAGGCAAATACCTTTTTTGGCTACTTCACACTATACCTGTACCTAATGTTGTATGTAATCCATAGTGTACACTACTATGTATGCACAATCGGCCCTGGGCTTGTACCCGCACCTTCCCCGCGCGGGAACTACTCCAATGCTATCGTGCTATCGTGCTACATTACAGAATGACTCTAGAGAATTTACCTTGGGTAGGGCAGCTGCTTCCCGTCTGCCCGTCTCTTTCCATCTCAACTTACATATACCTCCTCGGCACCACCCGAATCTCATTCTAGACTTAACCTCCTTTTTTCACCTAACCCCTAATATTTCCAACCCGCATAAAAATAGTGCGAGAACTAAACCCGTTCTCACCTATTTCTTTCTCATCGTCGGATTATCTAAATCAAGGCGCTGCGACAATTGAGGGGGATAAACCATCCCCCACTATTCCGGGTACATATTCGACCAGTTCGCATACCGGCCAAAGCTTCCGTCTCTCCGTATGCTGTCGGCACCCGTTGGAGTCCCGCGGCCGGATTGTGCGATACCTACGCGAAAAGCATCTGATTGAATGAACATAACCATTATTACTCATCAACGTCGTTTGACAAAGAAGGATCCTAAACCCTCGGGGTGTGTCCAATCTGGAGCATAAGGATCGTGTCATCTACCATATCTGTCAAACAGACAAGCTACAACTCGACTCCCTCTTCCACTAGGATTAACACGGATTTTCTACAGATTTGTTTCTTTCTGATTTAATTTAACCAGAGGAGTCGAAAATTTTTCTACTCGGATCTAACACGGCTTACCATCTCGTTTACAAAAAGCCCAAAGCGAGCGATATCTTTGAATTTCGCCGCATTAATCTCCATTGCGCCTCAATCTCTAAACGGGGGCCTGGGGTTTTGAAATCTCTGTCGATGGATCCTTGATGATCCTTGACTCGGGAAAAATTTTCAAGTTTTTCTTTGCTCTTCTTTTTAATACCGTCCAAATCGTTGGGATATTGTCGGTGCGCCAGGGACAGGGACTAGGACCAGGACCGAGACGGAACAGGGAGGCCATAATCACAATTTCGCTAAAGGACAGCCGATATCTTAACAACCCTGAAACCCAGGATCCTCAAAGCATCGTCATTCACGAAAATTTTTTGCAGTTTCCGTTTTCACTAGGGACCAGCGGGACTCATATCTATTGCGATGACCCTTTACTATGGAGAGCTCCGAATTGCCTGAACTATGATAGCCAAGTGACAGGGTATTGAAAGAGTTGCGCATTTGTTCAAACGTCATCGTAATCGTATTCGCCGCCTAGGAGGATCCCCAGGCTACAAGCGATATACGACGACGTTGGGTAGGCGTGGCCTTTATTTATTTCCGCTGGCGTTATCAAATCATTCAGCGCTACGCGGACCGATTTGCAGCGAGAAGCAGCTGAATTAAATCACCATTTTAGCTCACAGTGGACAACTAAATGCGATTGGATACCGAATCAGAAACAAAGTGCGAGCGGATTCTCGTCAGACGTTGTGGCTGTGCCATTACACCAGAGTCCAAAGTTGACTAATACTGAAAGTGTGTGTGAGTGTGTGCATAGAGGGACATACTGCGCATACACCCCTGCCCTTGGCTAGCTCAGCACACACCCTACTTGGATGTACTGTACGTACCGGACTACGCGCATACCCAAATCCTGCCAAGGTACCTTTACTTTTAGGCTAGGATTAGGCTTGGTAGGGGGTCCCCCTTGTCAATTCTTTTTGACAACCCTTGTTAGCCCCCCGACAGTAAAAAAAAAAAAAAAATTTTGGCCTGGCCGTTGGTTGCTCCAAATATTTCTGTTATTATTAAACGAGACCACTCGCCTCGCCCAACCACCTCCGACGGTTCACCTCTTCTACCAAGTTTGGCTTTTGCCATATCTATTGACTCATCCTACAATCGCATCCACATTATTTGTATTTGATATTCGTTTTCCCCAAACGAATTTTCCACTCTGGACTTTTTAGAACAGTCCAGTCTCTTCCAGCGCCTTCAACATCCGAAGTCGACCACTCATCGACTTTGATGCCCAATCCTCCTGGGGGATATAAACACCAAATCTTGACATGTTCTCTCAAAGAAGACGGTTTTCCTCTCCTCTTCCCACCGACCACATACCAAGGTGACAGGTGTCACTTCCTCCAGCGTCACGACACAGGCGCCATTTAATTCAGAAAAAAAAGAAAACATCGAAACCTAAAAAACCACGACGACATTTTATCATCGAGTCGCATTGGGGGCGACCACACATAAGAGACGTTGAACCAGAAATATTTCGCAATCACGGCGGCAATCATTGCGCAAGACTTCGGCAAGATGAGTTACGGGTCGCCATACGGGACCCCTCTTCGAGGAGGTGATGCGGGTTATTATTACGACGTACAGAGTCCCTCACCAACACCTTCTCCACGTCACTACCCATTTTACCCAGCTCAGACCCCCCAGCGACCGGCTACTCGAGCTCATGGTCGTAACGCTAGCACCGGCGTCCCCGACTTCCGACCGTCGACCGCCTTCTCACCCCGGTATACGAGCACCGGCGAGTATGCTACCGGCCCAAGCCCGAATGTGAGTTCGCGAAAGCACAGTTTCTCAATGGGGTCGCATCACATGCCTAGGCGCGAGCGTCGGAGCTCCTTCTCATACAATCGGGCCTCTCATGGGGACTCCGACGAGGACGAGTTTTTCGAGATCGATGGGGTCAGATGCGTGTTGATTGCGGAGTCCAAGAGTCGCAAGCGCAGAGATTCTTTCTATGCTGCTCCGGGACATGGCACTGATCACTACTACCGTTCGCAGGGCATGCCGTCGTCGTTCTACGAGAAAGAAAGAGCCGATTATCCCCATTTCGAGGAGCCGCCAGCCCGCTCCGCTACGAGGGTCGGCCACCACACCCGTCGTCCCTCCGCCACTACTGTACCTATCCAGCGCCCCGCTACTACACGTCCTTCTAGCTCCCACAAGAAGAAGGCTGCCGTCTCGGGGCAGAAGAAAGCCACCGAGGCCGATGCCCGGAAACACCGGATCCCTCCGGGGTACTCTTTGAAGAACTGGGATCCCGCCGAGGAACCCATCATGTTGCTAGGTAGTGTCTTCGATTCAAACTCTTTAGGAAAGTGGATCTATGATTGGACTGTCCACCACCACGGAGCTTCCACTCCTATTGCTGATGTGGCCGGCGAATTATGGGTTCTTCTTATTCAATTGTCCGGCAAGATAAAGCGTGCCGAGGAAGTTGTACCCGAGGTCCGGACCCAAGCGAATAAGGAGATGATTGAAGATTTTATTGAGTCCGGTGAACGCTTGACGGACAAGCTTCGCGTCTTGCTCAAGAAATGCGAGGCCCCCATGTTGAGATCCTCTAAGGCTAAGGAAGCATCCCACCTCGGACAAAATGCCGGAGTGGAGTTCGTCAGGACCATCTTTGGCCGTGAGAGGGAGCTTGAGCGCACCGAGGCTTTTATGCAGCAAGTCCGTCTTTGGAACTTGCGGTTCGATGCGAACTGTGAAGACATATTGAAGAGGCCCAAACAATAGATACCCGGACCCTTCATTTGTTTTTTCCCCCAGAGTTTACTACCACTACTACTCCCATCCGTTGGACCCAATATTTTCCGAGGATGGACCATAACATATTACTAAAAACCAATTGAAAAAGGACGAAGGATGGCTATAGCCATCGTGTACAAGTAGAAACGGATCTCCTGTTTGGGTCGTATTTCCGGAGTGACACATCGATACCAGGATTTCCCCGTTCAGGGTTTCTTTCATCTGTCATATTACACACGCCGCAGGGCACACCACGCATGCATCGAGGGAAGAAGGGCCTGGATTTTCCTGTCTCGTCTTTCGTTTTTTCCAAGATACCCCGGACGAAGAGAGGAGAATGCGTGTCTATATTGCACACACGCTCACCGCGCAAGCAGTTGACGAGGACACGAGCGATATACCCTTTTGGGACATTATTCGGGAACTCAAAAGTTGGTCTTTGGAGAAGGAATTGTTTTATTTTGCGCCACGGCATTACGGAAGCCGTTGATGGGATATTACACGAGGTTGGCTATGGCCCAACCATATAAAAGAGTTTTAATGGTTATTGTTTTATTGATATTAGTGATGGATGATGGATTCGTTACTCCAGCCGAGTTATGTTTTGCTTCACCAGTTAGCGGCCTGCGCGAATATGAGCGGGCGTTGGGTCGAACAAGGTGGCATTTTGTTTTATTGTTTTTTTTCCCGCAAGGATACAGTTATAGAGGATCCTCTGCGTGTTCTATTAAAGATCGGGATATGGTTGTACTGGCTGGCTGGGAGATACCCCCTTTTCTTCTCATTGTTTATGTAGCTTGAATCTCAGGAAGACAAAAAGACCACTATTATTATTCTTCTTCTACATCTGCCGCCTTTTATCTATGAAAGAGATCCCATCTCGAGTGTGATATGACGATAGGCCTCAGTGCTTGAATAGCAATCAAGTTTCCTCACGCATTTAGTTACCTTGCACATGGTGTTGCACTTATGCATGTTCTTGTCCCGCGGTCCTTTATGTTTGCATGTAGTATGCATATGCTTGCTGCCGAAATCACCTGTGTGTGGGATATGCGGTCTTAGATCAGGACCCGTTTGCTAACGTTGTTGCAGCGAGAGCTCTATCGGTGGGTTATTCTGTCTCTGACTTAAAGAGACATGGATTTAGATGATTAATCGCATATTTTGTGTTGTTGATTACTCATGTATTTTCTTGGACTATCTTCCCACAGCGTATCATCTTGCCAGATATCTCACTCCGTCTTGTCGCCAAGCTAATCATGTTTTCAATTTGACACATTCGGTAAATTTGTGTGCGTAACTTCCTGCAGCCATAATACGTTTCCTGTCTAGGTGCAGGTACCTACCTAAAGGTAGATTGAAGCAGTGTAAAAAGAAAAAAAAGGAAAAAAAAAGTTGAAGGATGGATCCCATGCAGTGTCAGCCTCCGTTCCAATGGCGCAATGCAATGATAATTTATTAATATGAGGTATACATAAGTAAAATCCTTTGAACCCTTTTTCTATTTAGTCTCTTACAATATTTTTTTTTTCTTTTTTTCTTTTTCTTTCCATGTTCTTCGTTTAATTTTGTGTGTGTGCCGACGGGGTCTGTTTGGCCGAGATTGGCCTTCATGCCTAAGCCACTCAACCACGCGGTCTTGGAACACGAACACGAGAATGTTGAGGAAGTTTTATTATTTATTATGTATATACGATTATGCTTGCTTGTTTAGCATAACAAGTAGGTTGAGGAGTTGTTTGATCTGTCCCCGGATTCCTGTATCTAACTCTGACTCTCACGATGATGATGATGATAATTGTTGTTGTTGTTATTATTATTTGGTCATGATATGAGGCCGAGTGCCATGTTAGGGTTCCATCGCTAGGGTTACAGGACGCGGTCCATCCCTAATCCTCCACCGCATTGGCTTTCTTCTAGGGGTTCTTACAGGCTCCTTTAGCGATTGATCACCCCATGTCTTGTTCTGACAGTCTGATATCCAAGTCCGTCCGCGTTCCGTGGTCCAAGCTGCAGCAGTCTGCATGTCAACTTCTTTTTTTTCCTTCCTGGTTACAGTACATACAGGATTAGACTTCCTACTCCCCTCCGTGCGTATAGTATACCAAAGGCTGGCATCATCACGGCCATCGAACCGGCGGGCCACCAGGTGTCTCATTCGTCAGTTCATTTACCCCTCTTTCCGGTCTGTCGATGAGTTATCAATCGAATGAGCGAGTCTACCACTCATCATTCAAGTCACAAAGTGAATTGGTTGTTCCAACTTGTCCTTCCGTCATAGCATTGTTGTTAGGCACCTACGAATTTGAATAGGGCGCCAACGGATCCGCTCATATGCGCACCGCTGCTCGCCCTGGTAGATACTTGCACTCTGTAGGCCCCTTTTAGATTGTGTGGGTGGAAGTGTAGGGGTCATTGTATCGTAAAGTGTACGGCACAGCGACCGGCGACGACATGGGAGGAGGAGCCTTGGAGCGCCTTAGGATTCCGCCGCTGCGAGGTTACAGTACATGAATCCACTGCCACGCGAAGAGCGACAAGGAAAGTTCTCCTTCGTCTCTTGTAACTCTAATGGCAGTTTCTACTTTTCTACTAGGCATCATGAAATACCTACACCTTCTTAGGCTGGTTATACCTATATACATACATACATACTGAGACAATTCGTCCCAATTACCTGTTTGACTGTATATCATCCTCCTGCAAGTGATCGTGTAATCGTAATTGTGGCTAGTGAGCTGATGGATGGGGGTGTGTATTAAACAGCAAAGTATATACCCTTACACTTACACCTATACATACCTCCCCATGTGAGACTCGATGTTTATTTGCGTTGGTTGTGTTCCAGGCCAAAATCACATCAACACATCCCTGGCATGGAAGAATTGGATCATGTATCAGTATTCTTCATTGATCAAAAGTAGGGATAGAATAATAACAGAACCAAGGTTGAGTACCTTGCATACCATATGGGCTTTTCGGACCTATCGGAGGTGGCGGCCGATTATACAGAGCGGATGGACCGCATGTACTTGTAGAAAGGGATACTTTGCAGCTTGCTGAAGGAATGCAGGTTGGTCCTCGTCAAAGTCAAAGTTATTACTCCTTTCTTACAGGCGACCCGAATAAGTAACACAAAAGGCCACCAACCTCGCCAACCTCCCTTATTCCTTGTCAAGCCAGCCGCGTCTGTCGCGGCAGTTGGTCGTTTAGGAATCTCGGCGACTATGTTATTTACGTGCTGATGTGATCAGATCAAATTTTCGTCCATTCACCCGCCCATCCATCTCGCCTTATGTTCCATTTTGGGGTTCTGCCACGAGCTGGGGCACGTTGTATGTCCAATCACAGGTCAGAATCTTCATCCATGTAGTACGTGCTCAGTGCTGAGGCTTCAATAGCCCTTAGCCCTCATTTCCCCCGGCAGATAAGGGGCCAAAGTCCCAAGTAGGATGGTATATAATAGGTAAATTAGGTCGGTCTGTCATGTAAGCAACGGCAAGGCGCCGGCCTCTTTGCGCAGCAGCAGTGCATACATAAAGTCGCATTGGCCCACGACCGAAATAGTATCATTGAATACTACCTCCTACAGTAGCTGGCCGATATGACACAGTTTTCTTATTTCGCTACACTCTTCGAATTGAAGGGAAAGGAAAGGAGTATATTTTTACCCACCTACTTTCTACTTTGTACCACACACCAGACGAATTGAGTCTCGCGCCATCAAGGAGAAGGGGGATGAATGGCACGGGAAATAGGCTCAACGTGAGAAAGGTATGCCTATGCCTTCTTCCCTTCTTCCCTTACATTCGGAAACATACCCTTACTATGTACAATACCTTAGGTATATTTCTCGTAAGGCTTAGTACGCAGCGAGCATATGCGCGGCCCCGTACTCTGTCTAACAGATCGACCGGCTCCCCTCTCCTAATGTCGGACGATAAACAGCCAAGCAAACACATTGATGGTGGCATTTCGTATCTTTGCATCAATTACATACCTAGTTCCCGTCTATAATTCGTAATAGTGGTCTTCTAGCCGGGAACATCGTATACGTGTAAGTTCCTACATATAAATGATCAAGTTCGTGTATTACACAAGATCATCAGGCAGACAGCTGGATAACATTGCCACCACCTACATAGTAGAATCATTCGATAGACAAATTCATTGGCGTGAAGATAGATTGATAGTAGTAACTAGCATTTAGGCACAGTACCTTATCTATGTAATTGACGTGTTATATGTACATGTCTCCTTGCTGCAATTGACGTGGGCAGGCATGGAATTCTTCGACTTCTCGAAGACTTGGCTTAGGGGATACCGGCGTCTATGCAAGTCATACGTAGTAGAGGGGCAGAGACCCCCGCCAACGAAGTAAACATCCTCATCATCATCTGTACGTAGGGTTATAGTCACACTAGCACAGCCTGCACCAAGACACAACGGAAAGTAAAGCGTCTAGGTACCTAACCCAAGATTAATTTATCGACCTATACTCATCCTACTCGCGTATCGTACCAGTCACTTGCTCCCCCCTTTTTCATCTTTGTTCCTTTATCGATAGGGTAGGGAGTTGAGACTTTGCCAACCCAACCTAACCCAACCCCTCTTCTCCCTTCCAAAGCCGAGTCTAGATGTGTAAATCCCATTCATTTTTAGAACCTCATACATATCGCAAAGTCCTTAGGGCACATTAGGGAGCAATGCTATACGTATCGGCCCGAGGTGGAGGTATTGCGAACGGGTGTCCCCCTATCCCCTGAGACTGTCTGTAGGATGAAATGGATGCTATAGATATCCAGGCTGCCTTAGAATCCTAGTTCCCTTGTACGCCCCTAGGGAATACAACCAGGTTACCTATGTCGCATGCAGTGTAATCTCACCTAACTTCGTATGTGTGTCATAGCCCTACTTGCTATCGCGATACTACCAACCCCTCTTCCAGCCCTCACTCTACGGGACAAGTTTAGAATAACCTACATATTACTTCTGCCTCACCTGACCCAGGCATAATGAGGCTACTACTTAGCGGCGCTGCCTAATTTCTAGTAAACTTGATGTCTCTCTCTTCGAACCTGTTCGATAGGTCGTGGGTATATTGAGATATTGTCACGGGCTAGCTGATATCGGATACTCGCAGCGTTTACGTAGCACGCGCCCGGGAACGTGACTCAGTAAGCTGCACTCTCACTACCGCAAATAACAGAACGGAGCTATCTATTAGTTCATTTCTCCTATGACGTGACGGATACCCACGGCGAACCTGTCGCATCGGGAGGTTACGGCGAATACTCGTGGGATTTACTAGTAGGGGGGTTCCTTTTCCCCCATCCTATCTCTTCCTCTTCTGACCCCATCCTCCCTTAGCATAAGCCAGATGTCGTACTTGCATCTTAGAATATACACCCATTTCCCGGGTTATACTAGGTATAAGTCGAGCAATACCACACCCCCAATAATAGCCACAGCTGAAAGGCTGAAGGGCGTGGGACTGCGCCCGAGGCATGCATGTACCGTAACACGTGTTTATTCATGTACAATACCTAATGCCTGTACCACGGGGGCGGTCCCGGCCTTAGCGACTAGCACCGCGTGGCGACTGGGATCCCCTACTCGGCTCCGCGCCGGGCCTACGGCTTCGGAATACGGGCTGCAGGGATCTTATTACTCCATTTGACTATATCCAGGGTTTATATAGTTGCTAATTAGTGGGGGCTATGCTTTATAGTTTCACAATTTGGAATCAAAGTCTATAGCATTTCATAGCCGCACTCTTTATATAGTTACACCTTGTATCTCGTCTTTCCATATAGGTAATATATAATGTAGGGTCGGTCATTATAGTACCACGGGGTGTATTCAATAGTCGAAATAGAGAAACAGCTTTTACACTGTTCCACCTTGATATCGACTACTTACCTCCATCTTTATCTATGCCAACTCAACCTTAGAGATTCGTAGGTGCGCATATGTAGTAACACGTACTGCTCAAAATAGGTATGCAGGGTCTAGAGTATATATTAATTGGCAACGTTGAAAGATCCATACCCCATATAGCGGACCTGCATCATATGCCAACCTGTTGCGTACGATAGTAATACACCTTTTCTAGGCTCTCTGGTGTATAGTATTTTTGATTGACTTTACGGATATCGATTTGACATGTAGTATCTACCTTAGGTAGGTATGTGCGGTCTAGAACTCGAGAAATGTGACTATCGACATGCATGGCGATCTGTTGTCGAGACCTTTGGCTTTGACTTTGTCATTTATTATCTCCCTAACTACACACTTTAGCTATTATTTTCTGCTTGAAAAGAGCCGTCTATACTATGCGACGTATCTCAATGGAATTTGAGATGGTTTAGACTGCTGGACTTGATGTGCTTAGACGCCTCCATGATGCTCACCGATGCCATCGCGCGGCGAGAACCTCCATTAAACGTGGACTCTGGCCCATATATATACATATGCACACCTATTACTAAAACCAGCTAGCTCTCAACATGTTACATTGCCGTCCATTTCAAATTTTGATTGATATTAACTCACTTGATTAGAGTGTGCTACTCTAGTTCTCCTTAATAGATCTACGGCCGCCTCTGCAGAACATTATTCGACTCCGCTCTTCTCAAATGCATTTGATTCTTTCTAGTCACACAAATGGTAGGAAAACATGGAATACTATAAGAAATAGATGGGTTGGGTAATCATAAACCAAAGGTGGAAGCATATGTCGTAGGGTATCTGAAGATTTTTGATCCCACGGGTAACTTTATTAATTTTAGAATCTATCTCCTTCTTCCCTTTTTTAACTAGAACCTTGACTTTATTTAAATCTCTACTACTCGATGGTTTCTGATATTATGTCTCGTAGAAAGGACGCAGTGTTTGGTTACCTACCTACTCAGATAAAATGTAGGGTTAAGGGGTAGGTAGGGAAGGGAACCGCTGGCGAAAGTCTTAGGTACCTAAAATATCCCATCAAATGAACACTGCGTTTTGAACATTGAAAAATAAAAATAAAAATAGAAATCTAAAATGCCTTCACGAAAAAAAGAAGAAAAAAAAAAGTACAAAAAGTTCAGACTTGCCAACCTTCTGTCGAGTTCGAACCAACGAGTTGACCTTCTCGTAGTTCTAGATGCGAGGTAAGCAAGTCCTATGAAAAACCCCTTCGAGGGTAATCGAGGGGTTTTTCTAGCCTTTCATGTCCCTAACCGCTAGACTAAATGGTCATTTTGTTCTAGGGTTACTGATCCAGGGTGATGGAAGAACTTCTTAGTGGGGGTTATAAGTTTACCATGTGTAGGTACATTGTAGATGCCTAGCAACGACGTTGTCATCGAAGTGCGGTGCCTCTCTTACAGCTGGCAGATGCCATTCTATCACCTAGACGCGATATCTTACCTAGCAACGTTTGCTATGTGATAAGTCTTAACATGCATTAGTTGATCCGGATACGGTTGGGTTACCTGGATAGGTACTTGCCCATTTTACGTTACTTTTCAACTGCTTTCACTTATGCAAACCCCCTCGCATAGGGATGTCATCGTGAGATATATGCTACCAGAAGCCAATAGAGCTAGTATAAAGAAGTTTTCCTTAGCCGTCTTTTGTGCCGCCAGAGGGTAGTGTCAAGTCCTTAAGTAAAATTCTGAACAGCCCTATCCTTAATATACGCAAGGTGAATATGCTATGCTTTATTTCTACATCGTTGACGATATCGTCTAATAAGCCGTGAGATTGAACTTAAAAGTGATAGCACCATAGAAGGATTTTTTCCTTTCAGGCTTACTAGGTAAGCTTCGTAGAGCTCTCTACTTATAAATCTATCGCGTATCCTAAATGACGAACGAGCTAGGCAAGTGACACTCTTCAATTTTCATAGCAATAGCCAAGTCGTAAGAGGATAACAAGAGAGGGTAGGCTACAATTTTATCTGATTATCATTATCACAAAGTAGAACAGAGTTATCTCGTACTGCTTTATAAGCCTAGAAGATCAGCAACTTGTAGGATATTTACTAATGAGAGGTGACGAAGGGAGCCGCATGGGTTAGTTGTAATCTATGTTTTCATGGTGTTCAAACCCTTTGGCAGCAAGATATACGGCGGGAGTAACCGATATGATAGATACTAGGGAACGATCCCTAACCTACTAGTACAAGACCGATATCCTCACGATGTACTTAGATTCCGGCGAGGAAACCGATATTATGCATAGTGAGCACATGTACTCTAAAGGTTTTCCGTCGCATAAATATGTAATAATAGGTAAACACGAGAAGACCTCTAGTTAGTTGTTGTGAAAAAGACACTAGTAACCAAGTCGCGTCGTTTCTTATTTGCACGATTTGACACGCCTAATTGCGTCCTTGGGATATTGCGCTTCGGTTAAGAAAGAAAGTATTAAAAATAATCTCCTGATATATACGAAAGCTTTGGTATTTAACATGTTTCTAGGACAGGCCTTATTATGGCTCATAAACTGGTTAATGCGGCCGCGAATGACACATGTGTATTCCTGGGTAGTGTTCGAAGGGTGCAACGAGGCATACCAGACCGGTACTCGGATCCGATGAAGTGCTATTGGGTAGAATTAGAGAACCAAGTTAGAATCCAACGTGCTCTAACATCCACCGGCTGTGACGGCAGTAGGTATGGTAAGCTTGACTGGAACCCCTTAGATATATAGACTAGGAGCTTGTCCTCCTCGAAACTTTCATATATGAGGACTGCCCTATGAATATAAAGGAAAAATGGGGGTTAAGGGATAGATGGTAAGGTTGAAACATTTTGATGACGAGGTACACCACGCGTATTTGTTTCGTGAAGTGATCGTCATCGGCGCTAACTGATTGAATCTTCCCTGACGATAACCGTCAGATCTCGTCTAGGATAAAGCTTGGCTTTCGCGAGGCTATCTTTCAGTCGGAAATTAGCTGATTAGCTGAGACGTTAGCAAGTTGAACTAACGATGAGGCTCGCCAAGAGAACATTGATACTCTTGGCATTGAGATCTCGTTTCATCTCATCGTCAACCCTGGACTTCCACTACGACTCTACAACACAATTCGAGATCAAAGCACTGAAGCACAAGGTACTCAGTCCCCCACTGTAGTAGCTCTATGTAAAACATTTTAAACTTGGTTTGGTCGCGGCACGGCTCCCATAGGAGAGATGTCGATCGCCGACTGTCGTGTGCCTAATTACCGCTTCTGGGTTTCTAGTTAGTTAGTAACATGTATATACTAGTTATTGATCTTTCCCCAAGATCGTCTGTCCCTTTCTTCTTGTTCCAATGTTCCTTGGCGACCAAACACCCATACCTTCAGGACGAGTTGAAGGGTAGTTGCTCATCGACATTCGTGATCCCCCAGTCGTCGAAGTACGATCTCTCCTCCCATCATCGATCGACTATACTACCGCTGTTAGTCCCTGGTGGAACCACGTGTAGTAGTAAAGTATCAATCGAGCCAAGAACACTAAGAGGACGCGAGGCCGGCTTACTCGTCTCGACGACAGTCCATTCGTTTCTTTTCTTTTAGTTTTAACTACACACAATGCCTTACAAGTTCCCCAAGGCTATCAGCGCAGCGCGCGTTGCAACTTTCGTCAGCACTGCTGCTTGGATCCAGGGCACCAGCGCTAGCGAGGTCTCGTTGCCGGAAGAGGCGCTTAATAACTTCCTTCGAAGACACAGGATCATAAATACCTCGAGGAGGCAGGCGTCTGTACCAGAGGAGGAGGAGGAGGAAGAGGAAGAAGAGAGCGAGGGCTCGTCAGATAGCCAATCATCGCCCGACTCATCAGCATCTAGCGATTCCGAGGACGCCGACAAGGAAGATACACCCAGCATACCAGACTCACCTCAAGCTGGCGTCGCCTTCGGCGGCGGAGGACGACCAGCAATCGGGACCACCGAGCCCCCGGGGAGTCTAAGCGTAGGAGCCAGGGTAGCCATCGGCGTGTGGTCAGCAGTAGGCATCATCGCCATACTGGGCCTAATATTTTTCTTCTGTCGACGGCGGAGGAGAGCGAGGATAGCCCAGGAGGAAATCGATGCGCTACGGGACGAAGAACTCGCAAGGTCCCATCAAGAACAAGAACACATGTCCCAAATAAGCATGCCCCTACCCCTACCGCCGCCGCCGCCGCCGCCACCGCCCCCAGCACCTCCAATCATGGAACAAGCACATCTAAGAAGCGGAAGCGACGCCGGCGATGTTGTCCGCCCGCCAAGCGGAGAATGGATGGCGACGCCGCCGTGGCAAGAAGATCCGCCGACGTGGCGGGACTCTCATCCGTGGAGGCAGTCTCAGCCCTCCGTCGCGGGCGGCGCTCTCGCAGGGGGTCCCAGGCCGCTCTTCGCACCGCAGAATACGGGGCCGGGGCCGGGGTACGACGAGCGCGTCGGGGTTACGGGCGAAGCAGAGAACACAACGTTCGCGTATCGGTAGGGATGGTCCCGAGAGAGACGTATGTATGCTCTGGAAGTCGCTAGGACTGCGTTATATATTTCTACCTTCTTGAGCGCTGCTTCTACTTATATTCGCCTTGTGGACTGAGTCCACGGTTAGTTTGTTGCGCCAAATAGTTCGGTCTTAATATCATTTGTTCTTACATGTGGTTTATGTGTGTTGGGTGTTGTTGGCTTGAACTTGAACGTGGACCCTCTACTTACCTCTACCTGATATGCTATTGTGTAAACATACGATGAGACTGACGTTTCTTTATCTAACAATATCACGGGAGAACAACAGCTTATGATATTTCTCAGCACGGCACGAATAGGTTATCACTGATAGTTGCATTATGAAACCTAGATTCAGAGTCGTAGCTCTACACTGGCAGAGTAAAGAGAAGAAGCTAAAACGACGCTCGAAAACAGAAACATTGCCAATTATATAACTTCTAGACTATCTGGCTGGCTAGTACGTCGCGCCGAAGGTATCATAGTAGGGGTTTTTTTCCTTTTTTTTTTTTGAAAGTCCATTACACCGAACTGAGAACGAATTGTGTCCTCTAACGTCATAAGGAGAAGAGAGGCTGCAAGTAATTTGCTCTACCGTAGTAATCGTCCTTACATGATGACTTCATTAGAGACATCCTATCGAGTTTGTTAGCTTAATATCACCTAACGGCTTTAACATTCGAGATAGACTCGTATGACATACCCTCTTCAACTCCTTAAAAGGCAAACAGACACAGTTTTGTACGCGGACTTCGTCACCAACCCCGCATTCCTTTCCTAGAATGGTGATGCTTTGCACCTTCACACCGTTCTTCACGATGCTGGTGGAATGACTTGTGACGGGCGTGGGTGTACCTTCAACACGAGCCCAGGCACCAACTCGGCTATTCCAGCCGACAATGGAGTACAACACGCAAGCGTCATGCTTAATTTCCGCGTCCTCGAGGACAATAGACTCCTTGACTCTTGCACCAGGTCCAATGATGGCTCGGGGTCCGATAGAGACATTAGGTCCAAGCTTAGCAGTGGGGTCAACGTGCGCGGAGGGGTGGATGAAGACAGGCGGTATGACATTAGGAGAAGGCTGCGCAAGTTCGTTCGATCCGGTTTGGTAGGCCTTTTGCAGATATAGCGCATTGGCTGGGACGGCGGATCCAGCCGTCTTGATCTGGCGCCAGAAGTCCTTGGTCTCGTAGACGAAGAATTGCTTGCTGTCGGCCAGATCGCTCAGGATGTCTTGTTCCAGACGAATGACTTCGTTCTTGCGCTCTTCATCTTCGTCGGCCATGAAGCTTGACTCGAGGTTCTCGGATGAGGGATACGATACTAGTCGAGGTCGGTCGGTTCTTCGCTTGATAGCAGTCTTGATGCTCGGAAAGATGGCGTCGACGCTGAACAGGTAGACACCACAGTTGATGAGATTTGATATGTGGCTTTCGGGCTTCTCGACGTAGTGTAGCACACGACGGGAGTGTTGATCGGATACGATGCAACCAAAGTTGGTCGCAGCATCCTCGCTTACTCGTGTGCCTAGAATGACAGCTTCGGCATCCTTGTCGTCGAATAGCTTCTCCATCTCGTTGAGGGGAAAGGAACAGCACACGTCCGAGTTGAGAACGAAGATGCGCTCGGGTCGACCCTTAAGAATAGCATCTCGGAAATGGTATAAGCCACCTGCTGTACCTAGCGCCTGGTATTCTCGTAGGTATTTGATAGGGAGATTGGGGAATTCTGAGGCAGCTTCCTTGATGAAGTCCTTGAATACGGATTCGTCATAGTAGCCAATCATAATAACCTCCTGAATGGAGGGCACTTTCGCAATGGCGGTCAAGCAGTGCCAGATGATGGGATGGCCGGCAACATCGAACAAAGGCTATTATACCGTTTGTTAGTATGGCGAAGACATTGTGCTTTTATAGGGGGCGGCCAATGTGCAGACCTTGGGGACATCGAGCGACAGAGGGCGAAACCGGGTTCCTCTTGAAGGACCACCAACCTATAGTGAACCGTTGTGATTAGTACCAGTTCAGTTTATTTATCGTATAAGAGGTGGGGGGTGTATATACTAGGATGATAGCTTTGGTACCCTTATTGGGACCATTGGCTTTTTCTCGATGCGGAATCTGAAGCATGATGATCGACAAATGTGTATATAGGTAATAATGAGGTGCAGCTTAGATTCAGGTACAAGCTGAATTTGGGTAAAGGAAGTTTGAAGCCTTTGAAATGCAACGACACAAGTTCGCCTAAGATGTTTTTATTTGGCGGGGCAAGGAACCTTAAGTTTAGTTGTTGTTAGTTATTGTTAGTTGTTGTCTAGCCCCCTGACCTGACCTGAATTGACCTTACTTAACCTGAAATTCTTGGGTCCATGCAGCTAACAAGGATTCAATTGATGGCTGTTACACGCTGACATGCGTGCGACATGTGGAGGCACCAATTGGCTTTGGGACCTTCAATGGATTTTGGGGTCCAAATCGGAGGGATTAACTTTACGACCGGTTACTAGGGACGTTAGGTACCTGATACCTACTTCCATACCTTAGATTCGGTACGTAAGGTACTAACATACCTCCTTGCACATAATTCCTTGTATCTAACATCACTGCCGGTAGAAAGGAGATTCGGGCTTAGAATTCTTTGACGTGGCTTTCTTCATGTATCTATAGGTCTCTTCCAGGTGCTCAACCTCAGAACAGCTAAAACTCAATACCGTGGTTGTAAAACCGGTTGATCATGTTGACTCGGGTATGGCGATATACCAACCTCAAAATCAGCCAATGCTCCTATGATTTGATATTGATACATGATCGACCCCGGGCGCTTTTAGACCTACGGGGTCTATGGTCTAAAAAATCTGGCTCATTTATCTTCCGCGCTCTCATCCTTTGCTAGGTCATGCTCCTTTAAGAGCGCAGTGATCTCGTCCGCACTCCAAAGTCGGTGGTAGATCTTACCGTCCTTGGTCTGTCCCACCGTTGCGAACTCGACTAGAAAGTCATGTTAGTATTATCAAATATGGTTTAATTCCTCTGGAGAACTCACTCTTTTCACTGCTTAGCTTGGTCGAGTCCATAGTCTTGCTTAGCACCTTAACTGCCATACCGCAGGCCTCCTTCAATGTGCAATCCTCCTTATAGTCTTGCTTCAACAAGCTTGAGGCGCTTGCATTGTTGGCACCGGCACTCGTTGCCTTCCAGCCGCCGTAGTTGCCGGATGGGTTGCTTAGGTAAAGTTGGAATTGTCGCTGGGGGTCCCATCCCGCATAGATGAATGATACGCCAAACGGTCGTAATCCACCGTGCTGGGTGTATCCTTGCTTAAGATCGCATAGTCTTCGCACCAGCTGTTCGCATGGAATGTCTTCGTTGTAGGTTAGGAGATACCGTTGAGCGGCTTGTCGGGCATAGTTGATGAGGATGTTTGCATCGGCTGTCATGCCTGCAACAGCACAGATCATGTTGCTGTAACCCATTAGCTTCCACAGGTCAACCTAGATATATAGCATATATAGCTGTGATCCCACTACGCACTCGTTCAAGATGTAGAGCTTCTCCGCTGAAGTATCTTGCTCCAATAGCTTCGACGTAACCTTGCGCTCTGCGGCTAAGACGATGCCATCTTTAGCGAGGATTCCGATCGCAGTTCCGGCGTGGGATATAGCTTCGAGCGCATATTCAACCTGATACAAGCGACCTTCAGGCGAGAAGATAGTGGTCTAGTCGAAATGTGAGCATCTGCGCATAGAATGTTATGAGGGATAGGTAGCTCTTGAGCTTACTCGGGAATCGTAGCGGCGAGACATGGTGGGGGAATCTGGCCGTGAAAATCAAGAATAGAAGATTATTCCTAGTCTTGAAAATAGAGGGAGTTGACGAAGGCCAGTTTGTTGTTGGTAGAAGTCGGATTAGTGGTGTTTGTTTTAAATATTGTTATAAGTACCTAATCAAAGTTCCGACGTTGGATGCTACCACGAATTGATTTCTGGGAAAGGCTGGGGCTATTGAACTAAGGCTAACAGCTAGGCAAGAGCTCCGACGCGTACAATGAGAATAACTTGAAGGAAGGCGCACTGACCCCATAAGGCTTAGGTACCTAGGTATTGTACCTTAGGTAGCTTTAGGTAATCAACGTGGGTGCGGCAGGTGCGGCTACCTGACGCCTCAGATTGCTGCTGAAGCTATTGTGGCTAGTGCTTGAGTTAGGTACCTCCTCACCTGGCAGCCTATGTGGGTTGTACCTGCCGTCATAGGCTAACCTTATGTACCTCCTAAGGTACCTAATGTAGGAGATGTGCGGGGAACCTTAGCTGCTGCTTATCAATTAGCTGAGCCACAAGGCTAGATGTTAACTTACTTTACGCTTCCATCACTTCTAGATCCGAGGTCCGTGCACAAATCCCGCCGTCTTTTCATGGGATGTTTTTCCCCATTCAACATCAAAACCTCCACTCGTGACAAACTTCCCCATCGTAATAACTACCGCATCACCATTCGGAGGACCACGTCACGACACGATTTAGCACCTCTCAACACGGCGCGTACTCGGCAGTGTCAATTTCTATACACGCCGGTCAACAATAAGTAGGTGCTATCGCGTCACCAGCAGCTTGATTCTTCGCGACAACATCATTCGGCGGTATCTTATTTAGATTCTCCCTTTTTTTTTATTCACTATCTTGGTCCAGCAAAATACACTCCACCAAGACCTGAAAGGAAAAGGCTAGGTCTCTTAAAGTGCTAGAAGGGCTTGGAGGTCATATTTTTGGTCACTTTGCCCTCGCCTTTTGGCCAGATCATAGATCAACCCAGCTCCGTAGAAGCCATGATTGTCTAAAGAGTTTCTGCTGCCAATTTCTAAAGTCGCAACGTAGACTCAGACTCTCTCGCAACACCAAGCAACTAAATACCTGTACTGCAACTTGACCTGCAATCTTCTGATTTGAGCTTCGCCGATTCTCAATATGTCCGGTAAGCGTACCACCTGTTATAGTTCTGCGCCGAGCTGCTCGGCGCAAACTCTAGCCAACACACGTCAAAGTACTCGTCATGATATACATTCTGTTATTTCCTGTTATTTTAAGTCCAGCTAGCAAGTTAAATCGGTCGCTAACGCGTATATATGTTTCTATAGGCGAACCGGAGCCTCGTCGGTCCGTGCGAGCCACGAAAGGTCAACACACAAAAGCATTTGATCAACTCGAGAACGGACCGGAACCTGTGAAGCGACGCCAGACCAAAAAGAACAGCAAGAAGGCGACTGAGAAGGACGAGAAACAGGACGAGGATGAAGAAATCATACGTTGCATCTGCGGCGCCACTACGCAAGACGACGATGATACGAACGAACCGTGGATTGCATGCGACAAGTGTGGTGCTTGGCAACACAATGTGTGTATGGGCATGAGTGTTTTTACGGAAGATTTAACTAGAGATTATTTCTGCGAACAATGCGCGCCCGAAGATCACAAGGTTACTCTAGAGGCTATGAAGAAAGGAGAGAGGCCGTGGGAGGAGCGCAGACATAAGTATGAAGAAGAGAAGAAGCGCAAAAAAGGGGGTAGGAAAAGCAAGGGAAAGCGTGTAAGCGATCCCAAGGACCGTTCATCGCCGAGTACGTCCACTACGAAGGCGAAGGCATCTCCCACCCCTGATGTGAAAAAGGATGAGAGTACCCCTGAGTCGGCTTCTAAGGTCAAGCGCAAAGCCCGGGATCAGTCACAAGGGCCACATAGCAAGCTTCGCAAGGTTTCAGATGTGCAAGCAGTTCCGTCAGGTCCGGCATATAGTGCTCCGGACGACTTACCCGAGAGCATCCAGAAACTTGAAGACCCTCGACGACAAGCAGCCCTAGGCTTGCAGAAAGCCCTTGACGCGGCCGTCGACCTTACCGAGAAGAGGAAGCTATATACCATCCCTCAAGGCTCGTCCAAAAAGGATATTACTGAACGATTAGCTATCGAGATTGAACGAGCATATCACGACGCTTACCCGAACACCTCTCAAAGTGCATTCAAACTTCGCGCACTGTTCTTTTGTCTGAAGAATAATGTAGAAATTGCTAGCCAGGTCCTGAACAGGACATTGCCGCCTACATCCTTTGTAGTGATGACTGGCGACCAGCTTGCCACCAAAAAGCTGCAGCGTGAGACGGCCGAGATGAAAGCGCGGGCGGAGAAGCAGTCCATTCTAATCACTGAGGATGGCCCACGGGTACGACGAACTCATAAGGGAGAGGAAGTTGTCGAAGAGGATCACCTTACAGTGGAATTAGATGAAGCCCCGTCTAATCTACGCCGAAAGGGTGCCAGAGAAGCGAGTGAGGCCGCTAATGCGAGCAACGACGCGACTGCGTCATCGGCGGATGGAGTAGCGTCTCCTACAAATGCTGCTGGTAGCCGTTCTAGCTCATCCGCGGCGCCTCTCCGGGTCGATACTCAAGTGCACCAGCACTCACCTAGAAAATCAGACTTCGATATTGGTAAAGTCTTCTCAAGCGTGCGATCCCCGTCGGTATCCCATCAGAGACGAGCCTCTACACAAGTTCAGTCGGCTGGTCCCGGTGACGATCCCGAAGTCGACCGATTACTTCAGGAGGATGGAAACGAGTCTCCTCCATACTCACCGACAGAGCACATCGATCCTGATGTCGTGTGGCGCGGTCCCCTTGTTATGACCAATGTGGCCGAGGTTGATACCGTAGCTCGGTATGCTGGTGGAGCTGATCTTAGCAAGGTTAGAAACATTGCATGGAAAGACCTGATACCGCCTCTTCTCACAGTCGCCGGACGTATCGCAGAAGAGAAGGCTATACCGTATCTCTGCGGGTTGAGGTATAACAACCAGGTGGACTTGGTCATTACTAGTCTATCTCCAAGCCACCCCACGGACCCTGCCGCACAAAAGCAATTCTTAGCCGTCATCGAATACTTCCAATCTAAGAAAAGGTATGGAGTTGTTGGCGAGAAGAAGCTTGGCAATGTGAGAGATACCTACTTGGTGCCTGTGGCAGAGGGCGATGGCCCGATTCCAGAACCATTGCAGAACATTGGAGATCACCTCATCCCTCTGAAGCGTTCTGAGCCTATGCTCCTAATGATCTTCGTCTATCGAGATGAGAGACAGGCACAGATCCCGATAGATCAACAGCGATCCGAGTTGCAGAGAACTACTTCGGCAACGCCAACCCAAGGTACGCCAATGCTGAGGCCATCACTCTCTGGCCCATCATGGTCACCCGCAACACCCCAGGGGTCCTTCGGTACCTCGGCCTTGCCTCAGCCACAATACAGTCAAACGCCGATTCCGCCTCCCAAGATTCCAGGCCATCCGACACCAGTAGTGCAGCCGCGTCAGGCACCGCCTGCAACAGCACCGCAAGTCGCACAAGACCCTATGGTTCCGGCTTTACGAGCTGCGCAGGCCGAAGGCGAGATGAAGGCTCGCCAAGTTCTTGGTCCCCTATTTTCCAGTTCGACCGTTGCCTTCCTACTTCCTCATGCCGCTCGCATGAAAGAGGGCGAATGGACTGCTGTTCGTAGAGCTCTAGAGCGCGACCCACGAGCCCGTGATGATTTACAACTTCTGAGCAAGCTTCTGACTGAAGAGGGCAACAATCACCGTAAGAACGGTCCGCAGCCCAACCCAGTTCCGTCTGATGTCGCCCAGACCACGCTTGCCGCAACGATTGAAGGTTCGGCGCCAGCGGTCCAGCCCAATACATGATTCTTCTCATTCGCCGATTCACCGATCAAAACGACAGTCCTATTCGAATAAATATATATTCCAATCCTCGATGGTCAGAATTGGATCGTTGTGGTTAACGAGCCCTTGGTATGGACTACGAGCTCTTGAGACGGTTTGATTCTTGAAGGCGTGCCCGCTCAACGCTGGGCTCGCATAGCACGCTATAATGATTGGCCTGGAGAGGAAGCTATGGCACCCCTGAGCAAACAATTCCAATCATAATAGACACAACTCATCTTTCCAACTTTTACTTGCTTCACTTGCTCTGTTCCATTCCGTTCTAAGTTTTATGCTGGTCTACATTGAGATCCTACCCAACGTCTTGATAAGACAACATCCAAGACCCGTAAAGGTTATGCTCTCAAGGTAACCTGCACACGCTCAACGATACCAGATCCATAAAGTCTGAACGGTCTTTGCACATTTCGCACATTTCGACTAGGAGCCGGGTTGAATTGTGACTCATCGACCTTCCCTAGGGTCGACTGTAATTATCAAACACCATCCATTGGCCCTTGCCAGCCATTTCAATCAATGTACAGAGCCTCGGTAATTCTACTCAACGCAGATACGTGTCAGCATAGTCATCATCCCATGAAGATGACGAGTCAACAAAAAAAACACGTGTAGGGTCTAACGCTAGTCTTTTAGCAATCACCAAGGTCAGTTTCAAGACTAACTAGCATGTATTGTCTTGTATAAGGACAAGGGCTAACATTCTGGCAGATTACTTTGGCATCTCTGCGGCGTTCCGGACGCCAATTTCTTCTTAATTCAATATCAAGTTTTGCACTTGGCGAACACTTCTGTTGGTTAAGAGAGTTAAGGGGAATATGAAAATGTTGCTATAGCTTAATGTCTCTTCGCATAACTGGCCCTGTCCTGTAGCATTTCAGGTGTACTTTACGGAAAAAGGAGAAAAAGGAGAAAAAGGAGAAAAAGAAGAAAAAGAAAAAAAAATACGTTTGTTTCCTCATGAACATTTATGATCCAGCCCGATGATAGTTGATTCAAGTTTCGTAGCCATGGTCGTTGAATGGGAATACTACGCCGTCATGGGTTGGTTAATCATAATATGAACTTTTAGGCCTGATAACGTTGGCGAGACAAGTTGAGTTGCATGCTATAAGTAAGCTAACCGCGACTATCGTATTAGCTGCTGTAGTTCTTCGGAAAGCCCGTGGGGTTCTCTATAATGCCATGCATGATGCATGACCCGACGTGAAACGTAACCTCTAGAGGATCCCATCGGGCAGCATGTTCATCTCGGGGATTGGACTTCCCCGTATTACCCCAGGCCCAGGCCAGCGCTTCGTCATCCGTCTACCCCTTACGTGCCCGAACTATATTTCCATCTCACGTATGTAAGTATGCATTTATGCATGTATGCATGTGGTGTATGTGTGTATGTATGTACGTACGTACGTGTCTCCTCCCGTCATTGGAAGGGTATCTGGCAGATGCGGCTGTTATCGTCGGCGTAGTTAGACCAGACCAAGCTCTCGCTCGTGCTGGCGTTGGTAATGTCGACGCTCCACCACCAAGTCTCGATGATGGGCGAGTTCAGGGGCCCCGCGATCTCGAAGATGACGGCTTGGATGGCCGCAGGGCCAAGCTTGTAGCCTGCTGGAACGACGAGCCCGGCGATGGACGTGTTACCACTCACGGAGCCGTCTCCTACTGCTTCTGTTTGAGGCATTTAGCGCACGTACCTAGGTATATGACTGGTAGGTGTGTTTCTCCTAGGCTGCAGCTGTGTCTTGCTTGCCTTGCTTCTCGGCCCTGCTATGGAGTTGGCTGGGGAATTATCCTTGCTCACTTGTGTTTTTTTTTTTTTGCCAGCTCACTCTCGTAGCTACCCTGGACCTGGACCCTGTACCTGGAGTTAGGCTGAGAGGGATATTATTTTACTCACTCTGGAGATCTACAATCCCGTTGGCCAGCAGGACAGGCCCCAAGCTCCCGGGGCGCGGTGCCACGGACCACTCCTCGTCGTAGCGCTCGATGCCCCAGAGCATGGTGTACTGTAGCGGGATGCCCGCCAGCTGCTCGATGGTGGCATTGAACATATCGCCCGGTTTGATAGCGTCCGGGATACCGATACGGTAGAGCCGCGCCTCGGCTATTCCAGCGGCGGCCAGCGCAGTCGCTATAGCGCAAAAGAACAACAACCTCATCTTGTCAAGGTTCTTGGTGATGGTGGTACACTTGACTATTTAGCGATTTTGCCACCTCCGCCTTGTCAGCTTGTCTAATGCTGACGACGATCACTGGGTCTAGTTTATGTAGTGTAGCTGCCCGACCGCATTTAGCGCGGGCGTGGGTTTCATCTTGATATTTATGGCCTTGTGGTACTTATTGAGCCTTGCTCGGGCTCGAAGAGAAGGGTCTAGATAGTGTAGATAGGGGGAGATTTTCGGGTGCGACTGTTTGCGATCTACGTATCATACGAGCTTACCTATGGGGATGACCTCGCGGTCTAGAAGCCTACCTGTTTATCTTGGATCTGCGAATTTCGCCATAAAGATCGGCTCGTGGAGGCGGCTCATTGTGTCTAAGCGTATGGTTTGGTAGTACCTCTTAATTAAGAGATTCCGCCGTAGTCCCTGAAGTTGCCACCCACTGCTATTCAGGCTGTAGGAGTCGGATTTCTCCTATTGGCGAGACATTAGTTTACGGTGCGATCCGAAGTTAGGGCACCCGGCACTTGATACGCTACACTACTTTGGCATCGAGTTTTTCCAATCTTGGTTATTGATGTAAAGTGACATAGTCTAACAAACACTTTAACAAGTAATTGTTTGATAATACGTTACATAGATCTGGCTACCCAAACTTCGCATATTGGGCTACTAATGAGGAAAAGAAGGAGGGAAAAAAAACCAAACCCTTGTTGAAACTGGCCTGTTGGCAAGCTGGCAAGCTGAGTCGAGGTGATGAATGAAACCCCTAACACGGTTACTACCGCATTTGGTTGTTGATAGGACCTATGATTGGTTTAATACAAGAGTATCTGGGGAGTATCTGGGTACTTGAAGATACCTACAAGTACCACCAACCACGCCCAAGAGCCCAGTCGTTACAGTCGTGTACTTCTAGAACCGTGGAGAAAGTCTTTGTTTACCGAGGCACCAATAAAATGAAATATCACAACTTCGTTTGCTTTCCATTGCCACAGAAAGATGCCACAGAAAGAATTTTTATTTTTTTTATTTGGACAATTTGATAATATTGAATTGAATTAATAGAATCCACGAATTACGATTGCTGAGTTTCTAATTGCAACCCTTCCATGTTCCCCCTTCGAGCTCGTGCTCATTGTCTAGACCGGATACATGATGACCTGATAACAACAAGACATGACTTTGACGTCCGACAACCTTACACTAGCAGTACACGTCGTGAGGGCGAATTAACATGATATGAGGTCCTCCCTTGTTTCCTTTTCCCGGTAAACCCCATTCTCATGTTCCATTTTCGCTTTCCCTCCCGATCCATCCCCCCCCTTCCTTTGATGACGATGATGATATGTAGAAATGTAGAATAACAAGTAACAAGTAACAAGTAGAAAAACATGTAATAATAGGATAATGATGATGATGAACAAAGGAAAAAGAAGTAAATGCTATGATGGCGGCGTAGTCGTGAGAAATATGGCTACAATCCGCTTGACAGTTTCGAACAATCTATGGCTTGTTCAATCCCCCTCGTACATGTTGATGTTGATGATGATGATGATGACAGCGTTTGAAATAATACAGCTGACAGCCTCTCAACAAACTAAAATATTCGAGCTCTTCCTCTGCTCGTCCGCGCCTTTTGTGTATCCCGTAGTTAATAACCCATACCCCTTGTAGATCCGCGACGGCGACGGAATCGTTCTGCTCGTAGGCAAGTAGCGTCAGTCTTGGCCGAAAGATCTCTCTCGAATTCTCATATCCCTCCGCTCTATCGTTTCCCGTTGGACTCATATTGTCGTAGTATTATTTTCGTCATGATGGTCGTCATGATGGTAATGGTATTGGTATTGGTGTTTGTTGTTGTTGTTGACGTGTGATTTTCTCTATCCCGGAACCTCGATTATTATTTGAGTGGACTCGCACTCTCTCTCTCTCTCTTGGCGTGACCAGCAGCCTGTAATTTATAGTGGCGACTTATCTCTCTTCTTGAGTGTGTCGCGCGACATGACGAGTATGTTGCCGTCCTTGTCCGAGGGGTTGCGGACGAAGATTAGGCTGTTTGATGGTGAGCGGCTCTGACGCTTGTTGTTGCGCGACTTGGATCGGTCCTTAGACCTGTCTTTGTCGTGCAGCTTGTCTTGTAGCTTGCTCACGAGTGATTGTAGGTCGATGATTTGGGCTGTAGACGATGCCTGTGTCGCAGTGGCTGTAGAGAGTTGCATGTTCGCCATATCGAGCCGCATAGTCAATGACTGCACTTGCTCGACCAGGGCGGGTACCTTGTCCGCTTCGGCCTGGAGATCCTTGATCTTGCCTTCGAGGTCCGTCTTCTCCTGTGTTAGAGCAGCGACCTTATCAGCTTCGGCCTGGAGGTCTTTAGATTTCGCCTCCAACTTGGCCTCGAGATCGGTCTTCTCTTGAGCTAGCGCGGGAATCTTGCTGGCTTCGGTCTGGAGGTCGTTCGTCTTGGTCTGGAGGTCGTTTGTCTTGACCTCCAGGTCCGATTTCTCCTGCTCGAGCGCGGAGACCTTGCCTTCAAGTTCCTTCACGCTCCCTTCAAGAGTCGCCTTCTCCTCGTGAAGCTTGGTAAGGCCTGAGCCCTCTTCTAGGTTCTTAGCGACAGCGGCGATCTTGTCCTTCTCTTCTTGCAGCAGCTTGGCAGCTTCTTGGTGCTTTTCGACATCAGCTTCAAGTCCCTTGGACCGCTCTTCGAGTCCCTTGGAGCGTTCCTCGCAACCTGCGTGTTCCCGACGGAGCTTCTCAAGGTCGTCGTAAACTTTTCCGAGATCAGCGGTGCGGATGATCAGCTGCTCTTTCTCCGACTCGAGTGTCTTGTTATGCTCTCGCACTAGGGTGAGGTCGTTCTCGACGTTGATTAAATTAGCCCGGACGTTCACCAGCTCTGCGTCAAGCCGTAGTCGCTCTGATGCAAGGGAGATGTTAGCATCCTTGGATCCGGCAACCTCGGTGACTAGGCTGTCAATTCTCGACTGCTTTTCGTCAATTAACGTCTTGAAGTCCAGAGCTTGCTTGTCGAGCTCCTGCTTAGAGAATTCCAGTTGTTTTCCTAGGTCATCCTTGGTGGCTTCCAGTTGTTTCTCAAGGTCGCCCTTGGTCGTCTCAAGCTCGCTCTTGGTCGTCTCAAGCTGCTTTTCGAAATCTTCCTTGGTCGTTGCGAGTTGCTTCTCAAGGTCGTCTCGTGCCGTCTTGGCAGCGTCGAGCTGGTCCTGAAGTTCTTTCTTCTCGGACTGTGCAGTCTCAAGTTGCTTCTCGACATCTTCCCTGCTGGCCTTCACTGACTCGATGTCCTTCTCGAGAGATTGCTTGTCGGACTCCAGCGATGCGACGTGTACCCTAAGAGACTCGATATCTTGCTCGAAGCATCTGACCTTCTCCTCAAGGGCAGCTCTCTCGCCTCGAAGGTCCTCAACTCGGTTGTAAAGCTTCTGGTTATCCTTGTCGAGCGCTGCATTCTCCTCTCTGACGGGTCCGCTGTTGGCCTCGAGAGATTTAATCTTGGATAAGAATCTAGAAGCATCCGCCCGAGCCTGGTCTCTCTCCGAGGTTAACTCCTTGACTTCGCAGTCCAGTTCCCTGAGTTCCTTGTTCAAATCTTTGATCTCTGTGTTCAAATCTTTGACTTCGGTGGTCAGCTCTTTGATATCCTTGTTGCGAGCGCCCATTTGCCTTTCGAAGCTTGCTGTGGTGTGCTCCAGGGTTTCGATATCACGTCTGAGTGCGTCTTCCTGTTCTCTTTGGGCGGCATCTCGCACTGCCAGTTCCCGCTCGAGCTCGACGACCTGCTGCTCAAACCTGTCACGCATGTGCTTGAAATTGTCTCGTTCCCTCTCTGCTTCTATTAACATGCCATGCTGTAGTTGATAGTTATTGCGGAATTCGTCAGAAATCTGCCGTTGCTCCTCAAGGTCTCGTAAGATAAGCTCCTTTGAGTTGCGCTCGATGTTCAGGGCGCGCACGATTTCCTTGTTCTCCTGTCCCCTAGTAGATAGTTGTACAGAAACTTCATCCAGGTCCCTGCTTAGTCTACTCCGTTCTTGTCGGAGGGTGTCGGTTTCTGACTCTAGTTGCTCAAGCTTGTACGCGAGGTCGTTGTCTGGTTTCCGAGCAAGCTGAAGTTCCTGAGACTGCGAGGGGGCCTGCTGCGGCTTTGGTGGGACGAATTGAATGTGCACCGTCCTCTTTTTCTCCGGGACGGGAGGTTTGGATACTTCCGAAGGCGTCCTAGATCGCGTCCGCGTCCTGGATCTGTTTGAAACTGCTGATGGCACGTGGCGTACATGTTTAACTTGGGTCGAGGGTTTTGAGGGCTTAGGGGGAACACTAGAATCTGATATGACGCTAGTAGCTTGTGTGTTGACAGAGAGCTCTGACGATGCCGATTGGGAGTCGGTCTCATAGGATGTATATCTGTCACTGTCCGAGTGGTATGTTGGTGAGGGGGGTCCCGAAGGCGTGTACATTGGTTGTTCTGGCCTCGAGACTCTGTAAAAGCGTGCAGCAAGGGGATCTTGCGGCCGCGCGGGTGGTGTTGGGTTCTTTAGGATTCCTCTTAGAGGACCTGTTTGTGATGTTGTTGTTGTGACTGCCCGGCTATGGGTTGTCTCTGCTTCGGATGCGGCCGGCCGTGATCTTGACCGGGGCCGCTCGGTGATTGCTGGGGCTGGGGTTGGGAATCCGCCGGGCATGGCGAATGCCCGCTCCACGGGTCGGCTTGTTCGCACGTCCATCTTAATTCTTCTTCCTCTTCAGACTTCTTCTTCTTATTCTTCTTATCTCTCTTCTCCTTTCAGTATGTCGTATTCTGGGTGGAATTGGTAAGTTAGAGTTGTTATCAAGTGTGCCCAGGTCAGTTCGGCTAGTGTGTCTTCTTGAATTGGAGTTGAAGTGGTGAGGTGCTGGCTCATTTCGGTGGGCTTGGTCAGGTTTTTGTTGTCTGGGAATTACGAGACAAGGTGAGGCAAACGGATGAAGACGTAGCACACGGGAGGGTTTTTGTCGACTTTCCTAAGTCAGGATCAGGAGACCCCAAAGGGAAGGCTGACGGGTACTTGAATAATAAACTGGATTTTCCACGGTGGGCGTACGGAACGAATGGGGACTATACCTACATACATACATACCTTCATGCAATACCTCAATACCTGAATGGGTGTGAGGATGACCAAAGACTACAAAAGACTACACTAGTTGCAGTTGGCATGTCTGCACAACCGCGTGCTTTGCAGGGATATCGTCCCCGGGCCCATCTGCAAGGGAATTTGCTGTACCTACCTGACTCACCGCGAGGCGCCCAATGGGTATCCGGAACGTTGCCCAACGGGGGGCCAACGGGGTGCCGTAGCAGTGCCCGTAGTAAAAAAAAGTAGAGAAAGTACAGGAAGTACAGGAAGTACAGAAAGTAGACACCGTAGCCTAAGGGCGTACACAGTAGAATACAATGTTGTACCTGGTGAACCTGATGAACCTGATGAAGAGGCCCGGAGGGGGGGCAGCCTGGGAGGAAGAGGTTGGAACTTGGAAAATCGTTGGATCAGATGCTCAAGTGCCCAATGTCTCCCATATCAGGTTGGGCACTCATGCATCCGTGTAAGATGATTGGTTTAAAACCCAGATGACCCTCTAAATACTACCCCACCCCCTTTATTCGGCTATCATTTGCCACCTTTTGCCAAGTCACAAGAATTCATAAAATTACTGACCACTCCCCATCTCCATCACCCTAGGTGCGAGACAAAATCGTACGCAATTCCTTCGTTGGCCTAATGACGTCTTTAGGTCTCTTCTGCCCTACAGTATTTCCACTATTGACGCGAATATTGACGCGAGGCTGGCCGACGGCTATGCATTAAGCGAGAGCCCAGTCTAATGTTCCTTTAATGTTTTCTTCACACAAATTACGGAACATACGGAACATTGCAGAGCATTGGCGGCACATTGGCACATTGGCACATTAGCATATTGGCATAGGTATATATGAAGATATATGGGAATTATACCGGATTGGACACTGCTGCATCCTCATCATCCAACCAGCTGTCGACGGAGTCAGTTGAGCCACATAGACCCGTCTCGAGTTTTATTTTCAGTCCGCCACGCCCCCATCTGGCCCTTACTGAGCTACTGAGTCGTCAATTGTGTTGTCAAAGTACCTAATGTACGCGTCTAGATTTGGTCTCGCCAGTGGACAATGGAACGGATCGGCCGCCTATCGCCCCTGATAGTCCGATTAGGATCTCTATTTAGGTAGGTTATAGGTAGGTTAGTTTATTAGTTTCTAGATTCGTACGGTGGGCGTCTCTTAACGTAGCGACTAATACGCAAGAAAGATGGCGATTAGGCGACTAGGCGACTAACGACGCCGGTAGATGCCTACTCTGGTGTGGTGAGTTGAGTGCTAATGCCAGTGCTATCTCTAGTGTAGACTCCATCTATTAGTCCCCATCTATTGGTCCCATCTATTAGTCCCATCTCTTATTAGTCCCCATCTTCAACAAGTGGCTTGTATGTATGTAGCATACAATACTGGGCAAAAGTATACCGGGGTCACTTTGTGAAATCTGCACGGTGCTTCATATGATACCTAGGTATTCCATAATGATAGCTATGATACGTTAGTTATGTACGGGCAGACGGGTTAATTACGAAACGATAAAAATATCCTTCTATGTAAACTAAATCCTTGAGGAGTCTCTCGATCGGGAGCGACGGTTATACAGGTAACACAATCGGCACAATCGTGTCTCGCGAATGCGTAAATACGTAGGTGTGCATCCTAAGTCTTATTTTTCTAACGCCGCTTACCTAGCGAAGCAGGTCTCGCGAAGCAGGTCTCGAATGTCTGAGCCGAGTGTGCGAAAATACACTACGATAGACCGGTAGACCGATAGACAACCACATCGAAGATCTAAGGGTCCGATCATCGTGTACCATTTATCGCGTATTCTGTACGAAGTACCGAGCATAATTTTCTTAAGATCCGGTCACTTGGGTACATTACTCCATTACTCGCGTTCATTATTTTGATTTTCCTAATGGTTCTTCTTAATGATTTTCTCATAAACATTGTTCCCGATAGGTTGTGGCGCCGGCACACTGCATAAAACAGTGCGTGCGTAAGTGGAGTTTTGTAAATCATACAGTTCATACCAGATTTATTGAATCGTTGTTATGCCGTAGTGTAGAAAGGAGGGGGGGGATCCTCTCTGCCTCTCCTCTAACTCTTCTACTCCTCTACTCCTCTACTTCTGCACTGTGCGGTATAGATTGCGGTATATGTTGCGGTATGTCGCGGTATCTTGCGGTATATAGGTTTAACATCTTAAACTCCTACTCTTCCTTACTATTCCCAGTATATTCCTGGTGTATTCCTGGTATATTCCCAGTATACACATCAGCTTGCATCGCAGTAGTACCTACATGATATGTACCTACTAACCATCGTTATGCTAACTTAAACCAATACAATTTGGTTTCCAAGGGGCTCGATTGTCGATAGTATGTATCCGTTCCTGCACGTGATCCATTCTCATGTAATTAACATATGTCGTATGTCGTATGTCGTCTATCGTATGTGTATATACCTCTAGTTATACTGTAACCTACTATAGGTACCTAGGTAGGTGCTTACATACAGGTCATTTACATGTGTGAACCCCTTTTCCCCGCGAAGACGCGTTGTATCACCTTGGGCTCCAAGGGAGGCTGGGAAAGATGAAGAAAAAAAAAAGGACAATATAATTAATGCTGGTATCCTTGCCTGTCAATGATAGCCGTCAATGAAGCGAGCGCCTAGAATCGAATGGCCGAAGATACGTCATTAATAGTTCAGGGCTTGAAATCAAGCATCAAGCACTTCGTTTTGGAAACCCGAACGCCTGTCAAACAATGGAGGAACATTAGCGTGATCAAGGCAATCGAGCTTTCGGTATCCATTACCTTGGCTGCCTTGCTAGGATTATGCCCATAGACCCATCTACAGGTCCATATACAAGGTATCCATCCACAGGTCTCCATCCCATAGCCCATGGCGCATAGCGCCCGTGCCCCGATGAAAAACGCGGGGAATAAAACCATTTCCAACCACAGTACGGCGCTGTCCGCGGCGGCATCCTCCTTCCCAATCATAGACGCGTAGTGACATTACAAGCCGGATTTATTGGCTATCCATAGGTCTCGTGAGTCTTCGAACCGCGGACCGACAAAAGCAACCATCCTGCCATCTAATTCCACTCCTGCGCCAAGAGACAATACATAGTGTACTGACATAGAACTCTTCTCCTCTCCTCTGCTTTTAATGGCACCCCTGCAGCCTGCTGCTGCTCTGCCGACCCAAACGCAAGCCAGACCGGAGCCGAAGAAGAGGGTTTTTAGGGTAGAGCCCTCGACATACGAAGGTAAGGCACCTCGCCCTTGAAGAAGACCTCGCCCTCACCGCTCATGCCGAAGCGCTGATAAAAACCCAGGGCGCTCTGTCGAGCGTCGCACCAGATACTCGTGGCACCTTTTCTAGCGGCCGCCTCGATGGTGTAGCTCAACAGGGCGGACCCCACGCCTTTGCCCTGCCACAGCTGCGCGGTGGCGAATTTGCGAAACCGTGCCGCGCCACTACCATCATCGAATAGCGAGATGATGCTCACTAATAGTTCTCCGGAATATTGTTTACCGTCGCGGCTGTCGCAGCTGTCTTCGCCATTATTGTTGGCGTCGCTGTTATCGCCATTGGAGACGAATGCTCCGAAATGCTGACCGAAGATGTCGTCGGGTAGCTGCACGTAAGTCAACGGCTTGTTGGGCCAAAGCACTGCCTGTCGTAGGGCGTAAGTATCTTTCGCTGAGATAGGTCTTATAGATATGAGTGGTTGCTGCTGTGTGATGGTAGCAGGAATTATGTGACGAGTCTCCATGTTGGGTTGATGATATATGGTTGGTTCCAAAGAATCTCAAAACCAAAAGAGTGTTTTTTTGTTTTTCTCTCACGAATTATTATTTTACTCGTTCGTTGTGAGATGATGATGAGTCAGACGAGCCTTGATTAAGCGGAGACTCTCATACACATTTCACACTTCACACTAACAGCCCGTAGCATCGTGAGATAGGATAGGTGAGAGAGGATAAGTAGAATATACCTACCTAAGGCTTAGTCGAGGCTCTGCTAACACCTGCCAATTCATATTCAGACATCTGGTCCCACACAGCATCTTCGCTGACAGCTGCTGACAAGATCCTATATGCCTAGCCCGTATATAAGCCCGGATATAGCTTACTCACTTAACTCGCTCCTTAATATTCATTATATTAATTATACTAATAGTACTAATAAGGGGGTAGGTATAAACAGCATAAAAAATCAATATACTACTGCACCTGTGGCTGTGAGTCACGACTCACCAGCTCACGAGCCCCCTTTAAGAAGAATACGAACTTATGATATGAATTTTGGAACTATATCCCCATAAATTATGTAGGCCGCGTAGACCGTGAATTGCTAAACTAGACTGCCTCTAATCGTGGTTCACTTATATAATATTGAGGCTCAACGCATATTACACGTTGGAAGAAACCAACAAAGTGGAAAGACAGGTAGATAGTCGAGCCACCGCAGACTGCCGCAGGCCACCGCACAAGTGTGGCTCGTGCCCCTGTGACAGTTAAGAAGGGTAGTATCTCGTAGTGCAGTTCGAACCATAGTTGAACTCGAATCCTGGAACTTGGAAAAGATGAATTGGCAGATTTCCGGATTCATGGCGCTCGGGTATACACGCACTCCGTGCCGAATTCGTTCTAGAACATGTCTTTACATAGAACGGTCGTGCTCAGGGCTGGCTCCTCCCGGATGCGTTCCCATCGGCCAAGTTCTTAGTGCTGGTGCCATTCTGGAGCCCCTCTTTCCACGTCTGCCGCTCCGTTTTTGATACTCCGGGGCCCTCGTATACACCGCCGTATGGCCCCGTCGCCCAGCTCTTGCCTTCTCTGGCGGCCTGCGTCGTGCGCTCTCCTCCTTGCTTACTAGTGTATCTGCGCTGATACCACTTGCCGTACACGAGAAGGTAGTATAGCCGAAAACAGAAAAACGCAAACTTGTCGTGTTCAAGATCCTCGGGATATTCCGCCCCAAGGTCTACAGCGGCAGCGATTCCAGACATGACAGCAGTTTCGTGAGCGTTAACCAGAGTCCATGCTGCCGCATAGCGGGTATGGTTCTTCGCTTGAAGAAACATCATCCACGGTACGACCAAGAGATAGTGTGTATAGCTGTGGCAAAGCTGATGCCACCAGTCTTTTCGAATGATCTTTTCCTCTCTGATCTCATGGTCCGTCCATAGATTCCTATCGCGGTCTTTGTTGAGATAGATGGTCTGGAACACATGCTGCTCAAAGGGAACCTTATCCGGGAATTGGCACTGGTAGTTCGTCGTATCGAAGCACATCTCCAGTTTCGACTGATCCTCCGGGTACATCTTGATATAATACATCGGTCTGAAGTTACTCACCGCAAAATCAAGACGCGACGTTTGCCCCACACCGTTCACCTTAGCAACCGCTAAGTCTTGTCGGTAGAAGTTCTCATAGTGCTTCTTCATATAGTCTGAGTCGTTGTGAGTGATGGTAATGTCATCACTAAATTTGGCTGACCCTAGTACCTTTTTCTCCCTCCAGGTCGCTGTTCGACCCAAGACTTTCTTCGCCGTGTCAGCGAGGCAACACATAACAATCTCATCATATACCTCCCCGGTAACTGGAGCGTACGGATCGCCCCCAGTGGGGTTATGCCTGTCGGGTACAGGCGTCCGTGCTTTTAGTTCGACAATGACCCCGCGATTATTCCTCTGGACGATCTCGGTGAGCTCTGTGGACAAGCGAACAATTACGCCACGCGCGATTAGATCCTTCATCCAAGCGCCGTAAAATTCGGAGAAATTGGGGAAGACAATCATCGGGGGTCTGTTATTGACGAAGGCGTTTTTATCAGGAGCATACCACATTCCGTACGTTGGCGACGTAAAGAGTCTCTCAAACATAATGGTAGGAACTTCTGGGGTACCATTCCCCGTTCCTAGAAATAAGGCAGTCATGGGTAGAGCAATTGTGTTGGTGAATTCCTCAGAGAACCTGAATAGTTTGAGGACAAGCTTCAGAGGAAGTAAGGCAAAGAAGACTTCGAACCAACGTATTATTTTTAACACTGTTGGTAGCCGCCTAACTTCCTTCTCGTGGCAGGCCAGTAGGCGTGTTGGAAATACATTAGTCCAAAAAGTTTCGTCTTTGCCGAATGAGACCTGGAGATTCACGGGATCGGCATGGAAGCCCTGTCGATGAAACATAGTCACCGTGTGGTGAAAGATATAAGAGCCACCCTGTATTATCTTCTGTCAATAACCAAAGCTGCTTAGAGTCTTAAAAATCCATACTTGAACACCTTGATTACACCATGATGCCCCATGACGTTCCTTGTCCAGAGGAATAGAGAATGCTTGCCCGCCACAATAATCGACGGCGTCTATCAGCGTGACATGGAACTTATCGGGATGTTGCGACAGGTGATATGCTGTAGACATGCTAGATTATTTACATTAGATTAATGAACTGGTATGGAAACTTGGATAAACCATACCCGGCAGCGCCAGCGCCAACAACTAGAACCCGCTTGCGCCCATCTGAGGTTGTGCCTCCATTCTGATCCATAGTGTCTATACTTTGTTTAATGCAAAGCTTAAAGGTGTCGCTAGTTATTTGTGTCTAGCATGATGTGTTGACTCTATCACTTACCTCGTTAATAAATACCATTGTCTCATCTACCTAAAGCACTAAGCCTATATTGCCTTTGAGCTTGATGATGAGCACACACCAAATCACGACGTCATGGATTTTTTAAGGGACGTTACACGCTACTGGTAGGAAATAGGTTAGCCACTGGCAACAGCTAATTACCATAGTTTCTTTATTTGTTTGAATTTGAATGGGAGTAAAAAAATATCTGAGACATGTTGATGTGCATCAAACCATTGTGGTTAAGCTTAACTAGATAGCCCAAGGAACTTATTTCTTAGTTAAAAGATGTCCTGTTTTGCTCGTTCAAAACATTATTTGCCTCTTCCCCAAGTTGCCTCTCGAGTCTATACCTGCTAGGCGTGGACTGAGAGGAAAGCCTGGACTGCAAATTAAGGATAAGGCCTCTTTCTCTAAAAGGCTCTTGGACAAGGAATGTTCTTGTAGGGCTTGTGACCAAGACTTTGACGACAGCTTGGGTAGCCTCTGAGACCGATATATCCAAAATGGTGGTCAGGGTATGCCCAAAGTCCAACTCAAACTCCTTCCGCTCGTAGTACTCTGCTCCGTCAATGAACCAGAAAACAATGACATCGTTAGGCAATTGGGCGACTAGCCACCTTAATAACTGGCTCAGCTCAAGGATGTCATCATGCTTGACGTGATCTTCATTCATGATACCCGCCAGCATTTTCGTATCGATATCGTACTGGCAGAGAATTTGGCATATGAAAACTTTGAGCATTGTAAGTCCCCCCGTGTGTTTATCGTTCAGGTCATCCAGGTGGAGGCCACAAAAGAAATACAGACAGACGAAGTTAGGAGCCCTTCCTATAAGTGACTCGACGGCGGATGCACAAAATAGCGAGAGCCCGGAGACGTACAGAACGTCCTCGTAGCCTCCATGAATAAGAAGCTGGGACGACTCTGGTGCCACGAGCCATTCTTTGACCTGCTTCTCCTGAACAAGACTCTCGGCGCGAGCAAGTTCTTTCGAAGACACCCATAGTTGTCTTCTACTGTTGATATACTCAAGATCTTTAGAAGGAAGATCCGGCGTATTCAAAAGATCGAGGACATATTGACGCGTTACGAAAATACTATTCGTTAACTCAATAAGAGAGGATGGCGTTTTAGGTCGCAATGCAATGATGCTATTAAGTCGTTCGTACGCGCGTCGCTCAACTTCTATAACGCCTAGACTTAAGCAACTGTCTTCAAAAGAAAAAACATTCGAAAGAACGGATGAAATACCGTAAGAAATATTACTCAATAGTTCAGGTACGCAATTTTTGAGAATATTGCAAAACAAGTTCCGTGTCTGATGAAACTCCTTTCCGAGTAGTACTTGGTTATGCTGTAGCTGACTTTGGCCGTATCTTATGCGAGTTTGGCCCTGCTGTATATGCTGCTGAGAAGCCTTAATTATATCAAATGCTTCTCTCCACCTTTGTGTCCCTATATAAATAATACAAGAAATACGACGTGTCAGTTAGAGATATCTGCTATGATATAGTTGAATAAGCTGATGTGCCGGGTACTCACGTGCTAGTATCTCCTGCATCAGATGGCTGTCATTGTATGTTTTGGAGTTCGAGGCTTGACGGATGAGATTTGCGCTGGCGGACTTCACACGCTCGAGATGATCCTTTACGTGACTTTGATATTCCTTTCCATTGAAAGTGGCAGCTAGGGCCCCTGTTGAACCCATTAGACTAATCCAACTCAGCGGAGGCTATCTAAACACTTACTCGAATGTTGGATTAGGAAGCCAATAACAGATTCCACGGCAGCTAATACGGCGACCACTAGATCCACGGATGCGTTCTGAATATTTTCGTCTCGTGGGAAAGTTTCGATAAAAAGTTCGACTTCGGAAAACATGAGGTCAAGATCATCAAATCCACTGAGTATCTCTTTTCGCGTTTTTGCTGCGAACTTGGCTGACTATAAACCAGTTAAAAAATGAATAAAGAAGCTGTATATTTCGCCGCAACCTATAGATATAGTACCCGGGTATGCATACCTCGAGTATGACCTGAACAGCTCCTAGAACGGGGGTAGTAAGGTAGTCATTATCGGGGATCAATTTGATCACCCCTAAGGTGGGCTGGGCTGCCCCTTCAGCAAAACCCCGATAAATCTTCCTTGTGAACCCCTTAATTCCTTTATTTGACGTATAGACTGCTCTAGCACGTTCAAGCTGGTCATATACATCTTTCCAACCCTTCTTGTTGCGAATGCTGTACCCGGTCTTGATACGATTTTTTGGTTCTTCTGGGGATTCATTCCCGAACTTCGCCATCGCCAGGGGGAAAATGGCATCCCAGAATTTCATTGCTTCGGCAGGCTTTGCTAGAGGTCTTGACGGGATCTCTTCCGCTGCGTCAGCTGGTTCCTCCAATTCAGGGGTATTCGAGCCTGGCAACGCTTCGAGGTTCGGAGGTGAATATCGTTCCGGTTGCGTTGTGGTGACTATAAATGCACCAAGGTGGAAGTCGTACCGTGATGCTGGTACCATAAAGCCCGAATGAAATTCAGCTGAATGATTTTCTATAAAATCCACAGCTGGGGATTGGCTTTGAAGGTTTGGTGTGGTCATTTTGGAGATGGTGAAGTTGCGAGATCTTGTTAATACTCTCTTCAAATTAATTAATTCGCATCCGAAACCAAAATTGTCAATCACCTATATGGGAAGTCGGAAGAGGCTGCGAAGGTCTTCTGCATTTGCCGAGAAAGTGGTTGTAATTCTGAAACTAGAGGTTACCCTCCGGGCAACACAAAAGCCTAAGGTTTACACCGCACCATATTTCTATACTATTTTATTTTTATTACATATTAGCGGCTTACCCCTTATTGAACTGGAAGGCACCCTTACGATAGCCCGGATTTACTGCTATTATACGGCTGGACAATACTTCCAGTACCCTCGAGACCTAAATAATAAAGAAGCCTTAAATATATGCATATTGCAGACCGATTCCTTTCACCTTTTACTGCTTTTTATAAGACAGGAAAATTATCTATAAGGTAGCAAGGCATGTGTCCCAAATAGGAAAATTTTACTCGCATTCAACACAACATCCTAAGGTAAACCTTAGGCATAGAGGGTTGAAAATAACCCCGCAAGAATACCCTTTTGAGCTGAGATATTCTATTTTCCGTACTATTCCTGCATATGTTCTCGCGTAATAACGCCTGGAGAGTGGTGGTCAGACGTGACACAGCCTCCTATTTGTATCACGAATTTGAGGGGTTTTATATATAAGCTCGTTAGCCTCTAGTACCACAGCTGATTCCTTATGAACATTCCTCATCATTGGGTAATAATTGATATATTTTAAGTCGATACGCCTTATGCCTATGGTGTAGACAAATTCATGTATAACTCGGAACAATCCTAGCCTAAGAGAGATGGGTGATAAACCTTCGTCTCGCACGTCGGCAACATCGGCTAAGGCGTTTTCTGAGGATGAGAATCTCCAGGAAATATCGAACGTGTCCATCGATGAAAAGATCGATGAATCACCCCTATCAGAGCCAAAGTCTCCCGTAACTGGGAATTCTAAATCTAAACAGGGTCGACGGCTGCCATACTCAGATCCCAATACAAAAGTCGCGAGATCAGACTTGGTTGCTGAAGTGAAGATCTTAGAAAAAGAGTTGCGGCAACGATTAGAGCTGTTAGATTCAGCAGAGAAAAACACTAACTCGGATGAAGTTAACCTACCACCCGAGGACAAAGGCAGAGGAAATAGTCATAGTCGGGCAGATGAAAAATCAAAAGTTATCGACAAGAAGACGCGGAAGCACATACGGCGAGCACGCTTCGTTCAAAAATATGCTAATAGAGTTGAGGAGGAAAGTAGAGCTGAAACACAAAGTAAGGAAGAGAAACTACTGGCTATTAACAGTAGAAAAGGGGAGGCCATGATGACGGACTCGGAATTAGATGCACGGAAACCCGGTCAAGCTTCTAGTGAGCTCCTCAACCGCGATTTAAAAGTTGTCGAACAGTATTATTCGCCGAATTCAGGGTTTGAAACGAACCATTACTTTGCGGGAGTAGATAGGGGAGCGACATCTGTCCTAATACCAACATCTCTCCGACCGACGTACTCTCGCAAACTTGGACCGCCTAGCCAGTGGGATACTTCAGATAGCGACGAATGGAGTACTGATACGTCTACAAAGTCTCGGGACTTTGATCACTTCCGGGCCAGGCTGCGCGCTGAGTTTGAGTGCGAGCTTTACCGCCTTACTGCTCAGAGAGAGCGATATCAGAAACACAAGGAGAAAAGAGCCAGAAAAGGGCAAGAAGTAGAGGAAGATTCTACTTCTGTAGCCTCTGAAAAGTTTGCGTTGCCACAATTAAACTTTTTGGAATGGGCAGACTTCAGAGGAGCGCGGGACACGTTACCAGAAGTGTCTCCTGTTATAGATATCCTCGTCGGGGACCCAGAAGTCTCAATTAATTACTCCATTAATTTCTACAATAGACGGAAACAAGGAAGGCAAATAGGGGTATCGGCTACAAAGTTGGAAAGTGTAACAGGCGAAGAGCCGCTTCCAGACCGAATCAGGATACACTCGAGACCCCTCATGAAGATTCTTTCTCTCGTCAGAGGTTTAGATCTAGGTGGTGACCGCTATATATCCTCCGTCATGCTGCGACCCTTTAAGATGCTATGTCATTATGAAGAGGACCTCCGACGGCGACATGATGAGCTAAAAAACAGATTAACGTCTGGAATCAATCTGGCATCTGAAGTAACACCTACGGCCCAAGGTACAGAAGAGAGCAATGACTTAAGACTCCAATTTGAATCTAAGCCGGGGGATCTGAAGACAAAAGGACAGGACATCGAGGAAGAACCTGGAGTGGTAGAGGATCCAAAAGGCTACAGCTCTTCCGAGATAGGACTACAGCACCTCGGATGTCTTCTAGAATTCATAGACACTCATATTTCTGCGAAATATGCATATCTTAAAAGCATAAACTGCGACAAAGTAGCTTTTTCGGACCTTTGGCATCTGTATCGACCTGGAGAATTCGTTATCTCGGCTGATGGCAAACAAGTTTACCAAGTTGCCGGCGTCACTTCAGCACCCCATGATGGCGTTCAGCGTTGGAAAGCTCCCAATAATAAGCATGACTCAAACTCAGATGAGGAAGAGGAAGAGGAAGATCCGCTTAGTATTCACTGTGTGTATATACACTTTGATGGTTCATGGCTTGGTCCTGTCGTGAAGTCTGTCGACGTTGATCGATTCGAAGGTGAAAGGTCTGTTGTTTCTTTCGATGTTTACCCTCTTCGCTTTCATATTATGAAAGATATATCCATAAGAGCGGGAGCTATGGAGTCCAAGGTCGACGGCAATAGCCTGACGGCCTTGGAGGACGAAGTAGATAGGAGAGTAAAGGATCTTCGAAACAGTTTCATCCAACGGGGGAAAAGGTTTGTAGATGTCGTTGGCATTAAACACATGTACTACTCGGGATTCACTGTTGACACCCGGGACGAGGTTGAAAGTCAGGTTGTCATCGACTTCCAGGAAGCATTCGCTCAAGAGAATTTGAGGCACTGGCGCCCTAAGATCTCAACTCTTATAGGCCTTAACGTAGACGAAAACCTCGGGCTAGGAGAGAAGAAAAGGAGAAGGCAAAAGAGGAAACCAAAGATGGTTGGTTGTTGGACATGTTGTGCTGGAGAGCATGTGATAGATGATACACATGTGGAAAATGACCGTCATCTTAACTTTGTCAGCGACACACTGGCTTTTAGGGAAGATAATCCACAAAAACTACCATCGACTATCGTCTATCCGAGGTCCTTAGAAGACGTTAAGGCTGACAGTAATGGCTTCACTGACGACGAGTTATTGATCATGTCCCACTGCGTTTTTGGGTTCGTTCTGCGTGATCGCACCTGGGGTGAGCCTCTTTGGCAGCTTTTAGCTTCCTACTGCACCGAATCTTACTATCTATCCCCTTAACATCTAGATACTGACGTTACTCCAGCCCAACTAGATCTGGAATATCTCACCGAGGTCACTTCCGCAGGCAATGACCGCGCAACTAGTGACAATTCGAACGAAGATGACGAAAGCGCATTTAACCGACTTGTACTTGACCAAAAGATCAAGGACATGGTTCTTTATTTGATTGCACAGCACTTCCGAAACAAGGAATCCCAACAAAACGCAGACGAGCAGCTTGACATCGTCCGCGGCAAAGGTGAGGGAAATTTGATACTATCCCGAAGATAGTTACTTTTTCTTTTACCTTGATCTCTAATTATAAATCTTTATAGGAAAGGGCCTAATTATACTCCTTCATGGTGCACCGGGCGTGGGGAAAACAACAACAGCCGGTAGGTGGTCCCAAACTAAAGCTGTACTGAGTAAACTAATATTATGACAAGAGGGAGTTGCTGAGAAATTCAATAAGCCCCTATTTCAAATAACATGTGGTATGAATACTCCCTCAAAACTATCCATAGCACCCTTGGAAGTAGGCTAACTTCTGACATTACAATCATTCAGGGGACCTAGGATCTACCGCAAAGGAGGTCGAAGATGCATTATCAACCAACTTCTCTTTGGCTAATCGTTGGGGTTGTATTCTTCTCCTTGACGAGGCTGATGTTTTCCTTGCATCGAGAAGAAGAGAGGACTTCACGAGGAACGGATTGGTTGCCGGTAAGTGGAAATCCTTATACATGCTTATTTAGCCCCTGACTTACAGGATACCCACTCATACTTATTATGTGTCTCAAGTATTTCTACGTGTACTAGAATATTATGCCGGAATCTTGTTCCTGACTACGAACCGAATTGGTGATTTCGATGAAGCGTTTGCTTCTCGAATCCACATGAGTCTTTATTATCCACCCCTGGATGAAATTGCCACCAACCGGATCTTCAAGCTTAACTTCGACTTGATTCGGGATAGGTACAAGAAAAATGGGCGACCTATTGAAATTGATGATTCTGGCATCTATAGCTTCGTCACCAAGTTCTGGGTGGAGAACGAGCAGGCTCGGTGGAATGGGCGACAGATCCGGAATGCCTGCCAGACAGCCTTGGCTCTAGCCGAATTTGAGGCCTTACCAAACGATAAGAGATTCGACCTCAAGTTCAAATCAAAGGCTAAAGTGTACCTTAAACGCTCAAATATTGAAACCGTCTCGGATGCCTACCTTGAGTTCATCAAGTATCTCAAAGCCGTCCATGGCACCGATCAAGAAACTCACGCCAAGGAGTTGGGCATCCGAGCTATCGAGCAAGTGTTTGAATCTATGATGAACGAGAGGGTTTCGAGAGGGGGCAATTCGGCATCCCAAGAAAGAACACAGAACCAGAATCCTCTTAGGTCCTTCAGAATTCCAGACAGATCACCCCCGGCCACACAGACATATCCATCTTTTGATCACCATAGGGGAGCTCCCTACAACACGCCTGGGCCTACATATAGGAACCCAAGCCCTTCGTCAGGAACGGGGTATTCGAACCACGGATACCAGCCAGACAACCCCTTTCTTCAAGCACCGCATGCGTCTTCTGGGTATGGGGCCACCCAGCAATATCCCAGACATACGCAGCCAGTGTCGCCAGAAGGGCCGTCCCCCTACCCGCCTGGATCTTCTGGGCAGCAATACTACCCTCAGGGCCAAGGGCTTAGCATAGCTAACGACCCTCGCTTTGCTCAGCCAGTACCAGGCCAGGGAACCGGACAACAGCACCACGTTTGGCGTTCGGAAACACATCCAGTCGCTGGGCAAGCGATGGCAGCAACTACAGGTGTAAACCTGACATCGATACCGGTCTCCTACGGCAATGAGGATTCTAACACTCAGTAGGTACGAGGACAGTGCCGAAGAAGCTATACAGGGGAAGATATGATATACGCGACTCCATACGGTGACAAGGGAGGAGGGGTAACTTGAATTAGGAGAAGAGTCAGGGGATGGATATAAGATGGATTTAATGACTCAACGATTCCATGAGATGACGACGTTAAGAAGATCGTATCGGTCATATTTCTCTATTCAAGCCTCTCAGTAGTTGTCTAAGAATGCAGTATCCAAAATTCTCAATTATGGTCTTTACAAGACTTGGTAGTAATGACGAAGCGAGCTAATGACTGCCCACTGTTAGACACCAAAACTCCTCGCTAAAATAACAATTTTCCCTATTCCTATCTCGCCGGAAATATATCCAATAAAATTCGAGTTTTGTGCTTTTGGTTCTACATGCCCAATAATGCAAAAAGCCAGTACCATTATGCTCCCCCAACCGATGCAAAAATCTAGTAATATATAGATACTTGCGTATGCAGCATAAATAAAGAAAAGAAATAGTCATCAGTCGTTATTAAATCCCCGCACCTTAGTTCAAATCGCAATTTCCCAGAGCCTCGTAAATTGGATTAGATAAAATCATAATGATCTCGATATCGCAAACTCGCTCGCTCGTATAAAAGGGTATCCAACACATTATTTCCCATATAAGATAAGGACAGAGGCCCAAACCTAGGTAGGTAGAATTGCCTATAGAGTGCCATCGGCAGGGCGTCGATCTCGAGGCTGTATCTGAGTGGCCGGTGCAGCTTGCTCTGCCTGGTCAAATATTCTTGTCGGCTCGGATGCCGAAGTCCCCGTATCATTAAGTTGGCTCTCTGTCATCTTCATAATCACATCCTTACGGGCAACAGAAGGCCAGTCTGTGTTATTCGAGATTGCGGCATCTTCAGCCTCCGCGAGCCACTTGCGCCATTGTGGTGTGTCGGGTGCAGCGCCGCTCCTATTAACCCAAGCTGTGCGCTTGGTTTCGCGGATCGCATACCATAGTGTACGCGTGTAGCTTGGAGCCCCTTCCCGTGGATCACTAAAGGTTTCTTTATGGGCGTTTTGTGAGATTGTAGGAGTTATATCTCTAATGTCATAGCGACTCAAGTCCCAGAAGAAGCGTTTTGGGATCAGCCCCATGGTCCAGTATAGTCCATTTAATACGATATAGCTAACACCGATGAAAACCTGAGAGTACCACTTGCAGTTGCCCAAGAGGATGACAGCCACCATCAACAAGCAGGTCCCAAATCCCATGAGCACCCTATATGCGCGTCCGCTAACGTGGTATTCGCATTCTTCAGTGCCCGAATAGAGCTCACGCGCTACTTCTTCGGTGCACTTGATAAGAAGGAATGCGCCCACACGCGTACGGATTATCACATCTCCATCAGGGACAGTATTGTTGTGACTGCGGTTCATTAGGATGGGCCTCCACCACGAAGCCCAGCCAACAATGGAGCTCGCAAAGGAAATAAGGGTAACGGCAAGAATTGCTGTTCCATCCTCGAGGACTGCTGCAAGGGCAATGATACCGCATGTCAATAAGAGAGAGAAGAATGAGAGGACGTGCACGGGGGAATATAGGGTAGCAGGGATTGCGGGTCGTTTTTTATTTCTGGCACGCGTTGGATTGGCGACGAAGTCCTGAATGTTTTCTTTCATTGTTGCCCGTCTGTGTACACCCGGTGTTGGACCGGCCTCGACATCGTTGCTGCATGCTGCGTCTATCGGCTCGTTTGGAATACGTGTATTACGGTCTTCGGGAGGAGGACCACGTGGCAGAGTGCGTAATTGATGTGATTGATTGACAGTCCTTCCATTTGCACGTATACTTTGAAAGAAGCTCGTTCTGTTATTGAGTAGGCCGGGGACCTCAATACCACCGGCGTTATTACGGTCGGTATGGGTGATATGTAGAACTCGGAAAGCAAATGATTGCAGTTCGTCAAGAGGATGAATGATATTGGCAAAGAATCCCACTGTATCGAGGACAACACCGCTGTAGACGCCCGTCATTTTTGCCGTGGTCTCGGGCAAGCGACCAGGCCGGGAAGGCTTTAAGAAAGCCTGTGGAGCAGGGATAATGCGCGGGAGGAGGCAAAAGATGCTAGCAGTAATAGTCTGACAATGTTCTGCTATGGACGACTCGCCGATGACGGCAAGTAGGGTTACAACATCAAGACGCCAACCTCCAGGCCCCTCGGCGCCCTGGACGTCGGAAGAAAACCAGTTGGCCGCCGCAGATCTGATAACACCATCTTCGTCGTCGGCCATTATTATACTTTTAACTTTTAACGGGAAGTTTAGTGAATTTTAGTCGGCGGGTAGGCGGGTAGATTCGAACCGTCGAACCGTAGGTGTGGGAGGAATGCGGAAAACTAAATTAAGACCAACGCTACTGGGTTTGGGGGATTTGTTGGAGTCAATTGAGTTGAAACGAAAGTGTTTGTTGCTAAAAAAGACTACATTTGTATGATAATCATGACATATACCTATAGGTATATATATATAATATAAATAGACAGGGCTAACCGACAAGACACCGACCTTTAAAAAGGGTATAGTACAATGGGGAGCAAAAGAGAAAAAGATGTTGGAGGCTGAAAATGAAATAAACGTTCGCGGTTTCTCAAGTTTCGAAAGATATTGGAGTTGGGGTGATCCTTGCTTATCCTTGCCTACTCTGGAGATTTTACCATTTTGATTGGCTTATCTCGCGAGCCCCACCGAGCCCCACTCCAACCTTCTTTGGGTTCTGGATTAACGTGCGTTAGATTCCCAGGCGAGTCCAGGGTCTTCAGCGTAACATTTAACGCTACGGCCCGCCTACTGTCAGACTGACCAGTGCGCTGGCACGCCTCGGATAGCCCCAACTGGATTTAAACGATTGGGCTTGGTGGAAGCTTAATAGTGCCAAGACTCTCCACCGATCAGAGCCTCCTTTGTTTGAGGCGCATCTGTACCTAATATATACATCTGTATATATTATTCATCGCCTCGACGTTGTGTATCCCGTGCTGCCCGTGGAGGCAACCTGTGCGTCTTCCTGCGGCACGCGCATAACCACTAGATAATATTATAGGATAAGCATTTCATAAAGGCAGTAGGCTGTGAGTAGCAGACAGCAGGCAGTGTGCGATAGGTAGATCCGTGAACGTTTATGCGGCTGATAATTCATCGAGATCGCCTACGACTTAAAGTCATTTAGTAACTCGTAAATTAACGATAGAAAATAGAAAAATAAGAAAACTCATAAAGACCAAATACGAACTCCTTTAACTTAGTAAGAGGAAAGTCTGCTCAAGTTCTTGATTCTAGATGAAACAAGATGAACGCCCCCAAACACCTTATCATATCGGGTATCAAAATCGTGAATATCTGCATCCGTCTGCATCCGTCTCGTCACTTAAACCCCGCTCCAAAGACGCCCAATCCATAAAGCGGCTATCGCGCTTCTTAATTAAGCTTAGCCTCCCCCTCCCGCCTTTTCCGACCCTCCTCGATCCCATCTAATCTATCCAGCCTCGCCAGACGACTAGTAGACTGTTTCCCAAGAATCTCAGGAATAAATTCATCTTTCCATCGCCTCTCCCATTCTACTAAGACTCGTTCACGTTCAACTTGGCTCATACAAGCATGGTCTATGCTCCATCTCGCAAGTTGACGCCAGCCAAACAGATTCATACTACGGTTGCCAACCATGACTTCATAAAAATCATGTGATAATGTAGACCTAAAGTAATAAAATAAGTTAGACTGTTCTAAATTGCGGGATAGAGGTAAAGACTCACCTAAAAAGGGTACCGTTGTCGCTGTTTAATGTGCAATGAACTTCATGCTTAAGTAGCTCGTAAATCCGGTGCTCGTCCATACGCTCCACTAATCCGAGGACCATATTCGAGATAGGACATGCCTCTACACAGACATTACTATCCTTCATTTCCTTCATAATATCTGGCTTCTGTGGCAATGCATAGCCATGCCCAATTCTTCTGGCATTCAGATCAAGCGCACACTCGAGGTTGCCTTCGATGTCGTCGGGGGTCTCGCCGCAATGGAACAAAAATGGAATCTCAACCTTCTCTTTCCGACAGTCTTCTTGAAACTGCCTAAATTCTTCCTCGAAATATCGTAGCGGATATTTCTTATCGTAGGCCTCTTCTCCTACTAGATCAAAGCCGGCTATATATTGCGGCCATCTCTTTTTCATTTGTATGCATTCCTCTAATGCTTCCTTGACCATAGGTTTCGGAAAAGACCGAGGCGTACAGTAGATAACCTTCATCCCGCCGAGGGATGGGGTATGGCCATTTCCGCATGGTATTCTCGTCTTGTCCAGGTCCAGGTATACTAACTTACCATCTGAATCCAACTTCCTATTCTCTTTTATCTGCCCATGCTCGTCCATATCTCCGATATCTTTCATAAAATTCTCATATTCTTCGATGATGATTTCCATCAAGCCGAAGTTATTGAAACCTTCCGAGCCATCATCTCGTAAAACCTGGTTGCTTTTCATGAAATTTGGTCGAATCTCGGCGTACTGGACATTATCCCTAACAAATTCTTCTAAGCATTTCCTCGTATATGCCCGGAACGCCCTTTCATAATTAAATAGGCCCTTCATCATCCTTGTACGGCCGTTGAATCTATCCCATGCTCTACAAATCTGTTAGCTAGTTCATAGCAATAACATCGTGTGTACAATACCTTGCTGCTCTCTTACGGACATCTTTGTATTGACTATTTTGGACATCTAACTCAATATCCTTAGGCCACTTTGCGTCCTCAGCTTGCTTTTGTCTTGCCTGCTCCTCCTCTTTTGTCTCGGGCTTGCTTGTCTGTTCCGAAGCCTTATCTTCCGGGTGGAATATTTCGTCGATTTGCTCCTTGTGGAAGATGAGTTTACTAGTAAGCCAATCGTCGCATTCTATATTCATATCCCAGAGCTCGAACTCAGTTTGGCCAGTCTGCTCCCGGTTTTGTGCTCTATAATTTTGCCTGGCTTTCCGCTCCTCATTCCATACGGAACGGAAGTATTGGTAGCGCATAAGCTGGCGTGGCTCATAATCATCATGGAATAGGTTCGGGCCTTTCAGATCCTTGTAAGATAGTTTCTGCTCTTGAAGTATAGGGTCCACATCCGGCTCATCAAGAATTTCCCTCGTATTCTGAAGCGTAAATACGATCTCACAATTGTCGAAATTAGATTTAGACCGTAATTTGTGAGTAGGACTCGAGATATACATATTGGGCATATCTTTGGCTATACCCAAGAGGAATTTGGGGAGGAGAGTTGAATTGAAATGAAGATGGAGATGTGCGCCTTTAGGTAGAGAGTGTGCTGCATTGAACAGTCGAGTTTTGTCGATGATGTGGACATTTCGAGAAAAATGGTCTTCAGCGAACTGTTTTCCATTGTATTTATACCAACGCTCATCGGCCTCTATCTCCGCTAGTAGGGCTTCATTTGCCTCTATCTCGTCAGGACGGGCAAGCTTCATCATATCATCCTGAAAATGTAGTCTGACCTGAGCCCCACCCCGGCGGTTTGGCTGGGCCTTGGGTTGTTCGGAAGTAGTCCCTAATAGATCCTCCGTCATTTTGGCGATTGTTTTGCACAGCTGAAGGAGCCTAGAAGGTTTTTGTGGAGAGTTATTCATGGGTATCTCATGTTGGTCGTCGGCACTGCCGTCTTTATATAGACTGCGAAGATTATCTAGACACATAAGCGTACACGGTGAATGCTACCTAGGTAGGTAGCTATTTAAAGTGAAGTGAAGTGGGGGGGTCGCTGATTTATCTAGCAGATTTATGGATGACCTAGGACAAGCTGAATATATCGCTTTTGTTGCTATAAATGTAGGTACATATGTTCTGAGGAATGCATTAGGCGTGGAGATCTCAATTGCTCTCTCCCGAACGCAAGGAATAAGGCTATCTAGACAGGTAGGCTGGTACCTAGATTACCTGATAATGTAACCTTAGGTACGGATTAGTGCGTGGCGCTAAAGGCCATACATTCTTGGACTTGGTTAAATTAGGTACATGTACCTAGCTAGGATAGTGCACTACATGTATAGGATGGTGCACTAGTATATGTACCTAATGTACCCAGCCCATGTTAGGTAGGTACCTACTAATAGGGTACGGCAAACAGATAGGCTGACTTAGGTACCTAGTGAGGTACTTTTTCTATGTTGCTTGTCTGCTCGTCATCTCATCCCTGAAACTCCAGGTACCCATGTAATTGTTAATTCTCATTCACTATCTACAAGGTACCTTCAATTTCTTATTATACCTTAGGTAATCTTTACTGACTGACTTAACTATAACGTATTTAGCAAACACTTCCTCCTTTGTTTGCTTGAAGGAATACCCATATAATCTGATGTCTGCAGGAGACAAATAAATACCTTATGAATAAGTGTCACAAAATAGCAATATGACTATCTCAGTACCACGTGAATAAATATCGTGCGTTTGCCTAGCCTATTAGCTCTTTTTACTTTCACTCCGCCACTTCATTCGACTGAATTGCCTATCAGGCTTAGGGGGAGCCCTGGTGTGCTGTAATACTGTATGGATCATATAGCTAACTATCTAGCCACTAGGAGGCACCAAGTGGAAATATGTTAACTATTGCTGTCTCACTCGACGACCATTAACTAATCCTACTTTAGAGCAACAGACCCCCCTTGAATCGGACATATCATTCCATTTAGGATGTCCTCACGAGCACTATAGTCTAGTATAGTGATGTGAACGACCGAGTAATGGTAACAATGTCCTACAATAAAGATTCAATAAAGTATCTCGATTCTCGACAACGCTGTTATTGCCCGGTGACCCTTAATATGACAAGATATCACCATAGCTGAGGGCCACCAGCGACTAAAACGCCCTGTCAGTCTCATAGTATTATCTTTGGCTCATCCTTTCCGAATATTGTCAAAAATTGGATCATTTAGTATCATTTAGTTGCAGGAGAAAGACTGCGCCACTCAACACTTACAGCTACTAAATGTCTAGATTATCAAGCATCATACTATTATTTACCTATCTCTATTCCCTACCCTCTCCGCTGCCATAAATTTACTATACCAGGCCTATGTCTCCTTTCTCCTAGGACCTAAGGGCGCTAAGGGAAACATGGCCAGTCTAGTGAGCCTAACGAAGCTACTCGAAGGGTCCGCCTTCAACGACGTATGGTATCAAGATGGCTGTTTTCAAACCTAAACGATCGCCTCGACGGTAGCAAACCTGATTTCCGGTTGTCCAGCGTCGTATTTGCTGAGTTGGGGCGGACAGGCGTATACCCCTATCTCAAATACCCGGCCCTGGAGGATCTTCTACGATATTCTTCTGGCTATGTTAACCTAAGAGATTGCCATTGGCATTCCTATACAGCAGTAGTCTTCGACCCGCTCGACAAACGGGATCGGTCGGCCGAGCACTTTCGGATCGATTATCCGCCTGTCCGATTGCAGCTTACATAGAGCACACCGCATACGGTAGATTAAGAGAAGCTGTAATTCAGTCACGAGACGAGTAAATTGTCAGATGATAGCGGACTACGGCCATTAGGTACTTTACAATTTTCTACAAGAACCATACCATCTTATCTCACCAAAAGGGGTTAAGGCATCATTCGTTTAAATCCGAGCTTACATTTTGAAGGACCGACTATACGAGACAAAATCATCTAGTCATCGGCACAGCCGCGGGCTCATAACTACCTACCTACCTAAGATAACCAAAAATTCCAGGCATATCAACCTTGGTCAACAATTACAAACCTACATACAAACGACTGTATAGACAGAGCCACTTAAATATGGAGCCCAAGAAAACCCCCTAACCTGGGTCTGCTACGATTCCACTTCCCAGGGACCCTTGTCTGTCACAACTCAACAATACACAAAGATCCAGCGATCTGCCTTTCCCCACGCGACAGCGATCATTTCATACAGGTTTCGGAGAAAAAGAAAAATATAGTGTCATGCGGCCTCACCGCTCATACGGAATCGCTTGTGAAAATTGATTGACATACATAGTGTGTGTATATCGCCTCAAGAGGCAGTGCTGCTCTACCGGCCCCGCATCTACGGCGTTTACATACATAGCAGTTTGCTACCTCTTAAACGAAACCGAGTCAACTTTTAGGCAACACCGGTAATTTGATCAATCAGCCTTGGGGTGGAATTAAATTATTCTACGTTGGAAGTTAATTCTAAGCTCCGCCAAAAATGACAACATGACGAGATGACGAGATGCCGCTGCAGAAATCGTCTGAATGAATCTGTTAGTGTAGTTGGAACCCTGGAACAACGGAGCCAGAATCTAAGTTAGTCCACTCCTAGTTACCCTATTTTTCTTCCAGGGGTACCCAATGAACTCTTGACATGTCACGTAGAACGATGCAAAAGGGGCAGGGGCAAGTTAGATTTTATTCATGGTATGATAGATACTTTATTTCGAAATCCTGAGAGAATTCTACTAAATCTGCCAAGAAGCAAGAGAGAATAGGACTATACAATAGATAGAACGCTTTATGGGAGGGTATTGATTAACTTGCTATCTACAATAAGTTAGGTTAGGTACCTAGGTAATAATGAATCCTATCTCTTATGCTTCTTTCTACTCTATACGCCTATCTAAATCCAACGTATTCGCCCTTTTATAACAGACAGACTTCATGGAAGACCTGTCAAACGAAAAAGTACGAGTATTCTTTAGGTACCTATAGAGATATTGCTTGGTAAAGACAAATGCAAAAGACTACTAGGACAAATGCCTAGCATGAATCAGTCGAAATGAACTCGTTTCGTCGCTTTTTTAGGACCGTGATTAAGCTTGTTGACAGTAGCTTCGTCTATGGTGTCCTCTTTGGAGGTATGAGGGGTTTTAGATGCTTTCGCTTGGCCCATAACTTGCTTCGTCTTGATTGTAATCTTGGGAGATCTCTCGATCAACTCGGTACTAATCCGTGAGTTCTAATCCTCGAACTTAATGCTTCGACTTTTGTTGATATCCAGAGGACCACCCTTGTAACTACCCCGCTTCTTCTTATTCTTCTCCTTGGTGAAACCCTTGCCCTTGGTCACGATAAGGTCTTGGTGGGCCTTCTCGCCATAGTCATGCGAAACATAAGCGTTGGACGACAATCTTGGGTCAATGGCAACATCCTTCCGAATTCGGGAAAAAGGTTGGTTCTGCGTCTTGGCTCCGTTCTTACCCCGGTTGTTCATTTTTGATGCAACAGGGTCAGGCGGAAGAGGGGGAAAAGAAGCAGATGAAAACTCGGGTGAGGCTTTGTCCAGAGTTACGGAGGTATCTGACCCAGCGCCGTTCGGTACCGCTCCTTTGCTAGGTCGCTGCGGCTTTTCATCCTCCGACTCCGAGTCGGACTCAGAATCACTAGAAGAAGAGCCAGATTCAGGTAGTGGCACTGCTGCTGCAGCTTTCAAATTCACTTTCGGTTCTTCGTCGGATTCGGAATCCGAAGAGTCAGACTCAGATTCAGAACTGGAGGACTCATCGTCGACTTGGGGCTGCTTAACTTTCTTGGTGCTACCTTTGTCTTCGTCGTCGGAGCTCTCGTCGGAGGAGGATTCAGAAGAGGACGACGATGAACTCTCTTCAGAGCTCGCCTTGGTCTTGGCCTTCTTGGTCTGTGGACGTTCATCCTCTGAGCTCGAGTCCGACATGTCAGAATCGGAATCGGAGTCAGAGGAGCTTGAGCTTTCGGAAACTGCCTTTCGTTTCAATGGATTTTTGCCATTCGTAACAGCACTAGTAGCTGGCTTCTTCGATGTTTCCTTCTCTTCATCGCTCTCACTCTCGCTATCGCTATCGCTGCTGCTGTCGCTATCGTCGGAGCTAGAACTCTCAGAGGAGCTGGATTCATCATCAACAGGCGCGTCGGCCATAGCAACATCTTTGGAATCATCGCTATCGCTGTCGCTATCACTGGAGCTTTCTGAACTCGAGTCGTCGCTACTATCGCTTTCGCTACTGCTACTGCTACTGCTAACCTTGGTGATCTTCTGCATGGGATCTTCCTTGGGGATGATGGGTGTGTTTGCCTGACTTGAGAATGTCTCCCACGTCTGGAATACACTGACTAAGGAATGATGTGTCTTGTCCTTTTGTTTGCTAGCATTCTGTCCCTTCCAACCTTTCTTTGCTCTATGCTTCTGAAACTCACGATGAGCATTATCGAATCCTTGATCGGACAAGAACGACTCGACTAAGTCCATGAGTTGGTCGGGAGGAGCCTGATTCTGGCTGGTGGATGATGCTGCTGCTGTTGTAGGCGCGACTGCCGCCTTGGCAGCCTTTTGACTCTTCTTTGCCATTGCTAGTGCCGTACTATTTGACGGTACGGATGCAGAGGAGTTATTAGAATTGTTGCTGAATAACCAATTGGGGGGGGCTTGAGAGGATGTAGTAAGAGGTTGAGTGTGCAGGTTGCCGGACATAACCTTAGATTAATATAAACAGATAAGTCGCCAGTCGTAGGACCTTCTTACCAAAACAAAAAGGCAGGTTTCTCTTCCTAATCGACCTCAAGGTGCGAGGAATTACGGCCTTCGGGTTGCTGAAGAAAAAAATTTGTGGAACGCGACGAGGACCCACCTTTATGCCATTGACTTTTTTGCTTATCGTACTATCTATCGATAAGATAATGCACGGCCGGCCTATTTTTCCTTATCAATCAGGTAGTGTACAATACCTTCGCAAGGACCAAATCTCTAGGACACCGTGCACTAGACATGAAGGACTAGATGAGTTTTCATCATAGGTTAGGTAGTGCGTCTAGCATCGAACTGTTTGCAAAGTCACAAGTTGTGCGAAGCCGAATCCAGAGCAACGAAGTGGTTCAAGTAAGTACAATACGGGTTTATTTCAACGTCTACCTATCTTACTGAGCCTCCTCGGCTAAATGATAAATGAGGCAGAGTTCCTTGCATGGGGACCCATTCCAGGCCCTTGAGGCAGCTTCTCTAGCGTTGATCGTCTTTTATTTCACAGCCACCGCCTTTCGAGAGAGGTATACATCACATAGATAATAGCACCAGAGAGCCGGGTCATCAAACATCATCGCCACTCCTCCCTTCCTACATATGACTCCTGGCCGCTACCGGCACTCCGGTTTGTCACCGGGCGCTCCGTCCGTTCACCCCCACACTATACCCGTTTTGACACGGCCACCGGTCGGTCGCCCTTCCACTTCATTTACTCTCCCCTTCTAGCTTCTCCCTTACCCTATCATCTATGCTATCCTCAGCCACCTGCTTCCCGCCGGGCTCAATACGGTTAATGTTAAAGACCAACAGTGAATCTGCAATAGGCCAAATTCTTACACATAAGTTGTTCAAGATTGAATAGTTAAGGGATGAGCCAAAGCTACGCCACTCCAAGCGGATTTCCCAGTGAATTGCTTGGTGTAAGGTTGGCAATCTTCCAATCAATTGCGCAAATTTTCACCAACGCTGCTGATGCTAGATATGTCCATTGTGTGTGTAGTAGCTTTGTAGTACGTCAGCCAAGTAATGAAACCCATATCTCTAATTGATGCCGCTGTAGGCCTCCAAAGCTTTCTAGAGTATTTATTATCGCGCTTCCACACCAACATTATATCTCCTATCATGCATTCATAGTATCACCTGCCTGTATACACTACAATGGAGCCCCTGACATTCGTCTATGGCGAGGATGACGACCCCCCGGCAGAGACAACGCCCTTCATTGTTCAATCAACTATCTTCGAAAACAAAATAACTGACATCTTCCGCCGATACCTCCAAACCGAAGATAAATCAGAAGATAGCTTAAGCTTGACTAGCGCAGCACAGGCAATTATAGAACTGCTTCCGGATCCCCCAGACCCGCGAGGATATTCAATGGAGCTCTCAACTTTATGGGAGTTATGTATCGAGACCGCCCAGCAGATCCCCTACTATCACATATGTCAGATGAAGCTGGCACGGCTCCTTCTCGTTCTACAGCATTCACCTAAGACCGCATTTACTATTACTTGGGTTAGTATATGGGATATTGATGTATTACCTCTATTCCATTGACTAGAAGGCTGATGAAAATAGGATCGGGCTAGGGACATTAAGTTTACGTATCATTTAAATCTCTTGAAAGAGACAAGTCGTGATATCTACGACCGTAGGTCGCCCTTGGCAGCATTGGACTGCTTTTTATAAATTACTAATATTGTATGGTAGCCGCTTTCGAGCCTCAACATTGCGCCGCGGATTCGACTCCCGAAGATGGCCGGCGCTGGGTCAACACAGTTGCATTTTACGCCCATATGTATGCTCTGAGCGGTGGGACGCGATTCACTACATATTGTACCTGGACTATGCATGATGCATTCATGTCTACAGCATCTACCAAGTATGACGCTCTAGACTGTCATATATCTGCCGCTGCACAATGGATATTATGTGCTGGACAGAATATTTTCTCGGCCATCCTAATCCCTCCAGAGGAAGAACATAGCATGGTGCTATCCAGAGAACCTTGGACGCTAGGAGAATGGCGACGCTGGAAGGCTGGATTTGCAGCGGCAGAAGCAGAAGAGAATCTACAGCAGGAAACCAGACAGCTTGCAAAGAGATCTATCATTCTGATGGAAGCACTCGAGGCCACTATGATAAGTGGCCGGCGTGCGACTGGGGGATAACTTTGCCTGGTTAGGCTATAGACTAGGCACTCTTTGATCGAGAGGGGATAATAAAGACGATAGAGATTTCTTATATAGGGGACTTCGTGATAGGGGATAAGGAATGTAAGACCGCGTCCGGATAATGAGCAGCCTTAACCAAGTGGTATATACTCAGTTATATTCAGTTTTTAAATAACATATCCTATTATATGATCATCTCTTACTTAATTGACGTCTCAAATTCATGTTTCTATCTGCTTTCCAGTTGACTGGAGTAGATTTCACATCCTACTAGTAAATAAAGAATGGTTAAGCAAGCAAAGACCCTACCCGGTTAAGATATAACTAAATCAAATATCATTAAGTTTTATTATCTCGATGCATATTATAAAGGGGAACAATATATCCACTGCAAGATGGCTGTCATTACGATATATATATCTAACTAAACACATTAACTGCATCATTTTGGTTTTCAGTTATAGCAACCGTGATACTCCTCTTAGAAGCCCTGTGAGGGATTAAAGTAACACCATAGGAGTACATCACCAAACTGCACCGCCAGCAAGTTTCCGGTAGCTTAGTGTATTTCATGAACGACCTCCGAAAACGATTGCTCATTTGGATTTTGTGCTGAGCTATAAAGTACCTATTTTGTAATTAATGGAAGTCCTGTTTTTTTCTTTTTTTTTTTTTCTAGTAACACTTGAAGCCTCTACACAAGAGCGAATATTAACCCTGGAGATTAGTTAACGGTAAACTTAGAAATGGAATATTGTTAAATATCTAAATACTACAATGAAGGAATATGCTTCAAATCTATGCTTCAAATCTATGCTTCAAATCTATGCTTCAAATCTAAAAGGCTATCGTGATGGGAAATTTTATCGGATCAATATGATACATTAATCTAAAACCTCGCTCGATGTTCCCCGTCGCTAAGATGTTTAACAATAGCACATCAAGGTTCCATTGAATAACTGAGCGAATAATTAAAGAAACATTATGTCCTTTAGTGCCAGAGAAGCACAGTACATTACTTACTTAAATCTGATTGGTTATGTCCTTTAGTTATACTATTCCGAAGATAGTATGTTTTAACTCTTTTAGAAGCCTTGATTTGCTAATATAAGTGGACTTCGTACCTGTGCTTTTCTGGCACCAGGAGACATACGTGAACGTTACCTTTTATCACGAAATTGTAAGTATAAGTAACCTCATAAGCTGAGGATCGTAAGGCTAAATGCACGATGTAATAGTATAGGACGAGTCTCAGCATGCAAGTCGGCTCATCGAGCCTGTGTCCGTTGAACATTACGCATAAGCCCTGAACGTACTAGGGAAACCCGGCTGCGGAAGCTAAACCTCCCTGCCGAATCGGGACGAATGATCAGGAGCGTAGGCATTCTATTCGCGGGAAAATTGATCGGGGCATGATGCGTATCCACACATTCCCCCCCGTCGCGGCTCAACCGTCCGCCGCCTCGCGAATAGGGCATCCAGCGCGGGGCGGTGGGCCATGGCCAACACGAAGAAATAATATCGACTCACGACATCGTCCGAGTTCTAGAAGCGATTAACCTATTTGGTGCTTGTTCTGGGACCATGGCATCCTGGAATTGTCTACGTGGGGTGACATCGCCCTCCCCCCCCCCCCCCCCTGACTGCGGGTATGTAGGTACAAATTGCGTATAAATGAAGATAAATAAATGCCCACAGATACCCGTACCACGAAGAAAACTTGCTACGCAGAGCCGCTTAACTTCCGTACTAAGTACAAGGTCCGGATAGACGACTGCTGGTTTTTTAGCGATGAAGTTCCTCGCAACAGTACAGCTGCTCGCAGCGGTTGCCGAGGCCGCCTTCACATGGCAAAATGTGAAAATCGGCGGCGGCGGCGGTTTCGTCCCTGGCATCGTCTTCCACCCGACGGCCAAGGGTGTCGCATATGCCCGGACGGATATCGGTGGTCTATATCGTCTTAATAGTGACGATTCGTGGACTGCTGTCACGGACGGCATCACGGACAATGATAATTGGCATAACTGGGGCGTCGACGCCCTTGCTCTCGATCCGCAGAACGAGAACGTAGTATACGCCGCGGTTGGCATGTATACCAACGACTGGTATGTCTTTACGGTTGGAATTGTTCGTTAACCTTGGATTCGCTAATACTAGACCAGGGACCCGAAATCTGGCTCTATAATTCGCAGTAGCGATAAAGGGGCTACGTGGAAGACGACTGACCTTTCTTTTAAGGTCGGCGGAAATATGCCTGGTCGGGGAATGGGCGAGCGTCTTGCTGTCGACCCGGCCAACTCCAAAATCTTGTACTTCGGAGCCCGCAGCGGTAATGGATTGTGGAAGAGTACGGACGGCGGTGAGACGTTTACCAAAGTGTCCTCCTTTACTGCCGCAGGGACGTTTATTCCCGACCCTAGTGATGTTGGTGGATACAACGGGGACAAGCAAGGACTAGCATTTGTAACGTTCGACTCGACGAGCGGCACAACTGGCGGTGCTACTAAAAGAATCTTCGTCGGCACAGCGGATAATACTACCGCAAGCGTCTATGTCTCCGAGGATGCGGGTACCACGTGGAATCCGGTACAGGGACAGCCGGGCACCTATTTCCCCCACAAGTGTATCCTCCAGCCGGAAGAGAAAGCGCTGTATCTCACATACAGCGATGGCACAGGCCCCTATGATGGAACCCTAGGTGCGGTATATCGATATGATATCTCTGCGGGCACGTGGAAAGACATCACACCGGTGTCTGGCAGCGATCTGTATTTTGGCTTCGGTGGGCTTGGTGTGGACATGCAGAAAGCCGGAACGATTGTTGTGGCGAGCTTGAACTCGTGGTGGCCGGACGCGCAGGTATTTAGGTCGACCGACTCTGGAGCTACCTGGTCCAAGATCTGGGCATGGGCTAGCTACCCGAACATGGACCTCTATTACGGCCTCACAGTAAGTAATTTAACGAGATACTGAAGAGAAAAATGTACTGATACCGGTTCCCATAGACTTCGAAAGCCCCGTGGATCAAGACGGGGTTTATTGACACGGACACAAAGGATCTCGGATGGATGATCGAGGCGTTGGTTATTAACCCCCTCGACAGCGACCATTGGTTGTATTCTACCGGGTTGACGGTATACGGCGGCCACGACCTGACAAAATGGGACACAGCCCACAACGTCTCAATCCAGTCGCTCGCCGACGGCATAGAGGAATTTGCCGTCCAGGACCTCGCTTCGCCACCCGGAGGAAGCGAGTTACTGGCTGCCGTGGGCGACGACAGTGGGTTTACGTTCAAAGATGCAGCTAGTCTGAAGACCTCTCCTTCGACACCTTGGATGAATCCCATCTGGACGACGTCTTCGAGTGTAGACTACGCCGGCGCGTCGGTGAAGAATATTGTTCGTATTGGCAACTCGGCCGGATCACAACAGGTTGCCGTATCAAGCGATGGCGGAGAGAGTTGGTACGTGTACTCTGGCGCGGACAATAGTATGTATGGCGGCACGGTGGCTTATTCCGCCAACGCGGACACGGTACTCTGGTCAACATCTACAAACGGCGTGCAGCGTTCCCAGTACCAAAGCACCTTTTCGGCAGTTTCTAGTCTCCCCTCGGGTGCCGTCATTGCGTCGGATAAGCAGAATAACACGGTTTTCTACGGTGGTTCCGGAGCCGACTTCTATGTTAGCACTAATACCGGGACGTCGTTTTCAAAAGCCGGGTCTTTGGGCAGCGCCACTGCAGTCCGTGACATCGCAGCCCATCCGACCAAGGCTGGCGACGTTTGGGTGTCAACCGATGTAGGTATTTTCCACTCGACAAACTATGGTTCTTCCTTTACACAAGTCTCTACTAGCCTTAATAATACCTACCAAATCGCTCTCGGGCTGGGTTCAGGCACGACCTGGAACGTATACGCGTTTGGTACAGGTTCTGCTGGAGCCAAGCTGTATGGCAGTGCAGATGATGGGACTTCTTGGACTGACATTCAAGGCAGTCAGGGATTTGGTTCCATTGATAGCTGTAAAGTTGCTGGTAGCGGAAATACGGCGGGACAAGTCTACGTTGGAACAAATGGACGAGGAGTTTTGTATGCCTCGGGCACGATTTAAAAGCGTCCGACGATGTTTAACGCATAGTCTTCCTTTTTGTTATTATAATAATTCAACTAGGATCAACTCCGTTTCCCCAATTCGTGACAATTAACCGCATATTATAATATTTATTAGGAAGGCGTATTAAGTCCATGTAATTACATCCATTAAGTCTTATATATTTAATTAGTACTGCCACAATTTTTTCAACCAATCAGATACTTAGAATCGCCCCGCAGTTTGCGACTTTTCCGTTTGCCATTCTATCGCATAACGTCTAAAACATATGCGAATAGTATAGAAAGGTTATGCAAAACAAGCTCTATCTAATGATATTAATTATTAAACTTTTTATATAATATTGAAATAGTTTAATTAATTCTATAAAAAATTCATCGGACGTGCGCTAAGGTGTGGCTAGCCAATCAGAGGCCAGATTTCAGCTGTGGCGTCAGTTTTGCGCATGAACCCCCCCCTCCCCGTCCGCGTTTGAGCGGACGGGCAACGCCGCTAGTCTGTATATACAACAGTACATAGATTTAGAAAAATCAGTAGTCTTGTTCCCTACCACCATTATTTCGAGCATCCATCATTCTATTAGGCATTGACATTGCAAGCGACATCAATCGATCGTCGGGAACGGCCTCCCAGGCCCTGAGAAGAGCCTCTTTTAATTCCCGAGACTCCGAATTTCTCACGTTGTAATTTAATTCAAGCCAGTTTTTCACGCTGGCCCATACGTTCTCAACAGGATTCAAATCAGGACTAATAGGTAGCCATTCAGTAGTAGTAGTATAAGTCTCGGGACGATCCGGGCATCTAACTGTAATTTTTTTTAATGGGCCGCCACGCTTTTGTGGTGATAGAGGACCAGTGAGGGCCCTTTGAATTTGGCTATGCGTAAATCCGGTCCATTTCGACAAGTCCATATACGTCAGCTCAGGGTGGTATTTCTTCAAAATATGTACCTCGAGCCGTTGGTCCCTCGAGCCGTTGGTCCCTCGTAAGATCCTTTGCCTTTTTTCGCGTGTTCTCGGCGGTCTTATATCGCCAATGAGGACGTCGATTCGCTGGTACGGGTTGGAGGGGCCGCGGGGCTTGTTGCCGTTCAACCAGTCTTTCGGCAGGCTCAATCTTCGGCGATGTGACTACTAGCCGTTGACGACGTAACCGGTCAAGATGTTCCTGTAGATCCATCTTATTGTGAAATATCGGTACTAGTTAATAGCCTCAAAACTGAAAATAGGAGAATCGAAATAAAAAGTCAGGTAACCGGAGGTTTCTGAAAGATGCTAGAAATTTGTACCTTTGCATACAACATTAGGGGGCTGGTTACTTAGGTACAATACCTATAATAGTGGATATAAGATGGGGTGGTGGAGGCCGCTAAGTTATTTCGGTGACGTATCTGATAGGTTAGCCGCACTGCCACAGAGGCGCTGGTCGTACAATACACTACGTACATGTAACTTATGACGAAGCTCCTCCTTGGCTTTTCCATGCTTTAGTGTAGTTTCGGATGCTTGTAGGGTGGTATATAGGTACAATACGTAGGTACTCACTGCACAGCCATGAATGCATGTGTTGTTGGCATGAAAAGGAAAAGAATATAATTAGGACGAAGTCTTAAAGCCTAAACCTACTTCCAACTTAGAATTCCACATACTAGACCGCCATACTCATAACTAAAAGATCGGAGCACGTCAATTTAAAACATACCAATTTATCAACTGGTAGGTGATCCACTCATTACCACTCATTACCAGTTATCCATAAGAAGTGAGCTAAAAAGTATTGTTATAACAGAATAACTCCCGATAAATTGATTAGCCATGGCTTGCGGCTCATCTCATTCTCTCGTCAACCGGAACGGCCCTGGCAGCGCCGCGTCATCGACATTCGAGAACATCATCAAGCCCGCCGATGCCACAGGAGGCAAGACTAGGTGTATTGACTGTGGCGATTTCGAATGCTGCTGTATCCCTATTCCCTGCACCGTTATGTGAAGAAACGAGGTTTAATGGTAGCTATGTACCATATAAAGACACGATTTACGAGGCGTTATTAAACACGAACCTGCGTTTTGTAGGAACTGGGTTGATTTCACTTGGCCATGCAGTACTAGGAGTATTCTTCATAGGATTAAATCAATGCATTTTCCTCAAGCGCATCCCCGCCCTTCCTATAGAGATGGGTATCAATACCGACGCGCGTATATATTATAAGAACCTTGACTCCAAGCCATAATCCATTAACACTTTATAATAACAGTTGACCAGAGAAGCAGTATGCGGCGTCCCTTCCTAGAGATCTCTGGCGACCGACGTCCACGTCTCTCTCTGGTAGCTCCACGATTCCGTCTTCTTAGAGGTTGTTAACTTGTCGACAAGTTCATATTCGATCTTTAAACTGCCTAGGCCTTCCATGATACGTTCAGCCTTATCCTTTGCGTCCCGGATCGCGTTAGTCTCGGCTCGCGTACGGTCCAACTGCGCCTGCATCATAGATATCAGCGACTCGCGGGCTTGGTGGGGTCGGTACTCGTTGATGAGGTGGTGGAAGTTGAGAAATAGGTGGCGCATGTCTTGGGTCTTCTCTTCAGCCTATAGTATTCATGTCAGAAATAATATCGAAACTATCATGCCACTATAAATGCCACAACGTACAGCTTCGGGGTTGATAGCTAGCAATCCCGTAAGCTCTAGGAAGTTTAATAGTAACGATTTGGCCAATCTCTTGAGGATGAGTGCACGATCAAAGTGCTTGCCGTCTTGATCCCTCTCTTCTGGATTCGGGAATAGCGGCTTGACATCGGTATCCTCGAGTCGCGGAAGCTCATCCTTTAATTTGTAGGTATCTCCGAAGACTCTCCATACTCCATCTGCGGGTTCTGGTGGCGGCTGGAGATTGCGCAGCTCGCGAGGCAATCCCTGAAGGCGCACTTTCGAGGCATCCTCAATCCCCTCCTTTGCTGCTTCTTGCTTGCGTAACTCGTCAATACGTGCAATGTTTTCGGGCGTAAAGTCGCGCCAGAAGGGAGGCGGCGGCGGCCAAGTGGATGACACCAGGACTTGGTCTTCTTCCTCCATTTCGTTGTCGGTTACAGTTACAGATACTATATCGAATGAACGGGTGGAAATACGTAATGGAAGTTATGTGGATGTGTTAATTGGGGTATATATGTGGAAAAGAAGACGTGTATAAGGTTCTTGTGTTTCTTAGGTTTTGTTTCTACCTGCCTACATAAGCTTTGAAGAGAGGCAGCTAGGTAAACCTTATCGATTAGATTGAGTATATCCAGGCAGTATCCCATACCTCTACCTGACCGCAAAATCGCCGAAGTACATAACTAGGTAGGTACATGTATTCCCCATACAAACTCACCCGCATGTGCATGTACCTTTCATGGCAACCCCGCTAAATCTGCTAAGACCTTCCAAACTCTTCAGTCTATCTAATATATGCGCCCTGTTATTGGCTAGCCTTATATTGAATCCAATAGCCTCATTTGAATCGATTCGATCGAATAAGAGACTGTAGGAGAGGTATGTTGTAAGGCAGACTGGTTGTAAGGAGAGTATTACCAGGCGGGCGGTGTGAGATTTAGCCAATAGGGAATAATCCGTACATGTAGAAAATAAAAGTAACACTAAATCGGCAGTGGCAGAGTGGGGGATCCATCTAAGTGCGGGGCACTTTAGAAGCTTCCTTGTGACCTTGTGGCTGAAGCCTTATGCTACATACTTGGAGGTACCAACAGAGCTAAGGTAATCCGGCATCTCTAAGATCAGTCCGCCTCATTACATAAAGACCAAACCACTAAGGAGTAGCCACTAAAAGATTATCAAGACAATCCCTAAAACTACGTGTACCCTCTAAACCCGAATAATACATACTCGAAGCTATTCGCAGATCTACAGACAGCTTCCTAACACTTACCATCCAACTGACTACTACTCATATCGGTAGCAGCAACGGCCGCAATGGCAGACGCCCGAGCCCTGCTTCGCGCTCACCGCGCCGAGAACCGTATCAAACATCCTCATGCCGCATACTCGGATGCCGGGAAACTATTATGCAAGTTATGTCACGAGCCCGTAAAATCAGAGGCCTTATGGGAAAGTCACATCCGAAGCCCGAGCCATAGAAAAAGAGCACAAGCACTACAGAGCAACCTCCCCGAGCAACCACAGGCGGTATCTTCGACCGACGGGGCTAACGGCAAGCGGAAACACGACGACGTGGATGAGGGCATGTCCGACGCAGACGGCGACGCGGAAGAGGCAATACGGAAGAAGCGTAGCAAGCCCGACCTAGCCTTATCCACGAGCAACGGCGGTGAGAAGAGGCTGTCGCCCTCAGAGCTATCGAGACGGACTTCACATCCGCCCGTGCAGGGAGTCGAGGTCGCGATACCGTCGCGACCCGCCACGCCAGCAGCCGGTTCCAACTCCGCGACCTCGACGCCTAAGGGCGCTCCCGTCGGCCGCTCACCGCTCATCGGCTCCGAGACCATATCTACATCTACATCCACGCCCTCGAATCTCCCTATCTCGACGCAATCTCTCTCCGTACCATCGTCCACAACCACAACCGCAACCACCGCCCCGCCACCAGCTCAACCATCCAACGACGCCGTAGACGAAACCGAATGGGCAGCTTTCGAAGCCGAGCTTGCCGCCGAGCCCGCGCCAACGTCCGGTCTACAAAGCTACTCCGCCGACGCCACGATCTCAGCGCCAGCAATGACCGCCGCTCAGATCGCCGCTAAGTCGCAGGAAGAAGAGAACGAGCGGCGGAAGCACTTCGTAGACGCGCAAATCGCCGACGAGCGGGAAGACGCGACGCGTGCGCTGGAGGCCGAATTTGAAGAAATGGAAGAACTAGAAGGGCGAGTACGACGGCTCAAGGAGCGTCGAGAGCAGCTGCGCAAGGGCGGCGTGGCGAATCTCCGTGGTGGTCCCGCCGCGAATGATGACGTAGTCATGGCTAAGAGCCCGGCGGACGACAAGGAGAATAACGACTCCAGTATACCCGAAGAAGATGAAGAGGAGGAGGATGACGATGATGAATATGATGATTGGGGCGCATTTCGACTTCGGTAAGGGGGGAGCACGAAATTAAGAATTTGTATAAGAGAGGGATGATGACGAGACATAATAATAATACTGGACCCGACTTCAGCTTGATTAACAGGAAAAAAGGAGTACTACTTTGCATAGAACCACGACGGCGTTATTCTAACTAAGCTTTGTTAATAAAAGGAAAGCGCATAAGGGCTAAATGAATTCGAAAAAAAGGTGGGAGCATTTAGTTGCATTTATCTGGGACCCAGCATACATAATTGTTTCTTATATTGATGTACATACAATATTGTACGATAAAGGAGACGGACAACTCCCAAAAGAGAAACAAAAAAACCCAACAGAGATATCCCCGAAACACCTAGTCATTAAATTGCATCATTCAAAAGGAGTCATCAAAGCGCAATGTCCTCTGCGGAAACAGCAGAGCCTAGTTCACCTGTAATACAAGTGCTCTCTCACTAATGAGCCCTTACCTTCGTTAGCCATACAGCATTCATCGATCCAAATTAGGTGTGGTTTGTGAAGGCGGAGATGGGTATCTGTCGGCCAGAGACAGATAGTAATAGGCGTCGGACGGAATTCATCTTTCGGACGGTAAATCAGGCGCCCCATCCCACGCCCGGCATGTCGTCACTATCTCGTCCTACGCGTTCCCAAAATTTCCTCAGTCGCCATACCCTCCCGACACCGGCACGCTCCTCCCATTTCTTGACCCCTTCGCTTCTTTCTCGCACCTCGCCGCGCCAGACAGCTCCGACCCATCGCCGAAGGCCATCCTTGAGCTTCTCCTTCTCAACAGCGCGCTTCTTAGCAATGAGGCCAGGCGCTACGCTGCTCTCTACGACTTCCGGCGGAAGCACGCCGCGCTGCACCAGAGACTCGGCGGAAGGCCGGAGCGGCAAGCTGCGTGACAGCCGGATTGACACGAGGCTGCGCGCTAGCCGCCGCGAGACCTGAGTCGTGTGCGTTAAGAAGATGTGGCGGGAGATGAGTTCCGTGAGGGTAGGCCGCGAGGGTGAAGTTAGGAGGGGTGGAAGTGATAGGCGGGCGCGCCGGAGGCGAAGGGTGTGCAAAATAGGGTGTAAGGACAGAGTCCTAAAGTGATGGTTAATCTACCTCTACCGTTAGTATAGTATGATCTACGCAGCATTGTATCATTTTGAGGGAACCGGTATTTGTGGAGGATAGAAAACCAATAGAAAGGGCATATTAAACCGACATCAACGCGCGGCTACGTTTCAACGGAACCTTTGCGCAAGAAGAATACGAATATGAGAATAATGGCTCATAGCTAGGTTGCATGCGGGAGTGAAACCTAGGGGTCTCCAACCCGTATAAAGCCTTGACCAAGAGGACGCTGGCGTATAAGCCGAATACTATATCGGCGTCATGAATATGTATAAGCCAAAGGACAACATACCCTTGAAATGGCTAGTAGATCGCTCACGTCTAAGAAAGTGAGTATATGCGTCAAGATCTCATTTGGCAGGCCGTCCAAACTCAGAAAGTCCCACCCCCAGCGCAACAAGGTCGACCTTCTTGTTACCATGACGTCTACTGATCTTTCCCTATGAGGACTTTGTCTAGAGGTAGTTGACGCATTAGGCGTAGATAAAGGCGGCCTCGACGACGAAGCCGCCGTATCTGGCGATAAACATGAAACATGCGCAACTTGATCCGCGGCTGGCCGCATTCCGTCATAGAGCATTCCACAATGAGTTTCCAGGTGGTCGGAATCTATAGAGTCCGCAACTAAGGCACCTGGTTGGGCATCAACAGTGGTGACCGTTCTCGAGACCGGCTCTCGTGAGGTAGTATCGCCACTCTCGGCAGCCGGCGGCGAGGAAGGTAAAGATGCATGCGGCACCAGCGTCGTGGTGTGACTTGACGTGACCAAGGTCAGATCGCAGGCTTTAGTGACGAGATGCTGTCCCAAGTCGGCTTCCCCGCGAGTTAGACGTTCCGACATGTTTGCAACCTAGCCGAGATGGGAGGTGCCAGGTAGCAATGGTGATGAAGTGGCAGTAGGGATAAACCTCCTCTGATATGTGTATCTCCGACGAAGCACAAAGTAGGATAAGAACTGTATACTGATACTGTACAAGGTCAGTCCTCGGTGAGAGTTTGCGTGAATATATGCCGCAGGATAACAGCAAGACACGATGGTGAGTGTCAGCCGCTGTATCTTATGCCAGTTCGATAAGATCCGAGCTCCCCGAGTGGTCGGAGACGCCAAACCGCCAGAATAAGCAATATGATAAAAGGTAGGCAAGTGTTTTATGCGCGGTTAGCTACTTGGGCCGGAAAATACATATTTTGTACTGTGTGTATGTATGTGTGTGTGTTCCGTTAAGCCTATATCAACAGCTGTTTATACTGAGTGAGGCGAGCGACAGCTACCTAGGGAAGCTATTCCCAGCCGGTAAGACTTACGTACCTAAGGTACGGGGTTCTCAATGAGGGGGGAACATAAGGTAGCGGCGCGAAGAGCGGGAAGGATTAACGCGTTGTAAGAAGTACGTATTATTGAGATATGTATTGAGGTATGTATGCAGTGGCGCTAATAAGACGATGCAGTTAATAACACGAGAACCAGCTGTCAAATGTCTGTTGTAGGGGTCGAGATTATAGCAAGGCAGCACTTCAAGCAAGCAAGCAACCGCAAAGATGTGCCTGAGCCTGAACCTGAACCTGAGCGTTGAGGGGCGTTGAGGGGCTTTGAGGGGTATGAGGGGGCTGACAGAACAGCAGAACGGGGGACCCTGTTTGCATATGTTTGCATGTGTAAATACCTAGGTGAAGTGCGAGGGCGTTGGTAATCCTAGTCGAATTAGTAGTGAGCGGCTACAGATGATGTGTTCTTGAAGGTGGCCCGTGATACGAAACACAATCCGTCTCCCAGTTCATTAATGATTTAGCTAAGTTTGGAATATATGAACATAAATAGTAAAATAGAAAAAGTACCAACATCGTGCACCATGTACCTAACCTTATGTTTAGGTTAGGTTATGTACCTAGACTTTAATGTTGATACCTACTATGTAATAAGGCAGGTACCTACGGAATACTGTACCTACCTCATGTCATCTCCACGTTTAGCTAAGCCAAAGATGCAATATGCACAGACCATTAGTTAAATTCCCGGTCACAGTGTGCGGGATGTCGATCTCGGAATTGATTACAGTGCTGTTACGTTGATCTTATAAGATGTACGAAGTACCTACAGCTATGTAAGTCATGTAAGTCATTAAACATCCGAAATCGAGTAGTTAAACTATACATTTAAACAAATTAACTAAGTATACGCTTAATGTTTTTCAATACTATCTCTTTTATAACAGGTAGGTAAGTCTTACATACATACATGTACCTAATGTATAATGCATGTAGGGGCCAAAGAGACCTAATACCCAGGATTCAGGTACGTAGTGCCCGTTCGCAGATTACCCCGAAGGAAAAGCCGGCGAGAATAGTAATACGTATAATTTGCATGTACGTACATACAATCTCCTATGGTTACCTCCGAAGCATTCCCACCTTAGCAAGCTTATAACTTATACCGCATCCAGTGGGACAAAAGGGCCACGCTTAATAGCCTACCTACCCGATTTCCGATTTCCGATTTCCTCGTTGCAATGCTAGATCAAGATCTCAGCTGTACGGAATATCGCACGAGAGCGGGACCAGATGATCCAAGATTTGTGACTTATGTACCTAGGTACAGGAACGGCAGATGCGTGCTCTACGTAAGTAAAGATTTTTGCTCATCTCACAGGTAGGTTAGGAACGTAACAGGTAGGTAATATTTTAAACTCCCGGGGTGGTCCGCGCCGAGGCGGACGGGAGATCTACGGAACGAGTTCGCTATGACTTTTTAAACTGGGAAGGCTCTTTTAAGCGCGGGATGTCATGGCTAAGCCATATACGGAAGACGCGTAGAGAAGGTATGTATATGCATATAAGATAGGTACATGTATAGTAAGGGCGTGCTTATATTGATCCTTAACAAGGCTTTTGCTAGGTACCCCACACGTATACTTCCATTGCATCGTGGTCGCTTAGCTTAAACACAGTATCGGAAAGGAACAGGGGTAAAACCACACATCAAGATGTACCCAACATATTTGACCTACATACTAATACTTTACCTAGTTATAACAAATATGTTATCCATGTATATAGTTACCTATCTAGGTAGCTCAAGCAATGTGTTGTCCAATCTAGTCCCATGTCTCGGTACGGTAGCGGCAACCCGAGTAGTAAGAAAACATGGTCCGAGTTGAACTACAGAGTCTTAATAGAAGTGCTATCATGGGATCTCGTACAGATAACCTTAGTTAGTTAGACCAAGGTAGACCTTCTATTACCTATCCACCAACACTATAACTTTAGACTACGTAGGTAAGGTAACTATGCTAAGTTAGGAGGTACACATATAATAGTCCCACGTGTAAGTCAAGCCAATAAGCGCTCCGCACATAGACTAATGTAGCCATCTGGAACAAGCCACCTACGGACCCCCCGGAAATATATTATTTCTCAAAGGTCTAGACGGAAAAAGAAAAGAAAAGCCTCGTCTTACCTAATCGTAATGAGGCTATTCCTCCCGGCCCGGAAATTCTAACTACATAGCGAATTTCTTGTTACTTGTCACAATTCCCGGAAACCCGCCCACGCGTTACATTATGTACCTGGCATATGAAGAACGTGGTGCTGTAAGTCAGAATGTTCTCTCGACACAAAATGATGTGGATCTTACCCTCCCCAGGACACAAGTTCCCTGTAAGCAACGCCGACGAACGGTGGAGCTCGGTACGGCCTGGAGGGCCGAATGCGGTCTCCTTTTCTGGCCGTCAACGTGGTCGCGATCCCCCCGACCCCCCTTCGGCCTCTCTCTTTCGGTTAGCATCAGTGCCCAATGAACAGGAACTCGCACTTTTCGTACCACCGGCCAATTGGGCGCCGAGAGCAGGCTAAAGGGCGTGACCAACGTGCCCAGTCTTTCTTCTCGTCTCGGGGTGAAGCAACACAGGTAGTCGGCCTATACCTTCGTGTGTATAGCGAGCTAGCTAACTAACTATGTACATACTTGCTCGACTAACTAGCTGCGACCATGCAATGCAAACGGATGGGAAACTAGATCACCCTGCATATCTATGCGATGCGAGCACATCCGCTGTGGAGTATCTGTGAACCCATTTCCCAGGCAGAGTCGGCAACCGAGCCGTTCCAATCACTCACCCTTGTCTGACCTTGAAAATTGATGGCATTGAAGGACAACTCATAATTCTGTCCAACCAAGAATGGTGTGGGAATTTCGACAGCCATTAAGGATGAGTCGATGAAGCCTCGTTCGGTACTTCTGGGAGACGGTGAGCAGAGAGGCGTACATTTGCATGAGGGCTCGACAAATCCGAGCGATCCTATATATACGAGCAAATGCGGTACCGCATAACCAAAGAGCAGCGTGGATGGCGAATCAGGTAAGAGGCTCAGGCAGGTATCACATACCCCTTCTCCTTTCGGTAGGCCATAACAGAGCCTTCAAGAACTATTCTATCGACATCCTCCGGATCGAACTAAGATACATCCCGCAACATTTACTTCTCTGGTTCCGGCCCCCAACCAATGAGCTGGCACTGCAGGGCTTCGAGAGGCTGCTAACAAACCAGGAACACATGGACGATCCTCTCTCCCTCTAGCCCAAGGCTCTCGACGGTGGGTTCAGATGCATATCACTGCGTCCGGGGTGAGACTTGTACTCCCCACGCCCCCCAGGGGTGGCACACCTTTATAGAGATAATGGTGGGTAGCGGTGATGGGAAAGTGTCTCGGAGGACGTGACGTATCATTGGGTCAGAGGTGTGAGTAGGCTCTTCTGCTTACTCTGAACTAAGGGAATGCGCATATCATTTCTTGCACATGATTTCCACATAGTGTGGCCGGAATTATCATGGTCTTCGTAGAACTTTCCATGGCGTCGAATGTCTCAGAGATCTTGATTGGTCAGTTAGAAGCAAAACTCAACGTCGAATTTCCCCCTATTAGAAGCGACGATATATATATACATTGATGCTGCAGCTGTCTAACTGGAAGCTATGGTTCACTGACGGATAGATCAACGATTGCGTCTGATTATATGTACGGAACGGGCCGTGGGGTACGAGACCAGGCGCCCATAATTTCCCGGAGAAAGGATTTATTCACAACACTACTTGGCCGCCTTAGCGGCCTTGTTGACCCAGGGTTCGCGCTTTGCACGTAGCATGTAAGTGAATGCAAACAACGATGGGAATAGTAAAAAGCATCACTTTAACATTACACCGAGATTTGGATTTCCATATTATCCCTTGCCGCCGGAAGAAACCTCCGTTTTACTAGGACACCGGTCAACTCCATTTAGCAGAATAACACGCAACGTTGCTACTAAGTCATCAGCTAATATCCTGTAATGTTGTCCTATACTATAGAGCTAAAAATGGAACTATGGTCATATCTTGCCACATGTAGATGGAGTAAACGTCCCGTACGTATGAGATCATGTTACGAGCTCAACATGACACTAGGTATTTTAACAATTGGATCGTCCGTGGCACAACAAAGCAAGATAAACTCCATTCAGGAACGAGATCTAATTTTCAGCATGGTATTGTAATATTTCGATAAGATATGTACCTAAATATGCCATTGCCGTTTGTAACACAGCAAATTTCACCAGCATACTGGTTGGTCCCTTTAGCACAACATCAAGCCTAGTAAGGAGCCTACATTAAAGTCTCTTGTGATTTCCATCGTAAGAAACTCACGTTACACCCACCAACGTCGATAATCGTATGGGGTTATACCGACCCCATCGAGTGTGTTTGTACATCAACTCTTCTGGTATAGTAGTATGAGCAGGTACCGAGAACTAGATGCAGCCATGACCGTAGCGGGTCTTTTAACGATGATAAATTAGGAAACATCAGGACCCTCTTCCATCCCCAGACTTCCTAGGCACGCATCTTGCACAGGCTGGGGGCGAAATCGTGCAGGTGGGCCTGGCGTAGCCAGAAAATCATTGCCACGTCGCGGGACTAGCTAACCCGTTGAAGATCTTAAGAGTTTACCTGACTCGTGTATAGCCAAAATAGGAGATGTCTATATGCGTCTTGATGTAGTTTCACGTGAATGGAAGGTTTTGTGGTATCGTGGGAAATAATTCCCCTGGGCCTACATATCTGGCCTTGGATAGGCGGCCGCAGAGAGGGGAGCCTACTTCCACGACCCAAAGGGGTACTGCTATCGACGAAGTCGTCATAGTAACCCAAACCCCCCTGTATAAACGATGTGTTGTTCATTTTCCCGGGAAAGGCTCATCAGACGAAAAGAAAATTTCCGTAACTTCTGGGACGGGTATATCGGATGCTCAGAAATCTCAAGCTACGAGTAGTGGATGTTAGCTGCAAGTGCTGGCCAGAGTGCATCAGGAAGATATCGTCTTTCCCGATGTGGCTTGATGATGAGCTGGACAAGCTCGAAAACATTGTCGATGGAAACCCAATCAAACAAAATCAGGCGAGAAGCGGCAACAGAATAGCGTGGCAAAAGCAATCAAGTCTTGCTAGTTTGATAAACCACGCAATATGGGACCTTCTAAGCCTAAACGAAAACACCAGCTTCGTCTGCTATACCTAGATGCAGGATATAATCTTCGGAGGTTTAGGGCAAGTGACTGGGCATCTGTTTAAGGTAATCACCCGAGACGTGGCAAGGGACGAAACATGCTCCCCTGTTCCAGTGATTGACAGTACATGCTCGTCTTAAAAGGCAAGTTGCCTCACAGGCTCTAGGGGGGGTAGGAGACCTACCCGCGGCTAGCCAGATGGCTTGCATAGGCAGTCAGTGGGGATAGGCCACATCCTGGTTGCAGACGGGAAAGGATCAAACTATGCGTGCAACGGGGGTGTAGTAACAGGGTGTCAAATTCGAGGCTGATGGGCTCACGTCCCAAGGTTAAGGGCGGACCGCACAAAGACGTTGGAATCGACCCAATAGAGAACAGCGAAATGGAAGAGGGGCCGCCATCTATCTTTCTCGAATCAAGTAGCTGGTAAGCTACTCGTCAGTCAGGGTACTCGTAGGCTGTATCCAGAGTGGGGAAGTTGAGCCGGTGGAAATTGAAGCACTAGACCAACGTGGCATCCATCCAGCATTCTAGGAAACATGTTAGACGGACTGGCTGCGAAATGGACATGCAACCCCAATTACCAGACAGGCTGAGTTGTCAACGACCAATCCTCAGCGGTTGTTAGTAGCAACTTTGGACACAGTGTCGACGAATATGTAGTGAAATGTTAAGGGCCAACGTAAGTCGAGAACGAGTACCGGGTGGGAAGGGCAAGAAGGAAACCCAAGGCGTGAGCGACAAGTATAAGTATTTCTGTCCCCCCTTATCGATGTCACTTGCACCTAATGGTGGAGTAACCCGAACCAAGATTTCAAGAACTTCAGTCGGTATATAAAAAAAAAGAAAAAGAAAAAGAAGGGAATACTAGTCTCAGCTTCAGCCTCAAGTCTATCGTGAACACCAGCAGCAATACCTTCGTTGATGTCAAGAGTATAGACCGCTTGACGGCCCACGCTCCTTTTCGACATAGCTACGTGTATCGGCTAAGCTAATCAGCGGACCGCCACGCCCGGTTTTTTTTCCTATTCCAGACCAACAACACTCCCGAACGGTGAACGATGTGCTATTTCGAACAGACGCGTTGGATGTGTGGGTATTGGCGATGGGGCCACTTCCGCCAACAATGTACGAAGGAGTATCGAACCGGGGAGACCTGCGGGCTGAAGTTGGTATACTGCACCAACCAAGAGCAGGACAACTGCAAACTCTGCAAAGACATCGAGAAGAAGCAACGGAAGTTCACCAAGCTCCAAAACGACATCTACCGGTGGCAGAGGGAAGGAAACCGGACGGCAACGATCGAGAAAGCCCAAAGGGATATGGGAGAGGTCGACGAGGCAATCCAAAACATGCTTCAACAACATCATAATAGGCAGTACTCGGTGGTGTAGGCACTCTGTCTGGTCAACGGTGTACGCGATGGTGGGGGGGTGGTGGTCAACACGACTACGAGATATCAGTAGAGTTTCACTCATCAAAGACTCAGAGGGGGTTGGTTTATATAAGAAGAACTCAGAAGAGCAGGAGAGGTCAATCTCAAAATTTGGAATTGGGCATTTTTGGATGGTTATGGTCTCTGAATAAACACGTTGGAAAGACGGTCTTTTTGTACGCTATACTCGATGCGATTATCTGATTTTTAAAGAGCTAGAGACCTCCGCAGTGGTCCACCAGGATCAAATCTTGGGTTCCTTGGGTTCTTAAATAGATCTTATACGTAAACCACTGCTCTTGAAGGTTTCTATGTATGTACTCCGTCGCCTCTTCTCCACTCGCGTCTACGATGGATAGGTAGTTTAAGCCGGTAACCGTCTGGCGGGAGACTTTACGAAGAAATTAAGGGGATAAAAAAAGATTTCATCAATACATTAGGTAGATAAAAGCATTCGGAAGAGTCATAGTTATGTAAATACGTTCACCCTGGCATAGTGATGAAAATAGGCACAACGGAGACATCACCAGATTAGACTATTCATATATGTAGACCGTCAGCAGGAACAGAATGTAACAGGGGGTTGAAAAAAAAGAAAAAAAAAACTGGGCGATATATTATTCTTGTGGTATCGTCTTTGGTAGGTGGATTATTTTATTATTACCAACTCGTTAACCCTAAATGAGTGGAGGAGACCGGGTGACACATGGAATTTAGGGGGGTGGTTGCGGCCCTTCCCGGATTCCCCGCTCACTGGCTAGAATCTAACGCACAGACTCCCGTTTAGAATTCTAGAAAACAACATCGTGAGCCTCTTCGGCCCGCGATTCTTTATACCCTTCAATACCGAAGACCGAAGCCGGATGAATACCTTTTTAAGATTATAATACAAAAACATATAGAACCGCGTACCGAACAGGCGGGACTCTTATACATAGGAACCAACTCGCTAGTAAAGAAAATGATATTGACTAGGCACGTGTCTACCACTTAATGGACTTGCTTCTCTTTAGGTCCCCCTGAAAACCAATCCCTGATTGGTTATTTGGCACTACACATGTAGGATTGATTCGTTGACTTAATTCAGTATGTGAATCTCGCTCTCCCCCGCTGTATAACCCAAGATTGGACTAGAATAAGACCCCGCCACAAACATTGGCCAAGTCATAGAGAAATCCATCACATAGAGAAATCCATCACCAAATCGGTCTTTGGTCGGCTCGTATCCCGCTATCAATCGGCGGAATCAAATGCAAATGGGTATCCATGTGGGCAGACTTGCGTCATTAACCCATTCAAAACTAGCACTCTTCATAGCCGTGTCGCATTTATATCTCCAAAGGTACCCACAAGTTGGCCCCCTACTTCATCCTTGACACTAGGGGGTTTGCCTTGTATCTCGATAGTATCGTCGTCGCCTAATAACCAGTCTACGGCGCCGAAAGCACTGTCTGTGGGGGGAGTTTCGCCTTCTCGCGAAAGCTTGGATAATATGTTTTGGTACCGGGCTAAACGGGCGTCTTGCCCTGAGAATAAAGCAGGTTGAGTCCTCTGAGACTCCTGTGGGGTGATTTCAAAGACGTCGACAAGATTGCTGAAACCATTAGTATACTGAACAATGAGCGGGGATGAAACTGGAACGCGCATACTTGGACGTCCGTGCTACTACTCTCTGCAGAGCTTCCACTTCTCGTTGCGACTCAAGCGGGTCAGCTTGAGCGTTTAAATTTTGCTCGCCGAAGCTTCCATACTGGAGATTATTCGGGTCGTCGAAAAGTAGTCGGGATACATCGTCCTTTTACAATTAGCCAATGCTGATGAGGATAATATAAAAATATCGGGCGCATACTTCATCGTAGGAATCGCGGCGGCCGCGGCCGAGGCAAGAAGAGCAAATACCCATTTTGTGATTATGGCGGATTGAATATGAGAAGGAAATTCAGAGAAATTGGGAAAAAAAGGTGGACCGGGACATATGCCCTCTGGTAAGGTCTAATAGAATAGAATCATAAGGATCGTATAATCTGCCTGGCGGCACCGGGCGAGAGTTAGAATTTTTTGATAGCTTGTCGCAAAAGGTTGAAGTTGGAAGAATTTGGGGAACGTTCGGGTTCATGCGCGACGCGGGACTACGTACCTACTTGGGTACTAACCTGTGAAGAGGCTCGTGCACAATTACGTAAGCCTCCAAAGTACGGAATACACTACATAGAGCAATCAGTTACCTAATGACGACATTGTCCCTTAACTTTTAAGCTTCGACGATAGTTACTCTTAATTTAAACCCCCTACTAGATGTTCCAGATGGAAGGTACAATACGAAGTCCACTATAAGGCTCCGATAAATTTAAGATCTATTACTTGGACTAGTGCCTAACCACCTTTTATTAGGCTTCAATCAACCTCCTGATTTTCTTTCTTTTCTTTCTAGTCTACTCAACATAGACAGCTATCAACTTCACAACATATGCTAGACTGCCTTCATTGGTACCCGAAGTATCGTTACGCACTCTTTACACAAGTAGCTTTAATATGAAGATATCTAACTTTATCAGATTCAAGGCATTACCGTCTTAGAGTTGGCTCTTCCTCAATGCGCTGTCAGTGCGCGTTTGATCAAGCTGGCAATCTCCGTAATATCATCCTTGTTCGTCTTTTGACCTCCCATGAGGTACAACACGTTGCCCAAGACCCGACTATGGATATTCCACATTGTTTCCCGGTTGCCCTCTAGTAAAGCACTTTGTAGCTTTAGGGCTGCGTTACTCTTATAGCCTAGGCCATCCGAAGCATTCATGTGAATAGCAAGTATACTACCGAGAGCCCAAGTCCCTGCTATAAGCTCTGTTTGATTCGAAATCCAATTCAATAAGTCCCAGGGCCAGATGGACCACACCTCGGGTTTCGTGGCACTAAACTGGCCAAGTAAAGACCCTGACCAGTCACTACTTTTCGCCCAATCCCATTCGCCTCGCTTCTCCATCGTCTGCATCTGTCGTAACGACTCTACCGCAACTTGGCAGCCGATAGGATGGGCTGTGTAACTATGTCCATGAAGCAGAGCATCGGCTTTATCATCGCTCTCAAAGGCTTTGAAAATGCTCTCGGACGCCAATGTAGTACTAAGTGGTACCAAGCCGCCAGTTAAGAGCTTAGCATGAACAGAGACATCAGCCTCAGCTTTAAGAAACGACGATGCAGTAAACCTGCCGAGTCGATACAGCCCCGTGAAGACTTCATCAAATATGACGGGAAGGCCAGTCCAAGATGTAGGATCCGAAGGATCCGGTTCGGGGCACGAACCAAAGAGCTTTGCTGAGCGACGGACGACGTTGACAAGGGCACGCTGGAAAAGGGGGTCCCTGTATCTAAATTAGTCTTTGCTTCTTTTTTTTTTCTTTTTTTTTTTTTTCCTTTTTTTCCCCAAGAGAATCAACTGCTCGCTTTTTACTTACACCAACTCCATACCCCCTGCTCCGATCACCACCGGCTCCATAAGTAAAGCACCAAATTTTCGGCCTTTGCTAACGTAATACGATAGTGTTCTTTCGATATACTTCTCATACGCTTGTTGTTCATCGTTTGATTCTCGAGAGTCGATATCAAATACATCGGATAGACTATCGAAAGTCTTGTTGCTGCCAAGGTCTGCTTTCAACTTATTGGGTATTTCGACGATCCATTGGCCATGACTACACTTGACGTTCGGGTAATCAAACCAGATACCCCTTCCGTTATACCACTCGATGTTTTCGTTATACGTACTCGGCTCGGCACAATCCATAGCACCCATAGTGTCACCATGATACCCACCCTTTAGTCCAATGATTCCGATATCTGTACTCGCATCCCATCCGTACCGGAGTCTAGCCGCCCGTAGACCCATCTTTACCGCAACCTCTACACCTGTGCTGCCATTGTCCGAATAAAACACGCGAGTAAGGCGAGGGTTTCTCATCCCATATAAGAGGGTGTCTGCTAGGGCTAGAGCGGGCTCGTGAATGGCCCCAGCAAACATGACATGACCGTAGCGGCCCGCTGCGTACGCTGCAGCCATCGTGAGTGAGGGGTTGCCGTGTCCGAGTCCTTGAGTCCACCATGATGCAGAACCATCAAATGAAGGCTGCAAAACAGGTACATGCTGATTGGTTGCCCTTTCTGCTTTTGGTACCACAGTCTGGAAGAAGTCTCCTCGGGCACTGTCGATAGCAACAATCTTGTCGGGTGAGAGAGATGTGTGTTGCGTGAAGGGCCACCATATTCGTTTATATGCGTCTCTGGGCATTGACTCGAGCCTCTCAAGACGAGCTTGGTGCTTGCGGTTCAGATGCTCCAGGATATTGCGAGTACCTGTACTTTGACTTTCATCCTTGTAATACTGCAGCATCGCCTTCGCGTCTGCATCTTCATCCTGCGCCCTTGGAGGGGGTTTTGGGAACGACGCAACGGGTATACCATGAGAGGCTGTGAAGTAGTCTTTTAAGTACTTCTCATTATCATATTCGCTGTCCTGGAACACGAGGATACTCTCAACGTCATACCCGCGCAGTTTTAAGGATTCAAAAGCAGAGATGGTTAAAGAGATTCCTCCGAGTTTGGAGTCGGCGATAAGTATGACGGGGCATCGCACTGCCGCATATAGGTCCGCTTGCGTAGTGCCTGTTGGTCCAGGAGAGTGAACGCCGCCGGCAGTTTCTATGAAAAGCCACCCGGGTTGTTGAGCTGCACTCCGAGATGCGAATTGATATATCCTAGACAGGAGCTCTTTATCCGAAGGTACTAACTTCATAGCCAAGTGTTAAGTCGCCAACACCATCAAGATCAAAGACGGAGCGTTTCGTACCTTACCCTTTGCCGCAGCATGCGGACTCATCGCCAGATCATACTGCAGCAATGTTTTGCGAAGGACCCCAGGGGCGTATCTTTCGATGTGGCTATATTCACATCAACACATGTAACCCAATGCTCTCTACATTGACTCCTATAACTCCTATAGGTTAGTATTATCACAGTTTCACAAGACAGAGTAGCCAAGAGCTCACGTACACCGATCATCGGCTTCATCTTCCGGGCCTGTTGAAACGGGCTTAAGGTACGATGTCTGCTCTTTTTTCCATATACTATTGGCAGCCCTGCAGAGAAGCGTGGCTATGATAGTTTTACCAACATCAGTGTTGGCTCCATAGACTTGAAAGACTCGAAGAGAGCTCCAAAGCAGAGGGTGGGCGGGTGCCATTTACACTACACCACCCTCGTAGGATGGTGAGTTGCTTCTTGGTGTTGTTAAAGGCCGCTGAATGCGGACACAAAATTACGTGCTAAGTATTATTCCCAATTAATCCGGCAAAGCAACAATATATACCCCACTACTCTGCAGCCGTGACATCGGTCCGGAAGTTTTCATCTCGTACTAGGGTATACCTAGATAAGTAGTGTATTGATCGACATATGATCAACATTACATACAGATGAATATAATTGTACTCAGCCCTCATCCTTTGAGTGCTCAAATCACTGGACGGCAATGACAGGTACACGGAGGCGACTCGATGATACGCTTGGGGAGGTCTTAGCGCGCCGAAAAACCCTCAACAGGCTCAGAAAGTTGAGCAATACTCCAGCTAACTTTATTGATTTTTCATCCAATGGCTATTTATCTTTATCGACAAACCCGGAAATTCAGAAATCATTACTGTCCCGCTTACAGGCCGAAGTCGCAACCTCGGAAGACAGTAACGGATCGCGCAATGCGCGTAGATCGCTCCTCGGCTCAGGAGGCTCTCGTCTCCTCGATGGCAATTCGCCATTTGCAGAGTCGCTTGAAGCTAAAATTGCCTCTTTCCATGGCGCGGAAGCTGCACTTTTATTCACTTCCGCTTATGATGCCAACACCGGATTACTTGGCTCTGTCCCGCAGCCCGGGGATGTAATTCTCTACGACGAGCTAATTCATGCGAGTGTTCATGACGGAATGCGTATGAGCCGGGCTACGAGAAGGATCCCATTTGCGCATAGTTCCATATCAGAGGCTCAACAAGGACGAGTTGCTAACACCAAGGAAAGCCGAGCGGCTAGTGGCAGTAAGAACCAGGGGCTAGATCATGTCCTGAGGGAATTAGCGAAAGATGAGCGGGTCACTAACTGCCAAGCTAACGTTTTCATTTGCGTAGAAGGGCTTTACAGCATGGACGGTGATACTATACTCTTGAAGGAAATTGTTGAGACGGTTGACCGATACCTACCGTCTGGAAACGGATACGTCATAGTCGATGAAGCGCACTCAGTAGGTGTGTTCGGCAAAGATGGCCGTGGGCTAGTATGCCAGCTCGGCTTAGAGGATCGAATATGGGCGAGGGTACTTGGTTTTGGGAAAGCGATGGGTTGTGCCGGAGGTATGTATTTAATGCCCGTCCGCGAATGTTTCGGTATTTTATTGGTGAACTTGGTGAACTTGGCGCTTGCTAAGATACCGTCACCACTAGGAGTATGAGTATTAACACATCCTGCACTAGGCGTCGTTCTATGCTCCTCCATTACTCGATCGTACTTGATAAACTACGCCAGAAGCCTTATATATACGACATCGATGACCTTTACGTCACTAGCCAGCATAGATGTTGTTTATGATTTTCTCATAAGCGGACAGTCTGAACCATTGCGACGACACTTGGAAACTCTCATTTACTATACGCGCCATCAACTTCATACTCTCTACACTCGTTTAAAGCCAAATCGAGACACGCTTTATGTCGAGCAGACAACTCTGAAGTCACCGATTATCCCGATTCTAACCGCCTCCCCTCGTAGTCTTGCGGAACATTGTCAACGGTTCGGCTTCATGGTGCGTCCTATCGTAAGCCCAACTGTACCTCTAGGGAGCGAGCGGGTAAGGGTCTGCTTGCATTATTCTAACACGAAAGAGCAAGTTGATGAACTATGTAGTGTAATTGAGGTATGGGTGAAGAGTCAGATGGCCGAGGTGATGCCCCAGGAGAATACGGAGTCCCACAAGAAGGTCACGGAAATTACGGACGGATTCATCAAGGAAGATAAACCGCGACTATAACGTCTATAACTTGAACTAGTTAGAGCATTTTCAACTTAGCTAGTCTAGCTACAAGCTATGAGTCACTAATTGTGGGTGGCGGAGACTTATCAAAGCTCTTCATCGGCTCCAAACCCCATCGATCAAACAGAGCCTTGTCCTCGTCCCAGCCATTGCATTCTGTTGTCAGCATCTTCTCGCCAGTGAAGATAGCGTTCGCGCCAGCCATGAAACATAACGCCTGCTTCTCCTCTGACATGGTCTTCCTACCAGCAGCTATTCGGACGATGGTTGCCGGCATGATGATGCGGGCGGTAGCAATGGTTCGAAGCACTAAAATACGTAGAGTTAGTAAGGCAATTACATATAGATTCCGCAAGGACATTTCATCAAAGATCCTATCTCACTAGGTAGTCTATACTTCGGGATAGACTCGAAATCCCGCATTATGCTCCTGAGGTGCAGACAAAAGGGGGCTAAGGTATCTAGGTGTACTTACTACTCGTAAAATCGATCGGCTCACGATCTCCAAGAGGCGTGCCTTTAATAGGTACTAGAGCATTTACCGGGAAACTCTCCGGGTGCTTGGGAAGCGTCGACACGGTATGCAGCAAGCCGACACGATCCGTCGACGTCTCGCCAAGGCCGAGAATTCCTCCGGAGCAGACGTTGATGCCGGCGTCACGCACGTAGCTAAGAGTCTTCAATCGCTCGTCGTAGGTGCGCGTCGAGATAACAGACGGGTAGAACTCGCGGCTCGTGTCGACATTGTGGTTGTACGCCGTCAGCCCGGCGTCTTTGAGCTCCTTCGCTTGCTCCGAGTCGATCATGCCCAGCGTGACGCACGCTTCCATGCCGAGAGCTCGCACGCCCTTGATCATCTCGGCGATGTTCCGCAGGCTGTTCTTGCGCCCGCGCATGTCCGGCCATGCGGCGCCCATGCAGAATCGCGTGCTGCCGTTTTCTTTGGCTGCCCGCGCGGCTGCTAGCACCGACTCGACCGTCTCGACTTTCTTCGCTTGAAGTCCTGTGCCTTTTTGGTATCGCGTAGCTTGGGCGCAGTAGGAGCAGTCTTCTGTGCATCCGCCGGTCTTGATATATGTATTTTAGCGATTATCTTTATTTATTTAATAATTTATTTAGTGTTAGTTTACCTTGATATTCATGAGCGTGCATAGTTGCACTTCGGCCGGGTCATGAAAGCGTCGGTGGACGAGACTCTATTACGGCTGGTGTTATCAGTCGAGTCCACTGCCGTAGCTAAAATCATTGGTTTCTTGTATATGATTATCTTACCGCTTGGTGCACTAAATCCATCAATGGATGATTGTAGATTGCCGCTATCTCGTCCCTCGTCCAATCATTCCTCGGTTGAGTCGCGGAGACGGCATCACGGAGGGTGTTCTTAGTACTTTGGATAGGAACTTCTTGCCTAACATGGACCGGTCCGGGAATAGGGAAAGGCGGCTGATCAAAATGTTGCGGCTGGACCGCGGCGGCAGCAGCAGCAGCAGACGGACGAGATGAAGCCGTCGTAAACGATCGGATACCGTTACATCGAGCAGGCCGAGCCAGCGGCTGAGTAAATCGACGAAGAACCGGGCGCGCGGGATTCATGATTACGCACAGATTGAATCTCATCGACTCACGGAAGAGAACCAGTCTTGAAGTTTAACGGGCTACATCATGACGAAGCAGCAAAGCAGGCAACCAGCAGGTAGCCTATACCGGGCTCTCTCTAGCCAACCCCCCCACGTCTCAACAGAAGCCCTACCCCCCAATACTTTTTTCGCCAGTGGGGTGGTGGGTTTCGGCTACTGAAGGAGATCCTCACGACGACTAGTGTATGTCCATTGTAGTGTACATGGTGTATGTAGAGGTATGTCGACGGCATATACCTACCTAAAGCGACTAGGCACGCGGGTAGCGAGATGGCCCATGGGCAAAGGGACGCTGTATCACTCGGCCAAGTGTTGAACTTAGCCGGCACTAAAGGGATTGGCGACAATCCACATCATCCCCGCCGGCGTGCATGAGGCCATTGAGGATCGCCGCCTTCCAATTTGCGAGATATAATTCGCTACCTATGGGTATTGCGTAATTGAAATAGACGTACGTATGTAGGAGAGGATGCCGACGTAATATGCGATGGGCTGGCGAGGCATTGCTCCTGAAATTAATTATCTCATATTAGCAAAGCTATACCTAGGAGAATGTTCAAATGCTTTTACTCTATTCTATCATGTAAATGCTTTATAAATTCAAATGAAGCTAGTGCTCATATTCTCATGAACTTCTATCATTCTCTTCATTTTTTATCACATGTTAATGAATTCCTAGGCCGTTCTATCTCATTCATATGAGGTGTTATGCGCATCGAAATAACTTTTTAATTGAGATGCAAATTTTACAATATACATAAACAGATAATAATTGAAATGAGAGAAAATATGAGTATGGGCTGAGAAAAGTGAATCCCCTCCCCCCAAGTCTTGGTAAGGTGAGCTAAAATGACACTGTAAGAGTCTACATGGCACATTTACGGAACGACCCAATAGGCGCATGATCTTATTACTACAATTCACGTAGATACTCATAGTAATGGCGATGTGTCTATAATGACTGGAAGAAATGTAGTTTTTCCGAGGTTCACTTTAATCTGGTTGAAGTTTCGTCAAAGAAATGCCCTGAAGACATTCTAACGGCTTGTCATAAATGTCAGGCAGCAGACAATTGTGTAATGAAAAGACCTTACCTATTACCTATATATTTAATTATGAGAAACTCTTATGTTTTACATCACTATAACATATTTTTATAAGTACTTCCCTCCAGTCTGTAGCCCCTACGGTATAAAGGCATCAACGTGAGATTATATAGTGAACATTATCGGATTAGTAACGTCAAAGCTAAGCTTTAACCACGGTTAGGCAAGCCGGGAGGTCATAGTAAATGGAACTGGAAGTGTAATTCAATAATTTAGGATGTTAATGTGAAATGCAGGGCGAGAAACCGGATCTATGTATCAAGTCTAATCTTATACTTCAACCCTTCAGCGTGGAATTTAAGGGATACTTTCAAGCCAGCGTGGTGATTTTATATATAATTGCAGTTAGGTAGTTGTCGGGTTCGTGAGTGAGCTAGGTCGAACTCGGCTTCCTTTTGGTGCGAGGATGATTTTACCCCTTTTTCAAAATTCGGCAGATTTATTATGACTAGAAGCCTGAGCCTAACCCTAAGCTTATTAATGGAAACCCTTTGAGAATAAATATTAGAATCATAGGCGTAAGAAAGGTTCCTTCGCTATAATACAAAAGAGGCTGGTAATCATGTGGCGTGATAGGTATAGAATACAACAAACAATATACGTTTTAATGAAAATACATTCGAAAGTCCTGCGGATGAGCACCAACATCTTCTTAGGCTGGATCTGCTATTACATTTTCCCTTTCATAGGGCTATCTCTCTTTTCGTCAATTACACGCCTTACAGCAACTTACCAACTGTCTGAATAATTGGACAGAAGTATTTATGGTCGACACATATCCTGTTGTTTTATCATTTTATATGTAGTGTTCTTTGATCTCTGATATTTGATTAAGAAGAAACATCATAAATTTAAGTTCCATGTTAATTATGAATGAGAATTAACATATATTTTACTATGTAGAGGCTGGGTTCACCAAGCCTCGTAAAATCTCCTGAGTAGCTTCATCGCCTATCGGTGGCTGTAACGAGGCTGGTAATGCTTAAGAATTAAATGAATAAAATCGATTCCGTAGCCTAACTTTAAGTACCTAAGTTAATCTAGTTCCAACATATTTACCTGATGTCTACCTACCTTCAGCATGAATTGTTAATCTTATAACCTTCCTCGATGCAATAGGTTCCTCATTTCCTTAACCTAGACGAGATAGGTTAATGGCAGCTTGGTGGTGGGAAGATATCTCAACGCTGAACGCTCCAATAACTTGCTTCTTTGCTAGGCTATGCAAGAAAAGCGATAGGCCGCTACGTGGCGGGATTCACTGGACACCAGTCCCGAATGCGACACTCGTAGCCTACCTTTCGTTGCATCATTAGCAAAGATGACTTCCACATAGCCACTTGATCTCGATGTAGTTCCTTTTAGTGCCGACCTTAACTTCTTTCCCTCACCAACTACTTGACTATCTTCTTATATCGTCGATTCTCCTACCCAACACTCCACTCGAATTGTTTAGTAACCATTTTTGAGAACTCACTCTGTCTATCGTTGACGGTCAAAAATTGGCACGATGACAAGCCTATGCGAATGTGACCACCCCGTCGTCGATAAATTACCGGAAGTCGCGTGGTGTTGTGTCCAATGCTGGACCCCGGTTCGAAAAGATGAAGAGCTTCCAGACCCGAGCACACGAGAGGAAGTGAGACACCGCGTACTTAAGAGGTCATCACTAGACTTATCATGGCCACGAAGTGTCCAATATATTAATAACACCGGCCTTGCCGATCGTGTTATTCGTGCCTTCGAGGGAAGCATATACAAGCCAGACCAAATAACCGATATTTCACATCCTAACGATGGCGGGGATCCAAGAGTTCATCTTCCGATGCAAAATATGAACCCCGTGACATACCAGTACTATCAGTACCAGCCCCTGGATACTACGCCACCCACAACACGAAACCTACTTATTAGAATCCTCCAGTTGTCTAGGGGTGAGCCTGAGGACCCGATACATGGAAGATTAATCATTGCATCCACCGAAAGTAAGCTGAGTTATGAGGCTATTTCATATACGTGGGCGAACGAGTCAGGCGACAGTGGAAGGCGGCGGCCTCTGTATCTCGAGAATAATTGGTATAGGCTTCCTATTACCGAAAATTGCGAGGCGGCGCTTCGACGGTTCCGAAATAACGAAGAACCAAGGTACCTATGGGTAGACTCCGTATGCATTAACCAAGAGGATGCCGACGAAATACGCGAACAGGTCGGGTTGATGCCTGAGATATATTCTCAGGCGCAGAAGGTTTTAGTCTACCTAGGAGAAGGCTCGCAGGACACAAGTAATGCGATGTTCGCTCTCAACTCAGATGAACAATCGGTTCAAGAATATGTGAAGAACGGCTATTACTTTGACGAAATAAAATTGCTATTTTCTCGTCCTTATTTCTCTCGCATCTGGGTTATACAGGAATTAGCTCTGGCTAAAGCTGCTAGCTTTTATCATGGGTACGACACTCAGTCGCTCGAGCTTTACCATTCCCAGGAGAAAATTGAGCGCATGTTTAAGGAAGTTCATGCTGAAAAAGTCCTGCCTCTTTGGCTACAGCACTGCGGAAGGCGGAAGCTGAGTTCCTGGGAAGAATTCGGGAGTTTGATATTCGACGGCATATCTAACGAGGCTTCGAGACCAGAAGATAAGATATTCGCCTTCTTCGGCATGATGGATGGCGCGAGCATGGAGGGACTGGTTGCAAATTACAATCTGGCATTAGAACAGGTTTATACCGGCATCGCCGCTTTCTTGATGTCCAAAGGTTACTTAATGAGCCTCTTGGAACGAGCAAGAAGCGGAGGATCCCAATCGACACATGATAATCGATCCTTGGATCTCCCTTCATGGGTTCCTGACTTTTGTTGCGCGGCCCGCGACGACGAAATTGATCTCGATCCTGAGTTCCGTCCAGTCTGTATTCAACTGGACTCATCTGAACAACGGGCACAACCTATCCCTGAGGCTGTTCTTAGTCGGACTGGGTCCCTGATTATCCATGGATATAGAATACTAAGAGGTATTGACATGGATGGTCCGAGATCGAGGTACACATGGGGCGAGGTTAGGGTCGGCTTCCAAAGATTATTCGACCCGGTCATGGACATCATCATGTTACCGTATGTTAGGGATCCTAAGCCGTACGCCCTGCATCTTCGGAAGACTGATATTCATAACCGTACCAAATGCTATACCTTCATTGGGTTATGCAAGGTTGGGCTACCTTATACATTCGCCGATGGCGGCGAGAAGATAGTGCTTCAACCTGAATATTTCCCTATTCCTAACGACCCCGAAATCCTGACGGTGCACAAATTCCTCGAGAAAAACCCTCATATGGATCTCAAGTTTAGTCCCTGGCGATTATGGGTTTCTTCTCAGGTAGGCAAATGTTATTTGAGGCCAGAATGTTCTTAATCTAATGATTTGCAGGAAAGAGAACGTTACTCCAATGTTAAAGGCCTTGGGTTTTCCTGGGTATTCGGACGAGGGCCGAGCCATCGCCGCATGAATCTCCTTGTCGGGCTTATAAGATCAGAGGCAAATCTTAAATCCATCCCATGCCATTATGATAAACTATGGTATCAATGTTTGCAGGCCTTTTACGTAGCTATGTCTGCCGCAGAGAAATACCGTAGGAAGATATTAAAAGAGTCCTATGATTCAAGCGAAGAGCTATTCATCGAACTTCAAAAGAAAATTGAGCTTTGGCAGGAATCAACACGGCACCTAGAAAAGGCGCCTTGCCCGAAAGATAACTTCAACAAAGATATATTCAAAGGCCTTTACCCTCTCCATTCTTCGAATTCTATCAGACAACGTAAGAGACGTCCAGCTGCTACTAGCCGCATCATGCGTAGAGTGTTTAGTCAAGCACTCTCGAATATTGAGCACAGTATATCAGGCCTCCGCTCGGAAAATTTGAGCTATGGTAAAGGACCCGTCGACATTATTAAGGAAGCTGTACAACATCTAACTATGAATCGGAAATTCGTGATACCACTGTCTCTAGTTCCTAGAAGAGAAACTGTGACAACTGAAGTACGGAGGGCATTCGATGTGATTAAGTCTCGATCAGATCGTGAGCCGAGGTTTAACTTTATCTCCGGGAGTCGTGAAGAATTCATCATTATTTAAGTGCGAGTTTTGGCATATTGCTCTTGGGTTAGGTTGAAAAAAAAAAAAAGGCTGTGAACTATATAATTTAAAAAGTATATTGATTTCTGTTGAATACAAGTGATACTTTGTTACCTACTCCCATGGCAACCACCTCTTTTCATCTAAGCGTTTACCAAGAGGACGCTAAGACTTTATCCCCGTCAACTTAACTCCGATATCCCGGGCGCAATCGGCCGTTAGCGGTGAAGCGACTTTCTTAGATTTCGGTTTCCTTCTCGTCCTCTAAGATTAGCCTATGATAGACGGACAGACAGGGTTGGATTACAGCTGTCGCGAAAGAGAAAAAAAATACACTCTCATATCAATTTCGGGTGATTTTTTCCCTTTTCTAACCAATTCTCTTTACCTCCTCCTTCCCTTTCAACTCGGAACTGTTTCCTCGCCTCAGATGGCAACAGTCAGATTGGGAGCGTCTCGTACTGCTCGGGTTAAAAGTTTTGACGCTATCATTTCCCAGAGAGCTTATAGCCATAGAGCGCAAACCCTTCGATATCGACATAATGACTTACATATAACAACTGGTAAGTACCTACATTTCGGTATTTCCTTCGAGTTGTTTTTTTCAACCCTTGCTTGGAGACCAAGTAGGGATATTGGAAAGTCATCATCCATATTACCATGGCTGTTGCGCATTTCTTTCAACTATTCCGGTTATCGGCCTTCCTAGTGGATGCAACTTCTCCCAATTACCGTCGGTGCCTTGCTGCACGACAGTTTAGCATTGCGCTCCAGTCCCACACTTTTAAGGCAGGGGGCAAATCCTGGACGCACGCAGTCAGGCGGCAGAAAAAAAAGATATGGGGGCTTTACGTCCGTAGGGTCTTTTCCTGGATCGCGTGGGTGAAACAGTGCACGATTTCTAATTTGTGCAGAGGTGAGGTTTGACAAGTAGTTCCAAGTTGGGGCTTATTGTTATTTATTATTATATTGAATTATCATTTGTTTCTCCGGTTGTAATTCCCTCATCATTCCCTAAACATACCACAATTTCTCTAGCCGATGCTTCCTTCTCCCTATTCGAAAGTTTAAAGAAAGAAAAAAGGACAAAAATAGTGTTTGAAACTTTGAAAATTGGGTGCTTTCCCCCATAAGTATTAACTACCTGACCTAACCAAGCTTTTTTAATCAGGAACGGCAGTAGCAGCAGCAGCTAATACCCCGCGCTCGCTACTACTGTCATATTCAGGGTCTGTCACTACCCCGCCATCTCCAAAGTCGCTGTTACACTCCCCTAAACGCCATTTTCACCATCAAGCACCAATGGCTAGACTCAGCCTTGGAAACATAAACCCGCACATCGTCGAGGCCAAGTATGCCGTCCGCGGTGAGCTCGCTGTCAAGTCAGAGGAATACCGTGCCAGACTGAAAAAGGGTGACAAGAGCCTACCATTCTCCCAAGTTATAAGCGCAAACATCGGCAACCCCCAGCAGCTCGATCAGAAACCCATTACCTACTTCCGCCAGGTTCTGAGTCTTCTCGAGAACCCTAAGCTGCTAGAACATGAGGATGTTCTAATAAACTCCCTGGGTTATAAGACAGACGTACTGGAACGGGCGAGATGGCTTTTAGATCACGCCGGTAGCGTTGGAGCATACAGCGCCAGTGCTGGTGTTCCAGCCATCAAGGAGAGCATTGCCAAATTCCTTGAAAGTAAGTTTAAACTAATTCAAAAGTTAATGCTATTTTCGTGTTGACCGGTAAATCCAGGACGGGATGGCTTCCGCGCCGACCCGGCACATATCTACCTCTCGGCCGGCGCTTCGTCCGGTGTCAACACCCTCCTACACGTAATATGTGCCGCTCCTACCACCGGAATTCTTGTGCCTATTCCTCAATATCCGCTCTACACCGCCTCGCTCTCCGTTCTCAACTCCACATGCGTCCCTTATTATCTCGACGAGTCCGCTCATTGGGGTACATCGCTCGCGGCTATTAAAGAGTCCTACAACAAGGCCAAGGCTGACGGCATCGACGTCCGCGCTATTGTTATCATTAACCCGGGTAACCCCACGGGTGCTTCGCTGTCTGAGGAGGATGTCCGGTCCGTCCTGGAATTTGCTGCTGAGGAGAAGCTCGTAGTTTTGGCCGACGAAGTCTACCAGACCAATGTCTTCATCGGAAAATTCCACAGCTTCCGCCAAGTCCTGCTCACTCTACAAAAGGAGCACCCCGGAAAATACGACGAGGTTGAACTTGCATCTCTACACTCCATCTCCAAGGGCATGGTCGGCGAGTGCGGCCACCGTGGTGGCTTCTTCGACCTGATTGGCTTCAACCCTGAGGTCGAGGAGCAGATCTACAAGTTCGTGTCCATTACGCTATGTGCCCCCGTCATCGGCCAGTGTCTCGTCGAACTTATGGTCAATCCGCCCAAGCCTGGTGAGCCTTCGTACGAGCTATATGACCAGGAATACAATGCCATATATAACAACCTTAAGACGCGCGCATACACTCTATACGAGGCCTTCAAGGAGATGGAGGGCGTTGAGTGTGGCGAACCCCAAGGTAGTATGTACATCTTCCCTACCATCCACGTGCCCCCCAAGGCCGCCGAGGCCGCCAAGGAGGAGGGTCGTACGCCCGACGAATTCTACTGCATGCGCCTTCTAGAGGCTACAGGCGTATGCGTCGTGCCCGGAAGCGGTTTTGGTCAGGCCGAGGGCACCCTGCATTTCCGCACTACCTTCTTAGCGCCCGGCTCTGAATGGGTTGGCTCTATCAAGAAGTTCCACAAGGAATTCATGGACAAATACAGATAGACAGACAGTGAGAGGAGGGAACGAATAACAACAGTGAGCATTGTATGGGGCCGGCACACGGGAGTTAGCGATGGTTTAGTTCGAGAGCAGCAGGAATTGTGGAGGAACAAAACAACCTAGATACCTACGAAACTGGTCATATCGGCCGCTTTAGGGAACCTCATGTGTGTATTGCTTCGTGGGAGGATAGGATAGGGCGTTAAGACTTTGATACCTACATACACACTCTCCGCTACGCATCACGAATCTTATAGAATCACCCCTAACTCATAAAGGTCATGCATACCTACCTACCTAGTGGACACGCAAATTCCTTCACTGTGAGCTTAAAACGAGGTGGGTCTCGGCCCGTCTATGCTTGATTCGTATTGTTACATTATCTGTCTATTGCACAGGCACGCAAAATCTCGTCACCGGCAACAGCTGAACCGCCTTGGACGCCCTTCTATTCATCTTTATTAGGTACTTTCATACTACTGCTACTACCCTTTTTTTACGCCCTCTCGCTACCGCGGAGCCGCACGGCCTGGCCATACTTCTGCAGCTTGGTGATCAGCTGATCGCCCTGCTTGACGACGTCCTGGTACTGCTTATTCTTGTCGTCGGGACGATTTGTCTCGATGATGCCCTTGCCTGTTACGCGGTCGATGGTGCATGGGATGCGGCCGCCGGCGATGAATTTGGCGAGGTCGCTAGGATAATAGGTTAATACTAGATAATTTAAGAGGAGACAAAGGAGTGGGAAGAATGGGTAGATGAATATAACATACCGGTCCAAGAAGTCGACCGTGATGCCGAAGTCGTTGGCCATGCTCTCGAGCCCGACGACGCGGTAGCTCTGCAGCAGTTGTTGGTAGGCGCGGAGGCGCATCTCGCGGATGAACCAGCCCTTGTGCTCGTGGAGGTAGCGGTCCTGGGTGAGGAACTGCTCCTCCACGAGGGCGAGGGCCTGGAAGAATAGCTTGTAGTGGCCATTGTACAAGCTGCTGACGAGCTGGGCGAGGGGTGAGAAGTCAACGGCTAGCTCGGCCTCGGGCTGGTCGGAGCCGGTGCCGAGCGTCGTCAGGTTGACGGCTGCAGTAACCTTGGTAGGAGCCGTAGGGGAGACGGTTTCCTGAGTAGCGTCGCGCATCTCGGCGTCCTTAGCGCCGGGGCCCGCGGAGATAGCACCAGACAGGGCGAGAAGCCTATCGTCGCTGTCGGCGCCCAGGATGGCCTTGATCTCGGGGGCGTCGACGACCTTGCTCTTGAAGTCGACTCGCTTGAGGGAAACGGAGCCGGCGAGAACGGAGTACACGACTAGGTTGGAGTATGTACATAATTCGTAGCTGGTGAAGGTCGACAGGGAGTCGAGGAGGAGAGGCGCGGCGAGGTTGTAGGAACGAACGGTAAGTAGGTGTAGGCCCTCGTAGGCCTTGAGGCGGTTACGACGGTCCCAGTCGCCGCCACTTTCGACGAGCGTCTTCGCGCGCGTAACGTGCTTCTTTACTAGAGCCTTGTCGCCGTAAAACAGTCCCATGCGGATTATTGCCAATACCAGGTCGATCTTGGTGCCCAGGATACCTGTCTTCTCGAAGACATCCTCGTAGGCTGCTATCGCCTTGTCCTGTTGCGATATTATTAGTAATAGTTAGATTGTAGAGCAGCCAGGAAATAGAAATACCTTGTCTCCAATCTTGGCAAAGAAATCGGCACGCTTCCCCTTCGCAGCCATGATTTCCGTCTCGCCAGCTTGCTCAACAGCTTCGTCCTCCTCCTTCTGGAACTCCTCTAGCTCCTTATCGTTCTCAGCCTTCAACCTGTTGTAGACATCTTCGTCCCAAGGTAAGGTCGCACCAACAGTTTTGCTGGCGACCATACCCGCGGCGCTTGGTTTCCGGCTGGTGGGCTTCTGAGGTACTGATGCCGATGAGGTCTCGCCGGTAGCATTCAGGATGCCCTCGGTGGGGTGTGCCAGGTACTTATACAGAGGGGCCATCTTATTCTCGTTGATTCCATCTTGTAAGCTCTTAATTGCAGCCTGTTGGGCGGGTCGAGTAGCGTAAGGATTCGTGATGGTGAAGACATGCTGGGCTAGAGGTAGAGCAGGCCATTTCGCATACTGAGGGTCGGAACCCATGATGAAGGAGGGGGAAGGGAAGGAGTGGCTTGAGCTTTAATATGTGGGATTATGGAAGAGAGAGAATTATCGTAGCATGCAGAATCGTTAAAGAATTGAATGTCGTCGCCGTTGGTAGTTGATGAAGCTTCTCACAAGATAGATGATACCTAGAACCTGTGAGTTTAAAGTTGATGTTTAAAGTTGATAACGGATAGAAGAGCTGCTGCTGTTTTGCCAACGGTTGCAAGCAGCTGCAGGCGGCCATCAGCGGACGTAACTTTCACAACTAAACTTGCTTATGAACCAATCACTGAGCACCTGTGGGCCTTCTAGAGCCTCAAGGTACCTTGGTACTTATCTAGCAGTTCTAGATAAAAGCGTAAGGTACGGGCTACCCCGGTTCTTCACTAGCTCAATGCCAAGACTCGCATACCTTTCCAGCGTCCGCATCACCTTAGGAACTACGGAAGTCCCCATCAAAAGTTTTGTCCATACGTGCCACCTGACAACTTTTGATGCAGCTGTCTGGAACCTAACACCATGCGGCAGCCAAGATTAAAAGTATATACAAAATTTTAACTTTTATAACATATCCAATTTTAGCTTCAATATGCCAATGAAAACATTAAAATTGAACCTATTATAAGTGCAAAAGCTTCTTTATACGCCTATATATCTTTTATCGTTTGAAGAGAAGATTGTGAGTCATTATGTATAAGCGAAAGTAGTGTGCTATGGATAGTACAAGCGCTCGATGACGTACAGCTGTTGCCAAGCCCTGTCAAAGCTAGTCAAAAGCTAAAACTTTTGATGGGGACTTCCGTAAAGATCTTAAATATATCCTAATGTCAGGTTAGGGACCTCTTCACCTAACATATTCCATCTTTTCTTTACTCAACATTTTCTTTAACCGCCCAAGAAATTAACAAAATCAAATTAGAATTAGAAATTCCAACCCATATCAGCCAAGTTTAATTCAACTTTACCTGCGCAATTACATACCTGAACGGTCAAAAATTCTCTCGTCTCCTACAACAATGGCAGGAGACTACGCCTCCGAAGAGTTACCTCAGCCTTTTGACGCGAAACATCGCGAACCCGCTAAGAGGCGCAAACATTCTCGATCTCCCAGCAGCAGTAGCAATAGCAAGCACCGAGAAAACAATTCAGGCGGACCTTCTCTTGACGAACTACCTCAACCATTCGATGCTAAGAAGCTCGAACCGGCCAAGAAGCGACAGCGTTCTAGATCACCATCCGATGCGCCCCGGAAGCTAAAGCGCCCTGGCCGCGGTGCTCGCTTCTCTCAAGCAGAATCCTCGTCTATCCGCCAGCGCCACGAGCAGCGTGAGCGCGAGGCCGCCGAAGTCGCAGCTACGCAGGCCGTGCTGGAACAGAGAGGCATCAACGACGTTGTCCGACAGCATTATAACGCCGTGCCGGAGAGGGGTCGTGATTGGAGAAAGACGGACAGCAGAATCAAGGGGCTTAGGTCGTTTAACAATTGGGTCAAGAGTACATTGATACAAAAATTCTCACCCGATGAAGACCACACGCCTGGCGCCCACGAGCGAGGGCGCGATATGGCTGGCGCTAGGGACCACGAGCTGCTCGTCCTCGATATCGGATGCGGAAAAGGTGGCGATCTAGGTAAATGGCAACAGGCCCCACAGAGAGTTCAGCTATACGTAGGGTTAGATCCCGCCGATGTTTCCATCGATCAGGCGAAAGAAAGATACCGTAATATGACCCATCGTGGCGGCGGACGGGGCGGCAGGGGCGGTCATAGGGGTGGGCGCCACCAGCCTCCGCCGTTCGAAGCTCGTTTCTACGTCAAAGATTGTTACGGCGAGTCTATTGGTGATATAGATATCATCCGGCAGGTCGGATTTGACCATTCACCCATGGGGAGGAGCGGGTTTGATATAGTCAGCATGATGTTCTGCATGCATTACGCATTTGAGAGCGAGGAAAAGGCCCGGATGATGCTTCAGAACGTATCCGGGGCCCTGAAGAAAGGCGGGCGCTTCATAGGTTGTATACCTAACTCGGATGTGATCGGCGATAGAGTCGTTAAGTTCAACGAGTGGTTCGCGAAAAAGAAGAAGGGCGAGACGACCGAAAATAAGGACACTTCAAACAAGGAAGATGCTGAGGATAAGGAGGAAGAGGAGGGCGAGGTTGAGGAGACGGCGGAGTGGGGCAATGATCTCTATCGGGTCAGGTTTCCCGGCAAAACCCCCGAGGACGGTATCTTCCGGCCTCCGTTCGGATGGAAATACAGCTTCTTCCTCGACGAAGCGGTAGAGGAGGTCCCAGAGTACGTCGTACCTTGGCCAGCATTCCGTGCTATAGCAGAAGACTACAACCTCGAGCTGCAATACCATCAGAAGTTTGACGAGATCTGGGAGGCCGAGAAAGATGATCATATACTGGGTCCCCTAAGCGAGCGTATGGGGGTTCGTGAGAGGGGAAGAGGACCACTTCTGGTTTCGCCTGAGGAGATGGAGGTTGCCAGCTTCTATCTGGCCTTCTGCTTCTATAAAGTATAGGTATATTCTTTCGATGGGTGAAATGGTTCAGCTTAGACGGCTCGTAGACGATACGCCTACTAGAGCTATGGGGTAACCTATTGCAGGGTACAAGGCGTTATGGGTACAAGGCGTTATCCGAGGACATTAACCAAAATTCCCAAAGCGATGATAAAGGACGACAGTATAGCAACGCAATAAACGCTTCGAAGCTTATACGTCGCGTAGCGAATTATGTATTCCCTAGAGCGATTCTTACTAGTTTATCTCACTCATATAGTTAAGGAGTAACTAATTGATAATATCTACCAGCGCATCTACCAAGGCTTATCATACCCAACCGTCCGGCGAGGAATCATTAGGGATAGGTATTTCCCCCAGCATCCAATGCAGTAGGCTATCACTTCACAGCCTATACCCACTTTCTATATCCGGAAATACTGCCAGGTTGCTATTGGCCAAGCTGAAATGTTTATTCCGTGTTACATACTCGCTATAAAATGCTTGTCGAGTTACGTTGGGGCACTAAAAAGAAACAGTATATCCCATCATCTAGAAGAGACAAAAAAGTTTCCAACGAGACAATAAACAATAAATAAAAATATCCCCCTGCCCATTTTGATATTCCCATCTAAATGATCACCTATCCTACACGCGACCAAGATGCCCCCTTTCCCAAGTCTACTGTACTAAATTCAATCCGTAGCCGTCTCGCATCGTGGGCGATACAGAACTACGTCCTGTTCCCTTCGGCCCTACTCGTACATACCGTAAACATCAATGTGAAAAAGAAGACAGGAGGAAAAATAACGATGTAAATCGTAAAGAAAACCATCACGCAATGGCACACGTGCTCATTGCAGGCCATAGGAGGAACAATACTACTCCCTCTCATGTTCCACCACCGCGCCATTGTCGTACATCTTACCCCTGGATAGTTACCACCCACCCCCCTTTTCCTCCATCTCGAGACGTGGGGTGAGCATCGTTATAAGGTACTATGCCCCCCTCGCCGCCAAACCCCGTAACACTAATCCCACGACAGCAAGAAAGGAAAGAAAAAAAATACATCATAACGCTATACTATGATATTCATTTGCACGGTTCCAGTTACCAGCTCGTCAGAGTCCTTATCCCTTGAAGCTATCGTCTCTCTACGCAGATAGATAGGCAACGTCCCCGTCTGTGCTATATTGGTACTAGGTCCGTCGTTGCTACCCATTTACCTGTCCATCACGGGCCATGGGCGTACCCTCTCGCCTGTGCTGCAAACGACATATGCGGCGGGGCCTGGTTCACGGCAACAACGCCGTTACGAACATGTTGCTGCTGTTGCTGCTGCTGCGGTGGCAATGAGTTGTAGTAGTTCAAGCTACCGCCATCCGTGTTCCGGTGGTGCTGGTGCTGGGCGGACGTCGTGCCTCCGTATTCGGTGCTGTAGGAGGGTTTGTTATTTCCGTTTCCGGACTGCATCATCGATGCGGCAAGGCCGCTAAAGTACGATGGCTGCGGTGCAAGGGCCTCGCCTTGCGGGCTGCTGGTAAAGTCGTCGAGGTCTGCCGCGTCGGGATCCTTCTTGAGGAGGGTTGCGTCCCACCCGTACCGGATACCGTCGCTGCTGCTACCGTTGCCGTTACTGTTGCTGTTATGTTGCGGAGCTGAAAGGAATGCTCTAGGCTTAGAGTCGAACGAACTGTTGGGAGGAAGCGAAGAGGGACAGTTAGTATAAGTCCGAGGAGAGAGTTGCAGGATACCATCTAGGTCTTAGGAAGACCTACTTGTCAGTACTAAAGACTTGGTGTTGGTGGCTCTGGCCGTACTGCTGGTTCATCCGCACCGGCATGGCGAGGTGGCCATCGGCGTCTCCTTGTTTCATCATAACGCGGGGGAGTATCGCCCTCGCATCGCCGACGGCAGTAGCAGCAGCAGCAGCCATAATCGGAGAGGCCGTGTCCGAGCCGCTCGTGAAACTACCCCCCTCGTCGGCACTGCTGTTGCTCACGCTCGGCGAGGCGCGCTTCCGGCAGTTGTACTTGCGGACGCCCCAGCGGATCAGACGGCCCCTATACGCTCTAACACTATTATCAAAGGGGGAAAGATCCCCTGGTTCTTAGCACGCTTCTATTTCTTTGGCCCTGTGACAATGCACGGCGAGTAATCTCTATGTGAAAGATAATTTATATGCTAGGTAGGTAGATATGGAAAAGGGAAACGGGAGTAGGTAAAGGGGGGCAAATGCGGAAATAGGGAAGGAAGGGGAAGGGGAAAAAAAAAGGAGTCAATTCTCACGAGGCTCTGAATCCGTACTGATCGATCATGATCTGCCGCACGACGGACAGCGTATTGTCGGCGTAGAGATCCCTAATCGTAGCTTCATATACATCCCACGGCTTCGTCATTTTCGCAAGTTATCGTGGCAAAGAGTCTCATAGTAAGTAAGGTCCAAGTTAAGCCATTATTCTCCGGCAAAAGTCTAAGGAGGGAGGCAAAAGATGTAGGGGAACGGGAGTTGCCATGGACGGCATAAGTTCCTTCTCATAGCTCTGGACACGGGCGAGCAGAGAAGTCAAGTCAAGTCAGAGCCTCACCGAACAAGTCTCTCTCGCGCGCATGTGCGGGGAGCTTGGATGATCTTTTTGGGAAAGGGGGGGGCTTGTCACCGGCGAAGGGTAGAAGGGCTAAACAGAAGGGGTAGGTATATTCGTCTACGGGCTAGGCATAGGACAGAAAAAAAAACCCCCTGAGAAGAGGCAGGCTACGGGCTGTCTATTCCTCCCCGTCGCCTTCTTCTTTAAGTCCGAGTTTTTGCGGTGTCCTAGGCTGGATTAAGAGGCTTATTATGACACGACTAGACCATATCGTAGGAACACCCACCCTAACCTAGCTCAAAAGCCTTACCGCAAAGACAAAGTATAGGATTCGGCGAAACAGCCCGTCCTACTAAGTATGACTGCTTGCTTGTCCTTGCAGATCTGGGGAAGAATTAGCGAGGAAAAGCACACTGCTGTGTAGGATACAGCCACATCAGAGCCTGCTTCTTTAGCGCCATCGTCGTGGCAGAAGATACCTAGGTCAGTACTGGTATTGCATGATATGGCAAGACAGTCATGCAAGATCCCGATTATTTAAAAGAGCCGGCCTCGAATAGTTTGCCTAGGTAATACACTTATTACCAAACTACCTAATACTCATGATGTCTTCATTTGAATATCCTTCATGACCAGTGCGTAACATAGCCCAAGGTACCGTCAACCCCCACAACCACAGACAGACCAGACTCACCTTGATAGTAAATGCGCTCCTCACCTGAGGCTGATATGTAGTTCTCACCCACGCTAAACGGTCAAAGGCGTCAATAATTACCAATTGAGGCCACGCTACCCCGAAGTATACTACCTACCTTACCTTACTATTAATAGGCCGCCTGCTCACTGGGAGGCTGTTGAAACCAGCTCCAACCTAAGACAACATGTAAAATTCGCGTTCTGCTTTATTCTAAGCGATGACGAATAATCATATCTTACAATCGGATCTGAACCTTCTTAAAACGAGGCGTCCGCATTACCTACCTAGGTACCTATCTCACAGAATCATAGAATCCCCATGTTAGCGCTTACATCGCGCCAGGATCATGGAAACGGCGTTCGGTGGCTTCTTAGTTATCAGCATTATTAAGTGCCTCAAGGTCTGAAAGTTGCTCCTGAAGGCTCATAAGAGAGAGGGTATTCTGTAATCTAGCAGCAGGCTTGACCTCATATATATAACAGTCACGCTGGGACGGCTTCTACTCGAAGGACATGGAAGATAAAGAATTAAAGATAGATTCATTAATATTGATAGTCGTAAGTAATATCTCGAAAAGCCACATTATACCACCTCATCCTTCTATCTGCAAGCGATACCATTTCGGTCTCGATTGCTGACGCATACTTGCTTCGGTCACATTTCCAGGCATCCCGTCTCACAGGTATCTTGATTTGTCCTTGCTCTTCATTACATCGAGTTTGGGCTTTAAGCCGCATCGCCGCGCCCCACGATGACGTTTCCTATGTGCTACTTAGAATTTCCGTAAAAGTTGTAAAAACCTAGGGCAATACCCTTCCATACCTAGTTACCCTCGGCAAGGCTTTACAAAGCTGAGGCTCCCTTGGCACACGGTACATAATTCCCTCATCTCAACCATGAAGGGGCATTCGATCCCTTTTAACTTGGCACGACAGGCAAGCTAGATTACTAGGCAGATGCCTTCTTATCCGTACCGTTATTGAGAGTGTTTTGTCGGGTAACGGCAGGCGATATGACTGTAGGGCTACTAACAGTCTCGCCACCTGTAATTCCCGCGTCTTGCTCTTTATGCGCATTCGGATCAATCTTCTCGAGTTTTACTTTCTCGCTAACAGAGCCAGGATGGCTAGCGTTCGGTGATGATGATTGGCTTTCGTAGGCTGCACCTGTTGCGCCGGCCGCAATACGGATTGCATCAAACCATTTCTGAGCCTCGGCAGCCGAGTGGGCTTTGAAATGAAGTTCAGATGTACCGGCGAGTTTGCTGCTAAAGCTCCCACCCTTATCCTTTCCTTTGATAGTGAACTTTTCACCTGCAGGAGCACTAATTACAGCGTCCGGGAGGAAGATGGAGAGTTCCGGTTTTGGGTCATGCCGCAAGTTATCATCGTCTTTAAACTCATGCAAGTACTTGGAAGGGGTTACGACGTAATACCCGGATTGCGTACCCCACGACAGCTTGTTTCGCGACTTGCGCTCTAAGCTACCCTCGATGAGTGGCTTAGTTGAACTGTGATCCTGATTGGGGAAAACAATGGCATCCACGCTCCGAGGCGGGTCATTTGGATCGACTAGTCGGTGGCCCTCACGAGCATTGAAACCGTTCCACTCAAAGTCAGGCGGAATTTGTTGCGCCGCGCCCAGCATGTCAACGTAGAGCGCCCTAATCTTCTCAGCCTGCCCACCAGCGACCTGATTGAGAGCATCCATTGCTTGCTGGATCACTTGTATCACGTGAGCCTCAAAGTCCTTGAAACCATCTTGTATGCTGATAAGATCGTTCCTGTGGTTATTTTCTTCAATAACCTGCTTGTTCAGTCTGTGAAGGACACCGCGCCGGATAACGTAAGGATCGTCGGTAGGGGTCATCTTGCCGCCTGTCGACTCGTAAGATGCGGCATGCTGGCCAAGAAGCTCAATATGCTTCTGGGTGGTATTCCTAGCCTTCTCGATCTCCTTTGCGCTCTTCTCAACCCCATGAGAGACTTCCTTGTGTTTTGCCTTAATCTCTTTGTGTAGTCGCTCGAGGATTGGTAGGACAGACCCCTTGAGGGTCTTCTCGGTCTCCGCGTTCGAATTGATCATAGCCTTTACACGTTAGGCACCAATCAGAGCAAATGGACAGGACAAGATCCAAATCTCACCTGAGTATTAACTCGCATATTTTCGAAGAAACCCGCCACACCGCCAAGACTCTGGTCAAAGTGCGCCCCCTCTCTTAACGGGTGAGAAATCGTCTTAAGAACCTTCTCATACTCCTTTGCGTGCGCTTTGTGGACTTTCTCGACAGCCCCAACATATTCTTCTAAATATCCTACGGCATGTTTCCAAGCCTGAAGTCTTTCGGCAAGTAATCCGGCCGTCTAAGGATAGTACGTTCGGGTTAGCGAAGGAGATAGAAATAGGGGGATCTTGAATGCGACTCACCGAAGTAGGGTCGATATTCGGTACGACATCCTCACTGAGAGTAGTGGCCTGCCTCAGAGGAAGCGTATGATTGTCGCCGCTCATTATGTAGAAAGGTCTGATACTGTATATGTACTGGATTTCGATGTTTCGCTAATTTTGTATAATACTGCGTTATGTTGCGGTGTGTCGGTCTAGATTAAATCAAATACCTATTCGAAAGTTGTCGGCTATTCTTTCGCGACAGCAGTAGTGGTGCTATAATAGGCCTCAAGTCGAAGCGATAGTGTTATTACGTATTATGTCTAAGTCTGGGTTGGTCTGGTAATTCTGAAGTTCAATCAAGTATGTCGAGAGCACAGTTGAGCAAATTGGGGAACAGTCGAGTCGGAATAGTGATGCGAAATTCTCGGATGGACCCCTGCGCCGATCAATGAGCTTCGAACCCTGGCAGTGGGCACATTCGAATCTGATCTGACGCTGATAATCGATGATTGATATCAAACCACTCAAGTTGTAAAAAGCTATGACCTCTTTTTCGCCCAAAAGGGTTAAATGGTTGAGAGAAAAGGGGTGATTTAGATTATTGCATTGGTCTCGGTCTAGTCTAGTAGGTAACTTAAACCAATTAGACGGTGCGATAATAACACAGCATCAAGTTTGCGACTGACACTTCCTCTCATAAGGAAAGGACCTGTAGAGGAATGACATCATCTAAGTGCTATGTACGTAAGCATTGAAGAACATTACACAGTTACATAAGGTAATAAATCCTGTCTGCAAGTAATTCTGTATGTAGATAATATTGCGTGTAACGAAGTACCTAACCTACCTGGTATCTTCATAGTACAATACATAAATACATACCACAGTATCACGAAACCTGTTGAAAACGTTGCATCATTCAACTGGCCGAAGCCCACAGGAGCTGGTCAAGCTCTGCCAGTGCCAATGCCAATGCCAATGCGACAGAATTTTCAAAATCCTATAGATTGTCCTATAGATTGCGGCTGTGACCGAAGATAATTCCCGCAGATCGCAAACACCGACGGGACTTACAGCCAAGTCTGGCATCGTGAGTGCGATAATTCCGGTTACGGACAGACCGAGGGTTCGGGATAGACAAATGTCGTATCCCACAAGCGAGTGCCAGGAGGTGGTATCCTCCACACAACCCCAGGACATACTACCTACACAGTAGGTAGCAAGCGAGAATTTTTTCTACTTTTTTTATTTATTTATACTTGATACGACACGAGCATGCAACGCTCCATACACACACATTATGCAAGTACACAACCGCAATTATCCGTGATGAGCATGTAAAAAGTTTTCCTTTATTATTCAGTCTCGGTCTCCAACTTGCCAAGCTGAGAGGATTGGAGAATGATATTGCTTCCTAACGCCGAGTTTCTTGGTGTCTAAATGCCAATGGTGAAAGCAACATGATGGGTATATAGCAATTCTCAGATATGTGCCTCCACAAAAAAAAAAACCAGCCAATTCAATTCCTTGTTCAGAGTCCGCAACCAGATGCCATTTCGCCGCTCAATGCAAGTGTGGCCCGTCCCGATGATACCAACCTTCCTGCGAACCATGGTACATGTGGATATCCCCTGAGCCATTAAAACGCCTAACCACGAGAGAAACCAATAAACATTACGCTTGGATGGCTTTGGTAGCCCATAGAAATGCTTAGATTGGGGAGCAATCCCAAATGGTAAAGTAGCAGTTGCAGAAGACCGTCGTGGCAATTATCTAGCCACTTCTGTTTTGGATGAGTCGTAGTCGTCGCTCGCCATCAGCGCCGCTTACAGCTGTGTGACTGGGGAAAAAACTGAATCCTCCTATCGAATGCCGATTGGTATGCCTACTCCTCGATGTGCTTCTCGATCGGGTGCTTGACACTGTAACTTCGACTTGTGGGGCCTCCGCAATGGTCGTCATGGGGTCGTTCAATACTATTCGCGTTGGAGAACCCGGCGCACTCGTTGCGGTCTGATAATCCGGAAGGATGATAGAGCCCGTGTAGCTTTGCGTTCTTGGCAGCGGTGCTCTCGTTGCTGTTGCATAACTTGGCACCTTGCTCAGCTCCGCCATGTCCAAAAACTCAGTATGCTCAGGCGGGGTGTGGTGACCCCCTGCATGATTCGGATGATCCTCCTCGCTTGTCTGTCGCGACAGCTGCGTTGAATGTACCTGCGATGAATCCCCGGTGTGCTCGCTATCATGTGGGTGGTTGAACGGGGTTGTCGCTCCTGACCCAGATCCGGTCGAGATGAAAGACTCGTTCCTCCGAGATTCGTCAAGAGAGACGTTCTGTAACCTGGAAGACAAAACCGCAGGTGGGACGGCTATAGCATGAGCCATAGCTGCTAGATTTTCTGTCGAACCTGCCCGGGATTGTGCGTAAAACGGACTGTTAAGGCCGCTGTGGATCCCAGGGGTCATGATCCCGCTCATATCAAAGTCTTCGTACAGCTGATCCAGTACGTGCATTCCGTACCCCGGGGGGGCCATCACTGAAGCGTCGCTCTCAATTACTTCGCTGGAAGTTTCAGGCGCCTGGGAAACAAGATTTCCTTCTTCGTCTAAAGGCATATTTGGCGAGATAAATATAGTTATCGGTAATGATGCCCGTAGCTAATCGCATCATTGTCAGTACCAACTTCTCCAACATCGGAGATAGGCGTAAAACCATACCTCAGAAATATGACCATCGGGATTTTGTAGTGCAACTGTGAGCTTAAGCTTGTGCCGAATCTTAATGCCGTGAACCGAGCAGTCTTGGATGCACCTGCTTAACCTCTTGGGTAGGGGTAATTCCTTGTTGACAACCCATCCTTCTTGGCCAGTTTCTTCGATATTGTCATGCCAATGCTGTTCACGGGTGACTTCGAGATTCCACGAGGTAACATCACGGTCGTGCTTGTATGATCTGGCTGGGGTTTGATAGCCTTGCACGGTGAATTCCTGGATTTCAATAAGTTTAACCGTAATAACGCCCATTTCTAACCCTTTTAGCAGAGGAGTAAACCGCATCTCTAGAGGGATATTGGTACCGAAGACAACGGCTTTTTGCGGGACGACCACGGAGTACTCGATCTTGTTTGGCCATATGTTCTCTACACTCATGGCGTGGTTGAATTCGAGGGCGGCAGGTTCCAAGGTTCGAATGATTCGAAATCGTTTGAAGGCATGTACATTCTTGGCCAACTTTCCTCTCGAGATAGTGGCTTTTAATACATAGGTAATACCAGTTTGGTAGAGCCCCTCAACGCTCTCGGCGGTATCTCCCGGTAGTAGATACTCAAATGGCCACTCATAATTTCCGGGGGCTAAAGTGTTGTGATGCGTTGTCTCACCCACGAAAGGTGGCCAAGTATGCCTTAGAATTGTAGTCGTCCTATCCATTTTCTGATTGTGAATACCGGATGGTGTCTGTTTTCCGTCGACCCAAGCCACGCGGCAGCTACCCATCAGCCGCAAGTGAACATCTTCGACCTTCAAGGGTTCTCTTAAGCACAAGACCAAGACGCCTTTTAATAGCTGACCGGAAGCTTCATGCTCGTTTCCACGAAAGACGATAAAATCGTTCTCGAGACTGCGGCGGATTCTCAGTAAGATGTTGTCGAGTAGCTTTCGTTTGTGTCAACTGCTTAGCTTACCGTATCTCAAATAAGGTACAAACATTCCGGCTAGCTACCGAAGTAAAAGGGTTAAAAGAAGGCATTTTTAATTCGGCAGATTCGACAGCATGTATTATTGCTTTAGAAGTGACGCCCGCACTCGGCGGAAAGGTGGCCAAGGGATTTCGTCCACGAAAAGTGAACGGTAAGTGATGGTTGGTCATGAGTAAGTAGAACCTGAGAATATGTGGTGGGAGAATTAGGATTATTAAAGGGTTAGATATAAATCGAAACAATAGAGACAAGCTGCTTTAGCGTCCTTAGCAGTTACAAAGAGCGTGGAACAGCTCGCAGGGTCATGTATGACACAAAGATACGAGGAAAGATTCCTAGCGTGTGGGTACTACTACTTTTAGTTATATCAAGGGACTTGATATCGGCGGTTTTCTTTTTTTTTTTTTTCCTTCTTCTTTGAGGATGGGTCAGGTCCGGATCAAATAAGAACGGGACCGGACGGGAGGGTCTGGAAATTGCAACGGTCTTTGGTGACGGGAACCAAATTGTACGTGTAAGTCAGTCAGTCAGTCAGTTAGTCAGTCAGCAGCCAGTAGTAACCAGCAGCAAACCTACATAGCAGGAATCAGAGGACAATTCCGCCGCCGCCCTCGGGCAACTCGTCCCATTTTTCTAGCTCGTGGGCAGGTTTTTCCCTCTCTCTCATGCCCAGCGTTACATACCAGCCAGTCAAAAGACTTCGTAAGGGTTAGAGGGTCTCAAGCAACCTTGAACCTACGATTGCCCGATTGCCAGGGGCAAAAATGGAACTTGGCTGGAACTTGGATCGGCTAGGTTAGAGACGGTGATAGCCGGCTGGGATCTACGCTTGTGGTAGATCATGAAAGGGAAAAATAGAGAAAGAATACATAGATACATGCAGTGTAATGGATCATGGAAGCATGGGCCGCAATGGTGGAAGCGAAGAAGGAACCCACCTTTGCTGCGGCTGTGTATCACCTCCTAGCACCTTCACCATTTTTTATGCCATTTTTTCCTTATTTTTCTCATCTCGATTTTTTCAAAGGGGGTAACCACCATCAGATTTTTGGTGTGCTGGTCCCTAGTCATGTGGGGCTTTGAGAACCTGATATCGGCCGGTGGCACCTATACAGGGTGGAGCACGCCGCTTGCTACATGATACATATGATACATACATGTAGTACATGTGCATACATGCATATGTAGGTGCACACTTAAAATCGTTTCGTGGTGTGCGAGTCACGCGGTGGAAGGTTTGAAAGATTTGATAGGGTAAGAACAAACTTGACGATTCTGTATTCAACGGTCCGTTGCCTACATGGATTAACCTATAAACTTAATTCAGCTTCTGTATTCGCTATTCCTCCCTCTACCATGTCTGGGGAGGGTGGACTGATCGTCACCAAAAGCCACCACATTATATAAATGTGTTGCAATATCATCATCATCACCTGCATATATTTAATTGTCCGTCCCTGCTGCGATTCGAATTCTAACAAAAGACGGACTTATCTCTCCTCCTTGTTACATAGGCCGACCTGACCCCTTCGTGTTGGTTGTTTGGGTAAGTATCTTGATAACAAGAATCTCAAGAATCCCCACGTGTACGTATTCCATTCAAGGACCGAGGCCTTCTTAATCATCAGGAATGGACCGCATCATGGTGTGTTGTGCCGTGCGGAGTTGTGTGCGTTCGTTCGTCTGCAACACCCGCATACGTATTCCCTTTCATATATTTTCCCACCTCAGCTCCAGGCTCTCCGCGTCTCCTATTGCAGCAGCCAATATGCAGGCCACCTCCAATATCTCCAGCCTAGACTTGCATCCATGAGGGGAGCTGACCTGCCGTACAACTATTGTACGAAAGGAATATTGAATATTAGTTTCCTGATATCGCCGCTCACAAGCAAACGTCAGCAATACATAGAAGCTTTCAAAATAGGAAACTATTCGTTTACATTCCAAAAGGCGTGTCTCCCGAATTATCCACGAATTTCCGTGGGTGGTGAACTCCGATTCGGCATATCAGTGCTAGATCCGATGTTTGGCTTGGCGGTGAATACCGATAAAAGTCACCGCCTCATGAGGATCACGATCTCTCTAGATCGTTCTATATCTGGGCTGCGGGTGGCTTATTCCTGACATGATCAGATAATTGCGGATCCATGCGCCAAGCTCGATTGGCTCAGCAGACTGCGACCTTATATGCATGGTTCCTGGAGGCTGTTTTCTGCCTTTGACATTTCGTTATTACCCTGACGCTTTCCGGGTCTTACCAACATCGCATTCGGCCAAACAAACAACCGCTAAACCGAAGCAATCAGCATAGCAGCTACCGAGGTCGTTAACCACTGCCCCGGCTCTGACTGGTCTCCGGAATAGGATACGACGGCATCAATCTCTACCACTCATATTTCACACGTCTCACCTAAGATCTCCTATTTATGTACTAGTCTCTATTATCTATCGACTTGCGCAGTGATTCGGCCTATATGTAACGAACTACGGAGGATCGAGCTAATATCGGTTGACGACTAATGCTTGCCAAACTAATAATCTTAAAGCTAAATCCAGAGCTAGAGGTCTAATCGCTCAAATTTAGCTAGGACGAGCCTCAATCCAACACTAGGTAAAGCTTGGCTGTTATTAACGTCAAACGCCATCAATATGTCGCTACCAATTTGCCAAGCTGGTAAATGGTATTTAGTCAATCAATTTGCATTCCGACGTCTCGCCTACTACCCGTGTCAATAAGACTAAAGCTAAGCACTAAAGATCTTAGCCGTATCGGCGGTATTTAGCAACAGCACATATCTACATTTAAGTATATAGTGCCAACCCTATCAACCCTATCAACCCTACCCAGGCAGTGGGGTGTCACTCCTCTTGATCAGGTTCTTACAGTTTTAAGCTTGCTTGCTGGGTACATATAATATGTGTATGACTGAGCTAGCATTTTACTATCAAGAGGATGTTGGCTGACGACAACAAAGGTTCTCTACCAGGTGATGCTCTTTGATTTCGCAAGGGCTTAACCTTATCTATGTTCTATGTTCTGATGTTGTTACGCGTATTGTACCACTCGGGATATTCCATATATTCCGCTAGGTTTGATGAGAGTACGTATGTATCTCGCTCAAGGTGAGCGGGGCCCTGCCCAACCCTGTTGTATGAAATACGTATACTACGATGAAGGTGTCATTGATTATTCACGATAAAGAGGCTGGACTATGAAGGCTATTTTCAGCATCATGGATCATATTTTGTTGGGTTTTATTAGTTTCATCGTTTATGTAAGGGACCCGTTCCGTTAATCTACAGTACGTCGGTAGTAGCTCCTTAGAAAAGCTCGACGCGGTTTTTCCCGATCTAGTATTGTACAATGGAGCCACGGACGAAGCCATCACACTAAAAAATTACCCAACGCCAATCTTTCAAAGTGCCCAGGCGGGCTGGCGGGTCAAGCTAGTGCTGAGCCCTATGGCGACTAAGTGGATCACGGTCTCATCAACGCAGGAGGCTACCGTGGCCTGCTGCCTGTGTGGATAACTTTAAAATCTTCCTTGGTTTTCAGATATCCTTAAACATCCTTCGATACCACGTGGGGGGCACATACATAGCATTTACCTAGTGCTGTGCCTGAATTATAATAGACTAGTTAACAGATAAAACCAATCCCATATCCACAGCCATTCATCCGTGCGCAACATGGTCCCGACTTCTCGCCGTTATCGTCGGAATGCCCTTTTTAGGACTAAACCTCAGCCGCCGTGTTTCCGGTTCATCTGCTAGCCCTACCAGTAACAGTCAGTAACAGTGAGGAGTCACCTACACTAGTTCGTGCTCTGCCGGGACTGGGATCTGAAGGGCCGAATGATAACGGACGAGTCGCAAAACCTTGTTGAGGCTCTTTTAGGCGCGGGTCTAGACGCGGGCGCCGCGCAGAATAGGAGGTGTGCCGGTCCCGGGCTGCTTGCGCGCCGTGTCAAAGGCCCTGGCCAACCATCTCCACTGCTCCCTGCACGGGCTACATGCTACATGCTACGTATGCTGTGCTCGCAAGCCTAGCTGAACTTGATCCTGGTTGGCTGGTGACGAAGATAAGAAGACACATAAGGATTTGACAATAAAACGAAACGCCTTTCACATGCTTCAAACGTTGGGAGCTCCTTGCATACGATACATAATGTTTACCTATGTACGTAGTGTAGGAGCCTCATATAAAAATGCATTCCTAACATCTGTAATGACACGCACAGCGGCTTTCCGGATCTAGTCATTCCGCCACACCGTAGATCTCTCGCGTATCGACTCGTAGTCGTACTGCACCGTAGCAGTCACAACACAGACCTCCTTTTTTTTTTCTCTTTCATTTCCTTTCCCTTCCTCTTCGCGAAAATCAAAACTTCGCCGCCGATTTCATGCGTATCATACATATGAAGTAGCAGACTTGACCTGACTACCTTAATCTCCTATCCACTTATTGTTTGAAAACTGCCGGGGTCCCACACTAACACCGAAAAGCCACCGGGCGAATCTTCCGGGCGGGAGACGGCAGGATGCAGATTTTGACGTTTTGTTGGTGGCTCCTATCGTAACATCGCCCCATATGCAGCTTGAAGTTTTTTTTCCTTGATAATACAAAATCGCGCTCGTTTGTGACTAACAGCAATGCGCGTTCCCGCTTCGAAGCGGCCACTTGCAATCGTTCGATTAAACGAATACAGATGCCAAATATTAGCTAGGTTCTGCTTTCAAGCGGAGCTTACCACAGTAGTAATATTCTCTTGTCATATCACAATTCTGCTTGAGCTATCGAGTCCGCTGGCCGACTCCAAGTTCTGATGTGACCTAAAACGAATTCCGTCAGTATGCGTTTGGCATCGGTTTCGCCATGGTAGCTGCACTCACCCGTCTTACAGCTCGTCATGATAGCCTCTTCGGTGAACTCAATCCAGCTTAATGGATGCTTGTCCGCTAGCTTAGTCAACACGGGTGGAAGTATTGCGGTTCTTGATCGCGGCTGAACGGGATGATCAATCGTATTTTCCGCCGTGTCTACTCCTGAGACAACAGAATCCGACCGCAACCTACTAGTCGATGTGCCTTGAGTCTCAGCACGCTGTAATATAGGGAGTCGAGAAGAGATAGAACCGCGCTGCCGGCTCGCAGTCTGCGACTATGTCAGTAAGTTAACTTGTAACATTTTATGGTGTGAGACGCACTGCCTTCGGTTTGTGCAACATCCCGACGTTAAAATCCCAAAGGCATAACCGGCAGTCTTCACCGACGCTACCAAAGCGGTAGTTTCGCTCATCGCATCTCCAAGGATCGAACGCAACAGATGTAACCCATGACTGATGACCTTGACATCGCGCTATGAGTGACGTTTCCGAGGGACACCAGATCGAGATCAGGTCGTCTTGCCCTCCAGTCAGAACATACTTTCCATCCGGCGACCAACATACGCAAGTAAACCCGCCATAATACGAATTGTATAGCCCAAGAAGCCTACAACATTGTTAACGAATCATTTCATCAAGATTTTGAGGGGTTGGTGTCCTTATCACCCACTCTTCCTTGAGATAGTCAATGATACGCATTGTGCCATCCTCCGATACAACCGCGAGGTGGCGGTTATCAGGAGAAAATTCGAAGGCATTAATCCGCTGATTTGACAATTTCCAAACGGCTACAGGGTTGTTCTTCTGGTTCTTGGAGTGTACCGACTTCAACACATTGATCGCTTTGTAATGATTCACAACTTTAGGAGTTGAGACCTCCCCATTAGACTTGGTCTCCTCCTCGTCGGGGTTAAAGATCGCATCTTCTTTCTCTTTGTCATAGACGACCAAGGATCCATCCATATGCGCCGCGAGGAATAGATTTTCTGCTCCGGGGATCCAACGGATTTGAGAGACCGGCGTCTTATTGATAACACCCTATAATTCATTAATTAAACTCTTAGCAGACAAGACCGAGGCTCTTACATTCTTATTCAATCTTGTATATCGCTGAGACATAGGCTCCCACCATATGATCTCGCCTGTTGAAAAGCCCATGATGATATCAATGTGGCTCGAATTCTTCGTAACTAAGTTAACATCATGACTTAGGCAATGCGCCTTTGTGAATAAAATCTTAGTTAGGTAATCGGCCTTCGTGGGAGACGACAGATCGAGCCACTGAAAAGCCCGGTTGATGTTGGCAAAAGCAAATAACCCATCGCTTTGCCGGTCAGCCAGCTTCTTCGAGAAAGCCTCATTAATGATAACCCGCGAGATGAAGGACGAATTACTCTTAGTCATGTTATTCTTGGGTTTGCGTCGCTTATTGGGGTCCTTAGTCCTCTCCGGCACGAGTAAAGCATTGCCGTCACCGAACGCTGGCGCCGAAATTGCAGTAGCTGATGTCGACGGCCCTCCTTCGCTCATAGATGTGCCCCTTCCCTCACCATCACTACTTAGCTTCGCATCGTTGGAATAGCGTCCTTCGCTCGGGTGTTCAGCGATGCTCGGCGATAATGTAGTTGTCGTCGGGGTTAGCTTAAAGAGAGCTGGAGGTGGCGTTCGAGATTCTAGACTGAGGAGAGAGATCTTGGTTCCGGTTGTAGCTGGTTGTGGCGTCGTCGCTAACGGGTTGGGGTTAACAACTGGGGCTTCCGACGGGTGGGGTGGTGGTGTCGCAAGAAGAAGATCTTCTTTAAGCACATATGTTCCTATATCATAGCCTCAGCTCTGGTTTCATACACTATCTTTCTTGAACTAACATACCCTCTCCAGCTATGAATTGGTCTTCGGGGTTGGATAAGATATTATTCGTCTCGATCATGGGCGTGGCATGGCCGGCAGCAACAGCGGCATTATACGCTGCCTGCGTAGGATACCTAGGCGGAGGCGGTAGCACACTATTTTCGAGAGAAGATATGAACTCGTTAGCTATCTGAGTACGATAGTAGCGGAGGAGCATAACGTGGTCTATACGGGACGAAGTCTTACAACATGATGAGGGTTTACCGAACACCAAATTAGTAGACTACTTGATAACGCGAGTATGGTAATGAAGCGCTATGTATTTCGTATAATTTGAATTGCGAGGCCTAGTAAGATAGGTTCTTGGATTGTCCAAAAGCGAGAAGTAGGATTGGAGTAATCGTTGAGTCGGCTAAGGACGTAAGCTACACCAAGTCATATATAACGCCTAGTTATGTGAGCATGTCTAATGTGAAACCAGAAGATGTATTGAAGCAAGATTTTACTGCTAATAATCAAGTTGGGGAGGAGTGCAATTGGATATCGTAGTGTGCAAAGGAGAATGTGAAGTTGCGCATTCTCAAATCGACAGGAACAACGCCCATGTTGGGAAGCTTCAGGGTCAGGTTATCCAAGTTAAAGCAGGGGTATTGCGTCGTTCGGGAAGTTGATGTGGGGTAATCGAAGTACTTAACAAGCCTAGGTGTTCGGGATCATGGGGGAATTTGGGATTTTGATGAGGGGAAGTAAAACTTGAACTAAATGTACCCCGAGCAGGTGCTAGCTACCTCATAACTCGCGTATTTTTATACATAAGATAAAAAGAAGTAACGTATGTGCCCAAAATAGAAGCATCAAATTGGTCGTTGATCGTTGACGGCAAGTGCACATGTGCTTAACCCGTTTTTCGGGAGTCGGGACTCGGGTCTTAGCGGAGGGACTTCCATGCAGATGTCCACGGGCATATATTGGACCAGGCTGCATCCCGTCCTGTAATAGAAGAAGTTATATAGGTGATATTCGTCTAGGATATGCCATATCAATTGTCAACTTAAGCACTCGTCTTCACATTTTGGCAGAATGAGTAAATTCGAAATTGGCTTATAGGTACCCAAGATAATAAATTATTTTCAATACATAAGAGCCGATTGGGCTTGGCTATACGTAGTAATCTCAGGTTGTCCACTCTTGTACTTACATAATAACCTCATAGGTATTGGAAAGATATCGTGGATCCCGTCAATACGTAGTGTAAGGTACATGACTTTTTATAGGTACGTACCCTGTCTAATCAATCGGATAATCGTCATTTGCATCCACTCGATGTCGTCGAACCCATTTCATTCCGTCCAAATACGATCAATCCACTTTGGCAATCTTCTCTCCTGTTCGCGAAACAGAAAACAGTTCAAAACTACGCCTTTCGACTACTGCGTAGTAAGTTAAGACATTCTCTGCTATTCTGCTATTCTCTCTACTAAGCTCCAGTTCTTGCTTGTTCTTCAGTATCCAAACCACCTTCAAGATCCTCATTGCAGATTATTTCTGGGTAACTTTGTGACGAATGGCATCGTAACGACAGAGCTCCATTTTGCTGGATTCCTTGCTTCTCGACCAGTATGGCAATAGGTATGCAATCTCAATCCCAATTCCATCCGTCGCAACTGTAGATGATTAACAGTATCGTTTCTATATATAGTACGTGTTTGCGTCTGCGGAGATGAAGGGACCGGCAAATCGAGTCTCATTGCGTCTCTTGTTAAGGATGTCTTCGTGAGCAATAAGATACAACCCGTTCTACCCCAGATAACGATCCCGCCGAGTATTGGTACACCTGAAAATGTCACTACCACCATCGTCGATACGTCGGCACGTCCGCAAGACCGCACTACTCTGCGCAAGGAGATCCGGAAGTCCAACGTTATTCTCCTGGTCTATTCTGACCATTACAGCTATGAGCGGGTTGCGCTCTTCTGGATGCCTTATTTTCGTTCACTCGGCGTAAACGTCCCTGTAGTCCTATGTGCCAACAAGTCCGACCTCACCGATAACAACACCCCGCAAGTTATTGAAGACGAGATGCTACCCGTCATGAACGAGTTTAGGGAAATCGATTCCTGTATACGAGCAAGCGCCAGAGAGCATCAGAATGTCAACGAAACCTTCTTCCTCTGCCAGAAAGCCGTTACACATCCTATTGCCCCTCTCTTCGACTACAAGGAGGGTAATCTAAAACCAGCTTGCATGTCAGCTCTAAAGAGAATATTCTATCTCTGCGATAAGGATCAGGATGGCTATTTGAATGACGACGAAATCCAAGAATTCCAAGGAAAATGTTTTGAAAAGCCCTTGTCTCACGAGGACCTCGAGAATATTAAGCTGTCCATCGCTAAAACCGTCCCTGGGTCGGATACTTCAAAAGGGGTTGACATGCGGGGCTTCCTGCAGCTCAACAAGATATATGCCGAGAAAGGTCGACATGAGACCATATGGGTCATTCTACGGAAATATCATTATACTGACAGCTTGAGCTTAGAAGATAGCTTCATTCATCCTAAGTTTGACGTGCCAGAATACGCCTCCGCCGAACTGAGTCCTGCTGGTTATCGTTTCTTCATGGATCTCTTCTTACTTTTCGATAAAGACAATGATGGGGGCTTAAACGATCAAGAACTTGATGCTCTGTTCGCTCCTACCCCCGGCTTACCTAGCTCTTGGGTAGAATCCTCGTTCCCATCTACGACCGTCCGCAACGAAGCTGGACATATTACTCTGCAAGGGTGGCTTGCTCAGTGGAGTATGACGACGTTCCTCGAACCTAAGACTACTTTAGAATATCTCGCCTATCTAGGCTTCGAGCCTCAAAATGCTCGGGAATCTCTCACAGCAGCTTTGAAAGTAACGAAACCCCGTAAGAGGAGAAGACGCCCTGGTCGGGTCGAGCGGAACGTTGTGCTATGTTACATCATTGGCGCGGCAAAATCTGGCAAATCATCTCTTCTAGACGCGTTTCTCAATCGGCCGTTCTATAGCATGTACCATCCAACCATCAAGCCTAGAAGAGCTGTCAACAGTGTAGAGCTTCAGGGTGGCAAACAATGCTACCTTATTCTAGAAGAGCTTGGGGAGCTTGAACCTGCTATACTAGAGAACCAGGCAAGGCTAGATTCTTGCGACTTGATTTGCTATGCATACGATTCGTCGGATCCAGACTCCTTTTCACATATAGTTGACCTTCGAAAGCGGTTTCCACAACTCGATGATTTACCCTCCATATATACGGCCTTGAAAGCGGACAAGGATAAAACAACCCAGCGGAGCGAGTTGCAACCAGACCAGTATACGTCAAACTTGATGATGAGTACGCCGGTCCATGTGAGCGTAACGTGGAATAGTATTGGCGAGCTCTTCGTCGCCTTGGCGGAGGCTGCCACAAACCCCAGCACGGCATTCCCCAAGAGCGAAGAGCCGCCACCCGACCGGTCAGGTTTATATCTTGCTCTCGGGGCGACAACTTGCGCAGCTGTGGCTGCCTTCATGATCTGGAGGCGATCGACGAACTCTGCTTAGTATTTAGGCATTCCTAAGACTAACCCCGTTTCCTATTCATTTTTAATTTTATCGAAGAGGCATTTATCAGGAGCATAGCCCGTCGGATATGAAGTACATGGAATGCGTAGTTGGCATCTAGTCGTTTCCATGATCCCTACTTTCTTAGTTTTTCTCTACGTGATACCCCCATCTCTACTGTCGTTGACCACACTAGTATTAGAAACACATAGTCGCTGAATACTTATACTTAATGAATATAATTCCAAAGACATCTTCCCTTGGAACGCTAATACGTGTTCTCATACATCATTAACAAGATTAGTCCTTGGTCTAAGTTGGAGTTAAGGGTTCGTTACGTACATGCAGAGTCTTCTTTACTACAAGTCACTATACCCCAAGACCCCTTAGCACGGCATCAAGGGTATAAAACAAACTCCACCTACGATAAACACCAACACGTCAGATAAACCGGAACCACTTATGAGAGACCAATATCTACGTTTTGAATGTCCATGACAGAGAGAAGTGGATAACACTAAGACTTAATCAACAAGCCTAACGCGATTCGGTTATGGCGCTGCCGAGGCTCCTCGGGGGCGATTCGCCGAGCTTCGGGCTGTTGAGTTCGAGTTCGTTATGCTCACATGCTAGTCAGACATGGCTTCATCTAGTTTTTTTCCGATATTCTCATCGAAATTTCTACAAAGAAATCCTGCCCGGCTGCTTCGCTCGTAAAATAAACCACCTATACTTATATACAGTAAATATATATACGGCTCGACTCGACATGGCGCGGGATAACAATAACCAGCAGCAGCCCACGACGGCACAACTCGACGAGGTTAAAGCGGCCGTGCGCCAGCTCCTGCACCAGCCCGACTACGACGATGGATCCGCGGGCCCCGTGCTTGTGCGACTTGCCTGGCACGCATCAGGCACGTACTGCGCAAAGACTAACACGGGGGGTTCGAACGGCGCCGGGATGCGCTACGAGAAAGAAGGCGGCGACCCAGCCAACGCCGGTCTCCAACACGCACGCGCATTCCTCGAGCCCCTCAAGGCTAAATTCCCATGGATCACATACGCAGACCTCTGGACGCTCGCCGCCATCGTCGCGATCAAAGAGATGGGCGGGCCGGAAATCCCCTGGCAAGGCGGCCGCACCGACTTCGCCGACGACAGCAAAGTGCCCCCGCGGGGCCGGCTCCCCGACGGCGCGCAAGGCGCCGAGCACCTGCGCTTCATCTTCCACCGGATGGGCTTCGACGACCGGGAGATCGTCGCGCTGTCCGGCGCGCATAACCTCGGCCGGTGCCACGGCGATCGCTCGGGGTTCGAGGGCAAGTGGGTGAACAACCCGACGCGCTTCTCGAACCAGTACTACAAGCTGCTGCTCGCGAACGACTGGAAGAAGACGACGTTGCCGAGCGGGGTCACGCAGTTCGTGTACGTCGAGGACAACAACGGCGACGAGAGCAGCAGCGCGGCGGAGGAGGAGGAGGAGGACGGCGAGAAGACCGAGGGGCTGATGATGTTGCCGACGGATATAGCGCTGCTGTCGGACCCGGCGTTTCGTCCGTGGGTGGAGAAGTACGCGGCGGACAAGGATTTGTTCTTCGAGCACTTCTCTGCCGTGTTTGCCAAGTTGCTCGAGCTGGGCATCAAGCGGGACGCGAGCGGCAAGGTTATCAACGAGGAGAATGCCGAGGAGGGGTATAAGAGCGCGCCGAAGAAGAGCGATGCGGCTACGGCGCCGGGAGACCAGAACTCGGGCCAGGTAGGCCATGAGGCGCGCCCGTTGAAGGAGGATAATGAGAAAGCTCGTAAGAGGAGGGAGGGTGCGAAGTTATAGATTATAGAGATGAAGAGCTTTTATAGGCTGGATAGATGTGGTGGTGGTGGTGGTGGTGGTGTATACTAACTACCAAAACTATACATATATGTAGGTATAGACTAGAGCACCGGTTAGTACCTACATGGAGACGGACTAGTCGCACGCGTTCAGAAAGAAATTATAGAATAGATCATAATATCATAATTCACTGCCCATGAGGATCCCATTGCTTTGGTCTTAGCTTGAGCTATCTCAGGCGTTAAGACTACGATCCCGTCCTAATACTGTAAGACATCCGTTATCTCACCGGATAGAGGATACACAAGCGACTTATGCTTCCTATTCGCCTTCTACTGTACAAGGTCATCGATTAATTGCTGTCCTCTGTCCCTGCCCTGTCGTTCCGATTTGACGTTGCGGCCAGGAGTTGCACTTATATGCGAATCGCCCTCGGCGTCGACATCTTGTTCATCCTCATCCTCATTCCCATCCTCGTCTTCGTCCTCGTCGGCCATACCCGCGCGCTGCGAGGCCAGTTGTCGCTTGATTCTGCGCAACATGACCGGATCGGGATGGAAATCAGAAACTGTCACTTCCTATAATCGGGTTAGCTCCGTTCGTGGTGTTGGGAATGTCCTCATAAAAGTATAGTATATACGTACCTTATTACAGCCTGTCTGTGGACATCGTGCTCGACCACGTTGGGTTTGGAGAAACTGGATGATTGAGTCTTTCTCGAACGTGTGCTTGCACTTTATACTCGTATATGGATCCTTCATGACCGCCATGGACAGGGGGCAGTGGATATCAAGGTGCTCCTCGGCAACAATTATATCCTCGTCTTCACTCGCCTCGTCCTCCCCTCCGTTCTGCGAAAACCATTTAGACGCATCTGGCAACGGCTTATTGCCTCTCCCGTGAACGGCGTCGTGCCAGATGCGTTTAAAGCCAACGTAATCGTTGTTTGTACCGTATCTCTCATACGGAGTCTTCGATGCGTATTCCTCGGCCGCCCCCTCCTTGGCTCTCTGTAGTAACATTATCGGACTCGTGATGTTAACATCTGCCATTTCGTCGTCCTCATCGTCGCCCCGGTGTCTTTGTCTTCGGGTCGCATTCGTAGCTTCAACCTCGACCTTTTGCGCCGTCCCCCGTAGCGCCAGATTACTGTCCTCGAGCTCTATCTTCAAGTCGATAACGCTCTGGACGGCAAGGTTGCATTCGTTTGTTAACATGGGCACGTCGTTCTTCAGGGCCAACACGGCTTTCTCCTCAGCCCTCTCCCGATCATTCTTTTCATCGCGGCCGGCTCGCTTTTCTTGGAGGCTCTTGAGGCTTTCTTTCCTCTCCTCATATTTGTCGTTGATATCCCGCACGCTGGCGCTCAGAAGCTCTATGCTCTTGTTCAGTTGTTCCTCATACTTCCGCGTATCTTTGCTCGTGGACAATTGGGTTAACGCGCGTATAGCTTCGGCACTGAGGGGGCATGCGAGGGGCTCATAATCCGGCAGCTCGACAGGGCCGTTGTCTTGTTGGGTACGAGAGGATGATATGCTCGGTCGGTCTCGATTGCGCTCGGCACCGGATTGTAACCGACGGCTACCAGATAGGAGGGGCATGTCTACCTCCGTAGAGAGATATTGACGGATTGGAAATAAGTGATATCCCTTATTCCATTTGTTAGAGGACGAATTGATGGACTGTACGGTGATTACCTCAAATAAATGTACATGTAACGACAAACTTTCAATATACGCGTCGAGTCGCGTTTGATCCAAAAAGTGCATTTAGATAAGATAAGATGCTTAAGGTAGTGTTATCGGGTGTAAAAACGTCACTGTGGGGTTCTAGCTCTGCCTTATCAGTAGCTCCCAGCGGATCAGCGCATACACTTTAGAGCAGATTGTATTCAGCATCTTCTTAATCAAAATGTCATTAACCATTCGGAAGATGATTGCACAAGCCCATTCCGTTCTGTCATCCCAGAGGTATCAAATTCTCTCCCCATATCCTAAAACCAAATGAACAATCCGTCCTGTAAAACCGCTGTTTAGTTAAAAATCAGATCTTCCTATACACCGTTTTATCATCACCCGTTGTCCTCGGACCTCCGTGGCCCAGGCCTGTATCATTACAAGTGACGTGAATAAAAATAACCCCCGACGAAATCTCAAATAAATAAATCCGGCTTCCATTTAGTCGCCGTAGTCACTCTCACTTTCGTTTCCGTCGCTCCCCGTCATCTTACCGTGGACTGCGTATAACGCCTTGATCCATGTATCAAGCATAGTATTCAACGATCGTTGCTGATCTTCGTCCAGTCGCATATCCGAAATCTTGTCTCGTAACCTTTCGTAAGCTTCTATCATGACCCAGACCTGTAATGATGACGTTTCCGCATTTGGTCGAAACGCCGATCCTCTAGCAGCCGAGGAAAGCTCTTGGCCAAGTAGGTCAACGCAGATCTGAAGGCTGGGGCTCCCAGGTGTTGTTCGTCTTCGCGGCGGGACTACCGGTGCTTGTTGATGAATCTCTCGAGGCGATGGCAGCTCGGGTGTAAATGAAGGTTTAAAAGAGACTGAATCCACCTCGGAAGCTACCAGCGTCCCATCATCAGAGCGAGGAGATGTCCTCACAAGCAGTGCATCGGGAAAGTCCTGAGTGATATCTTCCCGTACGGCTTGGTTGTCTAAGCTAGCACGGTAAGACTCTCCGAGACGTAACGGTTCAACTTGGTTCGTGTCGTTCAATATCGAGCAACTCGACTCCAGCAAGGCCCTATAGGATTCCGCGATCTCTTCTACGCCCGAGACCCTGTGAGTCGCCGTTTGCTCTCTTCTCGAACGACCTTCCAATTGCCCTATATGATGGACGGGTGTCTTCGCATATCTTCTCGTTACCGATGAGGCTGAAGGAGGGTTGGCGCATGAGGCCCTCCTATCAAGATGTCTTCCCGGTTTCGTGTCATCGATGGCGAGATACGCAAATTCGGGAATGACTTGCATAGAGTGTCGCAGTGACTTCTCGACAGGCTGCACAGGTAGTTGACCACGACAGAGAGATCCGCTCTTACGGAGCTGCTCGAGCCATTTACCATCGTCACGACCAGGTGTTGCTGGAACCACTTTGCTGACTGCGTTGGTGATAGTGGCACCCGGTTTCTTGGCGTCGTTGTGGTCGTTAGGGTCGTTAGGCTTGTACCAACGCTGAGGGGCGCCGATCTTCTGGAGCTTCCTCCGCAATTTCTTACCAGGGCCTTCCGGCCTGGCGGGAGTAGGCTCTACGATCACCGTGGATCCCCTGTGCCAATTCATTGTGAATTGAAGATTGATTACATTACCGGGAGGAGAATTTCGATAAAAGCGCACGGCGGGAAACGCAGTGCTATATGACAATACTGGCAATACGAAGATGGTGCTTTTTTTTAGCGACTTTCTATTGCCTACCTAGAGTTACATTTACGCAGCAGGCGTTTTTTTAGGGCGATGACGTTGGCGTATCGTGGGATGTCAGAGGGTAGTGTAAGTGGTCTACGAGCCCACCGCACTTTTCTGACTTTTCCAGTCCAAACCAATACGAAAACCTGATTTGCATAGCCCCTAGACACCAAGTAGCACTGGCGGATTGGCTGGCTGACCTGCATATGCAATCGTGACGGCCTTGTCCAAATGCAACCCGTCAGATTGGGGAGCCTTGAGAACCATCGAATGTACATATTTATTTCCGAGGCTAGATAAGATCCGACAGAAAAACGTAGATCTTCTCGTCCTGTCATCTATCGGTTCTATTTACCTACATATACTTGTACATATACTTGGGTGTAGGGCATTGGCATTTCTGGTTGTCAATATTCCTGATCTAAGACCATTCGGCTGGGTTTACCAAGTTTAATCAAGTTACCAAGTTAACCCAATCATATTTATGGGGGCCGAAAGATATGCCCTTATGATCCTCCCGCATCGTATGTAACATACTGATGGTGTATTTCTTTTTGGTCTTGGTGTGGCAAATGGTCCAATCGTTCGATGGAAGGTCGGCGTGGTTTGCAGGGATTATGCAGGGTATTACTATGCGGTAAGACTATTTACTGCTGATACGAGTTGGTCGAGACTATTCGTTCTTTTCCATCTCTTGGCTGTTGTTGGGTGAGCACAGAAAAGCCAAAAAGGCAGAAATTTTACACAGCTCGCAACCCCAGGCTGCATCTTGATAATTTTGTCCGTTCCGGTTATATTAATTACATTTCCTTAGGGTCGCACTGCTTTGGTTCTTACCGAAAATGCGGGCGATGAGCTTCTAAGAATATTCTTATTATTAGAAACGGCATATGAAAAAGCTACGACACCGCTATTCCTTCTCATGTACGTCTCTGGTACCGATCGTATGTATGTCTTTGATTCTCTTGATTATCTGCGAACCTCGTCCTGTCGATAAGATAGATCTGTAGCCCTGTGGCGTCTATAATCCCTTCTTAGCCCCCAACCATACCACTCGGAGATGAGTGTCTCTGATAGATTCAGATCCGGAGGCCACTAGGAAAATGAGGGGACCTGTCACGGATTCACGGCATCATTCTAGCAAATTCGGGTACCCATAGAATCACTGCATACATTATGTGCTATCCAGCTAATTGTAGCACGTTCTCACAGAATTCTGAATTACTGTACTCTTCTCATTACCTGTTATCATCAGATCTACTACCAAAACGTTTAACTCTAGTTTTAATCATTTGACTATTCATTCCCCATATGAAATTTATTAACCGCCATATCCCACGACAGAGATCATCTCTTTAGCAACGCTATGATCTAACAGGTGGGATTCGTCGGGGGCGATCCGAGAGTAGCGCCTAAGACCCACCAACACCAGTCATCGCTCGTGTTAATCCAGCAAAACGAAGCGTCGATACCAATTATTATAGTCACTTGAAGTATCTTGTGCGAGAAGAACCCCTCACCTATTAAACACAGCGTAAGCGCTTTCTCCGTAGCAGAACCATGGTGCAACTTAACATAAATATATAAAATATACTCAACACATGGATTATAAGCACCGAATTTCACGTGCGTAAACCGACTAAGTTAAGCGATGATTAGTGCGTAGAGATGAGAAGAAGAGTTCGCGTAAAATCAAGCTTAACAGCTTCAGTACTAATGCCCGCATTCCTTCCGGGGATCCATTTTGGGGAATTCGGGTTCCCTTAGTATTAGTCGCTGCCTCGCTTCCGCCCCCATGATCGGCTAAGTAGGTATAGGGGCCAAACCTAGTCAACCCAAGGAAGTGCCTCTAGAACATTCATAATGTCTCACTTACATAACGAAATAGGGCTTATATAGGCAGATATTTCATAAGCATCGATGGTTTCCTAGTAAATCTCCGCATATGAAGATCTAATGATACTTTAATCCTATTATACTCGAAACATAGTCAGTTCAATAGGTGTAACATGTCTTCGAATTAGGCTGGCTCGAATTCCAACGAAGACTGCTGCATTCTTGTACTACCTACTATATATGATAGCAGTTGTAATTGTTATTCAGCCTTACCCATACCCTGGGTCTAATTGCTTTCACTCAAACAAATCCTTTTTTTTTTCCTGTATAGTACATCTGTCTGTCTACTTGGCTAGCTGATACTTTAGTCCAGGCGTATTATATTAGAATATACCTAGAACATAACGATAGTGTCATATGATGGATGGAAACTTCATCGATATTAAAATATAATTCTCCGGGTCCGGTTTTCGAAGATATGCATCATTATGTTGCTAGGTCTTGTTACTTTTACCTATCCTAGAGTGTCTTGGTCTAAATATTAAGGAAGATGCGAATAGTATGTGATGTTCTAGAGTAAGGGAATCCGCTGGTTCTATTGCATACGGAGGTTTATATCTAAGAGCTTATACTCACTTACTACGTTACCTACATCAATGGATGGAACTATTTGTGTACAACGGATTTTAAGATCCTTCCTTCCAGTTACATCAACTTTTAGAATTGGTACTGTGTAGATATACTAGATGAGTCAGATTTAAGATATGGGTGGTTTCCCCCTAGTTTTACGTCCCTACTACGTGTCGTACCACCGCTGACGCCAGGATTCCACATGGGACGTTTAGAAAAATGAATGACTTCGCTATATCCAAGATAGGTACCTAGGTAGGTAGTTACTGGTTTCCGTAGCTTGAGTCGAGAGTTCCTTCTAGAACAACCGAGTTGTTTCCACGTCTCGTAGGGCTATCTCATGACAGCTAGTGAATAAAGCAAGTGACGGATGGAATATTATGAATCAGTAGAAGTGATTCCGCGTTAGTGTCACTAACAGAACGGACTGCTTGAGTTGGTTTGAGAGCAGATAGTAGTACAGTTTGCAAACGTGTCTTACGGCAGTTTCAAGTTAATACCTACCTAAGTAGGTCGACCAAAGTATTCTTTTGATGACTGGATCTAGGAAGGAACAAGAGGCAAACTGATGAATATACATAAAAAAGAGCCCAGCTGTTGTGTTTTATGTAACGCGATGTCCAACCTACTAGTATTCCATCAGGCTCAACAAGCACTACAACCTTGGCACTTCAAAATATCAAATAACTTGACTATGAGGGGAGTGAGATGTTAAAAACTTCCAAGGTACTTAGTACATAGAGATGTTTTATTTCTCTTTATTGATGGAACCTTAGTCTAAGTATGGGGCGAAAAGTGGAAGATATCTATCCCATTAGCAAACAGAACCAGAGCAAACGTAACAGGCAACCAATAATAGAGAGTGGAATTCACGAGTTGGTAATGTAGAGTGCGACTAGGTGATCAAATCAGACCATCCAAGCATCACTAACTGACGAGGTTTGGAAAATTCAGCCTCATTAGAATCAGCCTCCGGTCTGGATCGCCCCTGAGCACGGGCAACCAAGCGAACTAGAACCTGGCGAAAGTAATCACAAAGGCTGCCATTGGTTAATAGTGTTACTCCATAGGAATTTTGACCAATCAGAGGATATATGATTACCTATCCCTCCAACGAAGTTCGCCTAGTGATGTCAGTGGCAGTCTTATATTGATAGCAACAGTGTTAGAGTTCTCAGGTACGGATATAACATCAACTACATATATAAGACCTGCTGCCTGCCGTTGTTTCCAGAAAATAGACACACAGCTTTCTCAGCGCAAATCATCTAAGAACACTTACTTAGTCACATACATACCCACAGCTATATTCCCAACACCTACCTCGTCTACATCACATCTTATTCCGTCACAATGACAACCGAAGTTTTGAAGGCAAAACCTACCTGCTGCGGCAAGAACACTGGGGGTGAATGTGTCTGTGGTAAGTTCGAGACCCATCCTATATCGAGTTTCAAACCGACGTAGAAAGTGAATTAACGTATTCGTTTCGCAGCTAAGCAGGCTACCTGCTCCTGCGGCCAGAAATCCGCCCTCGAATGTACGTGCGAGAAGGCACCGCTTGAGAATACCCTAAGTGGCGCCCGATGCTCGTGCCGAGCTCGCCCTGCCGGTCAATGTACCTGCGAGAATGCACCCAAGGAGAACAGCCCCGTTGCTGGTAGCACCTGCGCGTGTGGTGCTCGCCCTGCCAGCTCCTGTACTTGCGAACGCGCTACTTCGGATTCGAACCCGAACGAAATCGACTTTACCACGAAAAAATAACTGGTCATGTGAGGCTGAAAAAATGCTATGGGAGATCGGATTTAGAGGCGGCGCTACTGGTTGTACATCATGATGGTTGTGGTGGCATATACTGCCATACGAGGAACTTCGATACGATTCTATAGGATATGGTCGCCGGAGTTTAGGAGTCAGTTCGCTGGTATCAGGAATATAATCACTTTTCATATTTTAATCTAAGTCTTGTGAGATCTACCTCGCCATTTCTACAGGCGACTCTATGATGCGGGACCGGCCATGGAATTATTTCGATTTGTGGATATAGGAGACTATGTTGTGGAGGCTGGAAGTTAGGGTTGGATGTAATTTCCGTGATTAACTGTAAATGCCTTTGCATGCCAATTCGAAGTTGAAGTAGAGATGAGAAATACAGTGTATATCCATATATTTGGTTGATTTTCACCTAGATCGAAATGATTGGCTCCATTTTCTCTTTCTTTTATTTTTATTTTTATTTTTTGTCTTAGTTTCTAAAGTACGTGACGAAATTGATTGGCAGGTACTACCCACGTAATCTAGGGCAAGAGTGATCCCCTGCTCTTCCTTCCCCTTATTCACCATTTTTCTGCCGGACAAATATTTAGACTACAAGGATCACGGAAGCCTCAGGTACCCGGGCGGTGAGGAAGTTACTTGGTTGCACTTGCCTGGACTTTCCTGAACCACAATTTGATTGGGTTTGGAGCTTCCAGTTGTATGCACCTTCCAAGCCACTAAAAAAGCTACTGTGGGTCCGGAACGCGCGACTTCCCACTGTTTTGGTGAATACGCAGTTACATCAGTTTGCTGCATGCGGCCTTGGGCAGTTGAGCACAGCTTTTCACCTAAAAATTTCCACCAGCGCGTTTTTCTTTCTATCTCACCACATTCATCCCCGAAAACATTCATTCTTCTTTACCTCGAGCACTTCTTCCCCAATTGTTCTCGAATCCAACAAAGAAGAAACCCTATTTTTTCGGCCATTGACTATCACTTTAGCCTTGGTCTTCCCGTTTAGTTACATTCCAAAATTTCACTTGGACCACGTCTTGTCTGACTTGCCAGCAAGACGCGCGATAGTTGCGTTACTTGCGCACCATCATCAGCAAGCTCTCAAACCATTCACACGCCTCACCAGCATTTCACTCTACACCTTACTCAATACCCTATCCCCACTTAACGTCATACCTGATACTATTTAGTATCGCGCACCTCTTGACGCCTGCATCCTTAGAAGCCGCGCATAGAGACTGCTAATCGTTTACTTTCCCCTTACCATCACACTATCATTATTTTCCGCACCAGTGTCCACGCGATTTGCAGACGCGACACACAATGCCTCCGAGGAGAAGACTCGCCGCGGCGCCACCGGGCACCAAACCGTTGAGCAAAAGGTCTTCTGCGACTAGGGGAGCCCCTACTAGGGGCAAGAAAGGTCGCGATGCAGTGGCGCAAAATGTCAACAACAAAAGTGATGATGGCGAAAGAGATGAGGAGCAAGAGCAACAGCAAGAGCAACAGCAAGAACAACAGCAAGAGCAAGAGCAGAATGAAGATAAGGAGCAAGAGCAGGATGTGAACGAAGAACAAGAGCAGAATGACGATGATCATGACGAGGGAAAGGAAAAGACGAAGAAGCAGGCTGAACCTCTCCGACGTGGACCAAAGAGAGGTACTGGTCGCGCCGCCCGTATTACTAAACCCACTGCAGCCCCAGCTCAAAAACGAATTGCTTCGGCAGGAAAGAGTGGTTCTGGAAAGACCAACGCGACTGCAAAGGCTCGTTCTAAGCAGCTTGACCTGGATCGCGAGGCTACTCGTCAACGCGACCAATCTACCGCCGAGTCGAGTGGATCGCGTGCTTCTAAACGCAAGAGAGAAGAAGTCGAAGATGAAGATGAAGACGAAGAGGAAGAAGAAGAGCTCGAAGAAGCGCCCAAGCAAAAGAAGCCTCGCGGTGGTCGATCTGCGCCCAAGAAGAAGATCAAGGTCCAAGCCGAAGAACCCAAGCCAGTGCCTACATCAGCGAAGTCTCGCGATACTAACCTAAAGGCCGCAAGTGCCCCCAAGACTGCCCCCAAGAAGCCCGCGCCGCGACCGCGTACGAGAGGGCCTGGTGCAAGAGGAGCGCCTTTTAATGAGGTGCCTACTAAACAGCTTGATGTTTTTGTCTTTGGCGAAGGATCATCGGGCGAACTTGGTCTCGGTAGTAAGAAACATGATGGGAAAAAACCTATCGATGTAAAGCGACCTCGACTTAACCACAACCTCAAGGGCGTTGTCGCTCTAGCTTGTGGAGGTATGCATTGTATTGCCCTGACTCATGATCAGACTATCCTCACATGGGGTGTCAACGATGATAAAGCGCTCGGTCGCGATACTTTCTGGGAAGGCGGTACTCGCGACGTTGACGACGAGGATGACTCAGAAGATGAGGATGACACCGGCGTTAATCCTAGAGAAAGCACTCCTGGACAGGTTGATCTCAGTGTGTTACCTGAAGGCACCAAAATTGCCCAGGTTGCGGCTAGCGACTCTGCCTCTTTCATTCTCACAGACGACGGCTGGGTCTACGGCTGGGGCACTTTTAGAGGTTCTGATGGTATCATCGGATTCAGCGAACACGCGCGAATCCAAGAAACACCTGCGCTCATCCCTGAATTGAAGAACATCACTAAACTAGCTTGTGGTTCGAATCACGTCTTGGCTTTGGACTTGTCCGGCAAAGTGTTCACCTGGGGTAGTGGAGGCCAGTTCCAGCTTGGCAGGAAACCGATCTCTCGTCTCGCAGGTCCGAGCGTTGGACTTACTCCGCAGCCATGCGGAAGATTCACTAAGAAACATCGTGCCGTCAGCGTGGGCGCTGGTTCGTATCACAGTTTTTACATCGACAGTGACGATCAGGTGTGGGCCTGGGGCCTGAACAACTACTCACAGACCGGCCTTAGCGAAAATACCGGCGAAGACGATGCCATGGTTCTCCAGCCTCAAGTTGTTACATCACTTCAGGACCATAAGGTCAGCCAGGTCGTGGGCGGGGAACACCATTCGGTTGCTTGTACGACTGAAGGAAAGCTGCTCACGTGGGGCCGTGTGGATGGCCACCAAGTCGGACACCCGTCCAGTCTATTCAACCGTCAAAACTCCGTTTACGATGATAACAAGAAGCCTCGAATTCTCTTGGAGCCTACCGCCGCTAATGGTATGTTTCTCCCTATATATTTATCTCTAACAGTCGGTGTGTTCTAATAAGCATTGTAGGAATTAAAGCTACCTTTGTTGCTGCTGGTACGGATACCAGTTTCGCCATAGATGAGGCAGGCAAGGTTTACTCATGGGGTTTCTCAGCGAACTACCAAGCTGGCCAAGGAACCACCGACGACATTGAAGTTCCGACGGCGATCGAAAACACCGCCATTCGTGATCGACGAATTGTATGGGCCGGTGCTGGCGGTCAGTACTCGGTTATCGCGGCTGAAGCTGAGGACGATGAAGTTAAGGACAAGGAAGTTGAGGACAAGGAAGTTGAGGACAATGTGCCCAACGGTGATTAAAGAGCCATTTTCAGTTAGATCAGATTCATGACATGGTGTTTAGGAGCGACGGCATACGAGGGTGGGATGCTGCATCATTATATATCCTTCGCGTGTTATATTCATTGGACTCAAGTGGGTTCGGGTCTGGTTTTTGATTTTGGCTGGTTGCTAGGCATGACTATAATTCATGAGGTTTCATCAGGATGATGCACATAGCAGTGGACATATGAGCAGTTAGGCAGGCCTGTCACTATCATGCTACGAAACAAAACCTCGTTGCATTTCTTGTACTTATGAACAATAGCAGCGTCGGGACTTCTACGACTCTTGTACAATACCAATAGTGCCTCGGACAATGATTAGAATAGCGAGTTTAACTTGTGAATTCGGATAAGGAATTAGATGTAAGAAAACTCGTCACACTTTGAAATATACCTAATATACAACTTCGCGATTACGACGGCTTTCGAATTTTGAAGTGAATACGCGAATTACATTAGGTAGTGCAATCTTATATTGGAGCGAAACACCGAAGCTCCGAGTTGAGCTTGGGTAAGGCAGCCTATTAGTTAATCAGCTGGAGCTAGCGATCTACTTTACCTTTCTGAAAATAGCGTTTTAGTTACCTAAAGGTATGAACTTCCATTAGCTTCGATTCTCTCGGTGCTATCTTGCTCTACAAAACGCGTGCTATTCCCCGTTGGTGGTCGGATTGATAATTAATAGGTGGAACAATGACGTTACATGTACATGCAAGCATGGGATAGTGATGCATTATGCATAGCAGGTGCCCTCATATTGACTAGGTATACATATATCTTGGTCACTTCACTCACGGTAGGTGCCTGGGTGGTATGCATATAAGTCATCATATCAACATATCAACATATCAACATATCAACATATCAACATATCAACATATCAACATATCACTTGTGATATAAAAAAGTTAATAGCAAAAATAATCGCATTTCGCATTCCTGGGCTGGCTGATTTACTTATTATTTATATCCTCAGAATCGGCAGGCAGGTAGTTCTGCTTTTATTTTCTTTACAGTACATATAGCCATCAACATGTTGGGCCAGCTGCTGCTAACCATCGATGCCCTCGGCATGTGCTTTGGCACTATCATGGCTGATTGTCTCAACGAGACGCACTTGTTTAATCCACGGTGGCGGCCGCATGCTAAGTAAGTCCGACATAACCATAATACCTAGCTAATATGCTGTCTATCTAACCTGTGTAACTACCTCCTAGGTTCCATAATGCTCAGACGGTCTTCCTCGCTATCATCCTGTCCGGGCTGACACTCTACTATACGTGGCGGCGGGCGAAGACGCCTGAGCTGCGCCGCGAGTTTATCTTCATCAGCGCCATTACGGGGTCCATCTATTGGATCGCAGGACTCCTTAGCATCCTGCCTCCCGGTACCATGGGCGTCGATCCCGAGTTTGGTGGCCCGGGCTTCCCCCAGAGCAAGATATTCGTTGCCTTCATGGCCACTGGTCTGCTTGGTGCCTGGATGGAGTATCGTTGAGGTCTGTTTGATGTCTTTTAGAGGAGGGAAAGGAGAAGGATGGATTAGTCAGGTCAGTCCGGTCGAGAAGCTAAGGCGGTTTGGGTAGATTGGCGTGGAGGTCAGAGGCTGTGGCGGTGGGATGTAGTACAGAGATGATGAGGAGATTTCCATACCCCGCCGTTCTGTTTGGTAAAGTGAAGCAAACACACTCAACTCCATTCAATACCATTATTAAACCCTTCGTTTAGCGTCCAGCACATACTACTTCTAATTACAGCCACCAGAGGCATCGAAGATACGACATCAAATACTTGGATTTATTAAGCATTAACCATCTAATCCAACATCAATACGCTTATAAACCGGTATATATCGGTTCAGTTAAAGTCTTATAATACGATCCATCCTTGAGGATCTTACATCGCGGATGAACCTAGAAACTACATGTTTACGCAGTTTTTTGGGGCTCGCTTTCAAGCCTCTCTAGCAATTTGGCCGCGACGAGTTCCGCAAGCTGATGGAGAGTTCCGCTGCCGACTATTTCTAGCACGCCTAACGTGAGCCCGAATGCGCCCTTGAACCACCGTCTTAACTCGATAGCCATTAGCGAGTCGAGGCCCATCTGTGCCAGCGTTAGATTAATGTCCACCTCCTCGTCCGGCCTGAGGAGGAAGTCGTATATCTTCTTGCCAATTTCATTTCCTAAGAACTCAATGCTGCTTTTGTCTTTTAATAGCGCTTTTCCTCCCACGCCGGCGGCTGCGATTTGCCTAAGGAATTTCTGAAGAGCATCGTTCTCGGTGCTCTTCGCTGTGTTCTCAACCCGTACGTTATGGTAGATACCCATGCGCCTGTCACGCCGCCACATCGTTCGGTTATTCGGGTCGTCCAGGTCCTGATCCGACCGTATACCCATCAACATCTGAGCTTCGCTACTCCATGGCGTAGGTGGAACGGCCAGCGGCCCAGCGGCCTCTTGGTCTGCCGGGGAGTTATTCATGAGACTGAGCTCTAGGAAGTCTAGGAATTCGCGCTCGCCGAGAAGACATATGCCTTGAGCCTTGATATTTTGCATCGCGTGTGAGTTTTCAGCTACGAACCCAATATCACCTATAGCAGCGATGTTGAGAACCGAGGCTGGTAGTCCTAGAGAGTGACGGTAGCGACAGAAAGCCTCCATAAACGTATTAGCTGCCGCGTAGTTTCCTTGCCCGAGAGAGTCAACTACGGCCATGATGGAACTAGCCAGGAAGAAAAAATCTAGGTTAGTTGATTGGAACGCTTGGTGCAAATTCCAGGTACCCTCGACCTTAGGTGCAAGGGCATCTTTCCATTGAGACCATTCCATGTCTACTACTGGGACGTCCTGGTGTATTTTGGTTAGTATCGAATATTTAACCCGACGTTATAAAGGGACTCTTACCCTTAGGACCATTGCCAACTGTATCACACCTTTAATAGGGGCCTTTGCTTGGCGGATCGCTTCTTGTACGTCGCCGATCTGATCAACACGCCCGGAAACTGCTGTCACCGAGCATCCCATAGACTCTATCTCGTGGAACAAGGCCTTGCTAACATCGCTCCGGCCTGCACTGCGCGAAAGGAACATGAGACTCCGTGCGCCGCGTTCCACCATCCATATTGCAATAGATCTACCCAGGCCGCCGACACCGCCTACGAGGAGGTAAGTCGCAGTAGGATCGAATTCGATACCACGACGTCGAGGTAGAGACTCGATTGGTGTACTTGGGTTAGGGGGAGGGAAGGTCACTACGATCTTGCCCATGTGATCGCCATCTTCGAGGTGGCGGAAGGCCTTCGCGATCTGTTTCGCATCGAAACGTGCGATGGGGTCAATCGGCTGGAGGTAGCCTTGGTTATAGAAATCGACGAATGCGGTCAACAATCTGATTAATTCGTAAGTATATCGTGGTCTGTATAAAAGAGAAGGCAGGTATGGTAGCCAGCTATTAAGAAATAGCTGGCCCCCTTTGAGAAACTTACCTCCTTAACCATTTAGGCTTCTCCCTAAAGTCAGACAGGTTTACGCCGTGGTAAGAACGGTTCTCGGCAAAAGGCAGCATATCCAGGCGACCAGACCCCTTAGAGTCTCGCAGGCTAAGGTCGACCATAACACCGAACTTAGCAACACACCGCCACGACTCGTGTAGTAGCTCGCCCGATAGCGAGTTCAGGACTAAGTCAACGCCTCGACCCTGTGTCTCTTTCATAATGCCCTCTGCGAACGATGCGTCCCGAGAGTTGAAAATACGCGAACGCGGAATCCCAAAGTTATTTATGAGATACTGGACCTTCTTCTCGCTACCCACAGTCGCGTATATCTCAGCCCCGAGCATCTTGGCTACTTGGATCGCTGAGAGACCGACACCACCACAAGCTGAGTGGATTAAAACGCTTTGGCCTTTTTCTAATCGGCCAACGTCAATAAAGCTGTAAATCACGGTCCCGAAACACACGGGAATAGAAGCAGCGTCTTCGAAAGTAAGATCATTGGGGATTTTCATGACAATGTCGGCTGGTGCGACGTTCTTGGTGCCGAGACAGCCGTTGCAAAGGGCCATGATTCTATCTCCGGGGTTGAGATCTCTAACGGCTGAACCTACTTTGCTGATTATTCCTGATAACTCATAACCCAGCGGGAGGCGACCTGGCGTGGAAGAATCGATGATACCTCTCGCCAGGACAACGTCGCGGAAGTTTAGACCAACGGCTCGCGTCTCGATCTCTACATAATCAGCTGGTAGTTCCGATGGTAGTGGTTCGTCGATCCAGTGTAGTGTTTCCATAGATCCTATCTTAGAGATCGCTAGAGCCGTCCTTATAGGTATGGCTTGCGGCCCCTCCTCATGGCCACGGCTTTCTTCTTTCTCTTTTAGCTTACTTAATAAGGAGAAAGGTCGGTATCTAGGGATGCAGATCTGGGAGTTCTCGACGACAAATTCGTGGTCGGGAGCTAGCGTACCAACATCCTCTTGTGTGCGGACCTTATCGAATACATCTAGAACCATGTCTACAAAGCGCGGCTCGCTAGGCTCTATTTCAAGGGTGCAGAGTCCTGGCACTCGCTCAGCCCGTAAAGTACGGGCCATGCCGAGGAATGTTGCCGGCCGGGGGTCCTTACATCGAATCTGGACTGGAGGCGTGAGCCAAAGGATCTTCCGGTGCTCTAGAGCTTTTGCATATGCCTGGAACTTGGCGAATGCTTCTGGAGTCAGGTTTACAAACCAGTCGCTCTCAAGGTTCAGGCACGATATGATGTCTTCGTCTGGTAGAGGTTTCGAGCTCAGTCGGCGCGGCGTGACATCCCATCCTAAACTCTTTAGAGATATTCTAAGAGTGCGCGCTACGTCTGATTCCTCGCTATCGCATAGTAGAGTAACCTTCTTAATGGGTGGCACGCGTTTAGTCCGTGGCCGTGATACGATTGTGAGGATTTGGCTATAAGGCTCTTCATCGTCAAACGCGACCGAATCCACGCCCGTAAATCCTGCAGCCTTCAGTTCATCATCCCAGCGATCAACAGGTACTAGAGGAGTCGTAGGTCTACCATCAGCCTCGCCTAGCCACCAGCCCGCGAAATGGCCGAACGCGTAATTTGCCGTGCGCAATGTGGGCAAGAGTTCTGTCAGAACCAGCATCCCGTCAGGTTTCAGTAGCGACTTTATGTTCTCAAGTGACTCCTTGATAACTGGGGTTGCGTGAACAACATTTGCAGCCAGGATCAAGTCGTATGACCCCTTTTCTCCGCCCTCGAACCCCTGCTCGAACGGTGACTTGCTAATGTCGAACACTTTATACTCCATATTAGGCGCGTACGAGAAGCGTTCCCGCGCCTTCACTAAAAAGCCGGAGGAGACGTCGGTGAATGTATAAATCGAGTAAGAGGGGAACCCGCTTTCGTCGACGAGATCGCGTAGGATGAGTTCTGTAGTTCCTCCTGTACCGGCACCGACTTCTAGGATCCGCAAATTCGGTCGCGTGTTTCCGAGTAGGCGCACAAAGTTGCCGTATCCAAAGCTGGCGCGGTTGTAGATCTCGGATAAGAGGTTCCCTTCTATGAGCACGTCGAGAGTTTCCCGCGATCCCGTAAAAATCTCCGCCGCGTAGTCACACACGCGCTTAGTCCCGAGGGAGAGGGCGCGGTGATCCCCTTTTTCTAGGATGCTGAGGTGGGATTTTATCATATCCTGCTGCTCTCCGGGGCTTAGCTTTAACAAGGTTGCCGCATTCTCAACTAAAGGAAACCCTTCTTTCCCAGTGGCTGCATTTTCGATCCCTTTCTTCATCCAATCTCGTAGCTTAGCGAAGTGAGGTTGGCACGGCTCGAGACCTTCCACGGATTTTACTTCTTGGACCATACAAAGGAACGAGAGTTCTTGCTGTAGTACAAGCTGACCCCTGTCGGGCTTGGGTGCTGAGAATAATGCTTTGTGGTCCACGAAGTCAAAGTCTGGAAGCCAGCAGATACGAGCTGCGGCGTGTTGATCAATGGAATTGGTAACCGGGTTGTCATTCTCTAGGGGTGCTAGTTTGAGGCCGCGCATTCGTAGCGCTAGCCTCCCGTCTGCGATGCACTCGGCCTGCCCAAGCCTAAGATCCCCCTTTTCCGTCCAGGCACGGATGTGGATCTCTGATGCCCCCCGGTATACGACGAGCTCATCGACAGAAACAGGCACAAATAGGCCATCGAAGTTTCGGCAAAGGCCCTTCCTCATGGCAACTAGGAGCGACTGTAAGCACCCATCGATTACTACCGGATGGAGAGAAAATGGCGCAGACACATGGTTATGCTTATCAACTATCTTGGCCTGAGCGGTATGCTCAATGGTAGAGGTAGAGATATCCTCAAGAGCTTGGAACTCAGGACCGTAGCTGATCCCGATGCGCTTCATAGCTCCGTAGAATGATGAGCTTGGTAACCTACGAGGCAGCTCCTCTGGAGTCCAGGAAGCCCCCTCGCCAGGCCCTTCGATGTGTCTAACCTCTCCTGTAGAGTGCTTGATCCACGCGGAACCGCTATAAGATGAAATGTTGAATTCATACCATTGAGATTCATCGGAATCGGTGAGGCGCTTCCGACGTAACGAGGTAATAATCTCTACTGGTTTCGAATCGGTTAGGACAAGGCCCGTGTGGGCGACCACGTGGCGAAGATGGTAGCCCGACCCAGCATCGGCTCCGGCTACCTGGCGGATTGCTTCACCGGCCATAGCGGAGTACCCAGCAAAGGGAAACACGACGTTCTGTCCGACCTTATGATCAGCTAACCAGGATGCATCGTCCAGATGGAGGACATTTCTCCATATCGGCTCGGAATCGGTCGACTCGGTTGTCTTAACACCAAGAATACAGTGATGAGGATACTTTCTCTCTCGCCAAGCAGTAGCCAACCGGCTCTCGTTCCAGAATGTCTGGCCGCTATGGTCCCATGCGTAGGAAGGCAACCCCGGAACGACCCGGCCACCCGGGAAAAGAGCGCTGAAGTCGATGCTGACGTTCTCCTGGAAGAGCCTACCCAGAGCGGAAAGCAAAGATACCGCGCTATCGCTACCACGCTTTTGGGAGGCAACATAATTACATTGCCACGAACCTTCGGTGCAGATTTGACGTAGGGGTCCGGCCAATGCCCCGTGAGGGCCAATCTCCAATAGAATATCAGAGTCACCTCGCAGTTGTAAGAGGTTCTTCACCGCTGTGTTAAAACGCACAGGCGAGACGAGGTTGGCAACCCAGTACCGCGGACCCAATTCGGCCGCTTTGTCTATTACCTTGGTGGTGACGCTCGACATGAATACGACTTTGGATAGAGGCGCTTGGTTGCCGTCGACTAGAGGCTTTTCCTGTTGTAACAGCTGGAGATACTGCTTTGCCAATGGATCCATGTGATCTATGCGAGACTTGTCGTCAGCCAACATATACAAGTATAGTGAAGATTAGCCAGTACTCACGCGAATGATACGCCATATCAACTTTCAACAGTCGTGTAAAGGTATCCGGCTTAGCTTCCTTTATATTGGACACAGCCCGTTCCAATAACTCGCGATCTCCTGATATCGTCGAACTCTTGGGACTGTTCTCGCATGCAATCACGACACCCTCTGGTAAGAAAGCTGCTAGCTCCTTAGCCCCAAGCCCGATGGCGGCCATTGACCCATTCTTAGACGTGCTTGTGGAGGAGACGAGGCCGCGGTAGTATGCCGCTTTGATGGCGAACTCGAGCGATATGTATCTGGCCACGTATGCCGCAGCAATCTCGCCGCTGGAATGTCCTACAACCGCCGAAGGTACAACACCGAAGCGTTCGAATTGGCGATAGATTGCAATCTGCAGTGCTGTACACAGAGGCTGTGACAGCTCAGCTTTGTTGATCTGACTACTCTCTCCGGGCTTGAGCATCTCAGCTGTAGAGTAAGAAAAGGGTATATGTTAGCAACCGCATTGAAAATACTTCTTGAATATCAAGGAATAAGCTCACATTCGATTGTCCAATTCGGAGGCTGCACGGCACGCCTCAAGATATCATCCATGAGATTGATGTCCTCGCGAAATTCTCGATTAGTAAAGAATAACCCCTTTCCCATCTCGGCCCACTGACTACCCTGCCCAGTGAAAATCATTGTGACCTTGCGGCGAGACGATTTCCCTGGAATTCTCGCCAATCCGGAGATATCTACAATCTGCTCATCGGACTTGATCATGAAAGCCCTGTGCGGTAATCGTTCTCGACGGAGAGCTAACGTATATCCTATGTTGTATACATTAGAGGTACGTAGAGAAACATACTTTTCGTATCGTTCTAGTTGTTGTTTCAGCGAGTTTTGGGTATTAGCTGAGATGATAAGAAGCTCTGGTCTCTTGGCCCTCTCTATAGGACTTGTTTCTTCCGAATTAGGGAACGAGTCAACGATGATCTTCGATATTGTTAGCTAGTAGGACAATGTAATAAATAGGGGTAAGGCGAAGAAGTTATTCACATGTGCGTTTGAGCCACCAATTCCAAATGAATTCACGCTAATCCGCTCAGCTTTGTTAGCTGGGAAAGGTGTCGGCGCCGTCGGCACCTTAAGCCTTTTTTCTGTGAATGGGACTGCAAGTTGAATGAATGCTCAGCTTATATAATTCTTAGTTAGGTACTAATAAGGGCTTACTCTTAGCATTGGGGGTGTTGAATTTGATATTGGGAGGTATTGTTTTATGCTGTAAAGCTAATACCGCTTTGATTAAACTTGCGAGGCCAGCGGACCCCTCGCAATGGCCTATATTGGGCTTCACGGAGCCAATATATACTCCGCTATCACCAAAGATCTCGCCAACAGCAGAAGTTTCAACTATATCCACGAAAGTCAACAATCGCTTCTTCTACTAATAGATTTAAAGAGTTCGCGCGTGTTTCACGAGCAATCACTCCTTATTTGTCTCGACGAAAATACCAACCCCCAAGGCAAATCAAAAAAAAGGGGGAAGGGGGAGGAGGGAATTCTTGATGTTACATACTTGGATCGCCGACTGAGGTACCAGTACCATGACACTAAATAAATTAATTATACGGTTAACTTCACATCAGATTTCTAACGACTAGGGAAGGGCCGGAAAATACTGTATACATACCTCAACGAAGGCAGTTTCAGATGGATTTAATCCCGAATCGGCATAAACTTTCCTCATGAGTGATTCGAGGGCCTCCCCACGCGGGACAAGCATCCCTGGGCTTTTACCATCGCTATTAGCTGCGGTACCTCGAATGACTGCTCTGATGGGGTTTCCGTCACGGATAGCGTCCGTAAGGCGCTTGACGTAGATGGCGGTAATTCCCTCGGCTCGGGCGTAGCCGTTTGCAGCGGCATCGAAGCTTTTGCATGATCCATCCGGAGACAGGACGCCTTCTGAGGTCATAAGCATGCTGAGGGAGGGCCCGAGAATCAGATTTGATCCCGCAACTACGGCAGCAGAAGCGTCACCAAATTGGACCGCCCTGCAAGCTTCATTCAAGGCTATCAGAGATGCCGAACAGGCTGTCCTAATCACCATGCTATGGTCGTACAAATTTATACTGTCAGCCGATTTTCTGAGGGTTGTTGGGTGTGATGATGTAGATGGCTCACCTCGGTCCGCAAAGGTTATACTCATATGATATCCGATTGGCAAGCATCCAGTCTCCAGCTCCGGTGACGATATGGTTACCGACCTGCTGGCTGTCTTTGCTCTGTTTGTGTAGCCATTCATCACCGAACGTGCCCACGTAGCAGCCAATTGGCTTGCCACGGTAATTGACTTCGCCTGCATCTTCGAGACACTCACGAGCAACCTGCAACAGCAATCTCTGCTGAGGATCACATCTCTCCAACTCCAATTGGGTCATGGAGAAAAGCGAAGGGTCGAACTGAGACAAGTCATCCTCTAGGTAGTACCCGAACTTGGTCTCAATACGCTCTTTGCCACCTAGAGAGCCGTCAAAGGCCCGAGCATTGTACCGGCTTCTTGGGACGGGCGTCCGCGCGTCACGACCATTAACAAGGAGATCCCAGAAGTCGTCGGCGTTTCTAATGCCGCCAGAAAGCCTCAAGCCAAGCCCACAGATAGCTATCGGAACTGGTGCCGGAGTTGCTGTGTCCTTGACCTCTGTGAAATTGGAGGTGGTGGAAGAGCACGAATTAGAGAAGCCGCAAGCTTGATTCATGGCGGTAAGAAAGCTATTAGAAAACTAGGAGGATTATGATTATAGTGAGATAAAACGTGGTTAATGTTCAATGCTAACTCGACTGAATTCATAGGCGACTTGGACATACTTATTTACAATCTACGCTACCAGTGAATAAGCGGCAATTCGGTTGTTATTTCTTACTGCAGTCTCGATAAAGCATGGTCTCGGTGATCGTGAGCCAACACTATACCTATCAACCTGTACAAGACACCGAAATTGGTCATACCGCTGGGGCGAACTGTCTCTCGGACCATCCGCCGAGCTGGTAAACCGCTATTCTTTTCCGTCTTTACGTAGACTAGACCATACTACCTAGGTTACATCCCTACGCCATCCCTCGTTCATGCTGTGTTGTCCTGCTGCTAATGCAAATCAAGACGCTAGCATCGCAGCCTATACCGTTGCGTGCTATAATCGTTTTTCGTAGCGGAATGGTTAGAACCCCAGTACACTCCACAACTGTATTGTTTCGCGATGTGTTGCTTTTGTACGCATTTGGCTTATTATCTCGGTGGGTAGCACTATCCTGTTAAGCTGCAAGGGCGGTTGGTGTAATATCTACCTAAAATAACGGTATGGCGCAAGTTGAAGGCGCATGTACCGGACCGTTGGGACTTGGGACCTTAGTTTAGTCTAGAGCATCTCGTCTCCGGTTTCCCCAGAGAGGAACCAATGCAAACATGCGGAGCCTCTAGGGCGCTGCTGTCGATATAAATGGGTTCGTTCCTGACTACTTCTTGATAGGCTACTATTAGAAGTATTATCGAAGGAGCATGCGTGTCATTATGCACGCATGGATACTAAGAAAGAAACTTAGCCAAACAAGGTGATACTATGTTATAGAACTGTTAGCACTGGACGAAGATCTTACGACTGATATAGCATGTATACCCTGGAAAGGCCGAGCTTGCTGAGTGAGAATATCCTCGGTGGATTACATCTCGGTGAGTGTTACTAATATTATCTGACTAGATGAGGTATGTAAGAGGGAGGCACATAACAAACCATCAAGTTTGTAGGAAGTTTCATTGGACTAAATAAAAAACGGTCTATCTTCAAAGAGTATTATACACCTCTTCTATATTGCATTATATCATAGATTCGCGGCAGAAAGGCTCCCGAGTGAAATTAATGCTTCAGTTGCACCTCGTTCGATAGCGTAGTACCTATAATACTACCTCAGGCCATGGTCACAAGATATTATTCTCCGCAAGTCATCCTACTAGTCTTTGTTGTGAGTTCAGACTGCATATTAGTTATTAGTTCGAATAGATAGCCTCAAACTAAGGAGACGGCAACACAGACACATCGAAAGTGATTCGTCAGATTCCGATGTGATAGATGTGGACCCTTGTCCCCGGAGGTTTTGTCAAGAGTTACGGAGTTTGCGGATGAGTTTTCAGAGTTTATAGCGCGGAGCTGACTGAACGCAAGTTAGCCAACAGCCAACAATCTAGAGTACCTCCTAGGTAGTTATCTTTTCTTCGTCTTTTTCTTCTTCCTTTCTTCTTCTTCTCTGCCAGCTCAGATGTAAGCCCCGTTTGGGAAATGTCTTGTGCTTTACTTGCTTTATTTTAGGTATAGGATATAGAATAGCTTCATCGTTAGAAATTAGTAAACACTAATTCCGTACCTACTATACGCAATGGCAACCCAAGACAAAATAAAACAACAGAGTGACGTTGTGCTGTGACACTGGCTTTCTTGTTGGCCAATAATGCAACCTTACCCCCACGTAACCATTCTCAAGACAGCGGGTGGAGCAATAATAAAGTGCCTTTCCCCAGTTTGTTGGTACTTGGGTTTAATACAACACTGCTAAGTCCTACCAGATCTGCACGTTAGTTGGTAAGCAGTAAGGAGTATTGAAATTTTATAAATGAGGGCTGCGAGGGATAACTAGTTCGTGTCGCCAAGTTGATCCGACCGACCGACTCTCCACGCACCAGGCACATTCAGATATCACTTAAATCCACTACGTAAAGAATACAAGTAGGACTGACCTGTAGGAAAATTTACACCAGTCGAAAAAAAAAAAAAAAGGAAGGACAAAAAGAAAGAAAAAAACAAGATAGAATAACACCAGCGGTAAATAAACATGATTATGAAATTCCAAGTTTCTCATCACGTATCACGTCTCCTTTTCCCTCCTTACGAATAAAAGTACGGTATTGGCTATGAGCACTATAAGGTCAATGTAGGCCGTCATCTATCCTCATTTGAATTGTCATAAGCTATTTTCAGCCCCAATAAAACTTGCGCTGAGTTTTGTGTTGATAAATACGGGAGCGGCCCGAAGCTGAACGTTGTGCTTTGGCCCCCAACTCGCTAACAAAATACATGACGGACCCGAAAACGAAAACGTGAACCGTTCAGATGGAAACTACTGATCTTACAGATTCGTCAAAAGACCGTGGACGAAATGGGTTATTGACTAGGAGACCCCCAACTCCCCCATCCACCGCCCCCGTCCCACATGACCCTCGTCCTCGAGACTACACCAACACTCTTGCTTGGGATTTCCCTCCTATCTATCCTCCTAACAGCCCATCAACGAAGGCTTCAACCTCGACGTTAAAGTCAACGGCGACAACGAATGGTCCATCGTCGTCGTCGTCGTCACTTCCAATCGAAACCGCCGATCCTTTCCAATATGTACCATCTAACTTTGACTTCGGAGCTGGTCCTAGCGCCAGTGGTGATGTGGAAGATGACCCCGTCCACATCGAGAACTATGACTACCGCCAGACTACTAAGAAGTAGGCAATCCAATCACATTCACTTTGTATATCCTCGCAACCTACCTTAGGTACCCAGAAACTAATAATGGAATTACCTGCTCGTCCAGAAGTTTCGCCAAGGCAGCAACCGGTTCAAGTTCTTCGAGGCTCTTCCGATCCATAGTCTATAAATTTGGCCGCACGTTTAACAGGAGTACGTCTCCGCTGTGATTCTCTATGTTCAAGTGAGCTGAGCTCTGGTGCTAATATCCGACGTAAAGATTACTTCTTGCCTCATGATAAGGTATGCACGACTGAGTAGATGCCATCTTGAACAGTGATCTTGTGCTAAAATCGACCAACGTTTAGCAAGAGCAAGAGAGGAATAGTAAGGTTCTATCCCACCATTAAATTCGCTTGAAACTGGCTGATGACCCAAAATGGCAGACCTCCAACACGAGATCAGTGTCGATGTACATGATGGGGCCTTGCATCTCTGCCCGGTGACAAATCCCAGGAGAGTGCTTGACGTCGGTACCGGGACAGGAATATGGGCAGTGGAGTTCGGCATGTTTTACTGCCTGTTCTATCTCTAGACGAATGCTAATATATAAGGTACACAGCAAAGAGAAATCCTGACTGTTACGTACTTGGAACAGACCTGAATCCTGTGCCGGATCCGCCCTTCATTCCAAATAACTGTCACTTCCTCATAGCGGACGCTGATGAGGAATGGAAGTTGGGCAGCCCGTTTGATCTGATCCATGTGCGAAGTCTAGGTGAGCCCGCTAATAAACGCCGGCTATTTAAGTCCATCTATGACAATCTCGCACCCGGTGGCTGGGTCGAGTTTCAGGAGTGGCTTCTCCATGTTCAGTCCTCGGATAAATCTGTCGAAGGCACAGCTTTCCAGAAGTGGAACGTGTTTTTAGCTGAAGGAAGGTCGTCCTAGAATCGTGCTATTGTTTACGATAGAACTAACTCCTATAACAGGTCTTCAAAAGCTTGGAAGGTCATTATTCTACATCCTCGAGTATAAAGCTCTGCTAAAAGAAGCGGGGTTTGAAAATATCGTCGAGCTGAAATACGCTGTGCCTACTAATACCTGGGCCCCCGGGAAGCAGTATCAAAGGATCGGCGCACGGCAGAGGACTAATACGCTTGAGGTCATCGACATCTACTCCCGCGGCGTGTTTACGCAAGGGTTGGGGTGGTCTAACCAAGCGGTAGACAAGCTATTAGCCGAAGCGCGGAAAGATATTGACAACACGCGGATTCACTCGTTCTCTACTCTGTAAGTTGGGTTATAATGATGATGCGAACAGTTATTAACGAGTAGTAGGATGACGGTCTACTGCCAGAAGCCTCAATCGGCATCTCCGACATCATCCGGTACGCAAAAATCGTCGTCTAAGTACGAATAGCAAAGGGTCACCAAGCAAATCTAGAATAGGGAGTATATACTATGCATATAATGCTGAAAATTTAGGGGATGAGTTTGGAATAGCATAGCGTTCAAGTACATGGCGTATGGAGTCTTTTTATTACTTTAATTAGGTATCTTGGGTACACGGGATTTATGATGGAATACCTCGGGCTGCAATATATATTGGTTACGGATAGGGATAGTTAAGGATAGGAATAAGGGATAGGAATAGGTATGTACCTACAGGTAATCAGCGCTTCTTGACTCTTCGTACTGGGCGCAGCATGCATGGATTTTATCTCCCCGGACCGTCTGATTCAAACCCCGTCCGTTGTAGAGTTTGGGTTCATGCACTCTGGTTGCGAAGTTGACATGAAGCCTCAATAGGTACACATGCTGAGCTCGCTATATGAACCGTGTCGTATGCAAAACCCACTTTTATCCTCGGCACGAATCTCTGTGAGAGGTACGGATCCGTAGATCGTATGTTCTTCGTGGCGGCTGAGATCCACTTCCTCACGAATATGTGACGGTTCCTGCAGCCCGTAACTAGGCTATTCTGCATAGGTATGCATGTGATAACCCATGAATGATAAGAATTAGGAACGTCCAAGAATGAATTAACATTGTCAGTTTGGACGGTGAGGATATCTATGTACGAAGATGATAGGGTCCATGATACGATGTGCGATACCTAATACGGTACGGTCAGCCTCATTTTTAGTACAATACACATAAACTTGAGATGAGATTAGAAGTGTGTGGACCAGTTTATATATAGAAGGTGGATTCTCCATTTCTATTGTTGTATGCAGGTATGTATTAGGATTAAACATGATTGATACGAGGGGAGTCCCTTTCCCCGTCTTTGTCTATTCCTCAAAACGCTGGTTCCCAAGATCTCGCCCTTTCAGATCTATATCATCTAGGAACATCGAAGTTATCAAGCCCAATGCACTCAGGCCGGTCATCGCATAAAATATCGCCTGGAAACAGTTCAGATAGACCCCCAAGACCTGATTTCGCGTTGTAAGAGAAACATCTAGTGATCTCAAGTTTTCAATGAAGTTGACCGCATTTGAGGCGTCTTTCAAAGGCTCTAAAACTCCCGTTAACTGGACTGCGCTATTAGAGATGGACGTCGAGAAAACATTGCTGAAGATCGTCGAGGAGATGGTGAGACCGACGAGACCTCCAAACATGCGAATGGAGAGAAATGACCCAATAGCTACGCTCGTGTCGTCGACATTTTTCACGCTCGCTTGCATGGGAAGAATGTTGAGACGAAGTAACGCAACGCCTTGCCCCCAAAGAATAGGAAGCCCGTAACGTATGGATGATGAGGTTCCAACATTTAAAAGGGCCAGCAAGCCAGTTCCTAGCGTAAGGATGGCCCATGAAAGCCGTAGAAGCCATACGTATCCTCCAAATAGCGGGACCATCATCATTGCAACGGCTGCGAACACCACGCTAATGATAGATGTAGGCAACAGTGAGACTGCCGCTGAGATTGCAGTTTCGAGCTCCACGGATTGGTAGAGTAAGGGCAAGTACTGTAATAAGGAGACCAGAACCATTCCGTGGATGAAGCCCCCTAGCAGCGCCATATTTCCGGTCTTTGAGTTGAAGAGCCGATGAGGAACAACTGGTGCCGCGGGTTTCGCCTCGTAGAAGGCAAAAGCAACGAGCACCGCAACTCCCAACAGCACTGGAAGGAGTGTCTGCCAGGAAGCCCACGGGAATAAGGAGCCCGCCCAACTGACTGGTATAACAAAAATCGTGATTCCGATAATAACGAGCGTCATACCAATCCAGTCAATACACCTCAAGTTCCTGGCAAGTGTTGCACCGAGCGGGACGGGCCGAAGCTTGAGGAAGAAGAACACCAAAGGCGTGCCTATTCCTAGGAACGGCAGGTTGATCCATCCAACCCACCTCCAAGTAGCATACGTAGTAAAAAGACCACCAACGCTAGGTCCCATGATGTTACCGACGGCCGAAGGAATGGCCATCAAGCCGAGATATTTCGAACGTTCCTCCAGCGTCGTCATATCGGCGAGAATCACCTGTGTCAGAACGTCAATTCCCCCGCCGCCGAAGCCTTGGAGGACCCGCGCGGCAATGACGGTGTCCATGTCTTGCGCAAGGGCAAAGATGATGGAACCGATAAGGAACAGTACCATGCACACGTAAAGAGGCGGCTTTCGACCGAACGCGTCAGATATACCGGCCCAAACCGGTTGCATGACCAGACCACATAGGGTGTAGGCCAGATTCGCCCAGAATGATTGCAAACTCGAGCCCTTTAACTCACCAGCTACAGTCTAGCGACGGGCATTAATATTCAACCTAAGTGGTATACGTATCGTGAAGGGTATCATGGCTCACTGGAAGGGCAATGCCCAGACAAGTCGCATCCAACTGAAAGACGAAAAGGATTGCCGCAAGCCCTATGAAAGCTAGTTTGAAGGAAAGCGACTTTTTCGGTGCTGATTTAGTCTTTCCCGCTTCATTTCGCCCCCCGATCTCCGCCACTATCTCTACGTCCTCGACTTTTTCCAAGTTTCGTTTCAAGTCCGGTTCTCTTTGGATGACGGGAGCAGAGATCTCGGCCCCTGGATTGATGTTGTCTTCGGGGTGGCCCATTGTGGGCGAAGGAGCTCGAGCCTCTGTCCAATTAGACAGACGGGTACCAAGGTAGGCAATGCTCACGCAAGAGAGAGCGTTGATTGGTGGATTGCGGAGGTTATAGAGATTACAAGGCGAAGCAATTGGCCGGTAGTTCGTATTATATGTGATACCTACCAAGGGCACCTCATCTTCTCATGTCGATTTGATCTTCTAATTTACTCTACTACGACCTCGTTATGTGACACGAGGTTCACATACGTCGGCATACATATGTACATACTGAAAAGGGGTATGGAATTGTACCCTGGTTCGGCCGATTGGGTTGCCTCAGTCAGATTTTAGTTTAGTCTCGGCTCAGTTCCACACTCCTTACATAGTACTCGTCTTTGGCCCATATTTTCGGGGCTGGATATCGTGAAATAGTGGATAGCATACAAGTAAGAAAAGGGTAGACGCCAAGCATGTTACCTCTAGTCAAACACCGTTACTACTCTAACATCCAGTGTTCATAAGGCCGGACGTCGATGCTATTGCTAGCCCGAATTCCAGTGTGTTTATAAAACTTTGACGGAGTCCTAGTTCTAGTCTTTTATTGAATATGTTGAAATCTTTCGGGGTCACGCGCCGAAGGCCAAGTGCGAATGATGCATGACTATCTTGTGTATAATTCGATACGTATTATTTAAGACCATATTATACGACTCGTGGCTGTCGATTGATATGCCAAGCGGATTAAAAGAGGACGCCAGATATGTCATTATATTTAGATTAGTGTTAAGCTCGTAATTTTGCGCTGGATGATGAATTCAGTCATTGTCCACAACTGGCCTTCCAGCTCTCTCAATATTGACTGATATAAACTTAATTCTTTTTAGCCAAGTACGTGATTTCATGGGTGTTAGGTACAACTGAGTTGGACAATCAGTCGAAATGTATAAGTAACACCGGCGTAGAAAAGGAGTACTTAAATAAACCACTCAACTCATTCTTCTGTCGTAAATAGCTGGAAGAGATCTGACGTTGGATTATATTCCGAGTGACTGGGTACGGAATAAGATTGTAGACCGGGTCCATCTAAAGAAGTTGACGGAGGTGCAGTTGTACAAAAGTCGAAGCTTGTAAGATCTATTGTAGACTGCCCTAGAGCTATTCTACCATCTTCGGGAAGTCGCATCAGGGGTATGTTCGAGGGTTCTCGCGTTATATTGGCTGGGGAACTAGTTGAAATTGGATTTCCTTCTGGACTTGAGGTAGTGGCCGGTATGAAGAAGGAATTTGGGCAGCGTAGGTCGAGTGGGCTGATATCAATATAGTCTAGAGGTCCCTGTGATTGACCTACTGGCTTAGTTTTCATAATTTCGATATTTTCTAGAGCCCATGTTAAGCCATCTCGTAGACGAGGGTAATATGTCGCCTGAAAGCTGGGATTATGCAAAGCCTGGAGATACCGACAAATAGCCCATAGGATTTCTAAATCAGCCTCGAGCTCTGGTTCCGGGACTTCACCTTTGGCTAAGGTGTTGAAATAAAATGCGACCAGCTCTACGAATGCTACTACGGGATAGTTGCCGAGCATTCGGTCTAGTAAAGCTAAGCTTGCTGTAGTGAGTGACGGAGAACCAGCCTCGGAAATAAGTCTAAGACAGATGCGAGCATGGTTGCGCATTTGATGCTGAGCAGGCTCATCCCGGCGATCATGGCGAAGGCAAAGGACCTGAGTTACATGATAACAATAATTCAGTTCAAGTTGTACGTTAGCTAGCCCTGCTATATCTTCTGGGAGTGTAGCAGCTATTAATTCATGGTTTTGCTGGTTCCATTCATCTACAAGCTGAGTCATGCGACGCGCCTGTCGAACGCGATATGCTTCTCCGGCGGTATTCGCTCTCGATGAATAAAGTGAGAGGTATATTTCTTCCCATATTTCCATCATGTGGTCGAAAGCGTTGTTGAGTCGCCGACTTGGCAGCTCATTGTCGCTAATGGAGCTCAAAGTTAAGTCGGAATCGAATAAATGGAGATCGCAGGTTTGGCCTGACATGAAAGCACGTTGTTTGTCTAGAGCATAGAGAACTCTGAATAGTCGTTCCCACTCTGTTTGTTCGTGGCCGGCGTCGTCCTCACTGGTTCTAGATCGGTGGAGACCAAGAGTGAGGCCGACCTGACAGGCCGTCTGGCATATACGTTCAAACATTATATTACCATAGAACTGCTTAGATGTGAGGGCCTTGATAAATGCGCCGTAGCAATATGTTAGAAGTCCGCCTTTAAAAAAGAATGAGAAAATACGGGAGAGTTGCTGTAACATACCAACACTATGAGCGCTTGAACATTAATTATAGAGGGACATGTGAAAGAATCGAGATTAGCTAGAGCACGGTCGCAGTTCTGTAAGAAAGAAGGAAGTAAATCATTGTTCATATTTCTCGTATTAGACTGGGTAGCTTCCACTACCTGCACCTCGAGGCCCAAACCAAGTAAAACGATATTGTTGAATATGGACGTCCAAGCGCCACTATCGCCCGATGACTCGCCCGAATAATACGAATCGATAGCACGATAAAGTAATGTCTCGTCGAATATTGGAAAGCGGATGTTGATATTGCGCAAGAAGTTGTTAACAAACAAGTCAACCAAAAATCGTGGCGGAGTTGTCATAGGCTTGTGGTCGCTCGCCACGACGGGTTGCTGGCACCGCGGGAAGGGAAAGTTTTGGAGCTGTCGTCGAAGAGCAATTCGCAACGCTGGGTCCTTAACAATCGCGTCTACACTGCCGTCTTGTTCACTCCCGTGCTCGACGAGAACTTGGCTTAGCTGCTTCGATAAAGATATAAGTAAAGGAATAGCCGCAGGATAGCTATAAATCCGCTCGCCCCCTTGACTTAATCTTATAGTTTCATGCCGACATCCATCCTCGGCTACCCGTCCAGGTCGATCCCTCTGAGCGCTTGGTAAAATGGCACTACCTTCATCGTTACCCGAGATCTGTGTTGGTTGAGATAAAGATGAAGTCGGAGGAGAGGTATTCGAGTTGGATGAGAATGTTCGAGCGGCAAGTTGTTCGGTGATTTTAGTGAGAGCGCTTAAAGTCTGATCGACGCCGTCGAGACGCTCTAAGACGGTGGTGAAATCATCTCGACTATTACAAGAAGATGCTATGTTAATTTGAGATAAAATATTAAAGCTCGGGGCGAGAAGACTCACAGCTGCTTGGTTTGATTCACACGCTTAACGGTGCCGGATGAAGTACAAGCGATGTCGGTTTTACGACAGCTAGAACACTTTGGTTGAAGCCTGTCGCACTTGATCTTACGATATCGGCATTGATCACACGCCGAGGATGGCGCGTCGTCGTTTCGTGATCGAGGGCGCTTACGACCTTCAGACGCCGTATTCCTACTATTATCGTCTTCGTCGTCCATGAGTTGAGTTTCGTTAGTTACAGTTTACGATTCACAATTAATCAGCATCTCCTCCAAACCCCAGGTACCTAAGGTACGTCATGGGGGATCCCGGTCTGTCCCCCGTTTATCACGTAATCCCAAGTTAATCAGATAAGATAAGCCCTTAACCCGTGTTCCATGATAAAGGGTCTATGTAATGAATCCAGACCTTTAATATAGAGACTCTTAATATACACCCTGGCTCACTTCTCGAGTTCCCTATATGGATACACGGCCCAGATGTCTACCATGATCCATTTCTGATGCTCTTCTAAAGGCGTCTCTAATTGGACAAGACTCAGATTCGTGCCTTAGATATATAAATAAAGCTTAACTACCCCTATTAGCACCACGGAGGGAATCTGATCAAGTTCCTATCAATGCCGGCTTCTAATATACGCAATGAGACACCAACAAGATCCCACCATTCGCTTGGCGGTTAATTACCCGGTTTGCAGTTTGCAGTTTGCATCTGATAGCACTATTCAACGCGGGGGTTATGTGAAGCGATTGCTTGTAGCTTCCGTGTGCGTAAAATGGACGATGATCCTTCTACTAATCGAATCTAAATTAAAAATCAAGATCAATCCTCTTATTTTTTATTATTTGGTCTAGTAAATTACTGATGCATCACTGATATACCTACTGAATCGCATCTTCAATAATCTCCAACGCAGACATATTTGAAATGCGATCACTTGGAATCATAGCATTATTTGCTATACTCAGCGTCTATGCTAAAGAGAATTGCCCTCTATATGGCTTAGGATATCCAAAACCTACCGACCTTCTTGCTCAACCGGGCGTCCAGAAGGCGGCAAGCTCTCTAGACTCGGTTTTTGCACAATACATCGACAATTCTAACAAGACGAAATCAGATCGATTCTCCTATTCGGTTGAAGTGTTTTCCGCTGACGACGATGAACCGTTGTGGTCGCATCACTGGACTGCGACTAACTTAAAAACTCTCAACTCGACAGGAGTTAAAAAAGTAGATGGTAATACCGTATACAGACTTGGAAGTGTTACCAAGATATTTACTATCTTGACGTTCCTCGCTGAAGCGGGCGATATTATGTGGAATGAGCCTATTACTAAATACATTCCGGAAATAAAGGCGATGGTCACTGACGCCGACACTTCTCATTCAATTTCAAAGCCAGACTGGGACTCTATCACAATTGGGTCATTGGCAAGTCAAATGTCAGGCCTTGTTAGAGACTGTAAGCTATTACCCGTTCTCGCAAAGTCGATTAAAATGGTCTTATACAGTTGGTATTTTTAGACGCTTTATTAGGTGAACTCACACAAGGATCAAACGCCACGCGGGCAGCTTCAATTGGATTCCCCGTCTTAGAGAATGCGGAAATACCTCCCTGTGGTAACAGGCCAGTATGCAATAGAACACGTACGTTTGCTCCTAACGACTTACATATGACCAATACCGGTTTACCTTAGAGTTGACTATTTTGTTAGAATTCTTCCAAGGTCTTAGTATACTTCCCCCATCATTTTCACCATTCGTTACGCCAGCATACTCGGACATCGGTTATACACTCCTCGGATATGCCCTGGAACAGATGACAGGGAAATGGTTCGGCAAGATAGTCCAGGACAGGGTTATCAAGCCCCTTGGTTTGAATCATACTTTCTACACAACTCCCGCGGATTCCCTCGGGATTATACCAGGTGGTCGCTATCAAACGAATTGGGCCTTTAACATGGGCAATGAGTCGCCGTAAGTACGATCTTGAAATACCTGCTTGTCGCAAGTTCTTAAGTAACTCACCAATGGGAAGCACCGGCAATATGTATACATCTTCCTCGGATTTATCCCGAGTCGGCAGAGCCATATTAAGATCTACTCTTCTACCACCATCTATGACGAGGAGATGGCTTAAGCCCATTAGCTTTAGCTCGGATCCAAAATCTAGCGTAGGCGCACCGTGGGGTGTACGCCAGCTTCAATTTTCTAAAGGTAAGTAAGTTACCCCTGAATGGCTAACTAATATATTGACCCTATGATCACAGATTCACCTTACCAATTCGCAACCACGTTCAACAAAGCAGGAAGTCTAGGGAGGTATAGCACTTTGCTAGCTATCATCCCAGACTTCAATATCGGATTCTCTATCTTGGCCGCTGGCGATGTTCCCGCGAGTTTACCTATGGATATAGCAGACACGTTGTCAAATACTTACCTCCCAACCATGGTGAACACGGCACGCATCCAGGCGAATGCGCTCTATAGTGGAACATATAAGGACCCTAATTCTGCGGTGAATTCATCTTTAAGCATCGTGGTTGACAGTAAAACTCCCGGTCTTAGTCTAAATTCGTGGATCAGCAATGGAACAAACTTGTTATGGTATTCTGTAGCCATGAGCCGAAACGTAACCAAGGATTATTGGAACCAAATTCGGCCAAGCGCTCGACTTTATCCAACTGGGTTATGGGATGCGACATCTGACGGAGGGAAAAGAGTTGCGTTCAAGGCAATATTCGAGGACCTAAGCTTGCCCAACGCTTCGAAACCTTTTACGACGGACTGCTCGACTTGGGTCAGCGTCGCAGGGATTATGTACGGCTCCAAACCCTTGGACCAATTCATCTTTAACATCAACGCCGCCGGGAATGTGACGAGCATTGAGAATGCTGCATTAAGGAATAGACTAGAGAAGGTAGCATAATGTCTATGGACTTTTCCCCGTTCCCTTAATAAGCGCAAGGCCAATTACATATTCTCTAGTAATGAAGTGGCTGCTTACCGCGTCTAAGAGATCACAAGTGGCGCCTCCTTAACTTCGCCGACAACGGAAATAGCTGTTCGATACTTTTGTGCTCAGTAATCGTCCTCCAAAATGGCCACTAGGTGCATTTCTTATACCTTGACATAATCTTAACATAATCATAACATAATGCTAAGTTTATAGTCACCGGAGCCGTGACCCCTTGCCGAGGCCGAGACAGGTATAGCAACACGGAAGATGGGTTTAGGCCGGGTAACCCGAATCCCGACAGAATTCGGAGAAGAGGCTACTTCTTGTTGGCGATTAGGCGTTAACGATATGCACGTATCGACCAGGGTCCGCGGTGCTGACTCTGTCCGATTTTACTAAGGTCTTATAAAGATCCAACTACGGAAATATTCAACTCCTAAGGTAAATGGCAAAAAAACTACCTCAAGTTATCGTCGTAAACGCTCTATCAATTAGAACACATTATTCTTCATGGCATAAAAACCAGGGTTGCAACTAACACGGGATTAATCGGCCGCACATCCACAGGTCTACGGTAAGCTCACTGAAGCATACATCATGCCCCTATCGCGCCTCCGATGCACCGAATTCGCCCTCCTTGTCCCACCCATCGCTGGTAGTAGATGGAGGTAAATTAATGAGACCGTATTAATATTTCCCCAATACTGCTGTTTCGTTGTGCTATAAGAACCCTAGCTGCCGCTTGGAGAGTCGTCCTTTTATGTATTGAAGCCCCACACAACTACACATTCCAACATCTCTAACCGTCGATTCTAATTACGCCATGACTGTCGCAAAGCCATTTGATATTGCTATAGTCGGGGGCGGTATAAGCGGGCTTACGCTCGCAGTTGCCCTCCTCCAGCAAAACGTTCCCTTCACAGTTTACGAATCTGCCTCGAAATTCACGGAAATTGGCGCCGGCTTGGGCGTCGGGCCAAATGCTGTCACCGCCGTTGAACTTATCTCTCCCAAGCTGTTTGAAGGGCTCGAGCGACGTATTACTCTTGGCTGGGAGAGCAAGCGAAAGAGCTGGTTTACGATCAGGGTTGGCGATAAGAGAAAAGCAGGCCCAGATGGAGTGCTGAAGCAGAAGGAAAAGGAGGGGTTGAGAGTCGGAGACCCGATTTTCGACATTCAGTATACTGATGATAGACTTTCTGGCGGTGTGCATCGAGCACATTTCCTAGATGACCTGCTCACACTGATACCGGACTCTGTGTCGAAGTTCGGAAAGAGGCTAGTTAACATCAGCAACGCTACAGACGGATCACAGGATGCTGTTCTGCACTTCGCGGACGGGACTACGGCGCAGCACAGTGCCGTGGTAGGTTGTGACGGAATAAAATCCAAGACTAGGGAGATACTGCTGGGCGAACAGTCGAAAGCCGTATTCTCCGGAAAATACGCATATAGGGGGTTGATACCGATGGAACGAGCCGTAGAGCTACTAGGCGCCGAAATAGCCGAAAACTCCCAGTTATGGATGGGATATCATCGTCACCTGCTTACCTTTCCAATTGAGAAGGGTAAAACTATGAATGGTTGGTATCCTAGGAAGATCCCTCTCTTACTTTAAGCTAATTGTCGTATCACAGTCGTGGCCTTCAGCTCTTGCGAAACATGGACCGATCCACAGTGGGTGGCGAAAGCATCAAAGGAGAAAATGCTAGACGACTATAGTACATGGGGTCCCGAAGTGATTTCTATCATCAACTCAATGGAGAAAAGAGACGTCTGGGCTCTCTTTAATGATCCACCTGCAGAGACTTACTACGGATTAAGCCCCCGAATATGTCTCCTCGGCGATGCTGCGCACGGTACCACGCCTCACCAGGGCGCAGGTGCCGGTATGTGCATTGAAGACTGCTACATCCTAAGCCATCTCCTAGGAGCAGCGAAAAGCACCCAAGACCTTAACAAGGCATTTCAAGCCTACGACGAGGTAAGGCGGCCGAGAACCCTCAAGTTGGTAAAAACTAGCAGAGAGGCCGGCATGCTATACGAGTTCGAACTCGAAGGTGATGATCTCGAGGCCATTGAAAGGAACTTCAAATCGCGCATGAGTTGGATCTGGGATGTGGATTTGAAGCAAGACCTGGAGAAGGCCTTATCAATCCTTCAAGGTTAACTACCTCTGTGTACGATGTTAACGATACCTATTGGAGGTTTCCTGCCCCTTTAATTATCTACCAATATATTGCTGTCTACATTCTCGCCCGTGTAGATAAGTATCATTCCACACATATTATTAGGTGCCTAGATTATTGAGACATATGTTAGGCCAAAGAGCTTCTAGCTATATTGGTGTTCCAGTCTTAGCTAGGTTCATACGGGGTAATATTGATAGTTGTACATACACAAGCCTCACTAGATACTGATGGATTCGCTACAGCGCATTGGTAATATATTCTATACCTATTATTGCGTTCTAGTAATAGTATTGTATAAGTGCTGCAGAGTAGTAGATTGATAGATTAGGAGAGTAGGTTCTTGCTACCTATCTAACAAATGAGTGTATTAAGTTGGTATAGCTACCTCCTATCCCTGTATGGCTACCTGTTAATAGCCCTGCGGTTACTCCCAGCAACGCCTAAATACCATACCTCCATTCCAATAAGTACTTGGACTCATTGCACACAGTATCCCAAGACATCCAGTATAACGAGCGAGTATTTAGTAAGCATGCTACTATTGTAGCTGACTTCCAAGTGTGAACAAACCACGACGAGGTTAAGGGAGGATCTAATCCTTATCTATAAACCTTTTTGCATAATGTAGCACCTTTCTGCATAATATGGCACCTTAACAATAATAGCACAGACCGAGTGAACCTCTGATGATTGGTTTCCATACTATGAAGACACGTAGTTAGTAAATTGCTACCACATATGAATACTTCAAGCTCTACTACTTACAAGGAGATAGGAGAACTGAAATTCGCTTTTCCCTGGGTCATTCAACCAGGCGATGTCTGAATAGCGAAACTTTGGCTCATAGTCTAGTTTAGACCATGCTTCAAAAATAAATGTGTGCAAGGGGCTAGGCATCTATATGATATATGATATCCTCCTTGTTAAGAGAATAATAGCTACCTACCTACGCAACCCTGGTCTGAATAATGGCATTATACAACTATCACACGTCATATCTATCAGTCTCATATTCGACGGGACGATACGTAAAATAATCAAAAGTAGCCGGCAACGCGGTCCCGTTAACATCGGAACACGCCACTCCCACAAACGCCCCTGTGAAGCTCCCATGGGCCTGATGTCCACCACATTCGTCAGAAAGGATAGACGCGTCATAAACCGGTCCGATTTTCTTCAGCTCATCACCGTGTAACGCGTAAAAGAATTGCAGTTCGCGACCGCGAATCGTTAACGCTAGTCTCACTTTTCCCTCGTTAGGGATCTGCACAGGGTCTGCGAGGGGTGTGGTGAGTTTGCCGTCGGGCCAAGAGCCCTCCGATGTCAAAATGAGTAGCTCTCTTTGGCCGTCGGAATGGGCCGTCACAGTAAGGTAGAAGAAGTTGTAGCGGCAGTAGTATGCAGTGAGCCCTGCAAATTGCCTCTCGTCGGTTGGTGAGAAATCGATCGTTGTTTCGGCGTCATAAGAGAAGTGAGTCTGCCGTCTCGCAACCAATGCCTGTTCGAACCACGATCCAATGGCCTCCCGGCCGAACAAGACAAGCTTTCCATCCCGAGTAGCAAAAATTCGTTCTGTCTCAGGTGTCCTCAACCACTGAAAGTCCTTGTGTAATCCGTTCTCGAAGGTATATCTTTGCTCTGCCCAGTATCGAGTGTCGTCACGCACTCCAGGGACATCAACGTAAAGCGAAGGAACAGGACCATTCTTCACGAATAGCCAGTCATCTTTCCAAAAGGCTTCTTGAATGGCAGTTTCGCGACCGAGTACGCAGCGACGCTCCTGGGTTATTGGCCGACCTGTCAAGTGTACGAGATATGTCCTCCCCTCGGGTGTATCTACAATATCACCGTGGCCGGCTCTCTGCAGAGCGGCAAGCGGGGCATCCTTGGAGGTAAGAATATGTTTCTGTGGATGCACGTCGTATGGGCCTGATATATCGCGGGAACGGGCAAGCGTGCATGCGTGGTGATAAGCTGTCCCACCCTCGGCCGTCAAAAGATAATACCATCCATTCCTCTTGTAGAGATGTGGCCCTTCGACAAGGTCTAGTTCCGTGCCGCGGAAGATGTTTTTCTTCGGGCCAACTAACTTGCCCGCCGCAGGATCAAACTCTTGAAGGACGATTCCCGCAAAAGAACGGGGCCGGCGCCGATGGTCTTGTAGCATATTTACAAACCATTTCTTACCATCGTCATCGTGAAATAGAGAAGGGTCAAACCCGGAAGAGTTGACATAAACTGGATCAGACCAAGGTCCCTCTATCGATGGAGCGCTGACAATATAGTTAGGTGTGTCTTTGAAGGATCCATCTTTGCGCTTCACATCTGTATAGACAAGCCAGAATTTCTCGCCGTCATGTGTAAGGCAGGGCGCCCACACGCCGCAACTATCAGGATCACCACGCATATCCAGTTGAGACTTGCGGTTTAGGGGGCGCGTGACTAGCTCCCAGTTTGCGAGATCTTTGGAGTGGTGAATCTGGACTCCAGGGTACCATTCAAAAGTAGATGTAGCGATGTAATAGTCGCTGCCGACCCGTAGTATTGACGGGTCGGCATTGAAGCCGGGCAAGATCGGATTGCGAACTAATGGCATGGTAAATACCTAGTCTTTCTAGGAATCTAGATAGCTAAATGAGATACTTAGGTATACAAGAGTAAAAGACGTCTCGACGACCCTCCTTTAAACACAAGTTATGAATATTTCAACGTCGAAGCTAGAGAACATCTTCGGCAGGTCGTATAATGATGGCCCGAGGAGCAGTTGAATTTAGCCGGCCAACGCCCATTGGGTGAGGAGAATCGCTAACTTCCAATAGTTTTCTATTAAATACTGACGACATCGGTAAATTTATACAATTCGGCTGTACTTCGATTTTAGTATATGATTTATTTCCTAGGCACATAATCAAGATGAATGAGAAATTGAGAATAGGACGGTGACGAGCAGGAGGGAAGACATCCACCTATCTTGGATGACATATTTACCTAAGAAACGGAAGCGAGTTGTAAACTATTGCTATGGACGAGGCGAAGACTAAACCTATTATATATATTTGGTTCTTTCATTTAGTCGTACGGTTTACCCTTACGATATAATCCAAGTCTACTGTCTGGTCAACTATCTACCTCCCACTCTTCACCACGCATGCCCGCTGCCACCCTGTATATTCCTTTTAAAGTAGGTCAGGTATCCAAAGCATGCTGTCGGAACCTTTCAGCCTCATCCTCCCTCAATCATCTTATCCAGTGTCTAAAGAAACGAAATCTTGCTATTATTAACGGCGTTTCAATTTTGCTATTCTGCGTTTCTATCACCAAGATAACAATCGCTTCCGCATGCCATCAACGTTTCATGGCCCATAGTATAAAGGGAATAACTAAGATGTTTGCACAAGACATCTTGGCCAAGCTTTGATGGGGATAAAAGGAGGAGTACACTCGTTCTAGAATACTGTGGCACATTCAACTTATAGTATGTCGACTCTTTATGATTGGTGAATTCATTGCCGCAATTACCCAGTTAGACTCCCAAGCTATGTATTAATCCTCGACGAAAGGTGTGTGTAACTTTGCATAACAACTGGGCTCATATAACAGGTGATGGTGGTGTATTGAGCGAACCTTGCTCACGGCTAATTCAGGGGCAGTTGATGATAGGAGCGGGGGATCTAAATACTGCTACCCTTTGAACTTATCATAGAACCTGAAGGTAAGAAACCCCGATCTCCGCATACCTCGCCCTTGATTGCCGCTTGTGGTATAAGTGTAATCAAGCGCGGCTTACCTTAGTAATTATAATCGCGATATATATAATTCCTGACCTGCCTTGTTTGGACAACCCGAAATCTAGTATCCGCGAGACTTATCCTACGTAGAAACTTCGTCATTGATTACGCGCCAGCCAGATTCGCCGTCTCAATTTTATCATATTGATTTAAATATATTTATCTATCCCCTTACTCCCTTGAGTTCCGTATTCCACGCGTAACGGCAATTTTAAGATTGAATAGACTACTCTTAACGAGCATCACTTGTAGACTTCTCAATATCATACTATAGATACCTATACATAGTATAGAAGATCTACCTACCTATAAGCCATGGCGGGTCATGTGTAAGCAGCCTAATGGCATCGTCATGAGAAACATCATATCTAACGCATGCCTTGAGAAATATGATGGACGATTGTCTAATATCGAACTGTTAGTAGATAATACAATCATGCGTTTAATTATAACTAGCCAGTACCCGTATTCTAATCAAGAATGTAGTACCACCGGCTACCCTCCGATCTGCTATTCGCCTTCTCGTCTCGCAGGGTGCCACCACACAGCAGCCATTTGTCGAACACATACGGGCAAGATTCTATGAGAATCCACCCCGATTCGAGGACCCAGAAAGACTATTTCCTGGAGACAATATTGTCTCTGAGGCCTGTTTGACCTACCTAGCTCAAACCAGATGTATCTTCTCGTGCAAGCTTCCTCAGGAGTCATTCCCTTAGTAAGGCCTGTCCTTTAATAATACAATAGTATTACGTCTGATAATTATAGCTTAAGACATTTCGTGGAGGCTGTTCCACGAGCAAGAGTTAGAGTACGTCATATTTTATGGATGAATACTACATATTCCATTTATCCCTATTACAATTATCTTACAAACCTACGGGGGCATTTTTCAGAGATCTTTGGCTCGTAGGAACATGTAACACACCTCTGAGATTCTTTCTTAAGACCTTTAAGCGAATAATGAGAACTCACATGTGCGTTACAGTGGACTAAAGACGGCGAGCTCGCAATGCTGCTGGCAAAGTTCGACGGGGACGTCGTCCAAGCAGTACAGGCACTTAAGGAGTCGTGTCCGGAGCCCACCCCTAAACTCTTGGGCTTAATCAATGGTCTTCTAGCCGGCCTTGGAAGCTGCAGGCAATACTGCGAGGGCCTTCATCCCCCTCTGCCATTCCCCTTTACACGTGCCATGCGGCAGCTCTACGACGTCCTGGCAATTCTATTTCCCCAGTACATGCGGGCGGTCAGCACCGTCAAGCAACCGGAACTCGCCGTATCTAACAAGACAGTTGAGAAGCACGCGATAGAAACCTTTCAACTGGGACCTTTCTACATGCCTCGTCTGTTCAACGGCCTGTGGCAGCTGTCGTCACCCTCCTGGGGCTCCGGGACCGCTCAAAGCCAAGAGGCGGCGCTTTTGCATGCCGTCGAGTCCGGCCTGACTGCTACCGATATGGCAGATCATTACGTGAGAGATCACGGCCCTTCCTTGATGGACTCTTCCTGATTTAGACATTAACTAGGGCGATGCGGAGCTAATATACGGTGATTTCAGGAGCAAGCTCGCGCCTGAAATACGAAATACGGTGTATGCCACAACCAAGTGGGTAAGTATGGCTGGTTTCCCGCCTTCTCCCTTAAGTCGTTTAATCTGGGAACTAAATCTCCGACTTAACTCGGTCCTAAATACCTGGAGGTATTCGTTATTAACTAACAGGGACGCAGTGCATCTTTTCGCCAATTCCGAAGCCCGTAACTACGTTATTCGTCCTCAACGCCGTGCGTGAACGATGTCGACGTTTAGGGGGGCGGGTTGAGCTATTGCAGTTCCATTGGTACGATGTACGCACCTCTCCGTCTAAGCCAATATCAGAGGTTGTTTTCTTATTTTAAACAGTACGATGATAAAGCCTATCTCGACATCCTACTCGAGTTAGTCTATATCACGAAATCTCACCCAGAATTGGTATCAGCAATTGGCCTATGCAACTTCGACTCCGAGCATGTGGAGGAGTCGTGCAAGCATCTCATCGCCAAGACTGGCTCGGTCGGAATCGTATCAAACCAAGTGCAGGTGAGTATGCCACATTTAAATAGTGCCAGCATTCGTTTCCGTTTTGCTAAGCTCAAGCCCGCACCTAGTTTTCTCTTGTGGACGCGCGCCCGCTGCAGAGAATGACTCAAGTATGTGATCAATACGGATTGAAACTGCTCACATACGGCTCATTTGTAAGGCGACCATCTCTCCCCTTTTTTCTTCGATATAACTGTTCTAGTACGTTGATATGTTGTATGATCCAACAGTGCGGGGGGTTCTTATCTGAGAGATGGCTTCACCAACCAGCCCCTGACGTATATCTGGAATCGAATAACTTGACTCCTTCTCAGCGCAAGGCGAGTAATTCCCACCATTTTCTCAACCATTGCATACCACCTAGCTAAAGTTTGGTCTTATAGTACTTCGACATGATCCTTAGCTGGGGCACATGGGACGACTTCCAGGCCTTACTCGAGCGCCTCTCCAAGGTAGCTCTTAAGCATGGCGCAAGCCTTACGAACATTGCGACGCGCTGGGTTTTGCAGCAGCCGGCAATGGGCGCAGTCATTGTGGGCACTAGGCTTGGTGTCTCGGATCATGTCGACGAAAACTTGAAAGTATTTGAGCTTGAACTAGATGACAACGACATGTCTAGTATTAACAAGATTGCGTTGGGCTTGTCAAGAGAGAAAATGGCAACCCTCTTCGACAGACTCGGCGACTGCGGCAATGAGTACCGGAAGATGCATTAAAATATCCGGTTAACCTCAGGGGCTTTCTTGTACAACACATAACATAGCTACCTCTTAGAGAGACCCGGGATAAATTGTATAATTGGTATTTAGTGCACATTCCAAAGTCTTTTCATCAGTCAAACAGATGGCGAGAGCCTAGAAACATATCAATGCCAGGCCCCTTCAATACATTTTTAGTGATCCAATCTATAACTCCTATTTCATGCTTGACTTCAATAACGCACTGCTAATAAACCATTACATAGGTACACATGTAGTTAGTGGTACGAAGCTGACGTTTTGATCCCATCTCTATTAACACAAATGAGCAGAATATAAGATAATCGTATACGCCTGCTCTATCGCCATATATCAGGCTAGAGTAAAAGCTTAGATATAAATTTGTCTCGGAGGGATGCCCCAAAAGGACTATCGCTAGATTACTATTTTGAACGCCAAGATCGCTATGAAAGTCCTCTATTAATCCATATACATCGGTTCGCTGCCGCTAACGCCTTGAACAACTGACCCATAATCGCCATTACTCATTATCGCATGTCCATGTTGATTATGCATACGCCCCGGCACAGAGGTACCGGCATTCAGATTTTGCATTGTTTGCCGTATGTTGAGGTCTCGATTGGACATCGTCCCGTTAACGGTAAATCGGGTTTCGGTAGTACCTGGAACCCGTTGGTCAAGATTTCTCGTCCGTGGTATGTCGAGCTGCTGATGAGACTGCGCTGGCTGCTTTGCGATGGCAGGAGTAAGTGATGCAAAATTTTCGTCGTCTTCCATTTCAGCATCAGCATCTTGGTCGCTATTTTCGTCGTGGACACCAGGTGGGGCAGAGGTAGCGGGAGCCATTACAGCAGCTGGTATGGCTGCTGCTGTTGTTGGTGTTGCCGATTGCGGCTCATTCAATTGCGGATTAGATGCTATAGAAATAGACCCTTGATGTTGGTGCTGTTGGGGTTGTTGAGGGTGGGCTGCCATTTGGGCTTGAGGAGCAGGTACAGGATTAGAAGTTATGCTAGTCGGGGTGGTAATTGTCTGCTCAAGTGTCCTCTGCCCAGCCATACCAGCCCCCCGCGACGACACAATGACTGCTTTCCATCGTTCAATAGCGCGGCCGACTACAGTATCGAGGTCCACATGGCGATCCTCAGGCTCAAGACCAACCCCCCTATAACCCTTGCTTCCTAGATCTAACAAATACGAGAGTAGCGATTCTTCGATAGGAATCGTTGCTGGAGGAACTATCCTGAACTCCCTCGGTTGTTGTAGACGATTGAGGTGATCGATCTGAGTCTTGAGGTTCTCATTCTCTTGTCTCATAGAGAAATGGGTCTGTTTCAACTTTTCCACTTCCTTCTGCCGTCTCCCTACACTCCTCGCCAACTCAAGGCCCCAAAGCTCAGTCCTTCTTTGAACTGGAAGTTGTTCCCAAACATGATAAGTCGATTGCAAATGCTCACAGACCTGCGCCTCGAGCTTGGTCGCAGCCTCTTCCGCCTTCTTCACGGCCTCGCGCACATCGCGAGGGAAAGGTGTTTGAGAGGGAGGATATGTCAAATCCTCATGTGATGAAGTAGTTGCCGTAGCGCAAGCGACTTTCCATTTCCTGAATTCTTCTTTGAAATACGCCTTAAGCGCTTCAAATTGCTTCTGCGCTGGGGGTTGTATAGACCAAGAAGACGATGTCGGGTGCGGCGTAGAGGAGAATAACGTAGGAGGTGCTTGGAGACATTGGAGGGTGAGAGCGGGGAAGTCAAGAGAAAGGGGATCGAAATCGAACGGAAGAGAATCCATGTCTATTTGCTGCCTGAATCGACGTAACCAGTTAGTATCACGTAGTAACATGTTGGGAAGATATCCTTACTTGGCGGCCCTCCACGAACTAAGCAGTTCTCGAAGTGCCAGCTCGGCAGCCCTTGCTGTGTCCATAGCATCCGAAAGCTTCTGCCTCGCATCTAACTGAGATTTCTGAACCGTTCTACTCGGTGCACGCTGCATGGGAAGCCGCCTGGAATCCTGGCCGCTACCATCGTCTGGGTTGCCCTTGAACTCCCCGCTCCTCGCCGGAATATCATTGATTACACCAGTAGCCTCCCAGGTGGGCTGAAAGGGATATCTGGGCATCTGGTGGTCTACGACAAAATGACCATCTTTCGGTATAGCACTCGGCTTTGCGATAGAATCGGGCGCGGGGCTCTTTCTCGAAGAGGTTGTCGGGGTGCCCGGAGTCGAGGTATCTCGCCGCGCTAAAGAGCCCCTTGGCTGTCTGCGAGTGATGCTCCCTCGCATCTTCTTGATAGCTTCAACATCGTGAACACCATCTGGAGCTTTAGGATTCTTCTCTTTGATATACAGATCTAGATGCCTTCCCAATGACGAAGATGTGAATGCTTGACCACAGTACGGACAATTCCTATCCTTTGCCGCGCCTGCTTTGGCACCGCCCGGAGATTCGGCGGCGGCGGCAGGGAGGATTATTCCCTCGGACATGGCTAGGGAAGCTCGGGTTGGATTCAAACGAAGATGGTTTAATAAACAATATTATTATAGTTTAGTTTGGATAACGAACGGCGTGCGAGAATATGGCAATCGTAGAGGAGCAGAGCCTCGAAAAGAGATATAGGTATATAGGTATTATCTTCAACAGCCGCCCCGAGGGAGCATCTTCCGTCCGGATCTCATCCAGGAAGAAGGCTCCCAAAAGGAATCCTAGGAGTCAACAAAGAGTCCTGTAATGTCTTGGTCATTTATGTCAGAGAATTGTTACGAGAGAAGAGGGAATTGAAGTGGTTTCTTGCGAAAAGTGATATATGTAAGTGTTAGTTAAATGTACTTGTTTCTTTGAGAACGAAATGTTATGTTTGGTCCCTTTTTTTTCTTGGGGGATTTTCCGTTCAGGGGGGTCAGGGGCTACCTTAGCTTAGAATATCGCATGTACTTCTCTTACGAGGTACAGTATTGTATGTACCTACAGAGCAGAGCGGTACGTTAGCGTTAGCGTGAACTTGGATTACTTCCACTGCTTCCACTACTTCCATCCGAGGTACATACCTACCTAGGTACCTATTTCTAGTCGCGTCTATAACAAGACAAGCAAGCACCACCGATATATATACTATTGCATATTATATATCTACGTACCTTATATAATATTTTATACAATTTCATATAGCGTGTTCCTTATATATTTATCAAGTAACATCAGTCACTTTCACCTTGCATCACCTTGCAGAATGTAGCAGTCTACATACAACCTTGAACATTGACAGCTTCACTTAATTATTATAGACACTGTACGCGTGGATGTGAGCACTGTTTCAAAAACAGGTACGCTACTGAGGCCAGAACCGGGAATGGTGGGTCTAGAAGCAGGTCTAATGTAGCTTCTAAGGTCCGCGTATGTACATATCTTATTCCGCTCAATAGGAGTTCTAAATTCGGACTCCACAGATTCGTCTAACCAAGATAGTTATAGACTGCTGACGGGCCAGCTGCTTACAGCCGTTGAATGTTTGAATTACCGGTATCTTAGGTTAGGTACAAAATACATACATATGTATTAGCAAATAAAGCACGGACCAGCTCAAGCTCTGCAATAACAAACTTGCATACAATTGAACCCATAACTTACTTCAGCTCTGCTTTGATTTGTCGCAATAACTTCATCGCAACCCTGTTATATCTAATTGATCTGTTTCTTCCATTTTCCGTATCTATAGTTCCCGTTAATCAATCCGCTCCCGGAGAATCGATCTAGTTATCATACGCGTTCCCTTCTGCGCAAGACCAAAATGCCACCTGGTACGTCATCCAATTCTATTACAACCATGTCGTCGCGAAGTTGACTTCAAATTACGCGAGCGCGACGCCCCAGCGCCGTTTCTCCCTCCCCACCTATTCGAATCCTGATCAATTTCGAACGATCCTCCGCATCCATTGAAGCTAACGATTTACTCGTAGCTATTAGCGACGACGAAGCCTCCAACGTTGGCGAAGTTACCGTTCCTCTACTTTCGACGCGCGGAAAGAAAGCTCGGGCTAGCCTAGATGATGACGATCGCGAGATGCGTGGTGTTGTGAAAGGCGATGTCGCAAAAGACGATGTCGCGAATGGCGATGGCGACGATGGACAAGGAGAAGACGACGAAAACTTAGACGAGGATGAGTGCGTAGCGCACCCACGTAAATTGATTTAAAAGAAACAGTCAAGCAGCTGTTGCTAACTAAAATCTAGGTATATCGTCGAGAAGATCCTCGCTCATGTCGTTGAACCCGATGTAAGTGGCAAGTGAATACTCATGTCGAAAAGCTTGCCAACAAATTGTATAGGGCGCATTGAAATTTAAGGTCAAGTGGGAAGGTTGGGAGAAAAAATCGGATCAGACGTGGGAAAGTTACGAGAGCCTCATGTTAGTATGATCCCTCCCGGCTCGTTATTCTACGGGCGGTTCTCGACCCTGTCTCTGTGCTAGTTCGCGGTATCTAACAGTCTTCGATCAGCGAGAACGCCTCCGATATTGTAGAAGAGTACCTTAGTCGTTTCGGCGGACTAGAAAAGATTCTAGATGAAGGGAAATCCGCACTAAAGACGAAAAAGCGCGGTCGACCTGCGTCAGGAACCCCAACTAATGGCACAAAGCGGCGGCGCAACGAAAGTCATCCTGCTTCAGAAACCCCTCCAGCTAGCAACCGAGCCTGGAAGCCTCCGGTAGGTTCCTGGGAAGATGAGGTCGAATCTATCGATGCTTGCCATGATGAAGTCCAGGGCAAGTTAGTTGTATACCTTACCTGGAAGAATGGAAACAAAACCCAACATGATACCAAAGTCGTATACAAACGATGCCCGCAAAAGGTCTGTTCGCAATATTAAAGTACCTTTCTCAACATATTTGCTAATAGATTATTGCAGATGCTTCAGTTCTACGAGCAACACGTCAAAATTGTTATGGCATCATCAGATGGCGCTGTCAAAGAGGAATAACGCGTATTTATGATACGAGCCGAGTATACCAGTTAAGGGCTAGTCGGAAGACTGGAGTCTAACAGGAACTAGCAGGTGACAAAAATAGCAATACTGAATAAGGGCTTGGATGATGCCTCAATACTAACACAAATACTGGATTCTTATATGAATTTCTAGTCTGTACAATTGTACAATGAATAGTGGGCGATCGCAAGGAGATGAAAGGTCTCAATACTATAACACTATACATAGGTTATCGGCAGAAGACGCGGCGTCGACGCGATGCGAGTGCGATAACCCGGTCAATTGCCGAACGCGTTGAGAAAATTCTAATCTTTTATATTTTACTTCTGATGACCTCCCGCTTAATTATAATAGCTACTACCTAGTCGCTTATAAGTTTCAGTATAATCTCGTCTTGGATCCTCTCCGCCTTGGTAGCTTCGCGTTGTTATAGAGGGATATCTACAGTTTTCAATTGTGAAATCATCTGGCTCTCTGGTTATACCCCTGTATACTACTGTATATACATATCTGACAATTAACGCGTACCTAAGCATATCAGGGCTACTAGGCGTGGTGGCATGATGCAGCGCGAAATCCGGAGGTTGGGGAATAAGACGCTAAAACGGTTAGGCTCGAAGCTCGGGCCAGTTTTCTCCCTTGTTACCCCCTGCATCAAGCTGCTGCCAACCACCGGGTAAGAAAGCTAACCTACCCCTGCTTCTTCCCGACTTACCGTACCGTACCGTACACTACCGGTCTAGGTCAGGTACCCCCCGGCTGCCCAGCTGTTCGCTGTTCGCTGTTCCAAGCCAGCTAAGAAACCTCCTTCCTGCCTTGCGGATTTTTAGGCCCAGCCTCGCTATTTACTCGAATAGAATGGCGGGGCAACCAACAGTATTTGTACCTCGATGCCCATTCCATTCGCAATGTCCCTTTTTATTTTATTTTTCGTTCTCTTTCTGTTAGCTTTTATGTATCTCGCTTGCTTACGATCTGAATAAAGTACCTACATACATTTTTATGTTAGGTATCTTCTATCTTTTGAATTTTGTCCAAGCAGCACAGCGTTGAAGTTATTACATCCGTTCCCGACTGTCAAAGGGGACCACCATCCATCACTTCGCTATCTATCTATCGTTGCTTATCGTTATCGCGTCGACGATACGTTGTGCAGCGTCACATCATTCGATAACTTCCTATTTTAGACGACGACGAGATAAGAGTGTCCTACCTTAGGTAGTTATCAATTTGTCTTAAATAGCCAGGCAGCTTAATTCCATTGGAATTTGACTAGGCTGAAGAAATAACATCGCCATCGTCTCAAACCACTCCTTCATCTACACCCTCCTTCTTTCCAGACAAACCGCAAGGATGAAGGAAAACGACGTCATCGCCATCATCATTATCCTCCTCTTCATCGTCCTAGCCCTCATCGCCTTTGGTATCTACAGATTAGTCCACATGGCCCGGGCACAAGGCACAGTCTCCGAAGAGAGCGGGACAGGATCCAACATAACGGACGACGAGTAAGACTGGAAGATGTCTTATACGAAAAGATGATCTACGGCAAGGGTTCTTTCTACCTTTTGGATCCTAGACCTTATCTCTTAATTCTTTATTTATTCGGCGCCATCACAATTTCCTTGTTCGGAAACCCCCTTTACGGCAGCCATCCCCACATCCAGCGGTGTCGCCCTTGAGGGTTCGGCATGCTTATCAAGCGGTTATGTCTGCCCTTCCCGAGCAGACTCTCCGAGTTTTCAAAGCCAGGACTTTTCCGGCTGTAATCGAAAGCCACCCGCAGAAGAGGCGGCAGCGGCGGCCACACGGACGTGGCCACCGAGCCTAGCGGGGGTATAACATTATCATTTGCATGCATATATTTACGGCATTTACGATCTGTATGTATATATAAAAGGAGAAACGGGTATCGGGGATCACGGGCGCGAGTACGCATCACCTTATTAGGGCTCAGGGATGCAAATGTTTGATATTTTGGGTGACGTATATTATGTGGGTTATGTTTGATATTTTGGGTGACGTATATTATGTGGGTTATGTGTTATCTCTTGGGGTGATCTAAGGTGGCTACGAGCGGTGAGGCATTGAGGACATGAATATAAGGGGAGAAATGCGCGTGTAATGAGTCACATGATGTAAATTTGTTGATGGGGTATATTAGATAGAGGTGGAGAGTTCAAAATAGTAGTCCACCTGGATATTGGGAGGCTTCGAATTTATCCCCAAGTCAGCTCGTATGCCTCCTATTCTACCCCACGTGCGCAAATAACCTTCACTTCCCACTATGTTCACCGATGTATTACCTCGTACGTAGTAGAGGGTATCCTATTTTGCATTCGCCAGAGACTAATATATCGTCTTACAATGCAGGGCAACACCCCGAACCTCTATACCGCGATGGCAAACATATATATAAGATGAAAAGGATACAACAAGAGGCCATGAACAATACTAGATCTCGCGTCCAACAAATAGATAGAACACAAGAGTTTATTAAAGCGCCGTCAAGTCCCCAACCCGCTATTTTTATTCACCCCCAAACTCCATGCAATGCGTATATCTTCATGGGATGTCCGCCCCCTTGAACATACTCCTATCACCCGTTAGTAAATACGAATCTCAAGAGACCTGCTCTGAGATTCTTCCCCAAGTCAATGCAAAAATGTGATGTACAACCAAGCTAACTCGTACGCCCCTTAGGCGTTCAACTTCGTATGAAGTAGCATGCTCCGTACTGAATCCCTATGCACACATCATCCGTATGCCGCATACTATAGATAGCATAAAACCAGAAGATGCCCAATATCAAGTTCCCCGTTATATACTCCTTGCCAGGCCCGCCCTAAATGGTATCGTAGAGTTAATGTAAACGTATGGTCGCGAAATTTCTTTACCTCAAGGCTAGGTTTGAAGTCGTTGCGGGGTTTGAACGTAAGCACCAGGCGCTATACTAACGTGGATGTATTGCTAAGACCGACTGCTCTTGTCGTCGGGTTCAAAGGAGAACCATCCCCCTCTTTCCCAATTACCAGGTACGTAGAGGGATTCGGCGCGAACCCCGTCGTTAGTGATTCCGTCAAGCAAAACGTTAAGCCTCTTGAAATCGATCGGCTTTAAGATCCAGCCGTCAAACCCGGCTTCAACGTAAATCGGTCTCTCCCGCTCCACGAGAGATGCCGACACAGCAAATATTGGGATTCTCTCATGGCTATCTACCGAATAAGAAGGATCTGGGCCCTTGTCTGACTTCTCAAACGCCCGTATCATCTTAGTACTAGTAAGGCCATCGACAATAGGCATCTATAATTATTAGTTGTGCCTAATGTATAAATTGGTAATAGTGACTCACTTGCATGTCCATAAGAATAACATCAAAGCTAGTTGGCTTGTCTTTGTAAACAGTGGCACAATCTTCGCCGTTGACCGCATGATATACTTCATGCCCAGCTTTCTCTAGGCGTCTTTGGAGTATTTTCATGTTGATAGGATCATCCTCAGCTACTAGGACCTGTAGTCTGCCCGAGTTTATAGGAGATATTAGTTTGGGTTTACCCGTTTGCTCCTCGTTACCCTTAGCATTCCCATCAGTCCCGAGCAGTACTCGAGATTTGGCGGCAGTCGGCGACGCTCCTAAATTATCGAAATATTCATGCGGTACCCTAACGGGTTTTATGGGCGTCCTAGTATCTGTAACATGATACTGACCGCTGGGTGTGGAAGGTTTACTCGGACCCATAGCTGGCTGCTGCAAAGCAGCCGATTGCTCAAGGTCGATACCGCCAACGGCCGATGGGTTAATCGCACCCGATCCCGACAAAATAGCAGCACCGGCGCTAATATTGTCTTGCCGTTCCTTCAAATTTAGGCGTTTTATGTTGGCAGCCCTCTCCTCGAGGCTCCCTATTGATAAGGGTGTCTGAATTGCGTCAATTAGGCGCTCCGCGTCACTCTTGTGGCTATGAGCACTGTTGCTAGTGCCGCTCTTTATACTACTGAGGCTCCTAGTCTCGTCGAAGCTCCGGGTTTCGGCGTTCGTGAGTCTCGGCACGTTGATTGGAAGAGAACTCTTTCGGTCAACGAGCATAACCTCATTTGCGTCAGCTAAGGGGGAAGCTTTGACGATAGGAACAATACTCGAAATAGCTTTAGGGTTAGAAGCTGCATCCGTATCGTCGATTTTCTCTAGCGATTCACCTTTCGGCAATTCAAAAGGAAGCTGGATGACGAATCTTGATCCTTTCCCCTCTTCAGACTTTAGTCGCAGTTGGCCATTCATATTCCGCAGTATCCTCGCAACCATGGCGAGACCTAGACCTAGCGAGCGGTCATTCTCTGGCTTCTCGGCGTCATCAACAGAAGTAGATGAATCCACATCTAAGCTAACTTGCTCTAGGTCTCGAAAGAGATTATCTAACTTTTCGTTGCTCATACCGCGACCTGTATCTTGAACGACGATTTCAATTTTAACGCGTGACTCAAGAACCTCAGTGACGTATGATTCAACCCTTATTGAACCTTCGCTCGTATGCTGCATGGCGTTTGCTGTTATATTTGCCACTACCTGACGTACTCGACGATAGTCGCCATGGACATATCGGGGGAGACCAGGGTGTTCGATGAGTTCGTAGGACAAAGCTTTCCGCTTAGCATCTACTTTAAAGGGTTCCGTCGCTTCGCGAATGCAGGCTGGCAAGTCCAATACTTCGTCCTTGATCAGCTCTTGACCCTCTTCCATATTGGTGAGGTCAAGCAGGTCATTGATCACATAGATGAGTGATTTGGATGCTGAGTGAGATCGTGCCAAGTTTTCTCTAGTCTCTTGGTCGAGATGCCCCTCCATAGCAATCTCTAAACAATTGATGATTGCATTCAGAGGAGTGCGAACCTCATGGGCAGAATTTGCAAGCAGAAGTCGAGTAAGTCGACTGCTCTGCAACGCAGCCTCTTTCTGCCTCCAGACCTCGATGAATTTACCTAGGTTGATGGTTAACATAAATATGATTCTAATTAAAAACCAAAGGTCATGAACACGCGATTCATATACGTACCATATACCAAACAGAGGACGGCAGCAGTCTCCACCTGCTCTTCGGACCAGTCCCTACACTTTCCAATTACAAGTTCATGCCATGCTTTGAAGCTTGATCGTGGCTCCAGATAACTGGAAGTACCCTCGCGAATATATTTTTCGTACGGATTGCCTGCCCACTTTACTTCTCTGACTTGACCTTTGCGGAAAAATACAATGAAATCGTTTCCGCCCACACTCAGTGGGACGTACAATAGACCGGCGATAACTGAAAACCCGGGAGGGTAGTGGAGATCGGGAAAATCCTCGTGAATATCCTGAGTAGTTAATACGGAAGTGAATTTTCGCAAACGTAGATATTCCAACATGGCTAGAGCTTCTTGGGACTGTTCAATCTTCCCCAGTATTTTTGTCTCGCCCCGAATAGATAGCATACCAAAATCTGCGTCAAATAGCTTTATAAGATCATTAGACGAGGCGGTAATATAACCTGACGGGTTCTTGTCAGTCGGCATAGTATTGATAAGTTTCCTTGCCTGGAGGCGTGACGCGTACGAGAGTCGCTCTATATTGCGCGACGCCGTATCGCCCACCAGCCGACATAGTTTTCGAATTGGGAACGGAACTCGCATTCCGGTAGAACCGTAGCTATGGCATGCAATAAGTCCCCATAGCTCGTCGAAGGCGTTGATGGATATTGACATAGAGGACCGGACAGCCATGTTAGCAAGGTATTTCAGGTGGATCGGAGACATGGCTCGAAGATAGGCATGGCTGAGATCGAGCGGCCTTCCTAAGTCCCCGGGAGATCGACAAACGAGCCTTGCGGATTCTAAGTCTCGGTCGTAAAGTAACCGGACTTTGTTAAGCTTGTATAGATCTCGCGCTTGTTTCGGGATATCAGAAGCTGGGAAATGTAAACCGTAGTAAAGATCACGAGTCTGTACAGGATCAACCAATTCTGTCACAACTTTTCCGTTAAATGCAGCGTCGAATTGATAGATCATGACTCGGTGAAATCCAGTGAGTTCCTTGACGATTCCCACCAATATTTTGAGGAATATTTGCAAATTTGGCGCGGATGCCAACTGATCTTGGACTTGGGACATTATATCAAAAACTTGCATGGCACTAGCTCCACCACGTCTATTTCGTGCGCTTCTAAGAATCCTCAAGGGTCTGCTGCTCGTTTCGGTGCTTTCGTGCAGTTCCTCCACCGTTGGGGTTTGGCAGAGAGTGTCCTGAGGCGCATCTGACGTCGGCTCATCAGCCGGCCGGAGGGGGTGCTCTTGGTCATCTTCAAGCTCAAACTCGCAGATGATCAGCTCTGGGTGGCTTTCATTGATATGTATTGCACACCATAGCTTTATAGACTTCTTATGAGGCGGCCGTATAGATATACTGAATACATCAGGTCCATTGGTGGCCGGGTCAGCTTCTTCGTCTCGGATGAAATCGATGTGATCCAGAAGATTATCAGTCTGCTCTTCAGTCAGAATATCGGCGAAGCTCTCAAGTCGAAACAACTCCTGTGGTGAGAACCCAATCATCTTCTCGGAGTTTTCGCTGACGCATCGGACAGTGAGTCGGCCATCATTTTCCTCCCTGAGAGCGACAAGAAGGCCGAAGGCCTGGACAGCCCCAGGGGTATGGATCGGCTCATCTTCACATCGCTGTAGGCTACCATCGCGCCCAGTAATGACAGCATGACCTTCCTCTGTAATCACGTGACGAAAACGGGCTGTCATTAACGCATCATTTAATTCTCCAAGCGATCTACGTCTGGAAGAATCATCTGGGTTACTCCCTTCAGTATTTAAAGGCGTACTGCTCTTCGTCTTATCGGATAGGTCCGAAGATGCATCGTTGAAGATAGAAAGTGGGCCGGCAGGGACATCCCGTTTCAATTTGGGGGCCGGACTAGCAGCACGTGTTTCTCCCCTATTTTGTTTTTCTACATCATCTTTATCCTTCGATGGTCCTAGAGACGACGAAACAGGAGTAGACACAGGTTCAATTCTTCGGAGTCCATCAATCGTGTCTATCGAAAGGCGAGCACTGCCTGGTCGTCGCCGGCCGTCCCAAGTCGACCCTCGACGGGCTATATAACCTTGTTCTCCCAGATTTTTTACCAACGTTAGGGGTGTTTCTTGCGACTGGTCGACACTGACCACAGAGCGAATGGGGAATACTCTGTCCGACGGGTCTGCATTACTAGCGCTGGTGCCGCGACGATGTTGACTATCCGCACTCGCACTACAAGATGAAGGAATGTTCGAAGCTCGTTTATGCGTAATGTCGCTATTTACCGCCGTAGAAGTTTCCTCCACAGGAATCGGGGGCGACTTTGGTTTTACGGCGGGGATATCTTCTACAGATGTAGGCACATTCGTCGATTCCTCATAGTCATCTGCCTTGCAGGATGGCTGGGGAAATGGTGTTGTGTTGTCGTCATTTTGCGTCCTGGGCTCAGAGGGATCGTTAATAGCCTGATCAGCGGTGGGCTGGTTTTGGATCGCCGGATCTTGACTTGACTCCATGCTATAGGGAGATCAATGGCGACGACCTAAAAGCCAAGGTGAATCGATTGCGACCACGATCTTAGTTAAACCACTTGAACTCGGCACGCCCAATTTCCTCTGTGTGGCTCCTATCAGGCCCAAGCTGGATGGCCCCAATAGCAACGATACCCCAGCCCTTTTGACAAATGATACCTATATCTCGTTCTAGGTTTTCAGCGAGGTAAATGTAGTACACGGGGGAGCGCCGGGGACATGGGAGGACGAGGGGTAGTAAGAGGGAGTTCCAACTCCACAGCAAACAAGTGAAGAATATGGGGATTACTTCCAATTCCAATATGAGCATCGATAATTGAGCACCAAAATGGAAATTGGAACATGGGAAAGCAACAATAGCAGATCTGTAGTGGGGTCAATTGGGTTAACGCGCTGGATATAGAAGGGAAAGAGCCCTATGCTACGGTAGTTCGCCACTTTCCCTCTAAGTTTTCTCTACCTATTTCCCCTACCCATGTACAAAAGATTACATTAAGAGGTACATAAACCTGTCCAGAAGGACGTCAAAAAAAAGGTGGCGCACCTACTACATGCAGGTATGTCCCGGATATACGTCCAGGCACTGTCAGACCGATGATCTGTATGAAAGAATGGTTTACGTAGGTTGGGTACCTAAGGTTACATAGTAGGTATGGCATTCTTTATTTAGCATGCACGCCATGTGGCGGCAGGGAAGTATATACATAAAATAAGAGGTACCTATGAGGTAATAATGTATCAATTGCGGACAGATCTATTACCTACCTCACACTACGTGCATTGCAGTGCATACAGAATCTACCTAGGTTAGATTAGATTGGGTATTTAGCATTGCATTTCTATTTCCTTACTTGCTATCTACATATGTTAGGTATGGTGAGCCAAGAGATTGTCGATTATCCCTCTGATATTAGTGGCGTTAGAAGGAGCATTTATTCCTAATGTCGTTGACGTCATTTCTCAGAGCTACTGCTGTGTTATGTAAAATGCCTTGACTGATTACATGCTGATTGGGCAGTTCCAGAAAGGTAATCACCACAAAAGAATGGAATTGCCGAGTAACCCATTCGGGCAAGGCAAAAACTATCTGTTTCTTTTTCTCTCATATTTTAGTATACACTACCTCCTTACCTTACAGCCAGTCACAATTCCGAACACGAAAATAAAGAGATGACACCTCCTAGGTTACATACATTGTTATATTAGGTACCTAGATTACGTAATTACTGGCTATACAGAGTATTGAATCAAGCAGTTTACAATAAGAGTCTATAACAAGGGCTCGATCAAGTTTTCTTTGGCAAGTCCTTTAACTAAACACAATTCAATTATACTTCTTTATCTACCTAGGTATATCGAAAAAGAAACAATATCGTAACGACAACTTTGTCTACAAATGGATATCATTCTTGTCTCTTGGTATAAATATGATTACCTATCTACGCAGCTCGGTAGACGAATATACTGGTAGATTTACTTCAGCACAACTTGTCTCCAAAGGATACTTGACATACTAATACTAAACCTCGTAGCCACTCCACGAAGCCGGAAAAGGTAAGTGTATCGGGTAAGTTTTTCGCACTTCAACTAAGAAAATCATCCTTCTACACTAAACCCGATCGTAAGTATGCAGAACGCTTACAGTTTCGCGGGGCAACCCAAATCTACCAACTCTACGGAGCCACCCAAATTCCCGCCATGTGAGCAGGTGGTATGTCCAGAAATCGAGATGACCGACTATGATTATACCCAGGAAAATCAGGCGATCCCCTCGGACGATGTAGACATGATCGATGTGCACACCCTTTCCCAGCAGGTCCCGGGACTAGTAGCGGGTAATCCATTTCTGAAAAGGGACAACAATACTAAGCCGAAGTCGAAACAGACTAATGTTATGCTACACTCGGCTCAGACTCAAACTGATCCTCCCTCAAGCTTCGAGGTTGGAGTCTTTGAGTTGCTGAGGGAGAGAAAGATCTACTCTGTCACTTACGAGAAAGGCAAGCTTGAGGTTAACATCGAGTAACATGGCTCACGTAGCGACATGTGCAGTTACTTCATAGTTTGAGGATGGCAAGTGCCTTCAGTATTGGAGACTAAATTTAGGTACCTAACCTATATATGGGTGAGCAGTTGAGACATTGAGTAATGATTTAACTGTACCTACCTATATACTATAATAGGCACCTGGGTAGTTGAGGATATTGCAGTTTAAGGTAGCCCGTAGTCAGACGTTTTAGCAACTTATACTCGACTAAATAGTAAATTTCATAATTTTAAAATGTACCTAACCTTAGGTACCTAAGTTTATCAAAAACGTTTTATCTATTCGAATGTGTATAGTTCTGCAGTGATACCGCAAAGCCTTGGATATGCCAACTAAGAAATTCTATCAAGTATTTGAAGGACATATCCGTCAGCCCCAACAACGTGAGTTTACATTGATAACGCATTATCCAGCCGAATGTTGGCAACGAGATTGTATGTAGATGAAACGAGACTCGATGCAAGAAGACAATAAGGGTTAATCTCAGATGACGCCGTCACCAACCCGGGTCATTGAATCAATCAAATCACCAAATACATCCCGACCCCAATTTACACGCCGCTAGCTAAAAGCGCATTTTAATTTTACCTGCAAGCAATCAAACCCACACTATTATCCCACGTATCGGGTATCCTCACCAAATCTCACCAGCCATGGGCAAAGACGCCGCGCCCAAGAACTGGCCACCAACCCTCCCCTACCTCCAACAGCCCTCCTACGCGCCCCACGTAACCAAGGCCCAGCAGCAAATTCTCCGTATCCGGGACCCTGAAATCTCAACCGAGATCCCACGGGACTTTCCCCGCGGCCCCTCGGCCCTCGCGAGGATTATTCCCATCAGCGACCCCTCGCACCCCGCGCACGGGCAATCCGGGCTATTTGCCGCGCGGCCGCTCCCGCCCGGCTCCCTCGTGCTCCCGTACTACGGACTCGTACACTCGTCGGCGCCGCCGCACTCTGCAGCCCACGAGAAGTCGGATTACGACTTGTGGTTAGACCGGGACGGGGCGCTGGCCGTCGATGCAGAGCGCGCGGGCAACGAGGCGCGCTTCGTGAATGACTTCCGGGGGGTCGCGGCGCGGCCGAACTGCGAGTTCAGAGAGTGCTGGGACCTGAGGCGAGGAGAGAAGTGCATGGCTGTCTTCGTTCTGCCAGCCGGCAAGAACGCGGGGAAGAAAGCTGCTGCGGGTGTTGCGAAGGGCGAGGAGATTCTTGTTAGTTACGGAAAGGGGTTTTGGAGTAAGAGGAGAGATGAGCTTGAAGAGGAGGAGGACGGCATAGTTGACGAGGTTGCCTCCTGAATGGAGGGGCGCTATTATCAGCAGCGGAGTTCAACGTTCAGTATCGGGGAGTTATTGAGTCTACCGACTCGATGTATACCACGAAATCAAATGGAAAATATGTCAATTTTGGTTTCCTCTAGCATCTACGTAGATATTTATCGTACCAAGTATAAATCGGCTGGAGTAGGGATGCTCTACTCCGTGCGGCACCTAAATAACTTCGTTTAGATCCTGGTCTCTTCTACCTCCTCCCCGTTTTTCTTTATATTTCCTCTCTACAGGAAATTCCTGTAACCGTACCCTTCGTTCTCCACACCAATCGAACTATACTTGGGATCTGTTCCCGCCTGACGTGCCGCCTCATCGTTCTTCTCAAATTTCTTGTTCTCCCAGTCCAGATACATACGCAGGGCCAAGGCTAAAAACGCATTGAAGAACATGAACCCCGCGCATACACTCATCCCCATAATGTAGTACGGCCCGTCGCTGGTCGGGAACATCCGTGTTCCGAGTAATGGCCCGCATTGGCCGACGATGTTAAGGAGCGCGATACCAGCACCTCTCTTGGAATCTGATCCTTGGTTGTTTAAGGTCCAAGGCAGGATGTTGGATATGGCTGGGAATACACCGGCAGCGGCAAGGAATACGCCAAAATAGCGCACAGCAACGCTCTTGCAGGACAGGAGAAGGACGTATCCCACACCGGCGACAAGGGAGAGTCCGATGATCATGTAACCACGCTGACGTGTCTTGTCTGCGATCCAGGTCGTCAGACAACATACCAGAAACGAGAGGAAGTACGGCGGGGCGCTAAGCCCCTGGGCATTGACGGAAGTAAATCCCATGCTGCTGAGAATAGTAGGCAGGAAAACGGGTAAGCTACTAAACGAGACTGTTTCGAGCGATTAGCCTATACAAGTAAATAAGGAAGTTGAAGTGCTCACCATTGCAACTGAAGTACACTATAGGGGGTTAAGTCAGCCGCTTTCGCTTTTAAGGGGGGATAATGGAACAGCCACCGAATTTATGGTGCCGAATAACAAAAAGCCAAGACCGCTAGTACTTACTTAGAGGCGGAATCCAAGTTTTAATGTCCTTTAACGACATGAAGATTTCGCTGAAATTAATATGTCCCACACGCTCTACTCCTTCGGTTCCAGTCTGCTGAAGAGCTCTAATTTTGGCGACTTGTCTTTCCTCTTCAGTTAAGAACTTCGCTGTATCGGCTGAATCGGGCATATACATATAAGCAAGAAAGGCAACAAGGACCGAAGGGATTCCTTCTACGATAAACAAGAGTCTCCAATTAGCTATATGAGCTGGGTGGCCGGAAGTTATCCCGTAGGCCAGGGCGCCTGCGAAGGTCGTCTATTATCATGAGAATCAGCTAAGCATGCCTATGAAAAAGGAGAGCTCGACGGGGGAGAGTAAACAGTTTATACGTTATTCATACAACAGATGGAATACTGGAGGTAGTCATTAACCAGAGAAATATACATACAGCGAGAGGGGCGGCGGAGAGGAACATGCCGCACCTAAAACCGAGCTCGTGCCTCTTATAGAAGAAAGAGAGCAGGTACGGTATTCCTGGTCCAAAACCTGCTTCGGCCGTAGCGAGGAAGAATCGGCAAACCATCAGACCCGACCAATTGAATGCGGTAGCCTGGAGAGAAGACGCTATGCCCCTATAGACTAATAAGCGTTTGATGTGCGGATGTTTTCTATAGGATTACTTACCATACCAGGACACAGCTAGTAGCCCAAACTATGGATGCCAATTAGTTATGTGCACATGATAGGGGCTATTAGCATGATTGCAATAGGAATATTTCATTCCCCGGGCGTAGTGGTTTTTAAGAGAAGTGCTGCTTTGCCGTATACTTCAAGTCACGAAGTAAAAGAGGTAATAGAATTCAATGCATTTGGGAAATACATACTATGACTGTCAATGATCGTTAGTAAACCCCAAATAGTTATCAGCCAAGGAGAACTTACGGAGGCACGGCTTTCCACATCAACGCAGCCCATTCAAAAACGACTATAAGATAGGGTTAGCGATCATCATAATAGAGAAGAGTTGATTTCAGCGCTGGAGTAAAACTCACTGTATGGTATGTAAAATATAGTCAGCAGCCACTATGTTGCCATATCATTAGTATAAAAGCCCACTTATCATGAATATTGAAGACAAACCTGGTAGTGAGCATCGTCGAATCCAAGGTCCTTGCTCCTGCGTCGGAAAAGACCCGTTAGCAATTTTGCACTTTAGGGGTTTGCTGAAGCAAAGAACGATGAACGTACATGCCTGCCGTCTCAGCATTCCCAATATTTGAACGGTCAAGGAAAGAGACGAGATCTATTAATCAAGTGTAAGTCGTGAGCCTATGCAGCGTACTATATAGTACCTATGAAGTATAATATGAAGACACTTACAGAGTCCCATAACTAAGGGAATCAAACGGCGATCAATTTTCCTCCTAACCCGCCTCTCAAGGGCCGGATCGATGTGATAAGCATTGTTCTCGAGCCCCAGCGACTTCTCATCAAGGCTAACACGTGCACCTTCACGCATATCCTGCGTAGGCTCTTGGTCGCTTTTGGATATGTCCATTCTGGCAGCAAAGTCAGCTCACCTCAGGATGAGGCTACCTGAAATTGATTCCGAGAAGCGGATATGAAGCCCAAACGGTCTCAATAGTTGGATGACGTGTCGGCGCGCCGCCTAATACCTACGAACAACTAATAGGACTAACGACCGGAAAGTTACAGCATCGACATAAAAAAAAAAAAGAAAAAATAGCGGCACTCTATAAAGAGCTACCAAAATAGCGGTGGCATTTTATATTCAGTCTCATCGGATTTCAGTTCTCCAACTTTGTAGGATCGGGAATAATGGCACGGGGATAATCAGGGCTTCCCCGCTTCGGTATAGATCAAGTACATAAGGCCACCACTCAGAATTACCTGATTACGTGGTGGCTGGGGGGGTTGAATAAGATCCCCGTACGAATACGTAACCTCTTTCGAATAATATCATAGCGTTTTCGAGCGCTTTCAGTAAAGTGCGGAGAGGCAGGACGGGCAGGACGGGCCGGTTCAAAGGAAGAAATAGTCCAACCTTTACACAACCAGCCTTAACCTAAAACGAAATAAGCATAAATAAGATGAAATGATTGAGTTGAGAATCTGTTTGGATATTCGATTTGTTACCTTGTGTAACCACCTGGTTACAAAACGCTTATCTTTGGTGTAAGTACTCCTACGAATATATGAACGGGATAGCATCTGCCGAATGTAGGTATGGGCCAAGTTAATAATGGCGGGTATATAACAAAGCACGAGATCACTTCCAGTAAGAGTTTAAAGAGGTAAGAAGTGCGGGTCTGTCCACAACTACATAATATATGCATAATCTACTCGTGTTAATAGCCATCCGTCAACAAAATACATGAAGCTATCTAACTTGACTCTAGATACTTAAGGTATATGCATAGTCCCCATATGAAATGTCCAGGTAATAGATATTATGCGCTTCTATTTAGTAGGTGCATCTATAGTTTGTAATTAGTAGAATGATACAATACCTTAGGGACGTATCTGACGTTAAACGATTTTCAAATTTATTAGTATAAACTGAATTCCGTAGATACCGTGTAGACGCGAATAGAAATGCTATATTTCCGTAGCTTCCTATCTCTTTCATCTATCCAAGACCGTTCCTTCCACTGTCTGAGTAAGTACCTAGGTTGAACGTATGATATAGGCATAGCTTCCTTCGGCTGTCCACTTATGAGGAAATAACAATAAAATAACAATGAAGAGGGACACTCTTGTTAGGGTCAAATGGCTCATACCTAAGACATCGATAAAAAAAATCAAACGTAGACGTCTCGTTTAGACAATAGGTATGCATTAACTATAACAGGTATGATAATGGTATTCTGAGATTGCCTAAACTCAATCTTTATTCACCCTTTTCGTCTCGGGAACTGATTGTTACGAGTCTTCTATGTATGACCAGCCGAACAAACGTCATCTTAGGTAGACCTGGAAACCGACACCAAGACTTCTTTGTTCCGCCCTCTTGCAAAACAGTCTCTTTCCGCATTTAACAAAGGGAAAGTATCGAGAACCCCACATGAGAACGGGAAGAAAGAACGAAATCATGTATATAGCGTTAAACTCAAGATGGCCGGCTGGATCAGAGGAAGTAGCTACGGGACAGGGAACAAGAGGAAAGAACACCTAGTTATATAAAATACCAATCTAAAAAATCATCATCATGAGTAACGCCGTAACAAACCCTCTCTTCTCCGGAAAGAGCGAGCGGATCGGAACACAGTTTGTGGACTTTTTGCGTAAGCCAGGAGCTCTAAAAGACGCCGAGGCGTACCTAAATGAGACTAAAGACCACAAGTATGGTAATCACGGGAGATGGATCAAGGAGAATACAGTTTTTACTGGATACACCGGCGGCCCTAACCTCCTTGCCGAAGGTGAAAACGTATTTTTAATAGGAAACCACAACTCCTTTGACGTTACCCAGTACACAGAGGACCCGGGAAAGGCAAGCATGTCGATGATCCATATCCTAGGGATTACTAAAAAGAATATTTTCAACGGTGTATCGCTTGACCACAACACCGTTTCTGTCATCGACGAGTCAATAGACCTATTCAAGGACAAGTGGGAAACTCCCGACTTTCGCCAGAAAGTCCTAGACTACCAGAAGTTAGCTATAGAGAAGCGGATTACCGCAGATTCATTGGCAAGATCGGAGGCAGAACTTGACCCAAGGCCGGCCTTAGACGCAGGAGACGAAGCCATCAGTCACTGGGAGGAACTCGAGGCCGGGATCCATACCTTGAAGTTCGACGACTTCGCCTTCGGTCTGCATCTATGGCCCGACAATACCGTAGGTCATTTCCACCTGCATATCGTCGCTACGCCGGATTGGTGCCGCAGATATAGCACTTTGAAGCACGACGAGAAGACTAAGGACGCCCTTGAAGTTCGCGATTTCGTTCGAGGTCTTTCTCCAGCTTAGACTTAGATAATACCTATAGCATAGAAGTAGAGTAGCTGCCTCTCTGGCGTCTAAAGTAATGTAATACCTTAAACTACCTATTTGCTCGGAATGATTATGATCGTTCGTAATAAGTATGACAAAACTCACTGCCAAGGTTGTACAAATTAGATTCAACCCCTGAAAATTATTCCCCAAATACCTATGTTGCTAAAATATACCACTTGCGATAGAAAGAAAAATGTATTATGCTTATAATTCGAGCTTGATTAATACATCTCCTTCTCGAATTCGTGATTAGTGGTAAACTACAACCCTGAGTGATTTAGCACCAATATGCTGACCTTATCGTCGCTCCCTAACATTAACCCCTTGACTGCCAATTATATTCGCTACTTAAAATATTAGAGACTCATCGCGAAATTTCAACCTCTTTCTTCATAAACTATACTGATGATAATTCCGACAGACTTACGTCAAGGCACGCTTAGACTATTGTAAGAGTATGAATGAGTTAGAGGTAGTTATGAGGGTAGAAAGCAGGCGTTAATATTCACTCTATGTAATATGACATCAATCAACGGTACAATATCTGACGACTATATATATTGAGCCTTACGTCCTGTGTAAAAGGGGTACCTGCTAAGAGGATATATTCTTTTTGCATATAAAGGATATTATTAACTATCATCGACTAATATAGGCAATATAATAATAGGCATCTAGCAGAGTTTTGTATCCTACACTTCCGCCGAAATAGTGAACCATACTAATTAACTATCTCCATAATGCCCTATAAAGTACCTACCTAACTGCCCAAGGTACTATACGATTTTATAAGAGAAACACGTTAACTTCCACTTACCGATCTCAAATTACGAAGAACACTATAGTCTCACACAAGCTAAGACTATTACTAGAATAAGCTGCTACGTGTTTTCCTTCTTGGAAGTGACTTGTTAGCTACGTGAGAGATTGTATGGAGACTATAAAGGCCGGTATGATTTACCACCATGACTGTAGTGTATGTTAAATCTTAGAGGCACGCTATGGGACCACTCATGAGCATATGGGCAACGTTTCTGGATATTGAATTTCACTTAACCACTGCTAAAAAACAAACGCACCACGCCCTGCAAAAATTCTTTATAATTTCCCCTGAGCCTTTTGATCCTCTCGGACCTTCTGCATGCTCCTCAGCAGCGCATATAGTGTCTGCAACTTGGGCATATCTACGCCAGCCCTTCTGGCAATCCTGATCGGATTCCCAAGTATGACTTCAAGCTCCATGGGTCGGCCAGCCTCCCAATCAAGCAGCATGCTGGGCCTAGCACCGGCATTCCTTTCGGTGCTGCTGATGATCTTCTCAGGCTTGGCCAAGTTATCTGGGAACGGTTTCCCCAGAACTTTGGGTGCGGCGTTCCAGATCTCGTTCATGACGCCCTGGATGTGCTCGCGCAGTTCAGGATCGGTCAGCTGGTCGGCGTTGCCGCGACCGCCGGATAGCACGGCTGTGGGGTTGAATGCGGCGTTGATACAAAGCTTGTGCCATCGAATAGTCTGCAATTCAAGCTCAGTGTGCGTCTCGACGTCGCGGATACCACCGTACCGAATCCACCACCGCGCCAGCTGATCCATGCGTTCGTGGCCTTGTTTCACTACATCGCTTAGCTCGTCGTTCGGATCAGGCGGTATGCCGAGTCCACTGCCGTACGGTCCTAGGCTAATTCTCGTCCACCTGTTCTGCCGTACGACACCATTTCTGATCTGCTCGGCGCTAATGACGGTAACAGCGCTCACTATCGGATTTTGCGGGAAGCGCTTACGGTATGGCTCTTCTACGCCCACTCCATTTTGTATCAATACTATACAAGTCTTGGCGGAGACTAGTGGTGCGACTGCAGCTGCGTCGTCGGTCCGGTCGGGGAGAGCTTTGGTCGTCACTATGATATAGTCCCAACCATCTCTCGGGGTTTGCCGTGTAGGTGCGGGATTGGTTGTAGCCGACGGGGTCGGGACGGCATGCGCAATGGAGGGAAACACGGCATAGGGCGAAAAAGTATAATTGCCAAATGAATGGGTTTCCAAGATGACTCCATTGGCGGCGATAGCTGAGTAATTCGATCGGGCGGTAAGGGAGGTATAGATGTTGTGCGAAGGCTACGATGTGCCATTCACGGCGCAACCGTCAGTCGTATGTCTAGTAGGTAGCATACCGATGACGATGCTTCGATGTTTCGATGCTTACATGGTGGAGTCGGGATGCGTAGAAACAGCCCACTGCGCCAGCACCAACGAAGAGGATATGGACCGGTCTGGAGTAGTAGTATTAGCTGTGTACCTTTGAGCAGTGGACTGCCGGGCAATTGCATTGGTGGCGCACTTCGTTGGATTATCTAGGTTCGCCATGGCCGTTGTGGCTTGCGGACAAGAAAGACAAGGAATTAGAAAGATGTAATGTGATTAATTGGCGATGGGAGAATTAGGATTGTATGCGCTAGGTTGCGCCCGGTTCCCGGGTTTTTGTCTTGGTCGATAAAGAAAAAAGGGGTGAGATGCAGTAAGATAGAAGCTGAAGAAAAGCCACAGATCGGAGAACAAATCGGGCGTTTTTTCTTACTGGCGTAAAAGCTTATAGGGTAAAGCTGAAAGTTCAAAGTTCATGTTACCTAAAACTTTAAATGAAGCTTGGAGGGATCTCCTTTGAAGTTCATTGAATTACCGAGGTTGTACCAATTGAACATGTAATTGTATGGATGTATGGTACCTACATCAGGTACATGCTTCAGGGTAGGTGCTACTAATACCGTAAGGCTATACACTACCTAGGTACCTATGTAATTACACGTATAATTATTTATAACTTATCTTAAAGAGTCTGAACTTTTACTAGTGTAGGTACCTTAGGTAGTTGATCGTGTGTTTTATATATACATACATCAAGTCTTATATATTTAATTAGTACTGCCACAATTTTTTCAACCAATCAGATACTTAGAATCGCCCCGCAGTTTGCGACTTTTCCCTTTGCCATGCTATCGCATAACGTCTGCAAAAAGTGCAAATGGTATAGAAAGGTCATGCAAAACGAGCTCTATCTAACGATACCAATTATTAAAACTTTTACATTGTATTGAAATAGATTAATTAATTTTACAAAAAATTCATCGGACGTGCGCTGAGGTGTGGCTAGCCAATTAGAGGCCAGACTTTAGCTGTGGCGTCAGTTTTGCGCATAATCGCCCGCCGCCGCCCTCCTCCTCCCTCCTCCCCTTTCCCCGTCCGCGTTTGAGCGGACGGGCAACGCCGCTAGTACCTTATATTTTAATTTAATGTATTTTTAACAAACCAACCCTCGGAATGATGATCAGCTCTCTTCGGGGAGACGGGCATCGGTTCATCGTAGGGAAATCAAAAGCATCGTCTATCGCCCAGGCTCGGTCACAAAGGTTTCCGGTGAGACCATCTCTCTCACCCTGTTGCTTGTTCGGTATTAAAGAGTTCGGGTAATCAAAGGGTCCGTGTTCGACGTCAGGGGCTCTAATCAAAAGGTCCTAATCCTGCCTCCGTCATGCGCCAAGAACAAAATATGCGTACTGCTGCAACGTCTATATTAGAAACATGAAGCGGTCAGTAGATGCGGCGTTGACCTACATTACATATGTATGCGTTCCCGTCGCAACCGGGCGTGTTCAAGACATATACCAGTCTGGGCCCAGTTTCTCTTCGGCCCCGTTCCGACCGTGGCGAATCCGTGGGGGCTACCCGCCCATCCGTTTCACCCGACCCGTCGTCGCTTTTACCTACAGAGGCGTGAGCCCAGACTCTTGGTATTCTGGGTATTCTTGGCAATGACGCCGCGAGATGGTGCGCGGGCGCTAATCTTGTCAGACAAAAAGCCGTGTAACTATATCACATACTACGCCTAGCCTCGAACACAAAGAAGAACGCTCGAGGAAAAAGGGATGGTAACTCGTGTATTACTTCGTAAGAGGCGTAGATGGTAGGGCGGCCAAGACCACGCCTGTTGAGCTTTGAGGGGGAAAAAGGTGAGGCGCGCGCGCACCCGGATGTAATGTTGTCAGACGCGTGATCACCAGAATAGAGCGAATGCCATGCGCCATACATGTAATAGCACGTCTCAACAAAGAAGGTCCAAGATTCCCCCGCTGATCGAACTGCTCGTGGGGTCAACTGTGGAGGATGATGGGACAAAAGGGCAAAATGGGATTCCCACACCATGTTTGCCACGTTCACCTCATCGCCCCAAAGCTGAACTCATCTGATGGTGACGCGCGCACAGCTACCGTAAGCTCTGATGGCGAGGAAGTGCGGATGGCAATCATGCTTCGGCCCTAAAAGGCCTACTATAACTCACGTCAGCATGGGGGTTGCGAGGATGGAGGAGATAGAGATGTAGTGTAGTGGCAGGGGAGGGGCTTGCAGGAAGTCCGTCGGTTCCGGTATCATTGTTACACTGTTCCTCAAGGGTCTTACGAGCACGTTCAGGGGCGTTCTCAACGCCGGTCCAGGCTCCCAGTCCTGACACAACGTATTTCACTAAGGTAAGTCTCGTATCATGAGAAAAAAAGATGAAAGGGCCTGGGCTCCGCCGGCGGCGCGGGGGTTCAACGAAAGGTTTCAGACGGAGACAACTAAGATGAGATATCGCGCCGCTCCGCGTTGCGACCGGGGGGGAATAAAACTAAGGGTTACTCATTCCTATTCGGGTTATTGTCTAGCTGCTTCAACTCCTTCGTGGTGCGTACACATATTAGAATAGGTAGCTTATTAGTGACAAGGGAGTTTCCGACGATAGTCTCTTCATAGAGCCGAACAGGGTTCCGTCGTGTAAGCCGTATCCCCGGGGGGCAAACACACGCTTCGGCGCGGCAGCCAATATCGCTTGCAGCTCTTGGCTAGATCACATCTTTGACAGCCGCATTAGTCTCCCACCCAGCTACGGAGGTTGGGCGGGGAGGGGGGTGTGATTTACATCAACTAACTTAGAATCGTACTCGTTTCGACTAGGGAAACTCGAAGCATCCTAGGACCAACGGCTCTACATCCATTAGTTTAGAGTTGACAGTTTCTTAGTTGAATCAATCTAACCCTGGGAACTTTAACGTTGTAGTCCCCACACCAAGGAGGCGTCGTCCACTCTCTCGGATTGCGGATTGCCAACAGCTGCAGGTTGATATTACTCGTCACCTACAGCTAACCGGCTTAACAAGCTTCGATTAGCAACTAGCTGTGATAGCCAGAAAGCTTCGTCGTCTGGGATGGCGAATGACACGAGGGTAGGAGTGGTCCGTCCTGGTAAAATCAGACATGAATTGACGACCCCGCAGATAATGACTGGACGGCCCAGCCTATCCTGTCCCTTATATTTTACCCCAGCCTCTGACTAGGTGTTTGATGGAGGGCCGCGCGGGGGGGAATCAGAAGCTATCAAAGTCGCACGGGTAGAATAGAGAAATCTAACACGCGAGATACCATGTACGTAATTCAAACGCATCCACGAAATGGCCCCTTGGCGATGAAAGCTTGGCTACCTTACCCGAATGTATGCTGCCGGCGCGTCTATCTCGCTTCTTGATACTACGCCATGAGGTCATTTGACACGAGCCTAATGTTACGGGAACTAAGGCTCGCGTCTGTATGCTTATTTTTAACTTGTTCCACGTCGAGTAATCCGGGGTACACTATTTATCGAATTATTTGCTTCTGATCTGTGAAGTCGCGAGTTACTTCTGCTAAAACTTCCGCCCAGCGTCAGCTTCAGAAGGGGTTGACTACCGCATTGGGTGATAGTCGCTCATCTACGACTTATATCGTTCATCATCTTTGGGCCGCGGGCTCCTCGTAGCTAAGCTGTTGGTCGATTATCTGCGCGTTCTCTACACTATAAGCTCTTGCTTCGACCACGGTTCAACTCTATGAACCTTGCTCATCACTAAAGCCTCACTGCTACCCAATCATGCGCATGGTGTGCTCGTACTTACTACTTGCGAATGCAATTTCCTATCAACCCGGATCTACTAAGAACGAGGCCTTTAGGTTCAAACACTAACAACAAATCGAATCACTTTCCGTTCATGCCAAGGAGAGATCTCCATCGGGGATCTGAAGAAACTCTACGCAGGCTTAGCAGCTACAGCGGAGTTGATCCAAAAGCTAACGACTGGCTGATATCCATGTCATAACGCCAAGATAGTGTGGGAGAATTCGCGGCATCGCGTGATGACCGCTCCGTAGCGTCGGGAAGAGCCCATCTTACAATTTCTTATGCTTATTTCCGTCTGCAATCTGTGGCGACGTGTAATGAAGAACAGATAATGAAAGTAATGCTCATTTCGAAGATGAACGAAATCATAGCACTTCGCATCAGCAACATGGTCTAGCCCTTTTGATCATCAGGATTATGCCCGCCTTTGCTTTTTGAGGATGCATAACAACATTTCCATAAGCCCTATATCAGCTCGGGGGGTTGCATTATGATTGGTGGTAATAAGATTACCTGCGACAGTTGTCGTGGAAGCCCAATCTGACGGCCACGCCTAGTTCAGATCTTGCTAAACGAAAGAGAAACGGTACGAATACTGGAAAACAGTTTTGAAAATTATGTGACCTCAACTGATTCCCGGACTCTCAATGAGATGCAAAACGATCTCTCCAATCCGGGCGCCCAGCAACGGGTTCGTATTCTGATCTCTGCCAGGAGCGAAAACACTCGCGTCAATAGTTGGACTGCGAATGCCGATAAACGTATGAAACGTTTGGCTGGCATGTTCTTAATTTCTTTTCTTTTTGTCAATGGCTACCCTGGAGCTCGCCATCTCGATGCTAGACTTCTAGACATTGTTACGAGCCATCAGGTTACAGGCTGCACAGCAACGTGCCAGCGCCGATACGTGACTCCTCCGGGTTACCTTAAGCCGAGAACTATCAAAGCCAACCAACCAAGTAGCGAAGTATAAGAGATGAGTAAACCTACATAGATCATCTGAGGTTGACTAAACTCCGAAGCTCCGTTACAATATGGTGTCAGAGCGTTGCAGACTCATCATCATCTAGGCATGCAAGCCGTGGAATTCCGCGCTTCCACTTAAGATTTAACGAATGAAGTCCAGGACCACCCTCCTGGGCAGAGATGGCTCAAATCGGCAAAATCAAGCTTTGGAAGCTATCCATCGAAAGCGGGGAAGCTAGGGGGTGTAACTTAAAGGGTAACTTATAAGTTACATTGGCATTGGTCGCCGTTAACCATGCCCAATAGGAACGAGAAAGAATTGTTAGCTGGGACAGATGCGCCTGGGGCTGATATGCCTGACTCCTGGTGAGATTTCAGCGTGTGAAGGGCTGCAGAGTTTGTGGGGGGCTGGCCTAGCCAGTGCCGAAGACGCAGTGAGAAGATACGAATTCGTATGTATGTGGGAGGTATCGCAGACTTGGAAGCCGATACAACCAATCCGAGGTAGATTGGCCTGCAAAGTATCTGCATAGTGGTCGTAGATATGCAAGGCTCCATCGCCTTCTCATATATCAGATTTGCTATTCGCTGCAGGATGCAAAAAGCAATTGCTGCTCCCGGCATGTGCAGGCGAATATCGAGACGGGCTAGACGGGCTAGACGTTGACAGCAACTAAGCATGTGTAGACTAACGTTACCAACTGAAAGGCCTGTCAACGATTAGATTCGGCAGGCACCCGTAAGGAGCGATATTGGCAAGGATCAAGATTGCCGGCGGCATTGTTGCTTCTGCTGCGAGAGATGCATGAACCCTTGGAGGCTTTTTACAACGTACAGTGCGAAAGGTAACCTGACCTAAGTCGCATGTATGGTATAAAGGGCTAAACAAGGCGAGCTTCTAGAAACCTTGTAGAAGCCTTGTCGAAGCATTAAACGGGTGTACTTGAAACCCCAAGGGTCGGGAGTTTCCACCCTCCACCCTTAGGACCCTTCGAGTTTGCCACAAGCTATTGTGGCATTGGGTCCTGAAATTCCGAAGCAGCCCGGACATTCGTCATTTTAGCCGCAAACATCTGCTCGCTCCTATTTCTGGCGACGCGCGAGACACTTGTGTGGCCAACCTTAAGAACAGACCAGGGTAATATGTGACGAACGACAAGAGTGTGGGGTTCAGCAGAAAAAGTAGGGGACAAGATTTGTCGCATTGGCGGTTCAACTTGCTCAATCAAGCTTTCCGGTCCAAAGGCTCTCTCTGATAACGCTCGATATACCACATATGGGTTTTTGCGAGCGATATGGTATCATTTGTAACCTGACAGGTCGATGCATCATGACAATGCTCTCGTCTTTCTTTTTCTCCTCTGCCCACATTTAGGGGACCTTGTACTTACATCACCAGGGAATCCTGTGTGGTGGTAGGTAATGGTTGCTGGTGTTTCGACATAAGAATTGCGACTATGAGGGTAACACCAATTATAGTGTAGACAGTTGGCCAGCTCGTGGAAGGCCAGGTCAGATTCAGGGGTCCAGTACGTCGCTCACTACCAAGTCCGGGTGTGGTAGTAACCGTTAGGACGGTCTTGTGACGCCCGCGGTTATGGAGGAGCCCCGAAGGAACTATGTTGGGTTTCTGGGGAAATCCGCCATCCGCCATGCCGGGACACAGCCGAATGGCATGTTAACATGGCAATATGCTCGTAGTCACGCATACCAACTAGGCATGAAAAAATACAAGCACAAACCCAACGTGATGGACGAGATGATCGTGCTGCATCAGATAGGTACAGGAGTTCTAGCTTGGTTGGGTTGAAGTGCAGTTGGACAAACCCAGCGAGAGGCTTGAGATGACCAAACTGGGGGCGTACTAGATTATTTGCCACCAGCAAAAGCCCTTGACTTGTCCAACCCAGGACTGAGGATTCTCAGCATGATAGCTCGTCGCCATAGTGGCGCACGTTATAGCGATCACAGGCTAGAGTTAAGTCACCACGGAGAGTAAGTTCGCCGCGCATCTCGCTTGAAGGCGAACTGCTGCAGTGTGACAAGCAGACTGCAGACTACGTATTAGGTAGACAAGGCTGAAACTCAGTAGATAAAGATAGTCGCCGAGGTGACGAAGCCAGCGGGTAGTAAGTGGTATTACTGCTAAGGCAGGGAGACGCGCGGGGGATAGAGATTTTGGCGTTGCATCTTCTCACGGCACAGACTATGCGAGTGATGGCTGCAGAGTGGAAGGGATGCCGTGAAAGTGACATAGACTTAATAGAAACCCGGCAGGCTGGATGAGGTATTCGGTCGTAGAGTAGCACAGCAGTTGCCATCTACTACGGAAGCAGAATCGAAGGAATAATAGAATCGGAGCAAGTCGGGTTGACTGATGATGTCCACGACAGTAAGGCACCTACGAATGGGTGAATAATAGGATTGGGCATTATACATTATAGAGATTGGAACGGGTGTGGGAGGTAGAAAGAAAGTAGTAGGTAGGAGATTCTTCGGCAGGTTGGGGAAAGAGAAAATTTTCATGGCATCGTGACGTGCGATCCGGCTTGGGATGGGGGTGGATTCGGTGCAGAAGGGAGTAAAGAAAATGCAAGGTGGAATTGATGTGGGAGAATGGAAGAAGAAGGGGGGAAATATTAAGAAATGAAGAAAAAAAATATAAAATAAAAATAAAAATCATAATTGAATAAAATAGGTTAGCAGCTTAGGTGGGTTAGGTAGGTAACTGCCATAGTAAAGTAGCCTGAGTTGCGAAATCAGGGAAGTTGGGAAGTTGGGGAGCTGGGAAGCTAGAAACTGGGGCAACTTGGGCTAAACGGGGCAAGTACTTCGTAAGTCGCATCTAAATAATCTATCGGGCCGGCCAACGGTTTCGATATTTACTTCTTTATTTTTATTTTTATTTGTTTAAATGTTAAATGTGTAGAGTAGGGCTGGGCACGAGTCCGTACAACGCATTAAGATATTATACTGTACGTTTTCGACGAGCGTTTTGTGCCTGAATATAACTAAGTACCTACATCATACCTACTTTTACACACATATGCTAGATCTAGGCGCATGTGCGTACGGACGTAGGTTAGGTACAAGGTAGTAAGGCTATTTAGTAAAAATACGTACTTACGTACGATAGGTATCTTTTTCTTCATTATATTATTTATTCGTGTGCTTTAGACATGTAAGAGGTAGTTATGTAACTTACATGTAGTAAGCTACTCGTGTATGTAGGTCTTTGGTTTATACCGACATTTTGGTCAGCAAAACCCCCCCGAGTCTGAATCAACAATACTTGTGTTATTGTTGTTGTTGACCATAAATAAATTCTAAAGTACTAGATGTATTTATTCTACAGGACTATGAAGGTATAGATGGATTTGATTGTACAGATGAACTGTTCAAAAAAATCCATCTAACGCATCCCATCTGCAAGGACCTTACATAAGGCGTTCAAGTAACTGTTTGGTCATATATTTGATGTAGTTATTTGATGTATTTTCGTACTCTTCCGGGGCACCCGTTATTCGAATTGGCGCCTACAGCGGCCGGCTGAAAATTTGTTGATGTCAGTATTACGGTGTGTGCGACAAGGCTCCGTATTCTGCACCTCTAGGATTTAGGCCCGCCCGCTACGGGGGGCGTCCGCTTAGTAGCTTGCTTCCATTCGGTATGTAAAATATTAATGTACGAAGTAAATAATAATAACTACATAATAACAATTGAAAGGTGAAGGGTTCAATTGAAGGGTCAGAGGGTCTGTGTTACTTACTATGTTACTGTAACAAGCAACTACATATTATTTACAGTAATAGGATCCTTCCTTGGCCTCCGAAACGGTATCCAGTCCTGTAAGTATATTGTTGATCATTGACCATTGTTGAGAGATGTTCCCCTATCCCCCGTGGGCAGTTGAGTTGCCTTGGGTCTACTCGATTTGTTCATCTGTTCCTGCATACCCAGCTAGCCAACTGTCTTGGTAGTCTCACAATCCATCGTGGCTATACCGTCAGATGAGTCGCTGGTTCGTATTACCCTTCGGACTTTACATATCATAATAGGCGACGATCATTCGGAATATCTAACACCATCTAACATGTGCATCAAGCATGATGCCGGCGGCACGGTTGTGACAAACGGCCCTGGTCCAGGCCATTAACCCACTCGACTTTCAAGGCGCTCTCGTGTCAAGTTGTTTCACTTGCCATGCTCCTCTCATTCGAAGTGTTTCTATTGATTAATAGCAAGGTGAAACTAGTATATCTAAACTAAAGACGGGGCGGCCCTTCTAGAAATCATCCAGCCATAGCGTTCGAATGCCGAAGGGAAATGATATAATACAAGTACATAGGATTCAAGAGCTACGGGCATCAGCACCTCTCGCGCCCGGAGTTACCATAAAAGATCAAATCCGATTACTGCCATTCTCCGTTTAAAAGTGTTTAAAGTTTAAATATGTCCCTGGCTTGGCTTTCAATTTTACCATGCGCTTCGACCACCACTGGTCAGCGAATCGACCGGAGTACCGTCGTATCGCGATGCTTTCTAATCTGCAAGTCCTCAAGAAACATGTACATAATATTAACTGATATCAAAAACTCTTGGCTGCCAAGGTTTTATATATGGTGTTCCTACCCTAAACCCTTACACGGGTGCTTGAGAGGACTCGGGCTGCTTAGATGAGGCTATCGATACCTTAGGATTGTTAATATAGATACCCCGATTTGCATTGCTAAAGTCTCACTCAAGTCTCATCGCTAGGTTCAGCAAACGCCTCCTAATATGCCAATACAAATCTCAGCTATATCTCATCCACGATTGGCGAGAGCAAAGACTTATGTCCTATATATAGCCAATTCGCCAAGAATATTCGTAGACACGTACGTATACAATATAGAGGATCGACTTATTAGAAACCGCTCCGATACGATTTGCCAAGGGCCAAGACGGCGGCCGTGCTGGATATTCTTGGGTGTTGTAGTCAAGAACGGCTCTAAGTCAACGCCCATCTACCGCCGAAGAGGTGCAATTTGTACGTACTATCCGACGTTAAAGTGCATGACTTAGTTAACGAGGCTTCGGAATGACCCGCGATTCCCGAATACAATGACCGACTTACACTACAGTTTAACCCGCATGTGCACAGGCTCATGTGCCAAGAAAAGAGATGCGCAGCTGTGAATCAGATCCTAAAATAATATGCATAGGTAAGATGCGTAGTAGGGAATACCCTTCCAAGCTTCTTACACCCGCCAGGAATCCAATCCGAGCTCGGTAGAGGGCTCAACTAAAGAATCACTGGCTTATAACTTGAAGGGTGCCCCGAAAAAAAAAGAGATGAGAAAAAGTAGAGGCCGAAATATGGTATATCGTAATTTAGTCCCGATAAACCGTCTAGCAACCGTAATGTCGTTATTTAATATTTAATACTGTTATTCCTCGTTATTCCTAGATGGGGAAAGGCAAGCCGGTGACCCAGCTAACACACATAGTAGCTAACTGACTCGACTGACTATAACCAAAGTAGGTATGTAGCTTATTTTTAGTGCAAATAATGAATAGTGTTGCATAATACGTGACCGTAAAGCAAAGACAATTATGATAATGGGGACTAGCTCATCTCACTCCGTGCGTCTGCAACGGAACGTTTTCTATTCCATCGCGCGGCATGGAACCCCTGTCGTGGTCCTGTAAGTGATCCCGCCCTTGGCGGGCTTCAACTGCTAGCCTGCTAGCCTCCCCCCCGTCTACTTTCCCCTAGCTGTCCTCCCAAATCGAAGCTAGCGAAGTAGGGGTAGGCAAGGTAGGCTGAGGAAGCGCATCTCGCTACTGGCTGGCTTAGGCTGGGTCCGGCGTGGGTTGGAAGTTCCTCCCAACACCGATGATGTTGCCCAGAGATTCTTGGTACTGTTTTGGGGGTGGGAAAACCTTGGCTCTATCTATTTGTACGTACAATCTACATACAATCTAGCAAGCCGCAAGCGCCAATATGTTGTACATAGGCTCAGTTTCGCGCTACCTCGCAGTAATCAAGACTTCGTTTGCGTGCCCACCTTAATCTTTTTTCCCTGGCCCTTTACCTAGTTGAGTATTACGGTGCTTCATCATCTGGATTCTAAAAAACGTTTCCAGGCCAAATCAGGCGGGTAGTTTTCCTCCACCCCAGCCAATCCACAGTCTCCGTCATTGCTAGCCATGCCTGGGGCGCCATTAGCCCGTGATGACATCCATCGACAAGTATATTCCCGGCTAGGTTTGCTGTAGAAGGACTAAGTATTTTTTTTCTCTCTTTCGCTTTGGGCTTCTACTTTGAACTCGTCGGTTCTTCATCCCACCAGGTTGTAGATGATAAGCCTGCCCACCTACCTACCTACGTTACCTACCAACCGGTCCTTGGACCTTAGACTCAACTTCTTTAAACCTCCCACGTTCCCCCTTCCCGAGCCGACTGCTCCCGTCAGTCTTGCTTGCTCTCACTCACACCAAACTCGACCGCGGTACCGTGTCTGATATCACAATATAGAAGTATACGATATACTTCAACTTGACATCTCGAAAGCCGAGTTGGACTTAGACCTTAGACCAGTCCAAGTTTGACTCGACAACTGGCAGGTGAGCTACTTGGCGCCTGGAGGTTTTCTTGTCAAGACGACTTACACCCACCTCAGCCAAACCCATTTCCGATAGTCCCCATCCAAGGCAGGGCCTTTTCCCGGTCAGACTCTATTAGCCGCATAGCACCGCCGAGAAGCGTTCGCGCTGCACTGTGCAGTTTAGCTTGCCCTTGGTGTTGGTGCCGACGGCTGATCACCGCGCGCAAAAAAATATTTAAAAAAATCCGTTGAAACTCAATTGACCTTTTTTTTTGCGGCTCCTCGACGGGGAATAAAAAAAAGGACGAGAGACAAGAGTTCTCAAACCGCAATCGCATCAACTTTTTAAAAACTAAAAAAAGAATTTTCCAAGCGAAGAAAAATCTCCACTCAATCCACCATATTCTTTCTTACCTAGGTAGACAGGAGCTTCTTTCTTCCTGTTTTCTTTTCATATCGCGAAAGCGGTCTTTCACTCCGGTTCAGCCTCGGTCTTAGACACTAGTTTCCATTCATACTTTCATACTTATTCACTTACTCCGTACGGCAACACATCACCTAAGCCGTTACATACACACTTATACACACACTTATCTTATACACACTCTTCCGAGTTGTTGATCCGTCTTACACTTACATCATCCCCCCTGCCCTACCGATTTACTTACATTATATACGAACAGCTACCCTTGGAGATGCGTGCATGAGGGATTCGCTTCAATAACCTTACCTACCTTACCTACCAAGTTCCCCGTCGCAGCGTCGCCCCGGTCCGCTGCAACGCAACCTACTAAGCTTATTAGCTACCGTTACCAAATCGCTACTCTCGGGCCTTTGTTGGCCCCTTGACGCCCACGTTCCCAGCGTTTCCCAGCGGTAGCCTCGATTTGCTCATTCATTCACTAGAGCGCCCACCGCTCCTTTGATCCCGCGCGAATTTAGCTTGAGCTTGTTGAACGCCAATCCGTTTTGCAACCTCGAGCCTCGAGCAAACCCTCTGGCCTTCTCAACTTGTTCCGGCCTTGATTAAAACATCACAATGTTAATTGACGGCGAGAAATGGGCTTGCGAAGCCTGTGTTAGAGGACACCGGGTTAGTAATTGCCAACATTCAGGTGAGTAGTGAGCGCAATCATTACCGCATTTCTAGTTATTACTTCGATTTTCCCCCCCATTTGTCAAAACCCAGTTACAATAACCCCCCGCGGGGCAGCGCATATAAGTCAATATCGGCGCTTCAGAAAACGACAGAAAATATAGCAGAGGCAAGGCAAGGGGAAGCCTCGGGCAAATTCTTTTTTTTTTTTTTTTTTTTTTTTTCTTGTTCTCTCTTCTTATTTTACGATTATGGATGAAATTACTATAATTGAGAATATATCACTTACACGTTGTCGCAATCCGTCTAGATCGACCGCTTCAGCACATCAACAAGAAAGGCCGGCCCGTGTCGCAATGCCAGCATTGTCGCGCGATGCGCAAGTCTCGGTCGTCTCATATAAAATGCGATTGCGGCGAGAAGACGCATAAATGCGCCCATCTAAAGCAGACAGTTGAAGGACATAAGGGTGAGGCAACCCCCAAATCTAAAGACGCCCTCCCAAATTATTCCTATTATATGTAAAAGGCCTACGTGTCTGACCTTGAAGTCTATTTTGCCGGTCCAGACAGCTGCTGTTGTAACCACGGAGGACGATGCACATGTTCGCATAAGAAAGAACCCGCGCTCGATACCGTCCCAGAGTCCGATTCCGAAGCGGAACCAGATGCTCAACCGGCCAAGCCCAAGGCTACCCCCCGGCGACGGCGTACGAACACGGCGCATTCCGAGCCCGTCCTGAGCTTTGACGAGAATGGTCACCACAAACCTCCGCAGAGGCATACAAAGGCCTCGCAGAAGAGTGGTCCCTATACCATAAATCGCGGCTCGTCCATGCATAGGACTGGTAGCTCGAGTAGTCTAGGAACTAAATCCGTCGATCGATCCCGAATGACCGGCTCTTCGTCACCTGATAGAGAGACACGGATGGCGAAATCCGAGCAAGCGTCGCCTTCGATCGAAGGACACTCGTCGTTCCAGCATCTCAATGGTCAATTGCCGCCATTGGACCTTTCGAACATCCATTACCCCGAGTACTCCTCCTCGTTCGACCTTTTCTCGGGCGTCTCCGATTACGAGCCACCCATGTTCAGCGCAGGTCTTAGCGCGGCGTCGGTCGATTGGGCACAATACGACGGCTTAGAGCTGAAGGGTGAAAGCTTCACACCCTCGAGTTTTGACCAGACGCAGTCGTACATGGGACTCGACTTCGGTGGCTCTACAGAGCCGACTTTAACCTCCAATTCGGGCGATGTGTCTGAGACGGAAGACTTGGCCTCCGCATTCAGCGAACCGCAGTTTGACGGCTACGGCAATAGTGCCGCGAGCAGCTATATGGCCATGTCACAAAGTATACTTACCGACAATGATCTGAGTAACCTTGACTTTAACCAGTTCAAGAATACGACGACTGCGAGCAAGTTGCTGTCCAACCAGTCCTCGTTTGACGAGGGCAGCTCTGTCTTCCCTCTCATGGAGGATGACTCTATCTGGGGTATGAGCAATTTCACCGACGGCATCACGCACTCGCCGGATCCCGTAGCGTCCGGCCTGTGGGATACCGCTTAGACCAGTTCGCCACCACATCTCTTTGTGTGTGTGACTACGGGGCGCATACGCCCGGTGATAATATACATACCGGCAGGCTCCGATAATACGGAACTCCAGCGTTTTGATTTCTCGCGCTGCATTCTTCTTCAATCATGATACCACGCGCTTTATGACAAACTTGAGCTCTTGTTATATCCATCGTATACCCCTTAGGGAGTCTAGTTTCGCGCTCTCATTATTTCTTTTTCTTCTGCTGTCGAATCAGTTCATTCTGATCATAGCTCTCATCAAACGGACAATGGCGCGGATTTGCGAAAACCTTTATTATTTTTTTCGGTGGGAGGGGAGATTTGGCATTCCTGTTCTCTGGGTGGTAGAGCTTATGACACTTATCGGATTCTCGGGAGGCGTTTTCTTTTGGACATTATTCTTGAATTTTGTTTTGGTTTCTTCTGTCTCATACGGAGCGGCTCGCGCATACGGAACCTTTTTCCAGTCGTACATATTACCTCCAACAGCATATGTTTACCATTTCCCCCCAAATATTTAGACCCAGACCCTCAACGGGCTGAGGGAGTGTGTGTGAGAGAGGCGGTCTGTTTCAAACAAAAAATATCTACCTTGTTCCTGCACATAGATTAGAAGTAGAGAATGCCCAGAAGGGCATATTTGGTACATCGGTTAGAAAGGGCATATAGGGGCAGGGGGTGGGGAGGAAAGACAAATCGGAGTCGCTCGGTGCGGGATGATCTCACGAGTCTTCTTGCGCTGTCTTTTTCATCTTGGTACGGTATATACTTGCCTCTTTGGGTATATTATTCAGATATAGCTATTGCTATTATAACACACCGTTATTATAACATCCTGACCATCGCGGAACACATGCCCATGCGTCGATCAGCTGACAGCTTGCGACTCAATCGGGGGCCATGCATAATTCCCCTGGTAGACGCGGCGAAGAGGCTCCGCAAAGATTGGGGGGGTTTTTCTTGGGTATTCCCAAGCCAAGGATCCAAGATGACCAGGATGACAAATTATCGATGCAGCATACGCGCGGTTCGCGGTATATATGTAGATGGTAACCCACTATACCATATACGTATAGGTAGATCAGATGTAGGTTAGAGATGACGGGTCTACAGTAGCGCGTCTTGTCGCTCCGAGATTTCTGTTCCTGCAGCCGATGTCGCGAACCTCCGAATGAAGCGAGCGAGCAAAGCGGATCGTGCCGAGTTTCTAACGGTCATAAATTTTATTTAGAAAGGAAAAGAGCCCTCGAGAAACATTTTCCGCATGAATACGAACATGGCAAATAGATGCGAGCTCGGCGCACGATGGTTGGTTTCAAAAGGCAAGCCGAGATCGTACATCAAGGCCCCCTCGTGCCGTTCTATCCTGTTAGTCGGTGAGGAGAAGACTGCTCTACGGCTTATGATTAGGCGCGGCGTAGTGGAACACGACGGGCTTTCCAAGACGAACCAAGAGAATACACAAGAAACACAAGAAAAAAAAAACAGGCCGAAGAGGGAGGGGGATCACTGGACATTTATGTATGGAGCACAAAGATTATGAGAAAAAAAGAAACCCAGACGAAACGAAATGGGTTTTTTCTTTGCATTTCGTATTTGAGAATGATCGGAAAAGAGCTCATCAGTGACGACATGATGGTACCATCCTGATTCGTGTGAAGGTCGGATGATGGAGGGAGGACTTGGCGTTGATTCGCTCTTTTATTCTCTCAAACTCGCTGCCGATGGAGACAGATCGGCAGACGCTGAAACCACCCTTTAGGCAAATGGGGGATAAAATGTCTGCTGGTCCTATACGAGTCCAAGTTTATATCAAGGTACAGTAAGAAGGAGAATTACCTGCCTAACTAAACCACCAAAACGCTACCAAGATGCAGGTGGTAATATATATCATCCTTAGATCTCCAACATAGGTATCCTTATGGGTTCCTCGCTCCGTATTTACTTCGCTTATCTCGAATTTCGAGCTCAAGCTTTATGCCATACATTAGTAGATTAGGTACCTAAGGCAAGTAATATCACCTTCTCCGCTACCATCAGTCGGGATCATATAGGATTATTTCTTTCTCCAAGCTCCGCGCGGCATCGTCCCACCACCAATTGGAATAGGGGGGGAGCTTCAATAGGGCGACTAAAGAGGAAAACTCCACTTGGTTGCTGCTCGGCAGAAATAACCCAACTTCTTTATGCTGGCTGACCGGCGCGTTCCACAGCAGAAGAGTCTCATGGGCTATTTGTTGCTCAGTTGACTGACATGGTTGAGAGTCTATCGATGGAGTATGGAAATGTTGGGTAGCAGTAGCAATGGCTCGAATAAACAAACCCCTCCTAGGCTGAAGGTATCGCCAAAGACCTCCCGGCATATCTACTACTACTATACTATACCGGAATCGAATAGTCACGGGCTTCCATTTGGGGACATCCGAGACCATCCACAAGTTCCACCTGACGGTGCTAAGCGAAACATTTGCTGCTTGTCTCCAAATATCACTGGGTGGCGGTAGTTTGAGGGTGTGCTGATTCGATAAGACTACGAGAGACGTATATATACATACGCTGTATGAGTTAACTACAACCTTTCAATGGTAGGTAATACTAATTATGTGATAGTATGAACTAGATGGGAACTCGCTGGTCATAGCCTAGGAAATACCGGACGGTCAAACAGATACCAATAGCGTTCGCTAATAAGAAAAGGAAGCTAAACTGGCTGTTATACCCAACTTGTAGTACATCCCACGGTAGGTCATCTAAATTAATTCGAATAGCTGATCAATTTAATAAGGAGGTTAAAAAGACCCAGTGCGGATGCAATGTGTGCACCAATTTTCAGTCCCCAGCGTCAACGTACATACCGATATCGATCTCTACTGTAGTTCGTAAGATCTCGGATCGAAGAACTAAGTTCTGTCACATTCACACCTGAGATGAGATATGGTCACTTGCCTTTTTAGGTATCAAGTATAACCTGATTGGCCCGTTGAATATGCAGGTTCGCTTGGTTGCATGTAACGCTCAAAAAGCTTCAAAATAACCTTAAGGCAGGATTATATTTTCGTGATTAGGTGGGTGGGTAGCTACTAATAAGCCATGGAGAGGTAATTTTTCGTCACGGTAAAGCGGCTGGAAATCTATAAGTTACTTTTAATAACCACTTGAGACTCTATACAGACACCGAAAGCTAACAAAATCAAAATCACATTAGTCTTACATTTATAACTACACCCTTGTCAATATCCGCGCAAACAGTAAAGCGGCGCAGCGCATTAGTTGGCGGAATTCTATCACTATCACGGCTACTTTCTGAACGTAACGTATTGAAGGGGGTTATCATTAATATAAATCACTAACGTAACCCGCCTGGGCTTTTAATGAGGCTAGATGAAGCAATGCCACCCCTGAATTGATACTGCCAGTCACCGCTGGGCTTATGGCGAGGCCACGGCCCGGTTCCTTCGCGGCGTGCACTATTCCAAGGTCCGGCAGAAGACAATGTTCGATCTTCTTTTCCACTAAAAACGGCAGTAATCCTCATAAGAAACAGCAAACCTTGCTTACTACCTACGCCTCGGATGCCAAAGACATTGACCATTTGGCAGGCGATCCATATCCAGGAAGGATTATCGATTAACAATTATTTTCTGGCTATACCTTGCGCCGAACCCTAGAATACAAGTACTTAATGTATCGGTAAGTGGAGATTGTGTCGGGAGGATCGCTTTCTAGTATCTCCTAGAGCCGGATCACTTCACTTATATTGGTCTACCCATTGCTCTGTGCTGATACAACAGGATGCTACCCTACCGCATCATCGACGAGTGAGTTTCAGCCAGAACATTTAAGTAGCCACCTCGGGTCAGTATTCGAGGGTCAAACCCGACATCACTATAATTGTCGCTTGTCCTGAGCGATACAGAATCTGAACTCTTCTCTTGCTTGGGGGCTTCAGATTCTGTCGCCGTAGCTAAGTCGGCAAGGTGCTGTAAGCTTTGGTTTGCGGCATCCTGAGCAGTAGAAGGTCGAATATGCTCCGATATACGGTCTCTTATGACTGCATCCCACGTCGACGGAGCGAGGTTCGACTCTAGAAGCTGCCGTAACAGCGACGTGGCTTCGTCGCGGGTTTTTTCAACCTTGGCTAGCTCGAGTAGCGATAGCGCTACAAGGCAGAAAAAATGGTGGTTTAATGGGGTTAGGAGTTGTGTATTGGTAAGTAAGAGACCCACCGTCTCTTTGCATGGCCATAGGACATCAGTCGATTTTGCGTTGGTCTGGAAGAGATACGCAAGTAATCTACAATGCCAGTAAACCATGTGTAATACGGGATGAGATACCGGCGTGATGCTTTGGGGAAGAATTTCTCGGAAGAGTTCTATGGAAAGGTTGAAGAAAGAACTCAAGATGGGTGCAGCACCTGAGTCGGGAGACAGAATCTTAGGAGGGGCCAAGGCAACCGGTGCAAAGTGGCCCAGAATGTTCGACAACCCTATCATTATTAGCTTTAGACCCCGTGATTTATTCGATCCATTCGATATACTTACGTGCTAAGTGGTACACATTTTCGCCCAGGACCGACTGCAGGCTAGGCAGAATAACCACGCTGTCGTTCGGGATGAACAACGGACTTGCAGTCCCAATAGCATTCCAGCGGTCCAACATAATCAACGTCCACCAAGCTCGGGTTGCGATGTTTTCATTTGAATGGAATTCTAGAGGAGCATCGACACTCGTTTCTAGGCCTGAAACGTGAAGCCTCATTGAATAGGCTAGACCCACAGCGCGTCCCAGAACTGACGCTTTAGAGGGGCCTCCATGTTCGCCCTTCAATGATGGCGGGCCATAATTATCAGTTGCAAGGGCCGTCAGTATTAGTGTTTGAAGATGCACGAGGTTCATGACCGGTGTACGCGGAGTCTGGTCAGATTCCCACTCCGTTATCATTCGTGTACCGGAGCCAATGTCGACATTGGTATATAAGCCAGGGATCGAAACAAAAGACTGCATAGTACCATAAAGCGCCTCAACGAAGGCATCACGAAGGAGAGGTGGGCACTGCGCTAATTGACCTTCAACGCGAGCTTTGCTTGCTGCGAGTAGAGGAAAACATGGATGAACTACATTGAGATAACCATTGAACGCACTCTCGTCTAGTTCACGAGTTGTGCCATTATGGTGGAGGTCAAGCGGCGCCGCATCTATGACAGCAGCTGGGCGGGGAGGTGCATCAGCATCAGGCTTGGACAAAGGCTGAGGTGCCAATCCATTAGCAGAATACGGAGGTGCCCTGAAACTTGCGGAGGGGGTCTGGTAAGGCTGGATGGGTCGTGGTTCCGAACTCCATGTTGCCTGGCGCGAATTCGTGGGTGTTGTGAACTCGCCGGACATGTTTGAATACGGTCTTTTACGACTATTCTCCTCCGGCTGTGCAGGTGTACCAAAGATATCGGCCGACTCTCTCCTGGCACCATTTAAAAGCTCACTTAGGCTATCGACATTGCCTCCTTCGCTCGCCAATTTGCCTTCAATATGATGTATTCGATCTGCCAGCTCTTTGATATATCCTTTGCTTGGGCCACGCTTCTGTGGGATTCTGCTGAAAAGACAACGAATTGCTGAACGGCGGCAGTTGGAACAGGGCTCCTCACCGTTTTCCGATACAGCATCACACTTCACCTTCTTCCTGCGACATTCATCGCAAGCACGAGACACTTTGGACCTCTTTCTCGGCGGGATACCATCCGGTATAGACGAAGCTTGGGCTGCATAGTGTTTTGCCAACTCCTCCATTGTGCTCTGCGACTGTATTTGAGGTGGTTGCTGATGCTGATGCGGGTGCGGCTGCTGTGGTGCTAAGTGCATCTGGTGATGCTCCTGTGGGTGCTGCTCAGGTAAGTATTCATGTTGCGGATGTTGATCTTGTAGGTGATGTTCATTATGACCAATAGAAGGATCGTGGGTGCCCATGGGGTGATCATCATGGGCCAATTGGTCATTATGATGTTCATGGATATGATTCTCAATATGATTGCTATGTTCTGGTATGTGATCATGCTGCATTTGGTCATCATGTTGCTGGAGGTGAGGTTCGTGGACATCGGACTGAGCTATCACGTTTTGAAGGTTCGAGTCTTCATTAGGATCGAGAGGTAGTGTGGGCATGCCTTGACTAAGACCCTGGCTAAGCTGAGCAGCGAGTTGCAGCTCTTCGGCACTTGTAATGGACGGGCGGACATCGTGTTGACGAGGGGTGGAGGGTTCGACACTCTCGGGCTGTACTTGTTGATGATCCGAATTATGGTCGTTATACACTGCCGTACTATCTTGACCATTCGTTGCAGGCAAGGGATATTGTTGTATGTCAACAGTCTCGTCCCGAATTTCGGGCTTTGAGTCTTCGAGCATGGGATCTATGTCGGGCATTGTGACTAGTCGCTCTTGGACGTGTCGGGGTCTACGGGATGCGTGACAACGCGGTCCTTCACACAATGCGATTTTATTTGCGCCAAAAAAACAGACTTGGGTGCAAATTAACGCAACTGCAACAAAACAGGATGCTGCCTCTTATCCTCCGCCCAAGATGGCAAGGATGCACTTGCGACAGGTAGAAGACAGAGTCGCGCAGCGTAGTAGTCTATATTGCTTCGTTACCTGCAAACAGAGGAGTGTTAGAATTACATAGCGACAGCACCAGTCGTGATGAACGAGAGTATGAAAAATGCGTCTTGAGATATAATCCAAGACTATTCAAGCCTATGTAAAGCCATTGATATATAGCAACGCCGACGCGGGCGCAGCAGCTATAGAAGCTCCCATATTGAAATGCGACCAGAGAGATGGCGAGAGGGAAAAAAAAAAAGAAGATCATTTAGGATCAGATCAGACGTACCAGCAGCAAGTTCCAATTTCCAATAATATGGGGATGGAAAATAGATAGACGGATTCCGGTTTTGCCCAGAAGCGGAGGAGGAAGAACCTGAATAGCCGATGTGTCTTTTTTTTCTTTTTTCCTCGGTCCTAGATTTTCCAGGGCTCTACGCAAAAGTCGGCGATTCAAAATCAATGCCAATTCTCGGAGACGGGAAAAAGTTTCGAATTGAAAGGATCAAATCAGCGTGTGCCGGTGTGGAAGAGGGAGTTGGAAAAAGAATTTTGCGGACGGTCAACAAGGACGAAACCCGAAAATTTGTATATATGCTCTAAAGCGTACGTGTCTCCACCCCTGTCCCTAGCAAACTTAAATTTTATTGTGCATAAGGTATCTGGGTAACGTGAGTATGCACGGATCCGTCATATTACCTCAGTTAACATCTGCATGTATCCTATTACTAAGCACAGCTAATCCCTAAACATGACAGACTGAAAACTCATGCATAAGAGTTGTTCTTTTTCCTTGTCATCATCTATCTTTAAAATGAGTCCAAAAATATGTAACCTTCAACTTAACTGCACTGTTTCCTAGTAATAATTATAAGGCCTCGACGTTCGCAATGATTCATAACTACACTGGTTTTTGAGAATTAGCTGGGTTGCACTTTTAGGACAAACAGATATTCAACATCAACTCGTTTGACTATTTCATACTTTTGTAATTTGAACACTTCGACTTGAAGAAGACAAACCACATAAAACAAAATGGATGACTCCATAGGTACTCATATCTTTTACTATTTTCCTACGAAATAATTTAATATAACCTTTCTCCCTCTCGAAATATCCTCGACCAATCACTTCCTAGTACCCCTTTTCAATTGCGTTAAAGCATACAATCTTCCACAGTAACCTTCTTAAACAACAACCGTAGCTCCTTTCGCCACTCGCCCATACGTAGTCCCATACCTCTCAAGCATATGCTCCTCAGCCGTCAGAGCTTTGCCATCAGGACCAACAGTAGTAGGCTCGCTCCCGTCAAAGGGTCTTAGCTCAACATCGGTATTGCCGTCAAAGAAGAATGGTACCGAATACCGATCCTTGCCGCTACGATTAACAACACGGTGTACAGTGCTCTTGTACACGTTCTTAGTCCATAGCGATAGCATGTCGCCGATGTTGACCACATAGGCATCCGGGTTGGGATCCACGCCAACCCACGTGTTGGTAGAATGGTCTAGGACTTCGAGGCCACCGGAGCCGTCTTGTAGCAAGAGTGTAATAGCACCTAGCAAATATGGAAGATTAAAGTAAGAACTCTTATTCCTTTCACTATATAGATACTATATGGAAATTTGCAAAGGAGATAAATAGGGAGGACTTACCAAAGTCTGTGTGCGCTCCAGCTCCGAGCTGACGCTCATCTGTCGAATTCTGCGGCGGGTAGTGTAACAGCCGGAGGGCGCAAACTGGATCGTTCGAGATGAACGGTACAAAGATGTCATCGCCATAGGGCAGGCCTCGAGCAAGAATTTCCATAACCCTACATGACAACTCGAAGACGGCGGAGTAGTAGGTTTCCGTAGGGATTTTTAACGCTTCGTCGGGGAGTCCTTCTGGGAAGATGTTTGGGCCAATTAGGTATGGATGCGCTTGTGACCGCGGATCATCGCTAGCTATATGTTGCCCGATAAAGAAACCCTGTGCGCCGAATTGTAGTAGTACTTAGTTACTGCCTTGTAGTAAAGCATGGTATAGAGGCCGACTAGGTGTTGCAGACGTAAATCTTTCATCGAGTGGCTTACCTCTTTAAGGTCGGGAAGAGCGTCTTCTTGTAAGACCTATTTCCATCCGAAGTCTGACGTTAGTTTTATATAGTAACTATATTGAAAAAGCATTCTGATATGGGGTAGAATAAACGAAAAGGTACTAATTCTAGCAACTAACCTGGGCGCCCATTAAGTCATAGCCCCTATTCTTTAGAATTGGAGGCCGTATCTTTTTCTTCTCTTCTAGCGGAAGGGCGAAAAAGGTCTCTGCAGCCTTGAAGACGGCATCTCTTAGCTCTTTTGGTACGCCATGGTTAACAATCTGGAAGACTAAAAGAAGCAGAGTTAACAACTGTTTCCTATGGCCTTAAACCTCACGAGTCTAATAAATACAGACAGATCCGGTGTATTCATCGTATCAAAGGCTATGTTGATAGAAATAAACTGATACCAATAGCCGTTCTTAGAACCACTAATAGTGACTTACAACCGCTTGTAACACAGGCCTGCCGCACATTCTCAACTACTTCAGCAGATGCTGCTGAGGTTGGGTCTTCGAGGAATGGAGATATGTCGACCGTTGGAATCATAAATTGGACATTGGGTTTATTGGTGGTCATCGTCGCGATATATCCTCTTACCGAAAATATAAACGTTATCTACTTTGAATTTGACCAAGTATCTTTAGTTCGATATATAGTCGAACCTGGAGATTTCTAGAAAAGACCCCGTAATCTTAAGGAGTCTGACTCCAAAACCTCCAGTAGAGGTTGCTTACACCCAAGTGTTATCGGCGGGGGACTTCCACGGAGCTCGCCGGCTACCGACTTCGGAGAAGACCTTGGGTATAGGTTAGGTAGTTAAAGCTATATTTGCTGCTCGTCGAATATGTATATATAATTGAGATGGTTGTAAATGCTACTATCCGATTTAACCCTTTCTTCATCTGACGGAGCACGGGGTGTAGAGTTCAGGTCAGGTAGGTAGTGTACAAAACGCACGATTTGAAGTTGTAAATTTTAATTTAGGAAACGGCAATATTAGGCATATCTTCCACTTTTAGAACTCTGGCGATTCTGTGGATAGCATTTTATTGTGATAGGTGGTGTTACATAGTTGGTGCTAACCAACAGTCCGAGATGATCTTACATAGGCTAGGCTTAATAGATGGATACTATGGGGATCCTGATTACCGATATTCGAGGTCCTGAGACCAACCCGGTAAATGCTCTACAGAGAATTTACCTTGGGCAATTATGCGGTCATATAGTGTTACATTATCGCTGTTCTACTGAAATAATATCAGGCCGTATCCCCTTGCGCTGGCATAATACTTCTTTTACCTCCCTCCATTCCTGTGTTTGCGACGATTTTTCTTTTTCCCTTTATTGTCTTTGGTGACGGTGGGAATGACTGTGGCCGTGGAAGACGTTCCTTCTTCATCAGACGGTGCAGGCATGACTGCTTTCTGTCCTTCGTCGCCTGACGATGTATCGTTAGCCTCAAGAACGACTTTGCGAATACCACCGGATTCGATTATATTTTCGGTAATGCTACCACTACGCACGTGGCCTCTTCTCCGCCCGATAGCATCATAGACACTCTCCATGATTTCTTTCGTGGAATCTTGTGTCGGGGAGGCATCACTTTCGACCACGACACAGAGCTTAGTTTGTGTACCTTTGGTCACTTGCTCGGAACCCTCGCTTTCGAAATTGGTCACGATCCCGGGCGGAGGATTAGAAGGTGATTCGGTGTGACTCTGCTGTAGGGCATGTGTGCCATCTTTTGCTTTAAATTGAGGTCCTAATAAACTTGTGCGTTCATCGACATCCGTAATTGGATCTTCTGTAATATCATCTGTCGCAATAGAACTTGGGCGTTGCTGGGTGGCAGTAACTGCTGTTGAACCGGGCTTGAGCTTAACTGCCGAAACTCGTGTGCTCTTAGGATTTGATGCAGGGTTCGACGGGCCAAGATGCTTCAAGTGATCCCTCATTTCCTCGAAGTTGGCTTTGACTGGGACCATAGTGTGCACCAGTAGTCCGTCTTGACCGGCCGAACGTCTTCGCATCAGCAACGTCGTCATCTTCGGGCTAGAACCGAGAGCAGAAGCGTCCGTCTTGCTGCTGATCGACCCACCCCGTTTAGGTTGATGCTCTTGTCCATCTTCATCTATGTCAATAAGCGTGCTATTCCTGTTCTCAAGGTCCTTGGCCATAAGCTCCCTCCGCAAAGCTCGAGCTTTGGGGGCGGGATGAGATCTACGGATGGCTTTATGCACATCGACATATACATCCGACTCGTCAATGATTTCCCTAAATTTGGGTTGTCAGAGGAAGGTCAGAAATAAAGACAATAGGGAAATTACTTACTCTCCGATAAGCTCTTCAATCACATCTTCAAGCGTCACGACACCCAGGGCACCATGATCATCACCAGGAGACTCTGAGATAAGTACCATATGGGATTTTCCTTCCTGGAAAAAGTTGATTATATCAAGACAACTAGTTTCAGGTCGGGTCTCAGGAAGGGCAGCGAGAGCGAAGTCTTTGACTCGTTTACCGTCTTCAGGGTCATAGGTGATGAGGATTTTGACCAAGAGCATGCCAACAAAATTCGTCGGGTTTCCGGTTTGATGGATAGGGATGCGAGAATAGCCGGCGTCGAGAATTTGATCGATAGTCTTTTCATCCAACACGGTATCCTCCGACATGGTAAAGACATCCTCCATCGGCGTCATAACCTCCTCGACAGCCTTGCGTTTTAGATCTAGGACAGCACTGATGATGGTAACTTCGTCTTGGTTTAGACGCTCGTCAACTTCGCCTAGAGATTTATGAAGCGTGACCAGCGTCTTCAACCCGCTTTTCTTGTAGACAGTTCCATGGTCTTCACCTAATAACCAGTCGAGGAGCTTTGCAGTTGGCCATGCGACGGGAGCGAATAGGTACATCATCAGAAGCACGGGCTTCGACATATACCCGCCGATCTGAAGACCGTAGCGAACACAAACGGACTGTGGCAAGATCTCGCCGAAGATGACTACAGTAGATAAATATTAGCAAAATTACAAGGCCTACAGAGGCGACTTTAAAGGATTCCTACCTATCAAGACAGTACTTCCAACAACTGCTGCAACGCCACCGCCAAAGCACCTATCTAGTACGACGGGAAGGGTTTCATTGACAATAACATTGGACAACAACAACGTCACTAAGACCCAATGTTTGCCTTTATTTAAGAGATCATGGACACGCTTTGCGTTCTTTCGTTGGGGTTCCTCAGGATCTGAAGATATTACTTGAAGGTAGATCTCATCCTGGCCCATGAGCGCTATGGTCAAACCGGCAAAGGCACCTCCTAAGAGCACGAGGACTATGGACACGACGTAAAGCACCCAGAGGGCGCCATCTTCGGCTCGTTCGGGAGTATTTTCGAGAGTATTTTCGAGAGCATGATAAGACGTTGGAATCGCGGATGTGAGGCCGACTGAGAGGAAGAGGGCTCTAAATAGACTAAGAACGATTGTACGGGCGCGAAGGATGCCTTCGTTCCCCATGCTTGCCGTTAACCTCGCGAGGTGAAGTCGATTCGTTGAAGTACACTACTGCCTAAGACAGCCTCGAACCCGACTCGGACCAGGGCAATTTATCAATTAATCGAAAAATGCTACGAGAAAATTGTTAGGGGATAGAAGGGTTGGTTGCCTTTGGAGACAGGCAGTTAGCCGTTGTTTCGGTAGCCTTCAAAGCGCGCCACCTTAGCCAAGTACCTAGTCAAGACCAGGATTATACTACTAATTAAATTTGCCCGGCTTGAAAGGTCAACGGATGGGCAAAGATTTAACGACTATGGTCAAACGACCATCCCATCCATCGAGGGCTCGCAACAATAAAAGGTAATTAGGTAAGTAATGAAGGAGAAGAAATGTGTTAGATGGATAGAAAATTGTAATTGAGTTCCGTTGACGAAGCTTAGCCCAATGGATGATGAGAACTTGATAAGCTCATGTGGGGACAAGAAACATGGGATCACAAATATTGTTACATACGACGCGTATTGGCGCGGGAAGGAGTCTGGGAGTTCTGGGTAGGAAGGGAAGGTGGGCTGTAGCTACCCTTGACTGACCTTACATAGTAGCTGCCTTAACTGCAACATTGATCCATACATACATGTGCAATACCTAAATTATGTACCTACGGAGGTAACCTACAAAAATACAAAAATATCTCTGTTATCAATCTTCACATTATCTTTCACATTTGATCACCCATTAACGATGCAGACTGCCTATCTACCCACGTACCTAGTCATACCATATAGCGTTCATTCCAAAACCTGGCTCCGGAATCCGACATCTTGCGACGCGACCTAGGAACTCATCTTTCCACCTATAGATCTCAATCCATCCCTCTTGATCGTCTGTAATGGCTAACCACTCATCGCTCCAATCGCATGGTGCCACTGCATTGCTATGGCCGCCGCTCGTAGGTGTAGGATTCAAGCAGATCTGTCTCTCGATTGATCCACAATCCCGCAACCGAAACGCCGCAATGTAGCCCTGCAGGTCGAAACTATTGGCTCGACTCGTCGCGAATAGATAGTCACCCGACTTAGTGAGGACACAAACATCGCTGCGATACATGGTATCATGTTTAGGTATCCCAGGCGGAATCAAAGGATACGAATGGTGCGTATAAACGGGCATGTGCGTTGCCGAATCGATAACGTATTCGCAAAGTCGATTTCCAGCTTCCATCAGAGCATATAAGTAATTGCCCGACGGGTGCATGGCCACCCACCGCGGGTGGTCTTTTGGATTCGGCGCATCAACACTTCCCACAAGGTCAACCTCTCCCGACGCTGCTTTCTTATGTACCCATAGCTTGTTGGCTCTCAAGTCGGCCGAGTACAGGTAGGTTTCTGTTGGGTCGAATACCATACCGTGAATACCCGTATCGGGTTGGTATGGATAGTTTTGTATATCCTTATCAAGAGCACCACTCGACGACACGGAGAAGACGGAGCCATGGCCAGCATGTGAATAGAATGGGTTGCAGTAAACGGCGTATGGAGGCTGTTTTGCGGCGAGCAGAAAGATGGCTCGAGTATTGGACGTGGACAGGCTTGCTTGAGCTACGTGCCCAAGATTACGGGTCAATCACCGGGTAGGTTGGCTGACAGGCCAATGCGAAACTTACGGTCGTGGTTCATTGAATGCGAGGCTTCGTGAACGATCTCGGTTGGACTCTTGACGGAAAAGCTAGACCATTTCTTCATGGCCGCGCCGTATATGTTCTTCTTGGCATGCTAAGACAACAACATGTGAGCATTGGGGAGATTAGTTGATTTCAGCTGAACTTGAATCTGAACTTGGACTAACTAGGTCCAGAGTTCAAACACAGACGATTTGACTTACATCGAAAGTCATCCAAGAGATGGGCTCGTCATAAGGGATTTCGGTTCTCTTCACCAGCTCTAATGTCAATTTCTCATCGTCAAAAGCCACAGTGAATATGGCCCCGGGAGGAGTCCACGTTCCTATCATCAAGTGATGAACCGGCATCCTTCATTCAACCTTGCCCTTACCGTGGAAAGAGTGTAGAAACAATCTTAATTACGACCTAACAAACTCCCCGGACAGAAAAGTGAATTTAAGTCTCGAGCCCTGGATCACGATAACAAGACAATTACCCCAATTGCATAGTTTTTTCGTCAATGAGGATTCGGATAGGGTTAGAGTTGTCCCCCAACTATACAAACTAACAAGTACCCAAGCTGGCCGTTGCACAGCATACCTTAGGTAATTCTTTAGGACCAACCAGCAAGCTCGGTCGAAGTACTCTCGGATTTATCCCCGCATCTACTTAGCGATATATCGCCCCTCTTTGCGCTTTTACGGATCCGTACGCATGCGAACTCTTACGCCATTTTCCACTATTGCCCACCTAGGTATGGCACCTCGATGTGGGGAAGAATCTATAAGCTTGTACACAGTAAACCACGTTTTCATTCACATAATCGGCACCAGTGGCGGTAGATGACCACGGCAGGCGGGTTAATTCGATAGCTACCGAGTGGATAGCTACATGCTGAATCTCCAATTGCCACGCTGCAATGCCGGATAAACGCCTCATCTCCAGATTTCCCCGCTATGTCGCAGCTCGAGAGGTCGTACACTACGCTGCTAAGTCTTGAATCTTAATGAGGTCGCGAGTCTTCAGCTCAGTCAAGCTCGCTGGCGTCTTAACTTCGAATTGAGACGAGCACCAACATATGACATCACCAAGGATGCCTCTAGCGAAAGCAACCCTTAGTGGGGGTATTGAGGAATTACTATCCCTAAATCGTGTAGCGGCCGGTTATGTATGCCGCTACATATGCATTCCCATAAAACCCCGAACGCACGCGATTCGAGTTGGTGCTGGAGTTCCAGAAGCACGTTCGATACTGCCTTACTAAGGGCAATATATCACCCGACGGACAAGGAGGTTTGATATGGCTGCCGCGAACTCAATCCGATCTACATATAGGATCCCTTATTGAAGAACGGCGGGGTCTCCGAGTCTTCAGGGACCGACCTATCAAAGAAAATCCATTGCTCATACAATGGAATGGCTGATGGCAAAAGCTTAAATAAATACTGTTCTGCCGATGGCTTTCGTCCCATGATGCCAGGTGTCTCATGCTAGTCTTGTGTCCTTGTGTAAAATATATCTGGGCCTTATTCTGACTTCAGTTTCGTATATACAAACATACATCTTCTCCCTCTCTTTCTATCTATATATATTTCTACCAATAATATCATACGCATCAAGACATAGAGATCATACCTTCGCTAGCTAACCCTGCTATCCATCCCATTGTAGTCACATTAATCAAGAAAGCTCAAAAGATGGCTCCCGAAGCTACTGGCGTGTCCAATGCGGCACAAGCTCCCAAACCTTCCCGTTTCGATCCTACCTTCACTCAGCATGTCATCGATACTATGGGCCCTAAGACCACTGAGAGGAACCGGGTTCTGCTGTCAGCGCTGATCCGACATATTCACGACTTTGCTCGAGAAACAGAGCTCACAATTGACGAATGGTTGGCCGGCGTCAGTTATATCAACGCCGTCGGCCGGGTTTACTCGGAGTCGGGACAGACGAGAAACGAGGCCCATCGCTTATCTGATATTCTTGGACTCGAAACGTATGTCTTACCGATTAGAGTCGTAGACAATTGCACCAAATCGCGTATGGCCGTGAACTAATATGTAATTTTATTAGGCTGGTTGATGAAATCGCCCACAAGATCATCTCCGAAACAGACGTAGACCCAACATCCTCCGCCATCCTCGGGCCCTTCTGGTCGCCCAACGCGCCCTTCCGCGAGAACGGCGGGACCATCATCCAGGACCCGGCGCCGGACGGCCAAGTTGTCCTCATGCACGGCATCATCAGCGATCTGGTCACGGGCAAGCCGATCCCCAACGCCGTCTTCGATATCTGGCAAGCCTCGTCCAACGGCAAATACGACTTTCAGGACCCCAAGAACCAGACTCCGAATAACCTGCGCGGCAAGTTCCGCGCTGATGAGAACGGCAAGTATTGGTTTTACTGCTATTATCCGACTGCTTACTCCCTGCCCACGGACGGTCCCTCCTACCAGCTACTTCAGATGATGGATCGCCATCCCATGCGTCCGGCACACATCCACATCATGGTATGTTCTCTCTAACTAACGTTCTCCTATCCTCAGTTTCTAACAAATATCCACCATAGGTCACACACCCCGAATACAAAGGCTGCACAACGCAATTATACCCCAAAGACGACCCCTGGCTCTCATCCGACACCGTATTCGCCGTGAAAGACGATCTAGTGGTCGACTTCAAGCCCCTAGAAGGCGACGACAAAGCGAAGCTCGAGCTAGACTACAACGTCATCTTAGCCCCTAAGGATTATAAGGGCAAGCCGTTTTAGACGAAACTCCTTGGAAGCTAATGTGGTCCCACAAGAGCTTGAGAAGCAAGTCGACTTATTAATCTTGGTATTGGAAACGCAAATTCTTGTTGATATTTAGTATATGTGAATGTAGTTAAAGCAAAGTGCGATGTTTTCTGAATAGGAGCCAAAAAGCTCAATCGGCATCAATGCCTTCGAAGAAGGACGCTATCACTTAAGTCATCTTAGGGTGAGAGAGGGCATGGGCGCTTTGATGTTACTGCGCTAATGCATGCGTCTGGGCTGAGATATATATATATGTATCTATTATCCTCGAGCTTACAGCTCACCAAGATAATGTGAAGCTTTCACCACGGTGATTATTTTAGTACGTAAGGATATGAGGGGGTGAAGCGTACATTAACAATACGATACTACTACTACTACCACTACCACTACTACTACTACTACCACCATTACTACTACTAATTATTAAATGAAGGATAACAATTTTTCAACAATCTCCTTGCGCCTCCATCCACAGTCCGACCGAGTGGACTTAATTACCCTTGGCTATCACGAATTCAACAACATCCTTCGCGAGACAGAACGCGACCCCCTCAGACATCCCTAGACACATCTCCTCAGCCGAGCATGCTTCAACAGTAGCCCATTTGCCGTCGTGGGTGCAGGCCTCGACGGTTGTGTTGCCATGGGCACACTGCTGCCGACCTGGCTCGCAGTCCTAAGTTGCGACAGTTCGGAAAATGGGGTCAATGGTGTAATCGCCCACCACAACTTCGTTATCATCGCACTTTACGCGGGTGTTGTAAAGCTGCTTGCAGCCAGGACAGAGTCCAAAGTAGTGCCACTCGTGCTTCGCGTTGCACGCCTCGACACGGTCTCCCTTGCAGCGCAGTTCACCGCCCCAGCACGGGTTGTTATCAGCCGTACGCACCTCAAGTGAACGTGAAGTCAGAGTCGGCGTGGCAGTCGTGTCTAGCACACTTCCCGATGTTGCCGCCGTTGGATACGAGGTTATTGGAGCTGATGTAGTCGATATAAGTGTTGATGTAAGTGTCGATGTAAGTGTCGATGTAAGCATCGATGTCGATGTCGATGTAAGCATCGATGTCGATGTCGATGTAAGTATCGATGTCGATGTCGATGTAAGTATCGATGTCGATGTCGATGTAAGTATCGATTTAGATGTCGATGTAAGTGTCGACGTAAGTGTCGATGTAAGTGTTGACGATGTAGGTGTCGGTCTAATCGTCGATGTAGGTGTCGGTGGAATCGTCGATGTAAGTGTCGACGTGAGTGTTGACGTAAGTGTCGATGTAAGTGTTGACGATGTAAGTGTCGGTGTAATCGTCGATGTAGGTGTCGGTGGAATCGTCGATGTAAGTGTCGACGAGAGTGTCGACGAGAGTGTCGACGAGAGTGTCGACGTGAGTGTCGACGTGAGTGTCGATGTAAGTGTTGACGATGTAAGTGTCGGTGTAATCGTCGATGTAGGTGTCGGTGGAATCGTCGATGTAAATGTCGGTACAATCGTCGGCGCGGCGTCGGTGGTGGTGGGTATTTGGATGTTATTGCAGAAGGGCTCGCCGTGGGTGTCACTAACGCATTCACGGCACTGCTGTATAGGCTGCCACTTGAGTTCCGCATTGCAGAGAGCAAGCCAATCACCCTCGCAGCGCAGAGTACCTTCTACGCATTGAGGATTCGGCTCGGGTGGTAGATCCACATAGGGCACACAATCTACGGCGCCGGACGAGTCTTCAGTGCAGTTTTCACACTGCATCAAGTGATGCCATTCGGCGTCATCGTCGCATATATCCTCCCAATTTCCATTACATCGGAGCTGGTCCTTCTTACAAAACGTTGGTGTCGGCTCAGGCGATGGAAGGCTAGTGTCAGGGATGCAGTCGATTCTACCGAGACCTGTGTCAATGCACTCAGCGCATTTCCGCCACTGCTGCCACACGCCAAACCCGTCGCAAATCTCCTCCCAGAGCCCGTTACAGCGTAAGTCAGCCTCCCTACAGTTGATATGAGAGGGAGAGTAGCCACTGGTAGGAGTACGAGCCAACTGGGTGTAAACAGGTGCGTCCCCTTCTTTACTGGTATGAGTAGGAGCCAAAAAAGTGTGAACAGGTGCGTCGTCTGGGACGGTTGGCAGAACAGCACCTAGCACCGAAGCGGATAGGCCCAGGACAGCCAGCACGGCTTCATTGATAGGCAGCATCTTTGAATGGGAGTGGTTTCTGTTGATTAGAATGAAATGAGTAGCTGAAATGATTAGAGAGTTGGCAGGTGTCTATGGTGTGATAGACAGGTTACTGGATTCAAAAACAATGGTGGTAGACACACCTAAATATATGAATGAAACAAACTGCTTTCCAGCTAATTTGTATGTCTTTACCTGGTTGCTTGATTCGTGATGAAAGTTTAGAAATTAAGAAATTGTTCTGGTGAGTCTATGTCTGTCTCGAAAGGTGATGAAGGGGTTTTTATAAGGAGAGAACAAACCGGAATATGACTTCCTACCTAAGTTCATAGCAAGAGCCCCCCCTAGTTTCTGCAAGTACAGAGGTCAACGGTCAATAGCTATCGTCATCTAGCGCAGTAACATTAAGGAACGGTCTGGGAATATTAACATCGACGCTCTCCTCGAAACCGTTAGATCATCTGAGGAATGGCGAGTCACCGGCATGCCAACCCTCCCTCCTTACGTATACTCAACTTATCGGAAAGAGCATTTTGTCTAATTGCCTCTGATCACGTTTGTCGGACCACGGCACCAAAGTAAAGATGGCTTCACATAAGCCAGACGATTGGAGGTGGCCATGAATATGAAACTCGCGAGTTGACTCATACCTAGGTAAATATCTAAAGCCCAAAACTGAGTTCAAGTGAATCTTAAATCGTATAGTGAGGACTAGTCCCATTAATCTCTTTAAGACGTCGAACTGTAAATTCATTTTGATGCCAGCTAAATTAATGTCAGGGTACGGAAGTCCCCATCAAAAGTTTTGTCCATACGTACCACCTGACAGCTTTTACTTCAACTGTCTAGGACCTGACACCATGCGGCAGCCAAGATTATGAATATATATAAACATTTGCCTTTTATAACATATTTAGTTTTAACTTTAATAAGCCAATGAAAATGTTAAAAGTGAGTCTATTGTAAGACCAAAAACTGCTTTATACGCCTATATAATCTTTATTATTTAAGGAGAAGATTTCGAGTTATTATGTATAAGCCAATGTAGTGTAATATGGATAGTACAGGCGCTTGATGGCCTACAGCTGTTGCCAAGCCCTGTTAAAGCTGGTCGAAGCTGACAGGGGCTGGCCTATGGACAAAACTTTTGATGGGTACTTCCGTATAGTGGGAGCTAGTATGAATTAGGCATAGATCGGCGCTCACTTGATATATAAGAGGCGCAAAGCGCCCCTTGTAGAGGATAGAAGGTCAAGCGTTAATAGATTCATACTACTATACAGCAGCTTCGCTGCTGCTTCTAACATTCACTCTACGTGTGACATTCATCAAGGGTTCTCTCTGACAATTAAGCCGTTAATCCAACGGCGCATAAGTAGTGTTGACTGAGAGCGGTTTCAATACGCCGGGAAACAATGTTTTGGTACGCGTTCGTGCCACTGTTGGAACTTAATTTATATACTTGCTTATAAACTTTTAACTACGATCTTTAAGTAGCAGCTAAAGGTAACTAACTATGTAACATTGGTCTATACCTAATATTCTCTAGGGTATATACACGTATGCCGTCGCTTAGACATCTTATATTGGGGTCGAGTAGGTATCGTAAAGCATCTATTCATGTTCTCCTGAATGCACGCGTGGACAAGCCAGCTACTTCAAGGTTACTTATTCTCGGACAGGTCGCAATATGTTGATGTCATATTTCGGTAGTTGTATAACTACGCTCAGATAAAGTTTACAAATAAAATTCTAGACGCTTTTAAACCCTCTTAACGTGCCGGGGAATAGCAGACCCGAGAGCATTTCTCTAACGCCCCCCTATGCGGTAGGCCGTAGCTATGTAGGTCTATTCAAAAACCGCGCTCGCCACTTTGAACCTAAGCTTGGGCAAGCACACGTATCGCGAAACAGACAGTAACATTTTCAAGGAAATGTAAAACAACGGCCGTTTATATCGATGAGTCATTCATCACGAGGAGAAGCAAAATATAGTTTGGTTTCAATACAATCTCGATAGGAAGCCACGCGCCAACATACGTATACCCATCGGTTGCGTAGGAATGGTATATTAAGGAATCGATTTCGTAAACCCATTACAAGGCCTCCAATGAGATGGTTCGTATTGGGGCTGGGTAAGTAAGGGCCTACGAGAACTCACGATCTCGATGACGTTGATATCAATACCCGTCAGCATACCAACAAACCCATCTAGAACCTAACTTAAATACTACTCGAGGTTACCCTCCGGGCAACACAAAAGCCTAAGGTTTACACCGCACCATGTTTCTATGCTTTTTTTATTATTATTATGTACATATTAGCGACCTACCCCCTATTAAACTAGAGGGTACCCCTACGATAGCCCGGATTTACTGCTATTACACGGCTGGACACTACTTTCAATACCTTAAAGACCTAAGTAATAAAGAAGTCTTAACATATGCATATACAGACCTGTTCATCTTTTACTGCTTTCTACAAGGCATGAAAATCATCTGTAAGGTAGCAAGGCATGTGTCCCAAATAGGAAATTTTTATTTTTACTCGCATGCAACACAACAAACACAACAAACACAAAAAACACAAAAACACAACACAACATCCTAAGGTAAAAGTAAAGGTATAAAGGTAAACCTTAGGCATATGGATTATTTCGCAACGAATTTTGATATGATGTCATAGGTTGGGATTAATATTTGAAAAACGGCAAGAGCATGCCCCCTACGATTAACCGATAGAGGTATGTATTTATAATTTATAGGTATGGTAAAGGATATATGATAGAAGTGTGCCCGAATTCCCACTTAAGACTAGACATTAGTATAAAAGTCATTGCCAGATCGTGGTCTAGAAAGAATAGAGCAGGTAGTAAATATAAATTACTTGCATATGCCAGAAGTACATATGAATAAAATAATGGGCGCGCGCACTTGTCCACTTATAGGCGATCTGCTTTGCTCCAATAGGGCTGAATTTTGACTCGTGGCTTAGTATATTCTCCGTTCCGTACGCGACCAGCCATTGGTAACCATAATCCCGGGACCAGGATCTTCCTATTGACAGCTGCATACCTAATTGACAGCCCTCTACATAGGCGGGTAGCCGCTTGCTGCCACACCTCTTATACATAGTGCGAGACGTCACGCGAGATTATGAATTATGACTCGCGAGAGTCCAGTTGACTGACCTGAAGTATCAGCCAAGAAATATGCCAAGATAAAATGATATGTACAAATCGTGCGTATTCTTGATTCTTCGACTCGTGTCTATGGGACTTGGGACTTGGGACTTGGCGATGTTGTTTGGTTGTCTTATGATCTCTTAGGTAGTTGGTTATTAGCGCTCCGCGTAGAGGTACTTGGCTGTGGGCTTTTGTCTAGGCGGTGTGTAATGCAATCGTAACTTATATGACTATAAAAGGTAGTTACGCATTTTATATTAACATGAATTATAGGTAGGTATGCATCATAGAAATCGGATTTATATGTTAATTATTCATGAAATAATGATCTTTGCTAAACTGAATCTATATATATATGTATCTTTGATTAGGTAGATACATAAGTAGATATCTCCGAGTTAGGCGTATCTAAGGTGATTTTATTATCCCCGCATCTTCAGCTGCTATTCTAGGGTCTACATATATTAATTCCCCCAAACATTGCTGTGCTAGCGCCATCTCCCCCGCCAGCAGCTAAGTGAGCTCTGTTAGGTAATCTAGGGCCATCTATCTGCACGCTAGACACCGTTCGACAGGGAACTACGCTAGACCAGAGCAGGGGTAGTGCATGCTGCCAAGGGTCCTTGGGTCCTTCCCTTGTTAAGCCCTTGTAAAAGACCTTGATGATCACCTCATCCTAGGTAACATTACTATGTACATTATCTATCATCCTAATCTATAAACCATCATCCTTCCGACTTTTTTCTCCAACTTCTTCTTTGTTTTGAGTCGATTCTATCCT